GAAAATTTATTCGTGTGAAACAGAGAATAAACAGCAAAAATAAAAATTCTTTTATAGATACTGAAGATGTCGTATGATCGAAAAAAATCGTTTAGTTGGCTTGAAAATGGCGAATTATTGACATTTACCGTAATATTTTACATATGAAATAATAGCGATCTTTATTTCCAAGCCAACTCTTAACGCCGTTCTTTGTTTAGTGATATAATATTATATTAAATTGTTTAATGATAGAAAATCCGTATTAGTAACGTACAGTACCCAAAATCCGTAAATCTACGGATTAATCAGTAGTTCTGACAACACTGTCTCCGGCAACAACTCTCTCTCTCTGTCGACTGAAAGCAGAACTACGGTCAAATACGTTTAAAATAAAGTATACGGAGGGTACCGCTTAAATTCCTGTCCCGATATTGAAGGATGGCTATAGAATCTCAATGCATTTCCTACATAAGTATATCCTTGTGTTGTAGGAGGTTGACTAAACAAGGATTTCCAGGTGATGGTATGTCTTGAAACCATTCGACTCGATTTTCTGTCCTCCTTCAATACTGGGACGTAAATCCTCTCATTGCTCTTATGGGGAGGCCGTCGTATATTTTATTTAAACGTATTTGGCTACGGTACAGTACTCTTTATTCGCTGCGCTGTAAACGACTCACAGCGCGCAGCGGCGCATAGCTAAACTAAATCTCGGAATTCTCGGACAGGCTAATGGTAACGCCAGCTACATCTCGGACAGGTTTTGAGCCACGAAATCGCCCATAAGGTTGAGCATCTTCCTATTTCTTCACTGTTGAGGGAGCTGCAAATCCGGAAGCTCTGTAAAGTTGAGATAAGCTTGTTGCTTTCATACACCCTGTTGTTATTCGGCACGTTTCATTTAAAGCAACATCAACTTGTTTGGCATGGCTCGACCTGTTCCATACAGGACAGGCATATTCTCCCGTGGAAAAGACATAAAGCCTGTGCAGTTGTTTTTAAGTCAGATGGATTTGCGCCCCACTTGCTTCCAGTTAGCCTTCTTAAAATGTTATTTCTAGCACTGACTTTCTGGCGAGTTTTCTGGCAGTGTTACCTATATGTTAAGGTCCTGTCTAGTATCTAGTATCACTCCGAGATACTTCGGCTTTTCTGTATGCTCCAGTAAGCTACCTCTCCACAAGATATTAAGTTTTGTTGCAGCGTCTCTATTGCGTAGGTGGAAAGCGGAAACCTGCGTCTTGGAAGGGTTGGGTTTAAGGGAGTTCCGGTCGTAGTAACTAGCCATTGTGTTAAGTGCACCTTCCAGTTTTCGTTGGACGCTGTGAAAGCTGGTATCTTGTACAGCTATTGCCAGGTCGTCAGCATAAAGGAAATTTTTTGAGTAGGCAGGGAGAGGTTGATCGTTGGTATATATATTAAATAGCATTGGCACCAGGACGCTCCCTTGAGGCAGCCCATTCCTTTTAGTTCTCCATCTGCTCTTACTATTGTTCAGAGTGACATAAAAGCGTCGGTTTTGCATCATTGTCTCGACCATTTTTTCCAGGTTATAATCCTTAATTGTAGCATATATCGTCCCATTGCTGCCAAAAGTCACTAACTTACTTTTTATTACTTCCGAGAAAAATGCGTCTAAAGAAGAATTGCATTGCATAAAGATGTTATAGTTAGTAACTATTCGGTATTAAAATAAAACATAAATATCCAGGAATCGTAGTTAATGACTTTTGCAATCGATTCTCCGATTCAAAACATAGTTAGTGATTGAATTTGGTTGTTCGGAAAAATGTTAGTTAGTGACTTTTGGCAGCAGTAGGACGATATTTTAGTTAGAAGGTGTTTATGGATGATGGTATCATATGCGGCGGTTAAATCGACAAGAGCGACTCCAGTGATCAGCTTCTCCTCGCATCCCCTCTCGATATGCTCTGTAAGAGCTAAGACCTGCCCAGTACATTATTTTCCCGGCCTAAAGCCTGCTTGCTGAGGAATAAGTTTCGATTCTACGATTTTCTCCATGCGTCTGAGAATCATTCGCTCGTAAAGTTTGTACAAATGACACAGCAGGGAGATCGGTCTATAGCTACTAGCCAGTTCTGGATCTTTGGCCGGTTTCAAGAGAGCTACAACTTTAGATTTTCGCCAAGATTTCGGGATTTTGTGGCTCTCGGTGCATTCTTGAAACAATTTCAAAACCCACATTTTTGTTGCTGGGCCGAAGTTCTTAATCTGCTCGGTACACAAATCTCTCTCTCCTTTCCTATTTCTTCAATCAACGATATTAAGGAACGTGATGGGTTAGACACCGATATCACCCCATATTAATAGACACGTTTTTAGTAACGGAATAAGAAATTCAAAACACATAATCTTAAAAAATATGTTAAAAGAATTGTGTCACACAGTGTTAATATTCATATAAAAGCAAATTAGAGGAAGATTAAATTTAACTTAGTGATACTGTACGAATTTTCTCGCTTTAAATTGTTATTGTATCCATCTAAATTTATTATATAAACAATCGGGCAAATTTACAGTAATTTTAAATGGAAGAGCGAGGACAGAATAATATATTATTAGTAGCGGTCCACAGAAAAACTAGTATGAAGAGGTATTATTAACACGAATGCTTCACTACACTCTGAAAAAAGATATATCTGCGAATGATTTCAATTAGTGCGCTAAAAGCAGATTTGTCACATTTTCACGGCAAGTTTTTTGCTCGAGTAATTTTCTCAATCGTCCTCTGGCTGTTTATACAATTACAACTTAATTAGTGTGAAAAATGCAAATCGACTGTTGCAACTAAGTAAAATTTTATAACAAATGCTTTTAAACAATCATATAAATATTCGCGTTAGGCGTAGAAAGAAAAAAGTAAACAGCTCTTTATGCAGTGTTTTCTTCCATTATTTATTTATTTGAATTTTGAATATTGCTCGTCAGGTAATTGTGTAATTTCCTTAATTTCTTTTCATAACTTTACCATTTTTAATTCATGTATATTCATACATACATCTTTTTTCTTATAACCATCTACTGACTAATTGCAAAGTGTACACAGTGCTTTCATTTTAATTTGCCCCATTTTTAAAAGGCTCTAAAATATTTATTTTTTGAGCTAAAAGGTCGGGTGACAAAAGAAATTGTAGTGTTTTTCGTTAAGTTTTATGCCGTTGAGTCAAAAATTGTATAAACTGTCAAATGTCAAAATTATTGACATAACTTACTTTTTTTTAGATGGTACATCCTATACAGGGTATCCCAGAAATAAGTGCAAGTATTTTAAGGGGTTGTAGATCTCGATAAAAGAAACATATTTTCTCTTTATCGTTTTTCAAATAAGTTCAAAATAACGGAGTTATTTTACTTTGAAAATTACCAAAAAAATGATTTTTTCATAAAATTTTGAGAACCACTGGGTCTCTTCTGGATTTTCTTTCTTTAATGTAATACGTGTGTTGCCATATTATCAAGAAATTCTTTTTTTTAATTAAAAACTAAAAAAGTTTCCAAATTTTTTTTCAAAAAATTTCGAATTTTCAATTTTTTTTTCACGAAGAACACCTCATAGGCGTGTTTCTGGGGTTGAACTATTATACTACCAGTTAAAATACTTCTGGGACACCCTGTATATCATTAAATATTTAAAAAGACCTTTTTTTCCTGATTACGAAAATATACAACACTTTCCCTTTCTTTTCATTAGTTTAGCGTAAATTCATATAAATATGATTAAAATTATAATGATTTATATATTTTTTTATATTATAAAAAATATATGTTCTGAGTTTACAGATCAGAAAATTTTCTATATCATAATACCGTATGATCGAAAAAAAAAGGCGTCAGCGATGGCTATGAAATGAAGATCGCTGTCATTTCCCAGCCAACTGGACACCATTCTTTTTTGATCATATAGTAGAACTATAACTATAAAAACCATGACCATTCTTGGAAAGAAAAATAATATACGCGGGCATCTTGATGTTAAAAATTATAATTTTAATCATATTTATACGAATTTACTCTAAACTAATGAAAAGAAATGGCAAGTCTGGCATATTTTCGTACCCGTCGTAAGTTATGTCAATAATTTTGATATTTGACAATTTATACAATTTTTGACTCAACGGCATAAAACTTAACGAAAAACACTACAATTTCTTTTTTTACTCGATCTTTTAACTCAAAAAATAAATATTTTAGAGCCTTTTTAAAGATAAAACAAATTAAAATGACCGCACGGTATATCAGGAACATTTGACTTTTTTCGACTTTTTTCCATACATAAAAAAAGTAGTAGTAGTAGTCATGAAAATTGGCGATTTTCGTTATGTCACCGATTTTGTTAAAACTGCTATTATTTACAAACTGTAAAGTGTAGAATAAAAAAATATAAGCCATTATAGTGCTACGAAAACAGTAATGGGCGTAGGGGACGTTTTAACCTTCATCAAAAACTAGCTACAACTAAAACAACTTCAGCTAAAAACAATAAGGATCCAAAAAATTGATTTTCTCACAAAACCAAGGTATAAAATGTATAAATGTGTATAAAACAATCTACATAAAATTTTCTACAAATACTGAAATTTTCATAATTTTTTGACTATGTTTACTATGTTTCTAGGACCTTTGAAAACGTGTAAAAAGAGCCAAAAATGGATATTTTTCGACTTTTTGTCATATACAGGGTCCGGCAAAAATACGTCGTGTTTCTGTAGCTCCTAGAATAAAAAACTTGGAAATTTTGTTTAGGTGCAAACCTAAAGTATGTACGAGAAATAAGTGTGAATTGGAATGATTTTTTTAAATTGAAAATCCTGTATATTATTGCATTTTTGGCTTTCATTCAGATCACTTTACATAATCCATATGAGTAAATATATTTCGATAGTTTCAGAGATATTAATAAATAAATAAAAATATATATTTTTCAGTCTTTGTTAAAAAAATTATTAAAAATACGCTGTGAAAACAAACCTCATTTCGACCACAAGGCCGACTAATCTATGGTTAATTATTAGACAAAGACAACAAAAAAAAATTCAGAGAATATAACCTAAGATATTTAATGTTTTTTTTAATGATTAATAAAAATACAAAAATTATAGGAAAAAATGTTGTTCTAGTTCCATATCGCGAGGAACACGTCCCAAAGTAAGTGCGACTGCTTAGTTCAGTTAAGCGATATAATTTATTTCCTGTTAGATAGCATAAATGGATGCAATCCGAAGAACTTCAGCAGTTAACTGCTTCAGAACCACTTTCTTTGGAGGAGGAATACGAAATGCAAAAGTCATGGCAAAGAGACGAAAATAGTCAGTTGCTAATTTTTTTATTTCTGTTAAAAAGTTATATTTGTTCTTTTTAGAATGTACCTTTATAGTTCTTTATAAAGAAAAATACGAAAACACTGGAGACGAAATAGGTGAAATGAATTGAAACAAACAAAAAGAGTTGTTTTTCAACTTCTCATTTATTATAGAGTCCATGATTGGCGACACAAATCTATTCTTTGCCACCCCAGATGATTGTATATGTGCCGAAGCTGAAATTATGGTAGCAGAACCGTGGGCTAGAAGTAGAAAATGTGGCTGGGAAGCAATGCTTCTTATGTTTCTATATGGCATAAAGTATTTGAGAGTTAAACAGTTTATTGTTAAAGTTTCTTCCGATAATATCCCGAGTATAAGCATGTTTCAGAAAATGGGCTTTCTTGAACTAAGCAGGAGCGAAGTATTTCAGGAAATCACTTTTAGTAAATTAGTCGACAGTACTTGGATACAATGGATTGAGATTAGTTTGAAAGGATATGAAATTATTAATAAAAGCACTAATATTTAAGATATGGGTTTAAATATACTGACTCATATGACTGAAATTTTTAATAGTATTTTATGTAAATAACCTATAATGGTGTCTTTGTCTACAATATTATGAGTGCCAAATGTGGCACTGACAACCGACTTTTAATTTCAAAATGGAAATCCAGTTAAAACCCAAATATCCACACTGTATAAAGCAAAACTACATGACCAGATTAAACGTACGGGGTCTAGAGAACGATACCGCAGACGCCCTCCGGGAGGCCATCAAGAAGATGACTTCCACCAATAACTTCAATCTCAATCTTGGACGCTGAACAAGGCTGGACACAACTAAGAGATGCGATTTATAAAACCAGCGAAGCAGTACTGGGAAAATCCAACAAATAGAAACAACCAGACTGGTTTAACAAAAAAGTTAAAAAGTGTCTGTTTTCTAATGTTTTTTATTAGTAGTACACATTTTAAGTTTTTACTTCCTATAATATAATTCCCATTAACGTTAAAAAGCGTTTCACTAAACATTATAGAAATGTGTACGAGTTACGTTACAAAATATGTGCTTTAACCCTTTTTGCGCGACGACCGCATCCTCATCCGTAGTGTAAGTTTCTACGTTATGTACCCTTACTTATTTAACTGTCTATTATTATATGGCTTTCTCGGAGATGCGAGTGATATTTGAAGTTTGAAGATGCGAGTGGTCAAGGATAGGTACCCTGGCAGCAAAAACGAGAGTTCAATTTTTAAAAGGATTATCCTAGATATTTAAAAACAAAACTGCAATGGAATTTGTAAAATTTTATGAAAAATATCACTGCTACAAATTTACCTAGATCATTATACTTACTATAGATCTCGGAAAATTTAGTGTAGAGCTTAAAGGTATAAAAATATACATATGAAAATTAAACAACTTGATTAATTCAGGACTTTCGAAATTGCTGAGGTTATGAATTGCTATAATTATGAAGATTCAGGTTGTAGAAGTGTTACAATATCTTCTATTTTGACTTGTTCAGGTTGATCTACAAGGTCCCAGTTACTGGAATTAAACATTATCCATTATCAAAAATACATTACGAACTATTAAAAAACATACTTAAAATCCAAAAGCGGAGCTTTATCATCAATTTCTATTTCTATAAGATCTCCTGGCTTTGCTATATTAGTTTCAGATAGATCGGCATTTCTGGAAACAATAAAAAAATTAAAACAATATTATTAGTAAAAGTACATTTAAAGACATACTCGAAGTCATAGTGCATGCCTTCATCCAAAGTTGGAGCGCCATCATCAATTTCCATTTTTATAAAACTTTCTGCATTTTCTTCATTCATTATAGATATAGATTCATCAATTATTCTGAAATTCATAAAATAATTAAAACGGTGAAATATGTGTCTGAACCTATTTAAATGAATAGATTTCGAAGAGATATTTTTTAACACCAGTGAGCGGCGCACAGTGGATAGGGATATAGCGGTCATAAATAGAAAAAAAATACTTTAATAAGTAATTTGTAGCCCAGCTGCTTTATTTATGGCGAAAAGAAAAATATCTATAGATTTTTCTATAATTTTAATTGAATTTTAGCAAAACGCCGGTCTAATTATGACTGCAAAAATTATTTTTTTGTAAAGCGTGTCACTTAATAATATCGGTAAAGGTACACACCTGTAGATTTACCGTTATCGCTTAGTAATGATTTCTGGTGAACTCCAAAAAATGTTTTTCTTACATTAACAGCCCCACGCCCCCTCCTTTAAAGGGTGAACGTGGGGGATGGGTTTTGGGAAATGTTTGGATTGGATGAGCATGTGAAAGGTGAAAGAGATAAGTTTATAAATTCTTTAAAAACCACTTCTTGTATCAATAGCTGTTTGTTTAGACCTTTCTTAATAAAAAAAAAATTCAAGTTCCCCCGTGAAAAAATAAAATAACAAGATACTAATTTAAAAATGGGATCCAAAAAATATATTATATGCGTGCAGACGAAGAAGTGTTTATAATTTAATTATGTTTGTAAAAAAGTTTTATTTTGTAAATCAAGTGAATTCCATACTTAAGAGAAACTTTAAACAATACTAAAATAAACCTAAAGTACCTATAAAATTAAAAAAAATATATATTTCACAAAACAAAAAAACTAAACCACCATTACAACTCTGAACGTAAAAGTAGAAAATAATATTTATGTAAGAAAACATATTCTCAACCAACTCAGTAATATGTTCTATAAAAGGAGTTCTTTGGCTTCATCATCCAGCTCTAAACATTCACTTTTCTTCCACATATGCCGAAATGCAGCCAAATAAGGGTCAGAGGATATCAGGAGACAATTAAAAACATCTTGATTTGTGGCATACCGTGAATATTTTCGACTATTAGACAGTTAAAACAAGGCACAATACGTATACGTATCTCTCGACACGTAACGCAGAAACCTACGTTACGTCTGCCGTTGCGTTGTCGTGTAAACAAGAGTTAAAGCAAGTATTTTGACGTAGGTAATGCAAATGGTACATTTATAATTCTAAATTATTTTGTGAAACAATTTATTTAATTTTAAAACTGAAAATGGATATATATTATTCCATTGATTCCAGATTAAATTTATAAAAGTTCGAAGAAAATTATAAATGGAAATTATTTTATTACAGAAAGTAGCCCTTACAACTTAAAATGCTCTTAGTAATAAAAAATATTGGAAAACAGACACAGTTATATGATTATTTATTAGATTCCATCTTTTAGAATCCTCATATGGATTTTGGCTAAGAACTAGCATTTAATTAAATAGATTCCAAAATGAGTTTATTATGATACTTAATATTTTCATACTAATTTATTGTAATAAAATATTCCCAGTTCTGTCACACTGACCCCAAAATTTATGAAATAATTACTAGCCAGTTGTGGAAACAAGGGGAGAACCACAAATGGTACAATGTGTATCCGACACACAAGCCGAAGCTACATCGGAAATCTTCGAGCCACACACGGTACACAGTTCTAGGCTCTTGCGCAATATAATTCTGTTTAGTGATGGGTCATTTAATAATTGTTACAGACCGAATCGATCGATTTATAATTTGTAATACGATAGAATAAGAACTTTTTTACTAGTTTTAATTTTCGAAAGTTTTGCAACACTAAATAATATCAAATATTTTTTTTTACTTTTTAGTATATCGGCAGACCATTTTTTGTTTATAAACAAATACATTCCTCAAACAATATTATTTGCGATAAGAGGAAGCGTCGATAGTATTTTTTTGGTATTTTGAAAACTATAAAAATATGGATAAAAACGCCGTTTAAAAAAACATGAAAAATAAATACATAATAATAATTTCAGAACTTTCTTAGTAACAGTCCAAAAGTAGAGAAAACCTTTTCTTTAAAATATAAAAAATAATAATCATCTCGGGTTTTTTAAAGCCTCCAGGAATATTTAGATTCTTATTTGCTATCACCCTTGTTTATATATTAATAGTTAGTCAATGAGCCTGTATAAGTCGATGCTGCCAACTGGTGGCAGAAATTAAAACGTAAAAAGGGGCGGAGACTATTGAATTTGGCAAAGAAGTAGGGACTAGGAATTCTTCGAATTTAATTCTCGGTAAAGAATAAAAATATCTTATCTGATTCGAACCGAATTTATACCTCAAAGCGTTATTTACATTTTTTATTTTTGGACATGGATTTATATTTATTTTGATTTTCATGGCCACTTGTTGGATACTAAAGTATTATATTAGGTATATAAATATTTTATTTTTGATGGATAAATAAAGATTTTGATTTAGATGGATAATTAAAGAATATAATATGAAACTATACCTACCTACGTCTGTAACTTTGTAAAAAGTGTGGCGGATTTAACATAATGTTTTTTTTTAAATGTAACATCCTATTTTATTTTAGATTCTGCGTAAAATTCTATTACTTTTTTTACGTATATTTCTTGTATAATGGTGTAACCTAAAACTAGTTTTATAATATTTCAATTTGTTGATGAAGAAAAAATATTAGATATTTATATGTAGATATTTAAGGTAGAGCTACAGGGTGTTCAATATATATTTTTGAAATTCGACTACGTATTTAAAATAGAAAAATATCTGCAGATTCTTTCAATGACGCAGCCTATACTGAGTGTTTTTTCAAAAGCGGTTCACCTCTATAACTTTTTTATTTTTTCAGATAAAAAAATTAAATTCGGGGTTTACCAAATTCGGAATGTTAGTAGGTATATAACATAAATCGAGATTGATTCGTATTCCGTTAGTTTCGGTCACTTCCTGTTTCACCGGAAATGTATACGAGTACAACATTTGATTTTTAAATGGTACCCTCAGTATTTTTTATACTTTATTTGATAGAAAATGACATTCTGAATAGAATGACATATATCATATGTCAACTTTTGACATTTTCAATTAAAAAAAATAGCATTTTAAAATTCAATCTAGTGTCATGGCTGTGTTAAAACCATTAATTTTTAATCAAGGAGCTTCGGAAAAATTGATTTGATCGTCTAATATTTTTTGTGTCTTTTCCTTTTTGGTACCTGGTAAATAGGTAATTTGGTACCACACACTTCGTATATCGAGTCAAACTGTCGTTACCTTTACGACCGGTTACATGTTGTTTTTTATCATGGCACTCTAGATTGTAATTTAAAATACAATTTTTTAAGTAAATATGTCAAAAGTTGACATTAAATTATTCTATTCACAATGCCATATTCTGTCAAATAAAGTAAAAAAATACCGACGGTACCATTTAAAAACCAAGTTGTAGTCATTTCCGGTGAAACAAGAAATAACCGAAACTAATTGAATACGTCAATCAAGCCACTTTTGAAAAACACCCGGTATATTATATTTTTTTCTGATAGATTTTACAAAATTCTTCAATTTCTATTAATAATGTCATATAACTATATAAATTACTTTAATGCTTAATAATAAATAATTTTTGTTTTGTCATGGCAAAACTTGTTATAGTGTAAATGAAGTAAAAGAAGGATAAAAATTGAAAAATTCAGAACAGATTGCAAGCTGTATAGAGTATAGATGTACTTAATATACTTTCTTAACAAATGTTGAAAGGTTTTGTAAAAGCACTAGAAAAAATAATAATATATAGGATCAGCCAAAAAAATCTGTTTGAACACAGTGTAGCATCTAACTCCAAGTATTTTTACATATATCTTTTTCTTCACCTCTGTAAAACACTCCTACCAAATTTGGGTAGCCCAACTTCGGAAACAACTGACAATTATGTAACATAGGAATAATTTTTTTTGCAAATACTAACGTTATTTATAAAAAAAAAGTTATAGAATTTTAGGCAGAATCGAAAATAAAATAAAAGTTATAAATAAGAGTTTTGCATTAAAAAACATGTTACATTATATCCGCCACATTTTTTGAAGCACCCATTATACTCAAAAATAATATTTGAACTGTGTCTCTTAAGATTCTCTATACCCTTTTTTTTGAATTCCCAAAACAAACGAGATAATTAACTTTATTTATTTCCTGATATCTCATTTTATAATATTTCGGAAGAATCAGTCAGGTATCTTATTTTTATAATTATTAGAAATAACTCGGATTTAAAGGATAAGGGATATGTAAGTGTATACGATAAAAAAACGGCGTCAGAGGTGACTTGGAAATTAATATCGATGTCATATATTTGTACGTAAACAAATAGACGCCGTTTTTTACGCTCATACCGCATAAGAAAACAAATTTAATAAAACAAACGCATTTATTAATATATGTATATAGATTTACATGGTATGAAAAATTCGCATTATAATCTCTGAAGGTCCTACCATGGTCCCACCAATGGTTGGTTAAAGTGGCGAGTACGACCACTTAGCAGTCACACCTATAATAATTTAATAAAATATGAATATAATAAACAAACTTATTTCTTTTAGATTTTTTAAAAGCGAGTTATATGTGTTAAGTGGTTTTTGATTATTTTAGACTAAATTCTTTAGACATATGATTATTTTAGACCAAATTGTCTGCCCACTCAAACGTCTTTCAAAATTATAATGTAGGAAATTCTTAATATGTTTTAATTGGGAATACTTTTAGAAAGTTTCATTTTCACCAAACAAAACTACGTATGTATAATAAATTGCAGTATAATCAACTATAATGCATGATATATACTGGTGGCGTCAAAACTAGATGTTGGGTTTTTCTCGATTATTTCAAAGAGAACTCCACATTTTATGACATAAACGTAGTTTTTTCCAACTTTGTTTTGAAAAATAATTTTTAAATCCAAATAATCGATATTTATACAGTAATGTCCTGTTTTGGAATACATAATTATTTTCAGCTGCAGCGATAAAATAAATAATATTTACTGATACGCTAAGTAAAAAAATAATTAGGAAATTATTTTAGACATCTAATTCTTAATTTTTGTCGCTGATAAATATGTAGATACATCACTTTTAACGACAAACCTACTAATAAAAATTGCGAAAAACAAATCATGTTTATTCTCAAAGAGACAATTTTGAGAACAATCCAATAACTATTAATCTGGGATATAGATCTTAACAAAACAAAAGTTGGATAAAAGATTTGTTGATTTATGATATAAAATACAGTGTTCCATTTGAAATAGCAAAGAAAAATATAATATATAGTTTTGACTCATCCTGTATATAATACAAAAAAAATAATATAAAGAAAATTTAATCATATAAATAATTTAGGAATTTAGCATATTTTTATATAATTATATGAAGAGAACATTACCTTAAATTAGTTCCAGTAAAAAACTTCCATATTACTTATTTTTAACTTAGAAAGGGCTTTAAATATATATTTTATTATATAAACAAAAAAATTTAATCCAAAAATGGTCAAAATGAACTCTATACGATTACGACATTATAGTATTTTCTGGAATGACAATTTTTTGACAAATTCACCAAGAAAAAATAAAAAATATAGCTTTTCTTTTGACAAACTATACAACTCTAAAGTAAATATGTATTTAAATCTACGAATCATCCTGTATATCTATAAAAATACCTCCCTGTCAAATTTACGCTACTTTTGCATGCAAGCATACCTATTTTACAAAAATATGATTTGAGTGAAAATATAAAATAGGAAATCTGATATGAAGCTTTATCTAAACACAGGGTTGAGTGTAGATAAACAATATTTTACGTTATTAATTAAGAAAAATTATAAAATACACAATATATCTGACAGTTCCAAAAAAGCAAAGTAAGAAATGAAACATAATTTATAGCATAAAATCAGTATTTTTTAAATTTTTAAGTCAACTGGCCATTATCGTTTAATCTATCTATCAATCTATCAAATTTAATGTTTATTATTAAACTTATCTCAGACTCTCTATGAGGTAAAACTCTAAGATAAAAACTCTAAAAACCAAGAGTGATTTAAAACAAATTTATATGAATTTAGAAATAAATATGAACAGTATTTACTCACCTGTAATACAGATGCTTTTTGTTTAATTAAATATATTTCAAAATATTATCCAGCAGGTACAAAATACACATTACACATCACGTAAACACAACACATAAAACTCATAAAATAATAGTTTGTAATCCAAATATTCAAAAATACTGTTTCGTTTCTTCGTGGGGGACGAAAAAATTGATTTTTTTAATTATTTAGATATGCATTAAGGTATATTTCAACTCAACAGCTTATAAATAATTATTTTTTAAGACATAACCTAAACGAAACGAAATCAGAAGTCGAGAAAGATAAACAAAACTGCCGAATTTAGAAACGAATATGACTTTTTTTCCTTTTTTCTTGTCACAGTTGAAACAAACAAGGAAAGCTATTTTCGTAAACATGCGTGAAACGTGCTAATAAGTAGCCCAATAGATGTGACCTCGCGCCCTTCCATTTTTGAACGATGGGCGGGTTTAACGGATTCCCCTCAAAGAAAATCGTAGGGGAATACAAAAATTCAGAACGGGCAAGGCGCCACCTAGAAGACGGGCTTGTACTAAGCCCTCATTGTACATCTATTTATACATAATCAAGGCTATCACTAAGCGAAAAAGACAATTAAACGATATGGGTTTAAGAGGAAAAAAAAATATGGTTACAAATTTTATTCAAAAAATTTGTTGTTTTTTTTTAAACCAAAGCTACTACTATTTAAAAAGTTTAACAGTGTGTCATATAGTTTAATTTTTCCAAAATCACTTATGGCCGCTCTTTAACATATGCAAGAGCCACTGTGCGGCGGACGAACTTATAAATAATTTACAATATAAAATTATAAAAAATAACAATAGGTACAATTTATAAAAAATTTCGTGAGGAATTCAACGAGTCAGGAGAAACTTTCGCAAGTATCGCTGTTGTCCATCGAAAATAAACCTCCCCAAAACATGTCGGAGCATCCACGTTTTTATGATGACGTAATTGATGAATTTGCAAAAAATTATAGAATAATCGAAATACATTACAAATAGGTTAATTTCTAAAAATAATTTCCCTAACTTAAAATTTCACAGCACGCCCCTGATTAAATTATTTAAACATGTATTAGTTAATATAGCGATGTAAAAGTAATTAAATAAGAAATTCATCAACTCTAATTAAAAATATACTTACTTATCAGATGTTATGCTGTTTTGAAAATGTTTTTCACGTTCCTTGTCATCAGCGCCGGTAAGGTCAACAGTACGGCTTTCACTGTAATTTAATAAGAATTAAGTAATGTAATAAAAATTACATTAATAACTTTTTCTTAGTCTACAGAGTTCTTTACGCTGCCAAAAAATAACCTTATTATTGTGATTCTTGGCTAGCTACGTTATTGCTTATGTTGTAATTTGACAAGAATTTCGGTAATAAATAATCTCTACAGTATTGCAACCTTTTAAGAAAAAAAAATCAATTTCAGCAAAATTTTGAAGATAAAACTAAACCAATAAATTAAAAATTATTGTCTGTTTGATTATAAGGAGCAGATTATATCAAAAATGTAGCCTAGATTTCCAGGTTTTAGACTTTTTATGAGCAATTCTTATAGTCTCTCCAACGAGTCAAGGAAGATTTCGACAAGCGACATCCAAAAAATGAGACAAACTACAATTTATCTGGGAATTAAAATGACAGACACAATTGTCACTGTCATGGATCCTCTCGCTGTGTAACGTTATGTTTTCTTTTGTATTTAAGTAAAACACAATATTATTCCCGAAGTTATAAACTTCTTATTTATTTAACATGCAGCTCTGTGAGTCCGCCATGTTCATTACTTTACAACAACTGAGTGCCATAGATTATATATAAAAGCTATTTCGTAATTACATAAAGTATCTGTGGTTGCCTACCCCACACGCTGGACAGACTATATCAATAAACTTACGTGAAGTCAGGATGGTTTTTGACAAGATGGTGGCGTAAAGAGGTATTTCTCGTATATTTTCTGTCGCAGATCGGACAAGTATACCACCGTCGTTCTTCCCGTGATAAGTGAACTTGCTGGTGGCTTTTTAAGTATTTGTTCTTTTTCGGTTTGTAGTCACACATGGTACATTTATAGACTCGTTTATTCAGTTCCATAGTTCTACAAATAATTTTAAAATATTACAATTATGACGGTACAGAACAGCGTTTCTTATAGCCCTATATTCTTAGCATAGAATTAATACTCCTAGAAGGCTAGTAGAGTGGGAAGTCCATCACGAAGAAAGAGAGTAAGTAATAGGGCTTGGACAGTAACACGCTTGCGCGGGCAGATACAAGGTATTTTATTGCATACAGTTTCTAGGTAACACTGTTGCCAAATGACGAAAAAGCTTCTGCTTTACGTGAATTTTAATTATCCAAGGAAAAAAACAAATACCAAAACTAAGCATATTCCCTAAATATTTTAGTTAATATGATTTTTTTCACAGTTTTCGCCTGGAAGTTTTCATTAAAAGTAAATAAAAATTAAGAATGTTGTGCTTCTCAAAGACGCGAAACGATGCTTAATAATTATAATACCGTATGATCGAGAAAAAACGGCGTCAACGATGGCTATGAAATGAAGATCGCTGTCATTTTATATGTAAATTTATATGGGAAATGTCATTGATTGCCATTTCCCAGCCAACTGGACGCCGTTTTTTTGTCGATCATACGGTATAATTTAATAATATAATATTTTTAAGACAGATATATTAATATTATGTAATAAGTTTGTATAGAAAATTTTGAATTTGTTAAAAATGTATGTATACATAAAGTTTACGAGTATAATACATTTGAAATTTAGTCTGGGGTTTTCACTAAAAAACTTACTTTTTTAATTACATTAGTTTGGTTTGGTAGGTGGTAATATAAACAAGAAAACTGATGACATGTTGGCAAATATCAATCACTATGATAGCTACTATAATCTACTACTATGATAGTTACTATATATCACTTCTTAATATCTATCACTTCTCAATAAAAATCGTTTTATTTTTAATTAGATATCTCATAAGGACTTCAACTATGTAAAGGAAATAAAAGAGAAAATAAAATTTTTAAGCTTGTTATTTTTAAACAAAACAAATATTACCCATCTTTAGTGATTGATTAAAATAAATATGGAAAACAAAGACCACCCAACTAAGTTTTGACGCCCGAATGAAAATCACCTATTCTATTTTTAGCCATTTTTATTGTGGTGTAGCGCTGAAAATCAGAATTTTATAACATAGTAACAGTATCGGATCGTTTGGCATCAATGTTAAAATATCGAACATCGCTGGAAAATATCGCTGGAAACATCGATAGACAGCGCCCGACACCAAGAACAGTTAACCTAATAGGACTGCTCATTCAGCCAAAAGTGTCCGCCAGGTGCATGCGAAAACTACTCGCTTTGTGACGTCATTGTAGCCCTTGTCATGGTTATTAGTCCTTATCCGGCAACCAATAATACACACACGTGCATTATTGGTTACCGAATGCAAAACGTTCATTATTTAGTTTATTTATTTAAACACCTTATATGTATGCAGTATAGAAAATTAACTGTATAAATCGTATTAAATACTCGGATAATGCATTTTTAAGAACAGCAGTTCCCAGCATCACCTTTTGCAAGTATTCTTTTTAGAGTACTTCCATATTTTGCTTTAAAATAATTAATAAACAAAATCGTGCGCACTTAGTATGCACTTTGTCACAATCCACAACACAAAATGAACGTATTTATACACTCTATAGCTCTAAAAACTTTAAAGACACCTTTTTCACATTTAACATTGACAAAATAATTAACTCAAAATTTCTCAGCTGTTATTTTTATAAGTTTACCATAGGCAACTAATAATACACACTATCATGACAAGGCCACGAAGGCTTTGACAAGGGCTACAATGACGTCACAACTGTCAGCTGAAGCGCGGGAAGAGGCGAACGTACGTCTTATGAGGATGAGCAATCCTATTAGTTTACCGTTCTTGGCCCGACACTACTTCGTGTAGTAAGCATGCGCAGTAGTTACCTATCCCTATCGTTTCTCTCTTATACATAGACTTGTTGTCTTCGCCTCTGTTGTTTTTCTTCATGAGTACATCTGATTATGTGCTGTTATATACTAGCCTTCTAGGAGTATTAATTCTATGATTCTTACAGTGCCAGCGACATAGAACAGAACAGACTCTCGGGAATGTACGAAACCGTGTTTCAAAACAAAAGAACAGAATGTACGCAATCAGTGTATCAAAACAAAAGCGAAAACCTTTTAAGGGATGATTTCTTAGTAAATATAAAGGGGATTTCGTTATACTAAGGGTAAAAAAAGGGCTGACAAAGGTTAGTTTTGGGTCGAGATTTACGTATGTAAGAAGAGTAGAATGCGTTTATAATGTACTAAACAAAGAGAGAACAGTAAAAACGTTGCCAAACGTATGAAATAAACGTGAATAAACCGAGAAACTGTGCACATTGCTAAGAGAGGTGGAAGGGGATACAGCAGATTCGTCGCAGTCGACCGGTCGACCCAATGGCAATCAGTACTTAAAATTCTAGGGAGAGGTGTTGGTGTCATCACGATCTAATTACGTCTCGTGATACTTTATTTGTTTATTTATTAACGAGTCGTTCTAATTGTTCCTATAGCTTAAAGTTGTTTAACTGCAAGTTAAAAACACTTGCCCTTTTGGTAAAAATAAGTGGAATTGAGTTGGTGTTCGACAGCGGTCGCGCTATTAGAACTCTGAATTTAAAAATCGATATCTCGAAATCCATCAGAAATAATTGATCGCAGTTTTATTCAAAAACTTTCTTAATATTTCTGCTACATTTTCTTCGCTGACAGTATGTGAAAATCTTTATAAATAAATCTCTATAAAAAATCTTTATAAATCTTTATAAATAAAAAAATACACCATTGCTATGCTCTAAAAGTAAATAGACGTTTTTTTTTAACTAACCTATCGATTTTTTCTTATTTAAACATCTTGTAAAATATCCGAACTTCAAAATAACACAAGAAGTTTCGATAACTAATGTGGTTCTTGAGTTATCGCGTGTTGTGTTAAAAAGTTGAGTTTCTAAATTAACGCGATTACTGACGTTTTCTCGTTATAAAAAAATGGACACCTTAACGATATCCTTATAATTCCATTTCAGATGCTCAGAAGCATAGATAATGATTTTATCTAGTTATTTCTTCGAAAAAAAAGAGTCTTTTGAAAATAAGCGGTTCGCGATCGTAATTTTACTTTATTTGATAGGGAAAGGCGTACCGGAAAAATGTAGCAACGCCGCAACAGCACACCGTCGCATTTCTCTCACTCCGACTTAATAAGATCCTTATGCGATGTACTTCCACACATGTAAATACCGACCAAAAAGTAAGAGTTGCCAGCACAGTATAAACGTTGCATAACAGTAAAAAATGACATTTGCAGAACGAGAGATAATTTGATATTTTTCCGTGTCATTCCATATTTATTTATAAATTGTTTGTGCTTGTGTTTTAGAAAATGCCTTTCTCTACTTAAACTGTTCCACTAATTTATTAAATATCATACTCATGAAAATGTTATAAATATTAGGTGTTAAAAAAATTAAAAAAAAACAAATAAGACACTTACGGCTCCAACTTATCATGGGATGTTACGCTGTTTTGAACACGTTCTTCTTGTTCATTGCCTTCCGCGCCGGTAAGTTCAACAGTACGACCTTCACTGTAATTTAATAAGAATTAGATTAATAATTTTTCTCAGTCTACAGTCTACAGAGTATTTTTATGCTGCGAGAAAGTGGAAAATATGTTAGAAAGAAAGAACACCTGGAAATAACCTTATTATTGTAATCATTGGCTAGCAACGTTATTGGTTATGCTGTAATTTGACAAAAAATTTCGGTAATAAACTTTGAATAAAAGATTAAAGAAGGAGCATATCAAAAATCTTAGATCGAACGCAACGGGGCCCTAAAATGGCCGACTTAAATTCCGGTTTATCAGTGCCATTCTAATTTTATTCAAAACGTGTAAAAATATGATGTAGGGTAGACGTGGGGTAGACACAATAATTTGCTGTTTTATTTTACGTTGTGAATAAATGTTGGTAGTTAATAAAATTGTTATAAAAATATATAATTCTAATAAAAATAGATAAGTTACAATAATTATTTATTAACATAAACATCCCATACGTAAGTCAAATTGACGTATCTAAATTCTTTGTCATCTAATCTTTGACAAGCAGTAAATAAAAGCAAAGATGCAAGAAAAAGTATAATTACCTAGTTAATTTTAAGTGAATCTCATAAATGATCGGTTTACTACACGTATGTATATTACGTTTACTAGCGAAAAGTTATTCCATTATTTCCCACGATTTTTGACCGAGATCTACCGTGCGCTACACAACCAACTAATTTACAGTCTTTTTCGATAAATCACAATAGTGTCACTGTTAATTTAAGTTCTGCCACAATTTCCTTCTAGATTTACTACCTTTAAACAACTATCAGTAGTAGAATAAATAATAAATAACATAAAATAAGATTACTGAGCTTATGTATTTTAACAAATCCACAAAATTCTAAAACAAATTCAAATGTATCAAATAAGTCGTCAAATAGAACTGTCAAGGATCCCCACCCTAGAGCCCTTTGTCCGTCTACCATGCATGAATACATGGATAGCATTATACTCCTTCCTTAATCTTTTTATTCACAGGTAGTAAATAATCTCTACAGATATTTGAACCTTTTACGAAAAAAAAAATTCAGCAAAATTTTGAAAATAAAACCAAACCAATGAATTACAAAGTATTGTCTGTTTGATTATAAGGAGCCAAGAATCTAACCATTTAGTCTAGGTTACCAGGGTTTAGATTGTTTATGCGTAATAATTCTTATATTATGTCTGTCCAACAAGTCAGGGAACATTTCGACACAAGACATCAAAAATTAAACAGAAATTACAATTTGCCTGTGAATTAAAATCACGTACACAATTGTCACTGTCATGGATCCTCTCGTTGGACAGACTAAAAAAATAAAAACAAAAACAAATAAGAAACTTACGTCTCTAACTCATCATCGGATGTTACGCTGTTTTGAACATGTTCTTCTTGTTCACTGCCTTCCGCGCCGGTATGTTCAACAGTACGGTCTTCGCTGTAATTTTATAAGAATTAGATTAATAATTTTTTCTGTCTACAGAGTATTTTTATGCTGCCAGAAAGTGGAAAATATTTTAGAAAGAACGAACACTTGGAAATAACCTTATTATGGTAATCCTTGACTAGCAACGTTATTGGTTATGCTGTAATTTGACAAAAAATTCGGTAATAAACTTTGAATAAAAGATTAAAGAAGGAGCATATCAAAAATCTTAGATCGAACGCAACGGGCCCCTAAAATGGCCGACTTAAATTCCGGTTTATCAGTGCCATTCTAATTTTATTCAAAACGTGTAAAAATATGATGTAGGGTAGACGTGGGGTAGACTCAATAATTTGCTGTTTTATTTTACGTTGTGAATAAATGTTGGTAGTTAATAAAATTGTTATAAAAATATATAATTCTAATAAAAATAGATAAGTTACAATAATTATTTATTAACATAAACATCCCATACGTAACTCAAATTGACGTATCTAAATTCTTTGTCATCTAATCTTTGACAAGTAGTAAATAAAAGCAAAGATGCAAGAAAAAGTATAATTACCTAGTTAATTTTAAGTGAATCTCATAAATGATCGGTTTACTACACGTATGTATATTACGCTTACTAGCGAAAAGTTATTCAATTATTTCCCACGATTTTTGACCGAGATCTACCGTGCGCTACACAACCAACTAATTTACAGTCTTTTTCGATAAATCACAATAGTGTCACTGTTAATTTAAGTTCTGCCACAATTTCCTTCTAGATTTACTACCTTTAAACAACTATCAGTAGTAGAATAAATAATAAATAACATAAAATAAGCTTACTGAGCTTATGTATTTTAACAAATCCACAAAATTCTAAAACAAATTCAAATGTATCAAATAAGTCGTCAAACAGAACTGTCAAGGATCTTTACCCTAGAGCCCTTTGTCCGTCTACCATGCATGAATACATGGATAGCATTATACTCCTTCCTTAATCTTTTTATTCACAGGTAATAAATAATCTCTACAGATATTTGAACCTTTTACGAAAAAAAAAAAAATTCAGCAAAATTTTGAAAATAAAACCAAACCAATGAATTACAAAGTATTGTCTGTTTGATTATAAGGAGCCAAGAATCTAACCATTTAGTCTAGGTTACCAGGGTTTAGATTGTTTATGCGTAATTCTTATATTATAGTCTGTCCAACAAGTCAGGGAAGATTTCGACATATGACATAAAAAATAAAACAGAAATTACAATTTGACTGTGAATTAAAATCACGTACAAAATTGTCACTGTCATGGATCCTCTCGTTGGACAGACTAAAAAAAAAACAACAAAAACAAATATGAAACTTACGTCTCTAACTCGCCATCGGATGTTACGCTGTTTTGAACATGTTCTTCTTGTTCATTGTCTTCCGCGCCGGTATGTTCAACAGTACGGCCTTCACTGTAATTTTATAAGAATTAGATTAATAATTTTTTCTGTCTACAGAGTTTTTTATGCTGCTAGAAAGTGGAAAATATTTTAGAAAGAAAGAACACCTGGAAATAACCTTATTATGGTAATCCTTGGCTAGCAACGTTATTGGTTATGGTGTAATTTGACAAAAATTTCGGAAATAAACTTTGAATAAAAGATTAAGGAAGGAGCATATCAAAAATCTTAGATCGAACGCGATGGGCTCCTAAAATGGCCGACTTAAATTCCGGTTTAACAGTGCCATTCTAATTTTATTCAAAACGTGTAAAAATATGATGTAGGGTAGACGTGGAGTAGACTCAATAATTTGTTTTTTTTTGTCGTTGTGAATAAATGTCGGTTATAATAATTATTTATTAACACAAACATCCGATATGCTACTGAAGCAGGTAAGTCAAAATGACTTATCTAAATTCTTTGACATCTAATCTTTGACAAGTAGTAAATAAAAGCAAAAATGCAAGAAAAAATATATATAATTAGTTAATTTTAAGTGAATTTCATAAATGATCGGTTTACTACACGTATACAGACCGGACCACCGTAGTAGTAACATAGGCAGAACCGGACGAATTAGCGTATACCGGTCCGCCGGATAAAAAGCAGGCGAAAAAATGCGATAAAATAAAAATAGGTAGATATGTGATAAGAATGTTTCAGAATTTGTATTTATTCGTGTTTTAATAGCCTAAACGAATACATAGATTCTCGCGACAGTTCTCGTGTAAAATTTATTTTTTAAGTAAAATGATGGATGTTTACGAAGTTCGTGAGAAAATTCAAATTGTAAAATGGTATTTCCAAAATGGGTCTTATCGGAATATACAAACAATTTTTCCACAAACTTTTGTAAACAGGCCAATTCCATCTTTACCTACTGTATCAAGAGTTATTAATAATTTTGACACCCCTTTTTTTTCTTAAAAACTTTTGTGTTTTTGTGTTCCCACAAAAACACAATCCCACAAGCCTGACGTGTTGATTAATAAAGAACAGGAGTTAAAACAAGTGTTCATTTGTGCTACCGCGGATCAAAATCCTACGTTTTCAAGTAATCAAATTGCTGAGGTGCTTGTCCTGCCCACAATGCCCGTATTGTTCAAGAATATTTGAACAATACTTTTCCCAACCGTTTAATTAGTGGATATGGAACTATCTTGTGGCCCGCTAGATCACCAGATCTTTCTCCCAATAACTTATTTTTGTGGGGTTATGTAAAATCCAAAGTATATGGTCATAATAGGGCTAATAATCTGGATGAGTTTCAAGTAAAAATACGAGAGGCTTCCCAAACTATTAGCCCTAATATGTTAGCCAATGTCAGACGGGGATTTTACGACCGCCTAGGCTTCTATCTAGCACAAGAAGATGGTCTTTTTGAACACTTGTTATAACTTTTTCTTATTTAGAGTAATATTTTAGTTTTTTTTTGGGTTTAGAGAATTTATTTATTTTTAGTTTTGGCTTGTAAACACACTCAAATAATAAATATTTAAGTATTTTTATTTTAAATGTTACCTTAAGTGAAGGTAAACACTTAAAATGAAAATAATAAATACTCGGTCGTATTCCTAGTCTGTCACGACCGACCCGTCCAAGCACAACTGCAACTGCGTACTGCCTGACCAGCCGACTAGCCGGCAATCTGGAGTACGAACGCAAAACGGATAAACGTAAATTCGTCCGGCAACTTGCTATGTTACTAGTAGCCTGGTCTTCTCTGTATATATTATATTATAGTAACTTACTAGCGAAAAGTTATTCCATTATTTCCCTCGATTTTTGACCGAAATCTACCATGCGCTACACAACCAATTATTTTAGTCTTTTTTCGATAAGTCGCAATAGTGTCACTGTTAATTTAAGTTCTGCCGCGATTCCCTTCTAGATTTACTACCTTTAAACAACTATCAGTAGTAAAATAAATAATAAATAACATAAAATAAGCATATAACATATAAAAATATATAAAAACATAAATAACCTATAAATGAGCTTATTTTGACAAATCTACAAAATTTCAAAACAAATTCAAATGTGTCAAACGAGTCGTCAAACAGAACTGTCAAGGATCCCCACCCTAGAGCCCTTTGTCCGTTCACCATGCCTGAATACATGGATAGCATTATACTCCTTCCTTAATCTTTTTATTCAAAGGTAATAAATAATCTCTACAGATATTTCAACCTTTTATGAAAAAAAAATAAATTTCAGCAAAATTTTGAAAATAAAACCGAACCAATGAAATACAAATTATTGTCTGCTTGATTATAAAGAGCCAAGAATCTCTAACCATTTAGTCTAGGTTACCAGGGTTTAGATTGTTTATGAGTAATAATTCTTATATTATAGTCTGTCCAACAAGTCAGGGAAGATTTCGACAGACGACATCAAAAATAAAACAGAAATTACAATTTGACTGTGATTTAAAATCACGTACACAATTGTCACTGTCATGGATCCTCTCGTTGGACAGACTATATTAATAAACTTACGTGAAGTCACGGTGATTTCCGACAAGATGATAGTTTAAGCTGATCTTTGTCGTATATTTTCTGTCGCAGATCGGACAAGTAAACCACCGTCGTTCTTCCCGTGGTAAGTGAACTTGCTGGTGGCTTTTTAAGTATTTGTTCTTTATCGTTTGGTAGTCACACATGGTACATTTATAGACCCGTTTCTCCACTTCATTAGTTCTACTAATAATTTTAAAATATTACAGTTTTATGACGATACAAAATAGGTATATACAGGGTGCTACAAATTCGAAGTACGAGATTTGGTATCTCGGAAACCGTATTAGATACGGAGATAATTAAATGTGGAATGTAATAAGTAATCTCTACAGATATTTCAACCTTTTTAGAAAAAAAAAACAATTTCAGCAAAATTTTGAAGATAAAACTAAACCAATAAATTAAAAATCATTGTCTGTTTGATTATAAGGAGCAGATTATAACAAAAATGTAGCCTAGATTTCCAAATTTTAGACTTTTTATGAACAATTCTTATAGTCTCTCCAACGAGTCAAGGAAGATTTCGACAGCGACATCCAAGAAATGAGACAAACTACAATTTATCTGGGAATTAAAATGACAGACACAATTGTCACTGTCATGGATCCTCTCGCTGGACAGACTATATCAATAAACTTACATGAAGTCAGGATGGTTTTTGACAAGATGGTGGCGTAAATGGACATTTCTCGCATATTTTCTGTCGCAGATCGGACAAGTATACCAACGTCGTTCTTCCCGTGGTAAGTGAACTTGCTGGTGGCTTTTTAAGTATTTGTTCTTTATCGTTTGGTAGTCACACATGGTACATTTATAGACCCGTTTATTCAGTTCCATAGTCCTACTAATAATTTTAAAATATTACAATTATGACGGTACAGAACAGGGTTTCTTATAGCCCTATATTCTTAGCATAGAATTAATACTCCTAGAAGGCTAGTAGAGTGAGATGTCCATCATGAAGAAAGAGAGTAAGTAATAAGGTTTGGACAATAACACGCTTGCGTGGGCAGATACAAGGTATTTTGTTGCATACAGTTTTCTAGGTAACACTGTTGCCAAATAATGAAAAAGCTACTGCTTTACGTGAATTTTAATTAGCCAAGGAAAAAAACAAATACCAAAACTAAGCATATTCCCTACATTTTAGTTAATATGAATTTTTTCACAGTTTTCGCCTGGAAGTTTTCATTAAAAGTAAATAAAAATTAAGAATGTTGTGCTTCTCAAAGACGCGAAACGGTCTACTAACATCGATGCTTAATAATTATAATATCATTTAATAATATAATATTTTTAAGACAGATATATTAATATTATGTAATAAGTTAGTATAGAAAATTTCGAATTTGTTAAAAATGTATGTATACATTTACATAAGTTTACGAGTATAATACATTTGAAATTTAGTCTGGGGTTTTCACTAAAAAACTTATTTTTTTAATTACATTAGTTTGGTTTCGTAGGTGGTAATATAAACAAGAAAACTGATGACATGTTGGCAAATATCAATCACTATAATAGCTACTATAATACTATATAACACTTCTTAATATCTATCACTTCTCAATAAAAATTGTTTTATTTTTATCTCATAAGGACATCAACAATGTAAAGGAAATAAAAGAGAAAATAAAATTTTTAAGCTTGTTATTTTTCAACAAAACAAATATTACCCATCTTTAGTGATTGATTAAAATAAATATGGAAAACAAAGACCCAACTAAGTTTTGACGCGTTTTGAGAAAAATTAAAATCGCCTATTCTATTTTAGCCATTTTTATTGTGGTGTAGCGCTGAAAATCAGAATTTTATAACATAGTAACAGTATCGGACCGTTTGGCATCAATGTTAAAATATCGAACATCGCTGGCGAAACATCGATAAACACCGCCCGACAATACTTCGTATAGTAAGCATGCGCAGTAGTTACCTATCCCTATCGTTTCTCTCTTATACATAGACTTGTTGTCTTCGCCTCTGTTGTTTTTCTTCATGAGTACATCTGATTATGTACTGTTATATAGGGGTATTAATTCTATGATTCTTACAGTGCCAGCGACATCTCTCGAGAATGTACGAAACAGTGTTTCAAAACAAAAGAACAGAATGTACGCAATCAGTGTTTCAAAACAAAAGCGAAAACCTTTTAAGGGATGATTTCTTAGTAAATATAAAGAGGAGTTTGTTATACTAAGGGTAAAAAAAGGGCTGGCAAAGGTTAGTTTTGGGTCGAGATTTACGTATGTAAGAAGAGTACAATGGGTTTATAATGTACTAAAAAAAGAGAGAACAGTAAAAACGTTGCCAAACGTATGAAATAAACGTGAATAAACCGAGAAACTGTGCACATTGCTAAGAGTCGACATTGCTATTGGTCGACCCAATGGCAATTAGTACTTAACATTCTAGGGAGAGGTGTACATCATGCGTTCTGTCTCACGATCTAATTACGTCTCGTGATACTTTATTTGTTTATTTATTAACGAGTCGTTCTAATTGTTCCTATAGCTTAAAATTGTTTAACTGTAAGTTAAAAACACTTCCACGTTTGGTAAAAATAAGTGGAATTGAGTTGTTGTTCGTCAGCGGTCGCGCTATTAGAACTCTGAATTTAAAAATCGATATCTCGAAATCCATCAGAAATAATTGATCGTAGTTTTATTCAAAAACTTTCTTAATATTTCTGCTAAATTTTCTTCGCTGACAGTATGTGAAAATCTTTATAAATAAATCTCTATAAAAAAATCTTTATAGATCTTTATAAATAAAAAATTACACCATTGCCGGAAATTGCTATGCACTAAAAGTAAATGGACGTTTTTTTTAAACTAACCTATCGATTTTTTCTTATTTAAACAGCTTGTAAAAGATCCGAACTTCAAAATAACAAAATAAGTTTCAATATTTAATGTGGTTCTTGAGTTATCGCGTGTTGTGTTAAAAAGTTGAGTTTCTAAATTAACACGAAAAATGTAGCAACGTCGCAACAGCACACCGTCGCATTTCTCTCACTCCGACTTAATAAGATCCTTATGCTATGTACTGCCACACATGTAAATACCGACCAAAAAGTAAGAGTTGCCAGCACAATATAAACGTTGCATTGACAGTAAAAAATGACATTTGCAGAGCGAGAGATAATTTGATATTTTTCCGTGTCATTCCATATTTATTTATAAATTGTTTGTGCTTGTGTTTTAGAAAATGCCTTTCTCTACTTAAACTGTTCCACTAATTTATTAAATATCATACCCATGAAAATGTTATAAATATTAGGTGTTAAAAAAATAAAAAAAAAACAAATAAGACACTTACGGCTCCAACTTATCATGGGATGTTACGCTGTTTTGAATATGTTCTTCTTGTTCATTGCCTTCCGCGCCAGTAAGTTCAACAGTACGACCTTCACTGTAATTTAATAAGAATTAGATTAATAATTTTTCTCAGTCTACAGAGTATTTTTATGCTGCCAGAAAGTGGAAAATATGTTAGAAAGAACACATGGAAATAACCTTATTATTGTAATCCTTGGCTAGCAACGTTATTGGTTATGCTGTAAAATTTTGGTAATAAACTTTGAATAAAAGATTAAAGAAGGAGCATATCAAAAATCTTAGATCGAACGCAACGGGCTCCTAAAATGGCCGACTTAAATTCCGGTTTATCAGTGCTGTTCTAATTTTATTCAAAACGTGTAAAAATATGATGTAGGGTAGACGTGGGGTAGACTCAATAATTTGCTGTTTTATTTTACGTTGTGAATAAATGTTGTTAGTTAATAAAATTGTTATAAAAATATATAATTCTAATAAAAATAGATAAGTTACAATAATTATTTATTAACACAAACATCCGATACGTAAGTCAAATTGACGTATCTAAATTCTTTGACATCTAACCTTTGACAAGTAGTAAATAAAAGCAAAGATGCAAGAAAAAGTATAATTACCTAGTTAATTTTAAGTGAATTTCATAAATGATCGGTTTACTACACGTATGTATATTACGCTTACTAGCGAAAAGTTATTCCATTATTTCCCACGATTTTTGACCGAGATCTACCGTGCGCTACACAACCAACTAATTTACAGTCTTTTTCGATAAATCACAATAGTGTCACTAGTAGTAATGTCACTAGTAGTCATCAGTAGTAGAATAAATAATAAATAACATAAAATAAGCTTACTGAGCTTATGTATTTTAACAAATCCACAAAATTTCAAAACAAATTCAAATGTATCAAATAAGTCGTCAAACAGAACTGTGAAGGATCCCCACCCTAGAGCCCTTTGTCCGTCTACCATGCATGAATGCATGGACAGCATTATACTCCTTCCTTAATCTTTTTATTCAAAGGTAATAAATAATCTCTACAGATATTTCAACCTTTTCCGTAAAAAAATAAATTTCAGCAAAATTTTGAAAATAAAACTAAACCAATGAATTACAAATTATTGTCTGCTTGATTATAAGGAGCCAAGAATCTCTAACCATTTAGTCTAGGTTACCAGGGTTTAGATTGTTTATGCGTAATAATTCTTATATTATAGTCTGTCCAACAAGTCAGGGAAGATTTCGACAGACGACATCAAAAATAAAACAGAAATTACAATTTGACTGTGAATTAAAATCACGTACACAATTGTCACTGTCATGGATCCTCTCGTTGGACAGACTATATTAATAAACTTACGTGAAGTCACGGTGATTTCCGACAAGATAATAGTTTAAGCTGATCTTTGTCGTATATTTTTTGTCGCAGAGCGGACAAGTAAACAACTGTCGTTCTTCCCGTGTTAAGTGAATTTGCTGGTGTCGTTTTAAGTCTTTTTTTTAACAGTAGTTTGGTAGCCACACACGGTACATTCATAGACCCGTTTATCCACTTCAATAATTCTAATAATTTTAAAATTTTACAGTTTTATGACGATACAAAATAGGCATATACAGGGTGCTACAAATTCGAGGTACGAGCATTAGTATCTCGGAAATCGTATTAGATACGAAGATAATTAAATGGGGTAAAGTTGCGTCTTGGGATGTTCGCCAACATGGTATCAAAAAAGTTTCAAACATTTCAAGGATTGCTGAGTTTTTTGAGAAAAACGGATTTTTTTGAAAATAAATTTTATTTTTTCCTCAGGTTACTTTTCAGCAAAATTTTGAAAATAAAACGAAACCAATGAATTACAAATTATTGTCTGTTTGATCATAAGAAGCCAAGAAACTCTAACCATTTAATATAATGTCATTTTAACAGAACGTCAACGGTTTCTTGTAGACGTATCTGTTTTAAAAAGTAAAGTGTTCTCGAATAGTTCAATTTAAATATTTTAAATAGTTTTTTTCTTTATTCTTTGTATTTTTTTTTGCTTCAGACGACGGAAACAGAAAAACTTTCCGAAACGTTAAGCATTTTTTTCTTTGTTAGGCAAGTTATTATAACTGTAAACATAACTTCTGACAAGCAGCGTCCGTTTAGGTTTAACGCAGAAGTGTTTACAAAAAATAACTATTTTATTTTGTAGATTTTTCTTGCAGTGCAGTGGCGAAATACCCATAAAGAATTTTTTTGGAGAGATGAATCCGCCACATAGCTATAGACATTTTCTAACCATTTAGTCTAGGTTACTAGGGTTTAGATTGTTTATGCCTAATTCTTATATTATAGTCTGTCCAACAAGTCAGGGAAGATTTCGACATACAACATAAAAAATAAAACAGAAATTACAATTTGCCTGTGAATTAAAATCACGTACACAATTGTCACTGTCATGGATCCTCTCGTTGGACAGACTAAAAAAATAAAAACAAAAACAAATAAGAAACTTACGGCTCTAACTCATCATCGGATATTACGCTGTATTGAACATGTTCTTCTTGTTCATTGCCTTCCGCGCCGGTATGTTCAACGGTACGGCCTTCACTGTAATTTTATAAGAATTAGATTAATAATTTTTCTCAGTCTACAGAGTTTTTTATGATGCCAGAAAGTGGCAAATATGTTAGAAAGAAAGAACACCTAGAAATAACCTTATTATTATAATCCTTGGCTAGCAACGTTATTGGTTATGCTGTAATTTGACAAAAAATTCGGAAATAAACTTTGAATAAAAGATTAAGGAAGGAGCATATCAAAAATCTTAGATCGAACGCAACGGGCCCCTAAAATGGCCGACTTAAATTCCGGTTTATCAGTGGCGTTCTAATTTTATTCAAAACGTGTAAAAATATGATGTAGGGTGGACGTGGGGTAGACTCAATAATTTGTTGATTTATTTTACGTTGTGAATAAATGTTGGTAGTTATTAAAATTGTTATAAATATATATAATTGTAATAAAAATAGATAAAAACTAAAAAGGTCCGATTAAATTAATATCTCCGAAACTAAAGCTCCAAGAAAAGTCGTAATATATCTACAAATTCATTTACCTACTAGTAGATATAAAAAGCATTTTTGGTAAACTCTTTCTCAAATAGTTTCTGAAAAATAAAATTAATTTTCTTAAAAAGGTCCGATTAAATTAATATCTCCGAAACTAAAGTTCCAAGAAAAGTCGTAATATATCTACAAATTCATTTATCCACTAGTAGATATAAAAAGCATTTTTGGTAAACTCTGTCTCAAATAGTTTCTGAAAAATAAAATTAATTTTCTTAAAAGGTCCGTTTAAATTAATATCTCCGAAACTAAAGTTCCAAGAAAATTTGTAATATATCTAGAAATTCATTTACCCACTAGTAGATATAAAAAGCATTTTTGGTAAACTCTGTCTCAAATAGTTTCTGAAAAATAAAATTAATTTTCTTAAAAAGGTCCGATTAAATTAATATCTCCGAAACTAAAGTTCCAGGAAAAGTCGTAATATTTCTACAAATTCATTTACCCACTAGTAGATATAAAAAGCATATTTGGTAAACTCTTTCTCAAATAGTTTCTGAAAAATAAAATTAATTTTCTTAAAAAGGTCCGATTAAATTAATATCTCTGAAACTAAAGTTCCAAGAAAAGTCGTAATATATCTACAAATTCATTTACCCACTAGTAGATATAAAAAGCATTTTTGGTAAACTCTGTCTCTAATAGTTTCTGAAAAATAAAATTAATTTTCTTAAAAAGGTCCGATTAAATTAATATCTCCGAAACTAAAGTTCCAGGAAAAGTCGTAATATTTCTACAAATTCATTTACCCACTAGTAGATATAAAAAGCATTTTTGGTAAACTCTGTCTCAAATAGTTTCTGAAAAATAAAATTAATTTTCTTAAAAAGGTCCGATTAAATTAATATCTCCGAAACTAAAGTTCCAAGAAAAGTCGTAATATATCTACAAATTCATTTACCCACTAGTAGATATAAAAAGCATTTTTGGTAAACTCTGTCTCTAATAATTTCTGAAAAATAAAATTAATTTTCTTAAAAAGGGCCGATTAAATTAATATCTCCGAAACTAAAGTTCCAGGAAAAGTCGTAATATTTCTACAAATTCATTTACCCACTAGTAGATATAAAAAGCATTTTTGGTAAACTCTGTCTCAAATAGTTTCTGAAAAATAAAATTAATTTTCTTAAAAAGGTCCCATTAAACCAGTGATTCCCAAAGTGGTCCAGGTGGACCCCCAGGGGTCCACGGGAGACTTGCTGGGGGTCTACGTAGGCGTGAACAAAAAATGGGGGTCCATAAGATGTTAATGGGGGTCCACGAAAATTTATCTGCTTTTGATAGTAAAGAGCAAAAATGTAAGCATAGTTTTTATAAGGGCCTACCTACATTGTTTTAAGTACCTATCTAAGCAGATAATATTTTAATAAGGCAAGCGACTGTTACTTGTCCAAACTTGCGTATTCGATATTACGTACAATTTCGTGTACAGACTTGCAAAGCGCTATCCGCCCGACAATGCTTAATGCTTGTTCAGACATGAACTTGATCACCACTATAAATACTTGATGCCAAAAGGCAAACGCATTCATTTGTTTCCGGAATTTCGAAAAAAAGGCGGAATTTGGAAAAAAAGTTGTGAGAAAATTTATATCTGTGTTTGCTAGTGCCGGAGAAAAGTAAGTAACCTACCTTTTTTTGTTATAGTACTTAAGTATTTTGTTTACGTGTACTAGTCGGTTGATCACAACGGCCTGTATAGATAGGTAACTTAGTAACTTACAGATATTTTAATTGTCCTCTTTCGATTTGAAGACAAACACAGCACGTTTTATTCAATTGTTTTTCACGAGAGAAACACTGCCTCTCTAAAAAGGCCGAATAAGCAATATTGCAGAGCAATTAATTTTGTAATTTTTCTTGCAAATAACTACTAATTTTATAAAACAGTAATTTCATAATCATTTTAAATTGGTTTTGAAGTAACTATTTTATCAAAACTATTCCTTTCGGAAAGAGCGAGCGGTGCGCGGGCGACGGGAAAAAGGGCGGGGCTTGGACTTCGATGCCAGTTTGTCACGTTTTAACAATGAAGCCGCAGACAAAAATACGCAAATACACGGAGCGCGTGAACTCATTGATTTAATAAAATGTTAGTTATCGTTTTTATGGACAATTTTGGGATTTCGACTTTTATTTTTCCTACACAAATATGATCAGTATTCGATACTGAGTACACCAATTTTATTTATACTATTAAAAATTAGTGGTAAATTATGTACTTTAAAATTGATACCGTTTTGTGAAAACGTCTGTATTTGTCTCAGCGGTTTATTAGTTGGTCCCTTTACAAGCCGTAATTCTATTTCCGCGTGCTGACAAGGGCTGACAAAAGGCTGCGGTGTGATACCTATATTCAGAAAAAAACTTGGTTACTAAAACATTTTTTTTACAGGTAAGGTAACTGACACGAAACATGGCTACAGCAAAGAAAAAATGTCGACAATATAGTATCGATTATTTGAAATATGGTTTTGTTCCATCAGAGGCAGACAAACAATTGCCCATGTGCCTATTATGCAACAAAGTTTTGAGCAATGACTCTATGAAACCATCAAAGCTCGAAGATCATCTAAAAATACTGATAAAATAGGTAAAGATTTAAAATATTTTCAAACATTGAAAGAAAAATATGGAAAGAGACCCACCATGCACAGTATGTTCGCTTCAACATCTCAAAGTAACGATGATGGCTTGCGGGCATCTTACAATATCTCATTACTTATAGCACTGTTTTGCACAAATCTCCATTTGACGTACTAAAAAGAATTCCATTAAGTAACAATACTGTACAAAGACGCATTGATGAAATGAGCTCTGATATCGAAAGCTTTTTGTGCAATCATCTGCAAAAAACTCATTTTTCTATACAACTGGACGAGTCAACGTTACCCAGTAATGAAGCATTACTATTGGCATATGTCCGATTTATTGTTGAGGAAGAAATTCACGAAGAATTGCTATTTGCCAGAACTTTGGAGACTGACACTAAAGGCGAATCAATATTTAATGTCCTGAGTAATTTTTTACGGAAAAATCGATCCCATTTACAAACATTATTTCAGTGGCAACAGACGGAGCTCCTGCAATGGTCGGGCGATATCGTGGGTTTATAAGTCATCTCAAAAGAATTATACCAGGACTTACAGCTATTCATTGCGTAATCCACCGACAACATCTTGTGGCAAAACATTTAAGTGACAGGTTGAACCAATCTCTTCATTTTGTAATAAAAGCTGTCAACAAAATCAGAAGCAATGCATTGAATACGCGTTTATTTGCTCAATTGTGCGACGAAAATGATGAAGACTTCCAACGACTGCTCTTACATACTGAAGTACGCTGGTTGTCGAAAGGTGCATGCTTAACGAGATTTTAGTCTGTTTTCGATTCCATATTAGAGTTCTTAGAAAGTAGAGATCCAGATTTAAAAGAAAACTTGATCAAATTCAAAGCAGACATTGCGTATTTGACAGATTTGTTAAAAAATTTAATGATATTAACTTGCAGTTACAAGGGGACAGCCTGAATTTAATAAAAACAAAGGGGATAATTTCGGCTTTTCTTGGGAAATTGAAATTTATGAAGTAAAACATTAGTCGGCGCGAATTCTCTCAATTTCCAAACTTGTCGCAGGTAGAATGTATTGATGAGGATATCCATACCTACAGTCAACATTTAAGTGCTCTGCATGATGACTTCAAAACCAGGTTTGAAGATATACTGACGATGGATATACCACCATGGATCATAAATCCATTTGATGAAACGGAAGTGGCCAATGTTGTATTACAAGAGGAGCTGCTCGAGCTAAGCACTAATGAGGAGCTGAAGGTGAAATTTAGAAAAGGCTACCCAACATTTTGGCTGCAAGCAGAAATACCCGAAAAATATCCTGGACTGTGGGAAATCGCAAAGGAAATTTTTAGTAATAGCTTTTCCCTCGTCATACCTTGTCGAAAGGAGTTTTAGTGCCGTTACAAACCTCTTAACAAAAAAGGAGCAAATTAAACATCACAGAGCAGGGGATTTGCGGTTATTGCTCACAAAAATAAAGCCAAACATTGATCGTTTGCTGACACTCCATCAGATACATCCTTCCCATTAATTAAAATTATGACCTGAACCTATATTACCTTAATATTTTTCTTGTAATTCTATTCTTTTAATAAATAAAGTGATATAAAATGTACCATTTTTCGTTTTTATTTTACATATCGGAATATAGGGACAGAACTCAGAAGTGACACAATTTTTATTTTTTGGCGACTTTAAGAATGTGGTAGAAATGTAGCAGCAGGGGGTCCACCGAAACCAGTAAAATTTTGAAAGTGGTCCACGAGAAAAATAAGTTTGGGAACTACTGGTTTAGATTGTTTATGCCTAATTCTTATATTATAGTCTGTCCAACAAGTCAGGGAAGATTTCGACATACAACATAAAAAATAAAACAGAAATTACAATTTTCCTGTGAATTAAAATCACGTACACAATTGTCACTGTCATGGATCCTCTCGTTGGACAGACTAAAAAAATAAAAACAAAAACAAATAAGAAACTTACGGCTCTAACTCATCATCGGATGTTACGCTGTTTTGAACATGTTCTTCTTGTTCACTGCCTTCCGCGCCGGTATGTTCAACAGTACGGTCTTCGCTGTAATTTTATAAGAATTAGATTAATAATTTTTTCTGTCTACAGAGTATTTTTATGCTGCCAGAAAGTGGAAAATATTTTAGAAAGAAAGAACACTTGGAAATAACCTTATTATGGTAATCCTTGACTAGCAACGTTATTGGTTATGCTGTAATTTGACAAAAAATTCGGTAATAAACTTTGAATAAAAGATTAAAGAAGGAGCATATCAAAAATCTTAGATCGAACGCAACGGGCCCCTAAAATGGCCGACTTAAATTCCGGTTTATCAGAACCATTCTAATTTTATTCAAAACGTGTAAAAATATGATGTAGGGTAGACGTGGGGTAGACTCAATAATTTGCTGTTTTATTTTACGTTGTGAATAAATGTTGGTAGTTAATAAAATTGTTATAAAAATATATAATTCTAATAAAAATAGATAAGTTACAATAATTATTTATTAACATAAACATCCCATACGTAACTCAAATTGACGTATCTAAATTCTTTGTCATCTAATCTTTGACAAGTAGTAAATAAAAAGCAAAGATGCAAGAAAAAGTATAATTACCTAGTTAATTTTAAGTGAATCTCATAAATGATCGGTTTACTACACGTATGTATATTTCGCTTACTAGCGAAAAGTTATTCAATTATTTCCCACGATTTTTGACCGAGATCTACCGTGCGCTACACAACCAACTAATTTACAGTCTTTTTCGATAAATCACAATAGTGTCACTGTTAATTTAAGTTCTGCCACAGTTTCCTTCTAGATTTACTACCTTTAAACAACTATCAGTAGTAGAATAAATAATAAATAACATAAAATAAGCTTACTGAGCTTATGTATTTTAACAAATCCACAAAATTCTAAAACAAATTCAAATGTATCAAATAAGTCGTCAAACAGAACTGTCAAGGATCCCTACCCTAGAGCCCTTTGTCCGTCTACCATGCATGAATACATGGATAGCATTATACTCCTTCCTTAATCTTTTTATTCACAGGTAATAAATAATCTCTACAGATATTTGAACCTTTTACGAAAAAAAAAATTCAGCAAAATTTTGAAAATAAAACCAAACCAATGAATTACAAAGTATTGTCTGTTTGATTATAAGGAGCCAAGAATCTAACCATTTAGTCTAGGTTACCAGGGTTTATATTGTTTATGCGTAATTCTTATATTATAGTCTGTCCAACAAGTCAGGGAAGATTTCGACATACGACATAAAAAATAAAACAGAAATTACAATTTGACTGTGAATTAAAATCACGTACAAAATTGTCACTGTCATGGATCCTCTCGTTGGACAGACTAAAAAAAAACAACAAAAACAAATATGAAACTTACGTCTCTAACTCGCCATCGGATGTTACGCTGTTTTGAACATGTTCTTCTTGTTCATTGTCTTCCGCGCCGGTATGTTCAACAGTACGGCCTTCACTGTAATTTTATAAGAATTAGATTAATAATTTTTTCTGTCTACAGAGTTTTTTATGCTGCTAGAAAGTGGAAAATATTTTAGAAAGAAAGAACACCTGGAAATAACCTTATTATGGTAATCCTTGGCTAGCAACGTTATTGGTTATGGTGTAATTTGACAAAATTTCGGAAATAAACTTTGAATAAAAGATTAAGGAAGGAGCATATCAAAAATCTTAGATCGAACGCGATGGGCTCCTAAAATGGCCGACTTAAATTCCGGTTTAACAGTGTCATTCTAATTTTATTCAAAACGTGTAAAAATATGATGTAGGGTAGACGTGGAGTAGACTCAATAATTTGTTTTTTTTTTGTCGTTGTGAATAAATGTCGGTTATAATAATTATTTATTAACACAAACATCCGATACGCTACTGAAGCAGGTAAGTCAAAATGACTTATCTAAATTCTTTGACATCTAATCTTTGACAAGTAGTAAATAAAAGCAAAAATGCAAGAAAAAATATATATAATTAGTTAATTTTAAAGAATTTCATAAATGATCGGTTTACTACACGTATACCGACCGGACCACCGTAGTAGTAACATAGGCAGAACCGGACGAATTAGCGTATACCGGTCCGCCGGATAAAAAGCAGGCGAAAAAATGCGATAAAATAAAAATAGGTAGATATGTGATAAGAATGTTTCAGAATTTGTATTTATTCGTGTTTTAATAGCCTAAACGAATACATAGATTCTCGCGACAGTTCTCGTGTAAAATTTATTTTTTAAGTAAAATGATGGATGTTTACGAAGTTCGTGAGAAAATTCAAATTGTAAAATGGTATTTCCAAAATGGGTCTTATCGGAATATACAAACAATTTTTCCACAAACTTTTGTAAACAGGCCAATTCCATCTTTACCTACTGTATCAAGAGTTATTAATAATTTTGACACCCCTTTTTTTCTTAAAAACTTTTGTGTTTTTGTGTTCCCACAAAAACACAATCCCAAAGCCTGACGTGTTGATTAATAAAGAACAGGAGTTAAAACAAGTGTTCATTTGTGCTACCGCGGATCAAAATCCTACGTTTTCAAGTAATCAAATTGCTGAGGTGCTTGTCCTGCCCACAATGCCCGTATTGTTCAAGAATATTTGAACAATACTTTTCCCAACCGTTTAATTAGTGGATATGGAACTATTTTGTGGCCCGCTAGATTACCAGATTTCTCCCAATGACTTATTTTTGTGGGGTTATGTAAAATCCAAAGTGTATGGTCATAATAGGGCTAATAACCTGGATGAGCTTAAAGTAAAAATACGAGAGGCTTTCCAAACTATTAGCCCTAATATGTTAGCCAATGCCAGACGAGGATTTTACGACCGCCTAGGCTTCTATCTAGCACAAGAAGATGGTCTTTTTGAACACTTGTTATAATTTTTTCTTATTTAGAGTAATTTTTTTTGGGGTTTAGAGAATTTATTTATTTTTAGTTTTGGCTTGTAAACACACTCAAATAATAAATATTTAAGTATTTTCATTTTAAATGTTACCTTAAGTGAAGGTAAACACTTAAAATGAAAATAATAAATACTCGGCACTCCTCGCGTCGTATTCCTAGTCTGTCACGACCGACCCGTCCAAGCACAACTGCAACTGCGTACTGCCTGACCAGCCGACTAGCCGGCAATCTCGAGTACGAACGCAAAACGGGTAAACGTAAATTCGTCCGGCAACTTGCTATGTTACTAGTAGCCTGGTCTTCTCTGTATATATTATATTATAGTAACTTACTAGCGAAAAGTTATTCCATTATTTCTCTAGATTTTTGACCGAAATCTACCATGCGCTACACAACCAATTATTTTAGTCTTTTTTCGATAAGTCGCAATAGTGCCACTGTTAATTTAAGTTCTGCCGCGATTCCCTTCTAGATTTACTACCTTTAAACAACTATCAGTAGTAGAATAAATAATAAATAACATAAAATAAGCATATAACGTATAAAAATATATAAACACATAAATAACCTATAAATGAGCTTATTTTGACAAATCTACAAAATTTCAAAACAAATTCAAATGTGTCAAACGAGTCGTCAAACAGAACTGTCAAGGATCCCCACCCTAGAGCCCTTTGTCCGTCTACCATGCATGAATACATAGATAGCATTATACTCCTTTCTTAATATTTTTATTCACAGGTAATAAATAATCTCTACAGATATTTCAACCTTTTATGAAAAAAAAAATTCAACAAAATTTTGAAAATAAAACCAAACCAATGAAATACAAATTATTGTCTGCTTGATTATAAGGAGCCAAGAATCTCTAACCATTTAGTCTAGGTTACCAGGGTTTAGAATGTTTATGCGTAATAATTCTTATATTATGTCTGTCCAACAAGTCAGGGAAGATTTCGACAGACGACATCAAAAATAAAACAGAAATTACAATTTGACTGTGAATTAAAATCACGTACACAATTGTCACTGTCATGGATCCTCTCGTTGGACAGACTATATTAATAAACTTACGTGAAGTCAGGGTGATTTCCGACAAGATGATAGTTTAAGCTGACCTTTGTCGTATATTTTTTGTCGCAGATCGGACAAGTAAACCACCGTCGTTCTTCCCGTGGTAAGTGAACTTGCTGGTGGCTTTTTAAGTATTTGTTCTTTTTCGGTTTGTAGTCACACATGGTACATTTATAGACCCGTTTCTCCACTTCATTAGTTCTACTAATAATTTTAAAATATTACAGTTTTATGACGATACAAAATAGGCATATACAGGGTGCTACAAGTTCGAAGTACGAGATTTGGTATCTCGGAAACCGTATTAGATACGAAGATAATTAAATGTGGAATGTAATAAGTAACCTCTACAGATATTTCAACCTTTTTAGAAAAAAAAAACAATTTCAGCAAAATTTTGAAGATAAAACTAAACCAATAAATTAAAAATCATTGTCTGTTTGATTATAAGGAGCAGATTATATCAAAAATGTAGCCTAGATTTCCAGATTTTAGACTTTTTATGAATAATTCTTATAGTCTCTCCAACGAGTCAAGGAAGATTTCGACAAGCGACATCCAAGAAATGAGACAAACTACAATTTATCTGGGAATTAAAATGACAGACACAATTGTCACTGTCATGGATCCTCTCGCTGGACAGACTATATCAATAAACTTACATGAAGTCAGGATGGTTTTTGACAAGATGGTGGCGTAAATGGATATTTCTCGCATATTTTCTGTCGCAAATCGGACAAGTATACCATCGTCGTTCTTCCCGTGGTAAGTGAACTTGCTGGTGGCTTTTTAAGTATTTGTTCTTTATCGTTTGGTAGTCACACATGGTACATTTATAGACCCGTTTATTCAGTTCCATAGTTCTACTAATAATTTTAAAATATTACAATTATGACGGTACAGAACAGGGTTTCTTATAGCCCTATATTCTTAGCATAGAATTAATACTCCTAGAAGGCTAGTAGAGTGAGATGTCCATCATGAAGAAAGAGAGTAAGTAATAAGGTTTGGACAATAACACGCTTGCGCAAAAATACAAGGTATTTTGTTGCATACAGTTTTCTAGGTAACACTGTTGCCAAATAATGAAAAAGCTTCTGCTTTACGTGAATTTTAATTAGCCAAGGAAAAAAACAAATACCAAAACTAAGCATATTCCCTACATTTTAGTTAATATGATTTTTTTCACAGTTTTCGCCTGGAAGTTTTCATTAAAAGTAAATAAAAATTAAGAATGTTGTGCTTCTCAAAGACGCGAAACGGTCTACTAACATCGATGCTTAATAATTATAATATCATTTAATAATATAATATTTTTAAGACAGATATATTAATATTATGTAATAAGTTAGTATAGAAAATTTCGAATTTGTTAAAAATGTATGTATACATTTACATAAGTTTACGAGTATAATACATTTGAAATTTAGTCTGGGGTTTTCACTAAAAAACTTATTTTTTTAATTACATTAGTTTGGTTTGGTAGGTGGTAATATAAACAAGAAAACTGATGACATGTTGGCAAATATCGATCACTATAATAGCTACTATAATACTATATAACACTTCTTAATATCTATCACTTCTCAATAAAAATTGTTTTATTTTTAGATATCTCATAAGGACATCAACTATGTAAAGGAAATAAAAGAGAAAATAAAATTTTTAAGCTTGTTATTTTTCAACAAAACAAATATTACCCATCTTTAGTGATTGATTAAAATAAATATGGAAAACAAAGACCCAACTAAGTTTTGACGCCCGAACATAGAAGAAAAATTAAAATCGCCTATTCTATTTTAGCCATTTTTATTGTGGTGTAGCGCTGAAAATCAGAATTTTATAACATAGTAACAGTATCGGACCGTTTGGCATCAATGTTAAAATATCGAACATCGCTGGCGAAACATCGATAAACACCGCTCGACAATACTTCGTATAGTAAGCATGCGCAGTAGTTACCTATCCCTATCGTTTCTCTCTTATACATAGACTTGTTGTCTTCGCCTCTGTTGTTTTTCTTCATGAGTACATCTGATTATGTACTGTTATATAGGGGTATTAATTCTATGATTCTTACAGTGCCAGCGACATCTCTCGAGAATGTACGAAACAGTGTTTCAAAACAAAAGAACAGAATGTACGCAATCAGTGTTTCAAAACAAAAGCGAAAACCTTTTAAGGGATGATTTCTTAGTAAATATAAAGAGGAGTTTGTTATACTAAGGGTAAAAAAAGGGCTGGCAAAGGTTAGTTTTGGGTCGAGATTTACGTATGTAAGAAGAGTACAATGGGTTTATAATGTACTAAAAAAAGAGAGAACAGTAAAAACGTTGCCAAACGTATGAAATAAACGTGAATAAACCGAGAAACTGTGCACATTGCTAAGAGTCGACATTGCTATTGGTCGACCCAATGGCAATTAGTACTTAACATTCTAGGGAGAGGTGTACATCATGCGTTCTGTCTCACGATCTAATTACGTCTCGTGATACTTTATTTGTTTATTTATTAACGAGTCGTTCTAATTGTTCCTATAGCTTAAAATTGTTTAACTGTAAGTTAAAAACACTTCCACGTTTGGTAAAAATAAGTGGAATTGAGTTGTTGTTCGTCAGCGGTCGCGCTATTAGAACTCTGAATTTAAAAATCGATATCTCGAAATCCATCAGAAATAATTGATCGTAGTTTTATTCAAAAACTTTATTAATATTTCTGCTAAATTTTCTTCGCTGACAGTATGTGAAAATCTTTATAAATAAATCTCTATAAAAAAATCTTTATAGATCTTTATAAATAAAAAAATACACCATTGCCGGAAATTGCTATGCACTAAAAGTAAATGGACGTTTTTTTTTAAACTAACCTATCGATTTTTTCTTATTTAAACAGCTTGTAAAAGATCCGAACTTCAAAATAACAAAATAAGTTTCAATATTTAATGTGGTTCTTGAGTTATCGCGTGTTGTGTTAAAAAGTTGAGTTTCTAAATTAACACGAAAAATGTAGCAACGTCGCAACAGCACACCGTCGCATTTCTCTCACTCCGACTTAATAAGATCCTTATGCGATGTACTGCCACACATGTAAATACCGACGAAAAAGTAAGAGTTGCCAGCACAGTATAAACGTTGCATTGACAGTAAAAAATGACATTTGCAGAGCGACAGATAATTTGATATTTTTCCGTGTCATTCCATATTTATTTATAAATTGTTTGTGCTTGTGTTTTAGAAAATGACTTCCTCTACTTAACTGTTCCACTAATTTATTAAATATCATACCCATGAAAATGTTATAAATATTAGGTGTTAAAAAAATTAAAAAAAAACAAATAAGACACTTACGGCTCTAACTCATCATCGGATATTACGCTGTATTGAACATGTTCTTCTTGTTCATTGCCTTCCGCGCCGGTATGTTCAACGGTACGGCCTTCACTGTAATTTTATAAGAATTAGATTAATAATTTTTCTCAGTCTACAGAGTTTTTTATGATGCCAGAAAGTGGCAAATATGTTAGAAAGAAAGAACACCTAGAAATAACCTTATTATTATAATCCTTGGCTAGCAACGTTATTGGTTATGCTGTAAAATTTTGGTAATAAACTTTGAATAAAAGATTAAAGAAGGAGCATATCAAAAATCTTAGATCGAACGCAACGGGCTCCTAAAATGGCCGACTTAATAATTTGCTGTTTTATTTTACGTTGTGAATAAATGTTGTTAGTTAATAAAATTGTTATAAAAATATATAATTCTAATAAAAATAGATAAGTTACAATAATTATTTACTAACACAAACATCCGATACGTAAGTCAAATTGACGTATCTAAATTCTTTGACATCTAACCTTTGACAAGTAGTAAATAAAAGCAAAGATGCAAGAAAAAGTATAATTACCTAGTTAATTTTAAGTGAATTTCATAAATGATCGGTTTACTACGCGTATGTATATTACGCTTACTAGCGAAAAGTTATTCCATTATTTCCAGATTTTTGACCGAGATCTACCGTGCGCTACACAACCAACTAATTTACAGTCTTTTCGATAAATCACAATAGTGTCACTAGTAGTAATGTCACTAGTAGTCATCAGTAGTAGAATAAATAATAAATAACATAAAATAAGCTTACTGAGCTTATGTATTTTAACAAATCCACAAAATTTCAAAACAAATTCAAATGTATCAAATAAGTCGTCAAACAGAACTGTCAAGGATCCCCACCCTAGAGCCCTTTGTCCGTCTACCATGCATGAATGCATGGACAGCATTATACTCCTTCCTTAATCTTTTTATTCAAAGGTAATAAATAATCTCTAGAGATATTTCAACCTTTTCCGTAAAAAAATAAATTTCAGCAAAATTTTGAAAATAAAACTAAACCAATGAATTACAAATTATTGTCTGCTTGATTATAAGGAGCCAAGAATCTCTAACCATTTAGTCTAGGTTACCAGGGTTTAGATTGTTTATGCGTAATAATTCTTATATTATAGTCTGTCCAACAAGTCAGGGAAGATTTCGACAGACGACATCAAAAATAAAACAGAAATTACAATTTGACTGTGAATTAAAATCATGTACACAATTGTCACTGTCATGGATCCTCTTGTTGGACAGACTATATTAATAAACTTACGTGAAGTCATGGTGATTTCCGCTAAGATGGTAGTTTAAGTTGTTCTTTGTCGTATATTTTTTGTCGCAGAGCTGACAAGTAAAAATATGATGTAGGGTGGACGTGGGGTAGACTCAATAATTTGTTGATTTATTTTACGTTGTGAATAAATGTTGGTAGTTATTAAAATTGTTATAAATATATATAATTGTAATAAAAATAGATAAAAACTAAAAAGGTCCGATTAAATTAATATCTCCGAAACTAAAGTTCCAAGAAAAGTCGTAATATATCTACAAATTCATTTACCCACTAGTAGTTATAAAAAGCATTTTGGGTAAACTCTGTCCCTAATAGTTTCTGAAAAATAAAATTAATTTTCTTAAAAAGGTCCGATTAAATTAATATCTCCGAAACTAAAGTTCCAAGAAAAGTCGTAATATATCTATAAATTCATTTACCCACTAGTAGATATAAAAAGCATTTTTGGTAAACTCTGTCTCAAATAGTTTCTGAAAAATAAAATTAATTTTCTTAAAAAGGTCCGATTAAATTAATATCTCCGAAACTAAAGTTCCAGGAAAAGTCGTAATAAATCTACAAATTCATTTTCCCACTAGTAGATATAAAAAGCATTTTTGGTAAACTCTGTCTCTAATAGTTTCTGAAAAATAAAATTAATTTTCTTAAAAAGGTCCGATTAAATTAATATCTCCGAAACTAAAGTTCCAAGAAAAGTCGTTTTTTTTAGTTATAATAATTATTTATTAACACAAACATCCGATACGCTGCTGAAGCAGGTAAGTCAAATTGATCTATCTAAATTCTTGGACATCTAATCTTTGACAAATAGTAAATAAAAGCAAAAAAGCAAGAAAAAATACATATAATTGGGTGCTACAAATTCGAAGTACGAGCATTAGTATCTCGGAAACCGTATTAGATACGAAGATAATTAAATGGGGTAAAGTTGCGTCTTGGGATGTTCGCCAACATGGTATCAAAAAAGTTTCAAAAATTTCAAGGATTGCTGAGTTTTTTGAGAAAAACGGATTTTTTTGAAAATAAATTTTATTTTTTCCTCACGTTACTTTTCAGCAAAATTTTGAAAATAAAACGAAACCAATGAATTACAAATTATTGTCTGTTTGATCATAAGGAGCCAAGAATCTCTAACCATTTAATATAATGTCATTTTAACAGAACGTCAACGGTTTCTTGTAAACGTATCTGTTTTAAAAAGTAAAGTGTTCTCGAATAGTTCAATTTAAATATTTTAAATAGTTTTTTTCTTTATTCTTTGTATTTTTTTTTTGCTTCAGACGACGGAAACAGAAAAACTTTCCGAAACGTTAAGCATTTTTTTCTTTGTTAGGCAAGTTTTTATAACTGTTAACATAACTTCTGACAAGCAGCGTCCGTTTAGGTTTAACGCAGAAGTGTTTACAAAAAATAACTATTTTATTTTGTAGATTTTTCTTGCAGTGCAGTGGCGAAATACCCATAAAGAATTTTTTTGGAGAGATGAATCCGCCACATAGCTATAGACATTTTCTAACCATTTAGTCTAGGTTACTAGGGTTTAGATTGTTTATATGCCTAATTCTTATATTATAGTCTGTCCAACAAGTCAGGGCAGATTTCGACATACAACATAAAAAATAAAACAGAAATTACAATTTGCCTGTGAATTAAAATCACGTACACAATTGTCACTGTCATGGATCCTCTCGTTGGACAGACTAAAAAAATAAAAAGTCTTAATATATCTACAAATTCATTTTCCCACTAGTAGATATAAAAAGCATTTTTGGTAAACTCTGTCTCTAATAGTTTCTGAAAAATAAAATTAATTTTCTTAAAAAGGTCCGATTAAATTAATATCTCCGAAACTAAAGTTCCAAGAAAAGTCGTAATATATCTACAAATTCATTTTCCCACTAGTAGATATAAAAAGCATTTTTGGTAAACTCTGTCTCTAATAGTTTCTGAAAAATAAAATTAATTTTCTTAAAAAGGTCCGATTAAATTAATATCTCCGAAACTAAAGTTCCAAGAAAAGTCGTTTTTTTTAGTTATAATAATTATTTATTAACACAAACATCCGATACGCTAGTGAAGCAGGTAAGTCAAATTGACGTATCTAAATTCTTGGACATCTAATCTTTGACAAATAGTAAATAAAAGCAAAAAAGCAAGAAAAAATACATATAATTGGGTGCTACAAATTCGAAGTACGAGCATTGGTATCTCGGAAACCGTATTAGATACGAAGATAATTAAATGGGGTAAAGTTGCGTCTTGGGATGTTCGCCAACATGGTATCAAAAAAGTTTCAAAAATTTCAAGGATTGCTGAGTTTTTTGAGAAAAACGGATTTTTTTGAAAATAAATTTTATTTTTTCCTCACGTTACTTTTCAGCAAAATTTTGAAAATAAAACGAAACCAATGAATTACAAATTATTGTCTGTTTGATCATAAGGAGCCAAGAATCTCTAACCATTTAATATAATGTCATTTTAACAGAACGTCAACGGTTTCTTGTAAACGTATCTGTTTTAAAAAGTAAAGTGTTCTCGAATAGTTCAATTTAAATATTTTAAATAGTTTTTTTCTTTATTCTGACGGAAAGAGAAAAACTTTCCGAAACGTTAAGCATTTTTTTCTTTGTTAGGCAAGTTTTTATAACTGTAAACATAACTTCTGACAAGCAGCGTCCGTTTAGGTTTAACGCAGAAGTGTTTACAAAAATAACTATTTTATTTTGTAGATTTTTCTTGCAGTGCAGTGGCGAAATACCCATAAAAAATTTTTTTGGAGAGATGAATCCGCCACATAGGTATAGACATTTTCTAACCATTTAGTCTAGGTTACCAGGGTTTAGATTGTTTATGCCTAATTCTTATATTATAGTCTGTCCAACAAGTCAGGGAAGATTTCGACATACAACATAAAAAATAAAACAGAAATTACAATTTGCCTGTGAATTAAAATCACGTACACAATTGTCACTGTCATGGATCCTCTCGTTGGACAGACTAAAAAAATAAAAACAAAAACAAATAAGAAACTTACGGCTCTAACTCATCATCGGATATTACGCTGTATTGAACATGTTCTTCTTGTTCATTGCCTTCCGCGCCGGTATGTTCAACGGTACGGCCTTCACTGTAATTTTATAAGAATTAGATTAATAATTTTTCTCAGTCTACAGAGTTATGCTGTAATTTGACAAAAAATTCGGAAATAAACTTTGAATAAAAGATTAAGGAAGAAGCATATCAAAAATCTTAGATCGAACGCGACGGGCCTAAAATGGCCGACTTAAATTCCGGTTTATCAGTGGCGTTCTAATTTTATTCAAAACGTGTAAAAATATGATGTAGGGTAGACGTGGGGTAGACCCAATAATTTGTTGTTTTATTTTACGTTGTGAATAAATGTTGGTAGGTATTATCCACAATATGTCGAGCACAGCGCAGAGTATATAAATATATAAACGACCCAAGCTCACCTGATGATGGGGTAGGGACCCGAAACCGGTAGTGAGAGCAGGTTGATCCACATTATGTCGAACACAGCGTGGAATTAATTTCTATATTAGCCATTCAAGGCAAGAAACTCTTATATAATTTTATTATATACCTAAAAACTGCAAGAAATTTATTTTCCATTATATAATTTGGGCTAGCCGAAAAAAGCCTTTATATACTATCGATAGTTGTGCCTCGGTGGTACGAAAGTACTACCATTGCACACAGGCCGCTATCTCGCGATGCGGGACTTAATATCTTACCGCTACTTTACGACAAGTCGTGTTTATATACTCTGCGCTGTGCTCGACATATTGTGGAAACGACCCAAGCTCACCTAATGATGGGGTAGGGCCCCGAAACCGGTAGTGAGAGCAGGTTGATCCACATTATGTCGAACACAGCGTGGAATTAATTTCTATATTAGCAGTTCAAGGCAAGAAACTCTTATATAATTTTATTATATACCTAAAACCTGCAAGAAATTTATTTTCCACTGTTAATATAGTTCTGCCGCGATTCCCTTCTAGATTTACTACCTTTAAACAACTATCAGTAGTAGAATAAATAATAAATAACATAAAATAAGCTTATTGAGTTTATTTTGACAAATCCAGAAAATTTCAAAACAAATTCAAATGCGTCAAATGAATCGTCAAACAGGACTGTCAAGGATTCCCACCCTAGAGCCTTTTGTCCGTCTACCATGCCTGAATACATGGATAGCATTATACTCCTTCCTTAATCTTTTTATTCACAGGTAATAAATAATCTCTACAGATATTTCAACCTTTTATGAAAAAAAAAACAAATTTCAGCAAAATTTTGAAAATAAAACCAAACCAATGAAATACAAATTATTGTCTGCTTGATTATAAGGAGCCAAAAATCTCTAACCATTTAGTCTAGGTTACCAGGGTTTAGATTGTTTATGCGTAATAATTCTTATATTATGTCTGTCCAACAAGTCAGGGAAGATTTCGACAGACGACATCAAAAATAAAACAGAGATTACAATTTGACTGTGAATTAAAATCACGTACACAATTGTCACTGTCATGGACCCTCTCGTTGGACAGACTATATTAATAAACTTACGTGAAGTCAGGGTGATTTCCGACAAGATGAGAGTTTAATTTTTGATTTGTCATATATTTTTTGTTGCAGAGCGGACAAGGAAACAACTGTCGTTCTTCCCGTGGTAAGTGAACTTGCTGGTGGTTTTTTAAAAATCTGTTTCTTAGCGTTCGGTAGTCACACATGTTACATTTATAGATACGTTGATTCAATTCCATAGTCCTACTAATAATTTTAAAATATTACAATTATGACGGTACAGAACAGGGTTTCTTATAGCCTTATATTCTTAGCATAGAATTAATACTCTTAGAAGGCTAGTAGAGTGAGATGTCCATCATGAAGAAAGAGAGTAAGTAATAAGGTTTGGACAGTAACACGCTTGCGCGGGCAGATACAAGGTATTTTGTTGCATACAGTTTTCTAGGTAACACTGTTGCCAAATGATGAAAAAGCTTCTGCTGTACGTGAATTTTAATTAGCCAAGGAAAAAAAACAAATACCAAAACTAAGCATATTCCCTACATTTTAGTTAATATGATTTTTCTCACAGTTTTTGCCTGGAACTTTTCATTAAAACAAAAATTAAGAATGTTGTGCTTCTCAAAGTGATAACACTGCTCCGATACCTATCGGTAGTGATGAGACATCGACGCGAAACGGTCTACTAACATCGATGCTTAATAATTATAATATAATTTAATAATATAATATTTTTAAGACAGATATATTTATATTATGTAATAAGTTTGTATAGAAAATTTTGAATTTGTTAAAAATGTATGTACACATAAAGTTAACGAGTATAATACATTTGAAATTTAGTCTGGAGATTTCACTAAAAAACTTATTTTTTTAATTACATTAGTTTGGTTTGGTAGGTGGTAATATAAACAAGAAAACTGATGACATGTTGGCAAATATCAATCACGATGATAGCTGCTACTACTAGATATCACTTCTCAATTATCATATATATAATCACTATAATATTTTGTCAGCTTTTTCTGAGACAAATACAAAATAATAACTTGTTTATTTTCTCAATAAATTGAGTTTAAGATATCTTTTTATGATTTTTTATGGAAATTGTTTTATTTTTAATTAGGTATCTAATAAGGACTTCAACTATGTAAAGGAAATAAAAGAGAAAATGAAAGTTTTAAGCTTGTTATTTTTCAACAAAACAAATATTACCCATTAGAGGTGGGAATTCTAGTTCCTTGGGAGGAACTAGTTCCTTAGTTCTAGTTCCTCCAGAGGAATAGTTCCTTGAACTAGGTCTTTAGTTCACAACAATTCCCGACTAACATTGACATCCCCCTTGCTTGTTAATGCGTTTCGTTGTCAGTCAGAACTATTCACAGTATGATCTGTATAATTTTTATAATGTACGGAGATATAACGAGACGTGTAATTGTGTATGTTAAAAACATATAGGTAAGTTTTATTGCAGATAAAAATAATAAAAAAACTCAAATCAGAATTTAAAAAACTATATCACAAATCAATTGGAGCAAATATTACAAAAATTTTACAAAAAATTGCATTTTCCTCACTTCAAGCTTTTTGTTTTTGTCTAGAAATTCAGAATATCTACTTCGTTTTATAAGATATTTCTTAATTTTAGGGACCTAAAGTGAAACATTCCCATAAAATATTTAAAAAACAAACTAAAAATCAAAAACAGTATCCACGACAATTTTTTGTGGTAATTACGCCGCGCCGGTTGTGGCAATAGACAAGGCCGAATCCATCGTCGTCTCCTTGTATTATATCTCGGATCTGCCGACTGAATAGATTCCCGTGAACTAGTCTTTTAATAATTCCTCTATGTCGGATCCGATAACATACGGCTGGCACTCCCCACGTCTGCCTAGCATCAATCGCGCTGGCTGATCCATACGTAAACTGGTCTTTTATTTAGTTCCTTTAGGTCCGGATCCGATAACATACGGCATGCGGCTGGCACTCCCCACTCCTGCCTAGCATCGAGCGCGCTGGCCCGATCCGTTCGTACGTAAACTAGTCTTTTATTTAGTTTAGTTCCTCTAGGTCCGGATTCGATAACGTACGGCTGGCACTCCCCACTTCTGCCTACCATCGGGCTACGCGCGCTAGCCGATCCGTCACCGTCGCGTATTATTCTATATCGGGCACAGTCTCGATCCCGGACCAGGTTCTGAGGAACTAGTTCCTTTCAATCCTAGGTCGGAATAGTTCATTGGAACTAGTTCGTTCACGAACTACACACCTCTATTACCCATCTTTAGTGATTAATTAAAATAAATATGGAAAACAAAGACCCAACTAAGTTTTGACGCCCAAACATAGAAGAAAAATAAAAATCACCTATTCTATTTTTAGCCATTTTTATTGTGGTGTAGCGCTGAAAATCAGAATTTTATAACATAGTAAAAGTACCGGACCGTTTGGCATCGATGTTAAAATATCGAACATCGCTGGCGAAACATCGATATTTTTAAAATCACAACACCGCCCGACACTGCTTCGTATAGTAAGCATGCGCAGTAGTTACCTAACCCTATCGTTTCTGTCTTACACATAGACTTGTTGTCTTTCTTTCTTCATGAGTACATCTGATCATGTGCTGTTATATACTAGCCTTCCAGGGGCGCTATTCTGTAAAATTGTCGGTATCGGTAAGTTACGACAGCTCTCGATACGTATTTGTATATAGTAAAAATGTGTTAATCGTTGTTGTCATAGTTACCGATCGGTCCTATGGCAGATATCGCAAATTTGTACCGACGAAAATCGGTATCTCTACCGTGCCCTTGTCAACCTCACGGTAGAGATACCGAGAGTAGCCCCTGGGGCGCTATTCTGTACAATCGTCGGAATCGGTAAGTTACCGACAGCTATCGGTACGTATCTGTATATAGTAAACATGTGTTGATTGTTGTTGTCATAATTACCGATCGGCCCTATGGCAGATATCGCAAATTTGTACTGACGACTCTCGGTATCTCTACCGTGAGGTTAACAAGGGTACGGTAGAGATACCGATCCTCGTCGGTACAAATTTGCGATATCTGTCATAGGGCTGATCGATAACTATGACAACAACAATCAACACATGTTTACTATATACAGATACGTACCGATAGCTGTCGGTAACTTACCAATTCCGACGATTGTACAGAATAGCGCCCCAGGGGCTACTCTCGGTATCTCTACCGTGAGGTTGACAAGGGCACGGTAGAGATACCGATTTTCGTCGGTACAAATTTGCGATATCTGCCACAGGACCGATCGGTAACTATGACAACAACGATTAACACATTTTTACTATATACAATACGTATCGAGAGCTGTCATCCTACCGATACCGACAATTTCGACAGAACCTGAAGGCTAGCCTGGAAGGCTAGTATGAAGCAGCATGATCAAGGATGTACTGAAGGAAGAAAGAAAAGACAACAAGTCTATGTGTAAAACTGACTGCGCACATGCTTACTATACGAAGTAGTGTCGGGCGGTGCAGGTATTTTAAAATATCGATGTTTCGCCAGCGATGTTCGATATTTCAACATCGATGCCAAACGATCCGATACCTTTACTATGTTATAAAAATTCTGATTTTCAGCGCTATACAATAAAATGGCTAAAAATAGAATGAGGTGATTTTATTTTTCTCTATGTTTGGGCGTCAAACTTAGTTGGGTCTTTGTTTTCCATATTTATTTTAATTAATCGCAAAGATGGGTAATGAGAGGTGTGTGTTCGTGAACGAACTAGTTCAATGAACTATTCCGACTAGGTTGAAAGGAACTAGTTCCTCAGGAACCTGGTCGGGATCGAACTGTGACCGATATAAATAATATGCGACGGTGACGATCGATAACGCGCGTAGCCGATGGTAGGCAGAAGTGGGGAGTGCCAGCCGTACGTTATCGAATTCCGGACCTAGAGTGAACGAAACTAAATAAAAGACTAGTTTACGTACGAACGGATCGGGCCAGCGCTGGATCGAACGGTGGCGGGAGCCATGCCAAGCATGCCGTGGCCATATCGGATCCGACCTAAAGGAACCAAATAAAAAGACCAGTTTACGTATGGATCAGACAGCGATTGATGCTATGGACGTGGGAGTGCCAGCCGTATGTTATCGGATGCTGACATAGAGGAATTCATTAAAAGACTAGTTCACGGGGAATTCCATTCAGTCGGCAGATCCAGATATAATACAAGGAGACAGAAAATTGTCGTGGATAATTGTTTTGATTTTAGTTTGTTTTTAAATATCTGTTGGAAATGTTTCACTTTAGGTCCCTAAAATCAAGAAATATCTTATAAAACGAAGTAGATATTCTTGAATTACAGACAAAAACAAACTGTTTTGAAGTGAGGAAAATGCAATTTTGTAAAAATGTTCATATTTGGTTCCAATTAATTTGTGATATAGTTTTAAATTCTGATTTGAGTTTTTTTATTATTTTATCTGCAATAAATTGTTACCTATATGTTTTAACATGAATTTGGCACACGTGCTCGTTATATCTCCGTACATTTATAAAAATTATACAGATAATGCAATGTGAATAGTTCTGACTGACAACGAAACGCATTAACAAGCAGAGGGATGTCAATGACCGGGAATTGTGTGAACTAAAGACCCAGTTCAGGAACTATTCCTCTGGAGGAGAACTAAGGAACTAGTTCCTCCCAAGGAACTAGAATTCCCACCTCTAATGGGTAATATTTGTTTTGTTGAAAAATAAAAGCTAAAACTTTCATTTTCTTTATTTCCTTTACATAGTTGAAGTCACTATTAGATACCTAATTAAAAATAAAACAATTTCCATAAAAAATCATAAAGATATCTTAAACTCAATTCTATTGAGAAAATAAACAAGTTATTATTTGACATAATATTATAGTGATTATATATATGATAATTGAGAAGTGATATCTAGTAGTAGCAGCTATCATCGTGATTGATATTTGCCAACATGTCATCAGTTTTCTTGTTTATATTACCACCTACCAAACCAAACTAATGTAATTAAAAAAATAAGTTTTTTAGTGAAATCTCCAGACTAAATTTCAAATGTATTATACTCGTTAACTTTATGTATACATACATTTTTAACAAATTCAAAATTTTCTATACAAACTTATTACATAATATAAATATATCTGTCTTAAAAATATTATATTATTAAATTATATTATAATTATTACCGATATATACCGATAGCTGTCGGTAACTTACCGATACCGACGATTGTACATAATAGCGCCCCAGGAGTATTAATTCTATGATTATTACAGTGCCAGCGACATCTCTCGAGAATGTACGAAACAACGACAAAAAAAAGAATGTACGAAAACCTTTTAAGGGATGATTTCTTAGTAAATATAAAGGGGAGTTTGTTATACTAAGGGCTGGAAAAGGTTAGTTTTGGGTCGAGATTTATGTATGTAAGAAGAGTACAATGCGTTTATAATGTACTAAACAAAGAGAGTAAAAACGTTGCCAAACGTATGAAATAAACGTGAATAACCGAGAAACTGTGCACATTGCTAAGAGAGGTGGAAGGGGATACAACAGATTCGTCCAACCAGTACTTAAAATTCTAGGGAGAGCGTACATCATGCGTTCTGTCTCACAATTTAATTACCTCTCGAGATACTTTATTTGCTTATTTATTAACGAGACGTTGTAATTTTTTCTAGAGCTTAAAATGTTTTAAGTGCAAGTTAGAAACACTTGCAGTTTTATACGTGGAATTGAGTTGGTGTTCGACAGTGGTCGCGCTATTAGAACTCTGAATTTAAAAAATCGATATCTCGAAATCGATCAGAAATAATTGATTGTAGTTTTTTTCAAAAACTTTCTTAATATTTCTGGTACATTTTCTTCGCAGACAGTATGTGAAAATCTTTATAAATCTTTATAAATAAAAAATTACACGATTGCTGGAAATTACTATGCACTAAAAGTAAATGGACCGATTTTTTAAAGTTTTTCAATGAAAAAAAAAACAAGCCTATCGATTTCTTCTTATTTAAACATCTATCTTGTAAAAGATCCGAACTTCAAAATAACAAAATAAGTTTCAATATTAATTTAATGTGGTTCTTGAGTTATTGCGTGTTATGTGTTAAAAAGTTGAGTTTCTAAATTAACGCGATTACTGACGCGATTCTAACGATATCCTTATAATTCCATTTCAGATGTTCAGAAACATAGCTAAGATTTTATCTAGTTATCTCTTCGAAAAAAAGTCTTTTGAAAATAAGCGGTTCGCGATTGTGATTTTATTTTACTTGATAGGGAAAGGCATACCGGAGAAATGTAGCAACGCCGCAACAGCACACCGTCGCATTTCTCTCACTCCGACATAATAAGATCCCTATGCGATGTACTTCCACACATGTAAATACCGACCCAAAAGTAAGAGTTGCCAGCACAGTATAAACGTTGCATTCACAGTCAAAAATGACATTTGCAGAGCGAGAGATAATTTGATATTTTTCCGTGTCATTCCATATTTATTTATAAATTGTTTGTGCTTGTGTTTTAGAAAATGCCTTTCTCTACTTAAACTGTTCCACTAATTTATTAAATATCATACTCATACAGGGGTGGATGGGCCATATGGGAAAACGGAAAAATTCCCGGTAGGCCGGTCCCGACTTGAGCTCAAAAAAAGATTATGGCTTAGCAAAAATTAAATGGCTAATCTTCTAACTAAAGTTACGTTAGATTCTTATAGCGACTGCCTAACTAACTAATCAATTTATATCAATATAATCGTCAGTTGCTTTTAAACATAAACACCAATTTGTAAAATAACTATTGATAGATGTCTTTCTCTGAGACACTTATAATTATAATAAACATACGTATGTTTGTTGTTCCGTTTGAATTATTTTATTATACAAGGTGAGTCTATAAGTGCACCTTATTTTTGTGCTGCTTTGTGCAAATATTTTCAGGGCTGGTAGATCTCAATAAAAGAAACATAATAATATATTCTCTTTACCGTGTTTCAAATAAGTCCAAAATAACCAAGTTATTAGTTTGGAAATTTAAAAAAAAATTGATTTATTTTTAAAAAAATTTGAGAGCTACCGAAATTTTTCTGTATTTGCATCTCTTTTAGTCCCGTAATCTCAAAGATTAAGACCGAAGATTAAGAAACTATACCGTGGCAAAATTTGCGATGAACAGGAACTTCTAAAAAGTTTTCTAATTTACCCCAAATCACCCTTACTTATACAGAGTGGTCCGAACTGTATTCCGGAAACGTCGGTAGCATATTCTGCAGATAAAAATAAGTAAAAAAGTTCGTATAAAAAAATATCCTAAAATACTTGGTTTCGGAGATACAGGGTGTAGAAGTTTCACTTCTATTTCGATTTTTGCAAAATAGTTTCTGAAGTAACGTTAATATTTGGATGAAAATTGGAGTTTTGGAGTTTTTTGACATGAGAAATTTGATTTTGATGTCAATATGACTCCTACTTGTAGAGGGTGCTACCTACATATTTTTAACTAGTTTTAGAGTAATAACTTTTCGTCCGTATCTTTATAGAACTACTAAGTAAAAAAAATACGAGGTTTTTTACGTAAAAAAAGTATCTAGGTAAAAATCGCTACGAGTAACGGTTCTCGAGATATTTGGAATCGAAATAAGCAATACCTTACATCACTAACATTAAATTAAACATGTTGACTAAATAGTTATTGGACTGAAATCATAAATTTGTAATGTTTTTGTGACAAAAGTTCAACAGAAACTGTTTTATCATCATTTATTCTAAAAAAAATTATGATTGATTTAAGAGAATAAGTTTTCATTTTAATCAATAATGACGTGTATTGACTGTTTCCATTCTAAATATCTTGAGAAAAGTTGCTCGTAACTAGTAGCCGAGAGACATTTTTTACGTAGAAAATCATGGAAATGTATATTTTTTCACTCAGTAGTTTTATACAGGTACGGACGAAAAGTTATTACTCTTCAAAACAGTAAAAATACATGTAGGTGGCGCCCCCCTACGAATAGAAGTCATATTGACATCAAAATCAAATTTCTCATGTCAAAAAACTCCCAGACACCAATTTTCGTCCAAATATTGACATTACTTCAGAAATTATTCGGAAAAAATCGAAATAAAAATGAAATTTCTACACCCTGTATTTCCGAAACTAAGTATTTTAGGACATACATTTATACGAACTTTTTTACTGATTTTTATCTGCAGAATATGCTGCCGAAGTTTCTGGAATGCATATTTCTTCGTTATGGTCATTTTGTTTCTGTGGATTTGGGCCGGTTGCCTGTTATTCCCGGGCCGGTTTCCACTTCCCCATCCACCCCTGTACTCATGAAAATGTTACAAATATTAGGTGTTAAAAAAAAATAAAAAAAAACAAACAAATAAGACACTTACGGCTTCAACTTATCATGGGATGTTACGCTGTTTTGAACATGTTCTTCTTGTGCATTGCCTTCCGCGCGGGTAAGTTCAATAGTACCACCTTCACTGTAATTTAATAAGAATTAGATTAATAATTTTTCTCAATCTACAGAGTATTTTTATGCTGCCAGAAAGTGGAAAATATGTTAGAAAGAAAGAACACCTGGAAATAACCTTATTATTGTAATCCTTGGCTAGCAACGTTATTGGTTATGCTGTAATTTGACAAAAATTTCGGTAATGAACTTTGAATAAAAAGATTAAGGAAGGAGCATATCAAAAATTTTAGATCGAACGCGACGGGCTCTTAAAATGGCCGACTTAAATTCCGGTTTAACAGTGCCATTCTAATTTTATTCAAAACGTGTAAAAATATGATGTAGGGTAGACGTGGGGTAGATCCAATAATTTGTTGTTTTATTTTACGTTGTGAATAAATGTTGGTAGGTATTAAAATTGTTATAAAAATATATAATTCTAATAAAAATAGATATGTTATAATAATTATTTATTAACACAAACATCCGATACGCTGCTGAAGCAGGCAAGACAAATTGACGTATCTAAATTCTTTGACATCTAATCTTTGACAAGTAGTAAATAAAAGCAAAGATACAAGAAAAAAATATAATTGGCTAATTTTAAGTGAATCTCATAAATGATCGGTTTACTACACGTATGTATATTATACAGTCACTCACTAGCGAAAAGTTATTCAATGATTTCTCTCGATTTTTGACAGAAATCTACCGTGCGCTACACAACCAATTATTTTAGTATTTTTTCGATAAATCGCAATAGTGTCACTGTTAATTTAAGTTCTGCCGCGATTCCCTTCTAGATTTACTACCTTTAAACGACTATCAGTAGTAGAATAAATAATAAATAACATAAAATAAGCATATAACATATAAAAATATATAAAAACATAAATAACCTAAAAATGAGCTTATTTTGACAAATCTACAAAATTTCAAAACAAATTCAAATGTGTCAAACGAGTCGACAAACAGAACTGTCAAGGATCCCCACCCTAGAGCCCTTTGTCCGTCTACCATGCATGAATACATGGATAGCATTATACTCCTTCCTTAATCTTTTTATTCAAAGGTAATAAATAATCTCTACAGATATTTCAACCTTTTCCGTAAAAAAATAAATTTCAGCAAAATTTTGAAAATAAAACTAAACCAATGAATTACAAATTATTGTCTGCTTGATTATAAGGAGCCAAGAATCTATAACCATTTAGTCTAGGTTACCAGGGTTTAGATTGTTTATGCGTAATAATTCTTATATTATAGTCTGTCCAACAAGTCAGGGAAGATTTCGACAGACGACATCAAAAATAAAACAGAAATTACAATTCGACTGTGAATTAAAATCACGTACACAATTGTCACTGTCATGGATCCTCTCGTTGGACAGACTATATTAATAAACTTACGTGAAAGCATGGTGATTTCCGACAAGATGATAGTTTAAGCTGCTCTTTGTCGTATATTTTTTGTCGCAGAGCGGACAAGAAACCAACTGTCGTTCTTCCCGACTTAAGTGAACTTGCTGGTGTCGTTCTAAGTTTTTTTTAATAGTAGTTTGGTAGCCACACACGGTACAGTCATAGACCCGTTTATCCACTTCAATAGTTCTAATAATTTTAAAATATTACAGTTTTATGACGATACAAAATAGGCATATACAGAGTGCTACAAATTCGAAGTACGAGCATTGGTATCTCGGAAACCGTATTAGATACGAAGATAATTAAATGGGACAAAGTTGCGCCTTAGGATGTTTGCCAATATGGTACCAAAAAAGTTTCAAAAATTTCAAGGATTGCTGAGTTTTTTGAGAAAAACGGATTTTTTTGAAAATAAATTTTATTTTCTCCTCCCGTTAATTTTTAAAAATTCAAAAATATAATTACACATTCTGATAGCCACTTTATCAGGGCTATCTGATTCTAGACTAGCTACGGTTTTGGTCTATCTGCTACTAGATTTTCAAATTAGCTGATAATTTGTGAGATACATAGGCTAAATTATTTTTTATTAAATACGGACCTGCATTTTTTATTTCAGATTTTCAAAGAATTCGGTGTCCTGAGTACAACGATATACCACACTTTATATTTTTTTTGTTTTGGATACTTTAACAACAATAAAACTCTTTAATTATTATTTAAGATAATTTCATGTCCGACTCTGGATTTTTAAATTATTTAACCTGATTATATTCATCGCAACAATATTGGTGAGCGTTAATTAACATTGAATAAGAAAAATCGAACCAATTGAAAGATTCAAATAAATAATATCCAGGTCAGCAATTCAAAAGATATTATTAACTTTTTTTGTGAATTTGAAATCTCAATGTACGATCTAATAATATGCATAATATTAATCTTAGTTATTATAAATATATCAACTTCTACAAACAAGTTTCTAATGCTCTACATGTTTGAAATAGTTACCACCCTCCCTATATTGCACACATTTATTTTTCGTTCAATTTTATGTATAGCCCTTTCAACAGATCTTCTTCGTATACTTCTGAATGCATTTTGTATCTTTGTTGTAAATGTTAAGGTGTATTGATTACACTTTTACAAATGACATCAAGTAATGCCCCCGCCCTTTGGCGACAGGTCCAGGAACCTCGCTGGCCATTATACTGCTCCACCATTTCCAATCCATTTTCCGGGGAAATGATTTGATTGTTTATACTATATTTATATTATTTTTTATTATTTTATTGTATTTGAATTTCCGTATTCAATGTTTTTTCTCACGTCATTGTTAAGTTTAAAAGATCATCACTATTGTAACAATGAATAGATTAAATATTAAAAAAAAGAGCCGGACTTGAAATTAGTTTAAATAAATTGTGTTTAAATACCTGAAGCAAAAAAATATTAAGTGTAGCATATCATTGTACTTAGGAGACCGAATTCTTTCAAAACCTGATATAAAAAATGCAGGACCTGGACCTGCGGCACTAAAAAGTTTTTTGTAATTTCTCGAAAATTATCAAGATGTAAAATTTTTAACAATTTTTATTGTAAAAATATACTTATGGCCGTTTCTGGATTCGAACTATACTACCAGACCAGTACAATACTTGCACTTATTTAATAGACACTCAGTACATTCAGTCAGACGTTAATAAGTGTGACTATGTCAAAATAAGTAAAAATATACTTACAACTCCTCACTATCAGATGCTTCCCTCTTTTGAACATGGTTTTCTTGTTTATTGTCTACCGTACTGGTAAGCTCAATAGCCTGAATATCACTGTAATTTAATAAAAATAATATACATTCAATTTTTTCTCTAGTCCTATACAGCGAAAATACATATACAGGGTGTTTCAAAACAAATGCGAAAAACTTCATGGGGTGATTCCTTGTTCAAAATAAAGGGTAGTTTGCTTCATAAACGTTGGGTCAAAAGTCAACCATTAGGGAGATATCGCGGTACAAAGATGGCGGAAAAATAATGTTTTTATTTTTTATCTTAAAAACGAATAGAGATAGACTAATGAAATTTTATGGAAGCATTACTGTTATGAAAACACACTTTCTGGCAATCTTCTCACTTTTTTAAAATGAGTGGAAGGGGTTGAAATAAATTACCCCTATCATCCTTGTTAACGAAATTTAAAGAAAAATCTTAACAAATACATGCAAAAAAAAACGATGTACCTAAACAGCCGTTAAACAGTAGCCTACTAAAATGCCGTTAATAGATATTGTGACGTCGTTCATGTCGGCGGAAAGTAATGCCTAGCCTTAAGCATTTTGCAATAGCACCTGTGGGTCAGTGGCTGAGGCTGTCGCTTCGTACGCGAATGGTCCGTGGTTCAAATCTCACGCCGACCAAGACTTTTTTATATTTTTTTTGCTTATAGCGTGATCTTATTGCATTGGTTTCACTCTTTTTGGTTGGATTGGTTTAGTTATTTGGCGGGTTGGTTAGCGTGGTTATTTGGAGGGTGTTAATTCATTGGTTAGTTGGTTATTTGGTGGGGTTGGTTGATTTTTACTAATTTATATTTGTTTTTTATATTTTTTATATTATACTATATACTATATTTATATTATTTTTTATTTTATTGTATTTGATTTTCCTTATTCAATGTTTTATCTCACGTCATTGTTAAGTTTAAAAGATCATCAATATTGTAACAATGAATAGATTAAATATTAAAAAAAAGAGCCGGACTTGAAATTAGTTTAAATAAATTGTGTTTAAATGCCTGAAACAAAAAAATATTAAGTGTGGCATATCATTGTACTTAGGAGACCGAATTCTTTCAAAACCTGATATAAAAAATGCAGGACCTGGACCTGCGGCACTAAAAAGTTTTTTGTAATTTTCTCGAAAATTATCAAGATGTAAAATTTTTAACAATTTTTATTGTAAAAATATACTTATGGCCGTTTCTGGATTCGAACTATACTACCAGACCAGTACAATACTTGCACTTATTTAATAGACACTCAGTACATTCAGTCAGATGTTAATAAGTGTGACTATGACAAAATAAGTAAAAATATACTTACAACTCCTCACTATCAGATGCTTCCCTCTTTTGAACATGGTTTTCTTGTTTATTGTCTACCGTACTGGTAAGCTCAATAGCCTGAATATCACTGTAATTTAATAAAAATAATATACATTCAATTTTTTCTCTAGTCCTATACAGCGAAAATACATATACAGGGTGTTTCAAAACAAATGCGAAAAACTTCATGGGGTGATTCCTTGTTCAAAATAAAGGGTAGTTTGCTTCATAAACGTTGGGTCAAAAGTCAACCATTAGGGAGATATCGCGGTACAAAGATGGCGGAAAAATAATGTTTTTATTTTTTATCTTAAAAACGAATAGAGATAGACTAATGAAATTTTATGGAAGCATTACTGTTATGAAAACACACTTTCTGGTAATTTTCTCACTTTTTTAAAATGAGTGGAAGGGGTTGAAATAAATTACCCCTATCATACTTGTTAACGAAATTTAAAGAAAAATCTTATCAAATACATGCAAAAAAATAACGATGTACTTAAACAGCCGTTAAACGGTAGCCTACTAAAATGCCGTTAATAGATATTGTGACGTCGTTCATGTCGGCGGAAAGTAATGCCTAGCCTTAAGCATTTTGCAATAGCACCTGTGAGTCAGTGGCTGAAGCTATCGCTTCGTACGCGAATGGTCCGTGGTTCAAATCTCACGCCGACCAAGACTTTTTTATATTTTTTTTTGCTTATAGCGTGATCTTATTGCATTGGTTTCACTCTTTTTGGTTGGATTGGTTTAGTTATTTGGCGGGTTGGTTAGCGTGGTTATTTGGAGGGTGTTAATTCATTGGTTAGTTGGTTATTTGGTGGGGTTGGTTGATTTTACTAATTTATATTTGTTTTTATATTTTTATATTATACTATATACTATATTTATATTATTTTTTATTTTATTGTATTTGATTTCCCGTATTCAATGTTTTATCTCACGTCATTGTTAAGTTTAAAAGATCATCAATATTGTAACAATGAATAGATTAAATATTAAAAAAAAGAGCTGGACTTGAAATTAGTTTAAATAAATTGTGTTTAAATGCCTGAAACAAAAAATATTAAGTGTGGCATATCATTGTACTTAGGAGACCGAATTCTTTCAAAACCTGATATAAAAAATGCAGGACCTGGACCTGCGGCACTAAAAAGTTTTTTGTAATTTTCTCGAAAATTATCAAGATGTAAAATTTTTAACAATTTTTATTGTAAAAATATACTTATGGCCGTTTCTGGATTCGAACGATACTACCAGACCAGTACAATACTTGCACTTATTTAATAGACACTCAGTACATTCAGTCAGATGTTAATAAGTGTGACTGTGACAAAATAAGTAAAAATATACTTACAACTCCTCACTATCAGATGCTTCCCTCTTTTGAACATGGTTTTCTTGTTTATTGTCTACCGTACTGGTAAGCTCAATAGCCTGAATATCACTGTAATTTAATAAAAATAATATACATTCAATTTTTTCTCTAGTCCTATACAGCGAAAATACAAATACAGGGTGTTTCAAAACAAATGCGAAAAACTTCATGGGGGATTCCTTGTTCAAAATAAAGGGTAGTTTGCTTCATAAACGTTGGGTCAAAAGTCAACCATTAGGGAGATATCGCGGTACAAAGATGGCGGAAAAATAATGTTTTTATTTTTTATCTTGAAAACGAATAGAGATAGACTAATGAAATTTTATGGAATCATTACTGTTATGAAAACACACTTTCTGGTAATTTCCTCACTTTTTTAAAATGAGTGAAAGGGGTTGAAATAAATTACCCCTATCATTCGTGTTAACGAAATTTAAAGAAAAATCTATCTATTTGTTTGTTTAGAAACTTTTTTATCTCTTGTGTTTTTTTATAAAACTCGCCGAACTGTCAAGAAATTCCATCAGAATGGACCTGCGGCACTAAAAAGTTTTTTGAAAATTTCCCGAAAATTAATTGTCAAGATTGTAAAAAATATACTTATATAATGGCCGTTTCTCGATTCGAACTATACTACCAGACCAGTTCAAATACTTGCACTTATTTAATAGACACTCAGTAAATTCAGTTATTTAGACGTTAATAAATGTGACTATGCCAAAATAGTTAACTAAGAAATTAGCCAACACTGAGTAAAAATATACTTACAACTCCTCACTATCAGATGCTTCCCTCTTTTGAACATGGTTTTCTTGTTTATGGTCTACCGTACTGGTAAGTTTAATAGCCTGAATATCACTGTAATTCAATAAAAAAAACATACATTAATTTTTTTCTCTAGTCCTATATACAGCGAAAAAATATATATGTTACAGTGAAAGTCGGAAATTCAATGATTATTAACATTCACTAGGAAGTGCTAACAATTACGCAGTGAATGTAGTATTTTAAAGAGATTTGTCGACTTTTCCTGGTAATTTCTAACATTCACTAGTGAAAGTAACATTTACTACTAAAGGTTGCCAGTAAAAGTTATTCTACTGCATAGAGCGAGTGTGGCGAGGAAGAACGTTGGTGAAAATTTGAACAAATAAAACTTTTAAGAATATTGGACCACCTCAATATTCAAGGTGATCCACATATCTTAAAATTACAGTTGGGGGTTGGAACCTTTGGTGTTCATCATCAGGAGATGATTAAAAACTCAAGAGTTTTTAATCATCTGCTGACGATGCTAACATGGTTAGCGAAACGCGCGTCCAGTCTAAAAGTAAAAGTGTTTTGGTGTATTGTGGTGATTTAGTGTTTTATTTTGCTATCTTAAAATTACAATTTACTTCTTTAGTATATTTATTAAAAATTACAGAAAATAACGACATAACCTTCTAAATATTAAAAGAGAAAACATAGTAAACGTTTTAAAGCGTACAAAACAATTAAAAAAAAACATTTATAAACATAAGATTACTTATTGGTACAAAGTTTTTTTAATAAAGCTCTTCATCGTGGATAAAATAAAGTATGCCCGAATTTTCTTCAACGGGAGTTATTCGTCTTTTCAAACCCGCTACTTCAAGCATATCAAAACGTTTAATAAGTTTATAGTCACTAAGTTCCTTAAAATATACTTTTCTCTTGCATGCTTAACTTTTGCTATGACTTCATTATATTGCAAAAATGAAAAACAAGCACTATTACCTTCTAGCGAGTGCCTAGTTTACCTTAATTTTTCACAGAAAATGTCCTCCATAGGGAAAATACCGCACAGCACTTTTTACCACGATAACAAAACAATAACACATAACCACAAAAAACAAAGCGAATTTACGTCAGATGTCTGTCAACGTTTCCAACGTTTAGCCTAATTTAATGTTATCCTTATATTGCCTATTATTCAACTTATCCTTATATTTTACAACTTGTGGCAACCGCGCTAATTGAATCTTTCAAACTCACTGCTATCGTCCAGGGAATGCTAGCTTTCACTAGTAAAAGTTGGTTTCAAAAATAGCTGTTGAACTTTCACTGGCGTAATCTTAGCAAATCAGTGAATGTGAGCTTTTGCTAGTAATTGTTAACAATCACTGATTTCCAACGTATTGTAACATATATAACACTACCGTCGTATAATATGGGTTTTCAGGATATTATTTTCTATGCATAATTCTTAGATTATCAATAAACTTTCATGCAGCCAGTATGAAATTCGTTAAGGTGATGTATTAAACGAAATCTTGACGAATTACAGTACGCACAACAGTACCCCTCTCCTTCTTCCGTTGCCAAGTGAACTACTTTGTGATATTTCATCTTATAAGAAAATGACGTTCGGTAGTCACACATGGAACATTTATAAAGATTTTTTCCCACTCTTCCACTTTTCCTCTTTGTCTTTTTTCTGGTCAAATAATTTTAAAATATTACAATCTTGTAATGGGTTTATAAACTTATAACTACACTCACCGGCACGAAAAACGGGCACCTTAAAGTATAATTTTTATTTGAATATAATTATATATTTTGTTTTAGTGAGCCGATTTTGATGTTTTAAAGCCGTTTGGAGCTAAATTATTTGGTTTGGTTTGTTTCTTTTTAGTACCCCGTTCTAAATTAAAAATGAACGTTCCCATCTGTCATTTATACGAGGGAAATTGACAGATGGCAACTTCAATTTTTAATTTAGACTGTATTCCGTTGTAAAACCAGGCGAACCAGACCGGTAAAGAGCGGTTCCTGAAAAACATCGGTCTGATACGGAACGGTTTGGTAAAATACTGGAAACGTCAAATGTTGACGTTTTCTAAATTTCAATACCTCTATTATAAAATTTATCTTTTATGCATTTTTAATGTGCCTGTTCTCTGCTTTTACGTTTGCTTCTTCTTTTTAATGGAGTTTAATATTGAAAAGTACTTTATTAATAATCTGTTAAGCTCGTTAGACAGCTCAAGAGAAGATTTGCATTGCCCGTTTTTCGTGCCGGTGAGTGTATTTATATTTTTTAACAGCAAAATTACTTAAAAAAGGACACTTAGTAAAAAACATACCTATTTACAATACCATCACAATCTAGTCTGTTTAGAACAACAACAAGTTCTAACTTCTGTTCTACATTGTTTGAAACTTGTTCTTCTTGTTCGTTGGTCTCTGTGCTGGTAAGATCGACAGTATTATTTACAACACCATCAGAATCTAGTCTGTTTAGAACAACAACAAGTTCTAACTTCTGTTCTACACTGTTTGAAACTTGTTCTTCTTGTTCGTTGGTCTCTGTGCTGGTAAGATCGACAGTATTATTTACAACACCATCAGCATCTACTCTGTTTAGAACAACAACAAGTTCTAATTTCTGTTCTACACTGTTTGAAACGTGTTCTTCTTGTTCATTGGTCTCTGTGCTGGTAAGATCGACAGTATTGATGTCGCTGTAATTTAGTAATAATTATATTAATAAATATATTTTATCTGTCTCTGGTGTTGTGTCAGCGACAGAGCGATTTAATTTATGACTAGATTATCTTTGACATATCAGAATTGTTAGAAATCTTTGACATGTCACAATTCGGAAATTGTTGAATTTAGGTACATTATGTGTATTTGCTCAATAAAATTATAAATGAAGAGGAAGTACCCCGAGACTGGGAATTGGGAATTATTTTGCCTATATTCAAGAAAGGTGATAAAACATCATGTGCAAACTATAGAGGCATCAATTTGCTTAGCATACCATCGAAGGTGTTTGAAAGAATTCTGGAATAACGATTAAAGGGGGACACAGATGAAATACTCGATCAAGCACAGAGTGGCTTCAGAAAGGGAAGTAGTGTGCAGGACCATATATTCACGCTCAAACAAATGGCAGAAAGAATAAAAGTAACGGGGAAAAATATATATGTAGCATTCTTAGATATCGAAAAAGGGTTCCTAGACAAGTCGTGTGCAATAGCCAAATGAAAAGGAATGTCTATTCAAACCTGAAGAGTGCCATAATGTGTTTATACAAAAACACAAGGAACTATGTAAGAACAGACAATGTGGTTTCGGATATTTTTACCGTAAATGAAGGGCTGAGACAAGGTGGAGTCCTCAGCCCGGCACTGTTTAATTTAGTTATGGATGAGATATAATAAAGGATAAAAGTGCAGCTGTTATAAGAGTATACGCCGGTCATAGAAATCTACAACCAATTTGGATAAAAGAATGTGCATTTGCAGATGACTTGGCAATTTTAGCTAACAGCGAAAAAGAACTGAAAAGAAATTTAGAAATATGGCTGGAAGCTCTTGGAAAGAGAAATCTAAAAATCAATGAGATTAAAACTAAAGTTATGATTTTAGGTAAAACAGAAGCCAATATGAATATAGAGATAAATGACATCAATTTAGAACAAGTCGATTCATACAAATATTTGGGTGTGAACATCAGTAGCACAGGAGAACAAGAGATGGAAATTATCGAAAGAATTGGCAACACGTCCCGCTTGTATCAAGCCATTAAGAACAGAAGAAGTTTCTTAAATAAAAAAGAAATCTCGAGAGCAGTGAAGATGAGTGTATACAAGACAGTATTCATACCGACGTTGTTTTTTGGCTGTGAAAGTTGGGTATTAACTAAAAGATTGAAGAGTAAGATCCAAAGAATGGAGATGTTATATCTACGAAGAGTATTTGGGGTAACAAGGAAAGATAGACTAAGAAACAGGTTTATAAGAGAGGAACTAAAAGTAAACTCGATCCTGAATAAAATTGAGCAATAAGTGGTATGGATATTTGATCAGAATGAACAACGACATACAAGTAAAAGGCGTGTGGGAAGCTAAAATGCAGGGAAAGAGACCAAGGGGAAGACCAACTAAAACATGGAATGACACAATAGAGAAGATAGTGCAGGATAGAGACTAACATTAACAGAAGCCAAAAGTTGAGCAAGAGACAAAAATAAATGAAAACAATTTGTGTATAGTGTAGCAATTAAGTGAATTTATTTAATTTAGTATACCTTACACCTTCGGGTAGAAAGGTTTTTGGTTATTATATATATATATATATATATATATATATATATATATATATATATATATATATATATATATATATATATATATATATATATATATATATATATATATATATATATATATATATATATATATATTTTTGTTTTTCACTCTTGGCTTTTAGGTCGTTGGGGTTGCAAAGATGTTTCTAGATTTTGTTCATTATTTTTTATTTTGTGACGACGTTTCGACAGTATATGTCTTTTTCAAGCCTCTTGAACGTAGATTCTTTCAGACTGGACAACACAATAACACATATTACTATTGTTTTTAATTGTTTTTGGACATTACACTTAACTACGAGCGCGTACGTATTTCCTTGCCGATCGCTCTGTATAAAACACATTCATCGGTTCAATACCGGTGAGAAAGTAGACATCGGGTATTGAACCGATGAATGTGTTTTATACAGAGCGATCGGCAAGGAAATACGTACGCGCTCGTAGTTAAGTGTAATGTCCAAAAACAATTAAAAACAATAGTAATATGTGTTATTGTGTTGTCCAGTTTAACAAATTTTAACTCTGAAAGAATCTACGTTCAAGAGGCTTGAAAAAGACATATACTGTCGAAACGTCGTCACAAAATAAAAAAATAATGAACAAAATCTAGAAACATCTTTGCAACTCAACGACCTAAAGCCAAGAGTGAAAACAAAAAAATATATAGTATACAGGTCAAAGAAACGAAAAAAAAAAAAAAAAAATATATATATATATATATATATATATACAAATATACAAAGAGGAAGTCTTGACCGATCAATTATAACCAAAACTAAGAAGAAAATTCTTGGGGATAGCGGTCTAGAGGCAAAAAATTAAATAATTTATTACAAACGCCGAGCTTTCGGAAAATATGTTTCCTTTTTCAAGGCTAAAACATATCACAAAAGTCAACTGAATATAATATAATATTATATAAACTTACGTGTAAAAAGTTTAATTATAAAAATAGAAAAATATATCAATTTCCATATGGAAGAAAGGAACTAAAATTTTGTATAAAAGTTAAAATCTTCTTAAAAATTCATGATTTCTGACATTACTAAAAATTATTTTGACATAGAAAGGTAAATTTAATTATTGATAAAAAACACGTAAAAAACATATAAGGTTAATCACAAGTTACAAATAAAAATAAAAAATCAAATTTTAAATATTATTTTTATTTTTAATAAAATGGAGTAAGAAAGAATATATATTACTAAGATCCTCAATATCTTTTCTTTTATTAATACAATTATCATTAATGTAAATTTCTACCATTTCAAGAAAAAGTCTTTTATTAGTATTAAATTCAGTATCCAAAATTTTTGCATTTTTAAAATCAATATTATGTAGTGTATCAATCACATTAATTCATTTTATTAAAAATAAAAATAATATTTAAAATTTGATTTTTTCTTTATTTTTATTTGTAACTTGTGATTAACCTTATATGTTTTTTACGTGTTTTTTATCAATAATTAAATTTACCTTTCTATGTCAAAATAATTTTTAGTAATGTCAGAAATCATGAATTTTTAAGAAGATTTTAACTTTTATACAAAATTTTAGTTCCTTTCTTCCATATGGAAATTGATATATTTTTCTATTTTTATAATTAAACTTTTTACACGTAAGTTTATATAATATTATATTATATTCAGTTGACTTTTGTGATATGTTTTAGCCTTGAAAAAGGAAATATATTTTCCGAAAGCTCGGCGTTTGTAATAAATTGTTTAATTTTTTGCCTCTAGACCGCTATCCCCCCAAGAATTTTCTTCTTAGTTTTGGTTATATATATATATATATATATATATATATATATATATATATATATATATATATATATATATATATATATATATATATAATGTGTATTTCGATTATGTACCTAAATTCAACAATTTCTGAACTATGAAGTTTTGATTTTGAGCTAACTTGAAAACTAATGTCAAATATTATTAAGTACCACAGTTTCCCCAGAATGGCATCGTTAAATGAAGCCGAATACATCAAAATTAATTAAATCGAATTGTTTAAGTGATATTTTCAAAAGTTAATAACTCGGAAACGGTTGGTTTGAGGCAAGGATACTATAGAGATAAGGATAGTTCGATTCCTATCTTCCTGCACTGTCAGTTTTTTACGTCATCTACTGACCGAGTTGAAGTTGGCGCTAAAGATTTTAGACAGTGACAGTTATTTTTGCATTTGACGGACGAGCGCACAGTGCGTTGGAAGATAAATTTAGCGGGACAAAAGCGTTTGGTTAGAAATAAGCCAAAAAATGTGTACTGATAAGAATAAATAGTAGACATTCCAATTGATAAAAAATGCATGAATATTCTTTGTATTTCGATACATTTTTATCAACCAAATTTGGTCGTTTTCTGCTCAGCAAGGCAGAGATCATACGAAAACAAAATATTTACAAATGCTTATACATTTTATTAGAAAGCCAAATTATGTTGAAGATTGCCAAAGGTATGTACTTTTCTACTGTATGTATATTATTTGTTAAAATCCTTCGTGCCTTTGTTCTGCAGATATCAAACTTACACTTTTTTTTCAAATATCGATATATTGAATGATGTAGATCTTTTGAGTTACCAATAGTTACCAACACAGGTAGTCGCAGTCACAGGGAGTTCAAGCTTAACAGGTGAATGCCCAAAAAGATTCATTTCAATCGGATAGTATAAAAACAAAACAACTCCATCAAAAGGCACTGAGTTTAAAAAATTGTCTTAGATACTTAATATATGAATTTACAATTACCGAGTGTTAAAATTAAAATTAAAATATCTATCTTATTTATTATTTTCAAAATAAAATATATTTTTTTAAAATAAATTATAGAGGGTGTCACAAGATTACAAATTAATTTAAAAATAACTGCTAAAGAGTTTTTTGATATCATAATTTTATGTATTTGGCAATAGTTTACAATACGGTTTTTGTGTATCATGTACGAATAATATCATATCGTTTTATTATCTTGTATTTATTTATTAATAAATTAAGTTGTTAATAAATAAATAAATTTAACCATATAGTTGCTATATATTAGACCATTTGCTACGTTCTTAGATTTTAAGTTCCAAACATTGCGCTTGAGATTTTGTCCCGCTAGAATAACCATCCGCCGCACTGTGGAGCGCTGGTCAGCGCGTGACGTAGCATTCCACGGCGACTAGGACAGCGGCGATTTGACGCGATCGAACAGTCCTTTAGAATATATACAGTCCTTGGGTTTGAGGTACATTATGTGTATCTTGATTTTTGCTTAGAATTGAAGGAAGAACCGAAATACGCACCAATATACAGGGGGTTTCATTTAAAAAAATGAAACTTTCATGTGCCACGACTTTATGAGCGACCCTGTATACTTAAATTTATTACCCGCTAATATATATTTAAAAACCCTACAACTTTTATATTTAACTTTTTGCGGTACCTTTTATATTTTACCTAATAATCGACTGTTCCCATACATATCAGCGACCCTGTATAGCAGACAGTTATTCTCCGTCGTTTTAATTTATGCGTAGATTATCTTCGACATTTCAAACTATTTAAATAAAGAACTAATCAAAACAATGAGTAAAAACATACTTACAGCTCTAACTTATCATCAGATAAAATATTGGTTTGAAAATATTCTTCTTGTTTATAGTCCCCCGCGATGGTAAGTTCATCGTAATGGATATCACTATAATTTAATAAGAATTATATTAATAATATTTCTTTCACTATAAGCTGTCTAGCTAGTGAATATGTTATATAAGACAGTGACGATTGTTCTCTGTCATTTGACTTCACGAGTAGATTGATTCTTTTCTGACATTTTTTTGATAACATCTGTCGAAATTAAATACTCTCTAGCTGGACAGACTATATTCATCAAGATGTAAAGAAAACATGCATTAATTAATATGATAGTGATGAAATAGATAAATAAAAAAATAAAAAGTTCCTTATAAAACTATACTTACAGCTCTAACTTCGGTTCTATGCAGTTTTGAACTTGCTCTTCTTGAATATTGCCTTCCGAGCTTGTAAGTTCAACGTCGTGAATATCACTGTAATTTAATAAGAATTATATTAATAATATTTCTTTCACTATAGGTTGTCTAGCAAGAGGCTAGCAAGTGAGTATATATGACAGTTCTGTATATACTACAGGGTTGTTCACCACATACGACACGGAGTATTGTAGCTAAACGATTAGGTTTTTACAAATTGTAAGTTTTGGGTTCGTTGAAGGACTATTAGAGCTACAACTTAAAAATATTTTTACAAGATACAGAGTGTCCCAAATAAGTAAAAAATATTATAGTTGTATTTTTTAAATGGAACACCCTGTATATTATCGTATTTTTGGATTCTACGATTGAAATAAAGGTAAATTTGATTAAGGTTTATCACACTTAAACCTTACCGTTTTTGAAATATTTTCAATTTTATGAAATTGCAGTAAAAATTTTAAAGCTTCATTTCTCCAAGGGTATCAAAGTTTTTAATACTAAATATTTTCTGAAGATTATTTATTGATCATATATTGTGCTGCAATAATAAAAATTTTACTATCTTATACAGAGTGTCCAAAAATTTATATTAAATAATTACTAGCTTTAAACGGCAATAACTTGTTTAATTTAAATAGAACACCCTATATATTTTACGTGAATCAGATGCACAATGTAATTGTCTATCAAATTGTATTATGCCATTTTTTACCCATCTCTTCAAGTTTTCGTAGAAAATGTATTTTCTTATAATTTAGACCTCATTTATCACTATACCCATGGAATATTGACATTTCAGATTTTTTATATAGCACCATATATGTACAAAATGTACAGGTGGTAAATATTGCAAGCCCATTGGTATACAAAAAAAAACTATTTAAATCTTTGTAAAAGAGTATACCAATTAAATATACCACCATTATTTCCGACCAAAAACACCAAAAATTAGTTAATTACATACTTTTAAATTGTTTTAATTGATAAAGTATTCTAATTAAATGTGGATTTGGCTCAGAAATCAATATAATAAAATGTTATGAAAATGAACGTCTCTGTTTTTATAAATGAAGCATTCGTCAAAAAATGAAATAAAATTTAGAAGGTGTTACTTTTTACCACACTGTTCTAATACACACACAAAATTAATTTTTTTAGTATTTGGAGCAATTATTATTAATCAACGTAAACAGTCAATTAATGTAGTTTAAATACTGGGATCAGATTAATTGGTCCTCTTTAACAAAAAATAATTAAACAGTTTTTTTTATTTTTTAACTATAACGACATATCGACAATATTAGTATCTGTACCCTTGAGAGAGAGAGAGAGAGAGAGAGAGAGAGAGAGAGAGAGAGAGTTAGTAGTTAAATAATAAGTTAAAAAATCCTATTAAAACTAGACTTACAGCTCTAACTTCTGTTCTATGCCGTTCTGAACTTGCAATTCTTGTTCATTGTCTTCTGTGGTAAGATCTACAGTGTCCACAGTCAAACTAACAAAATATTTTAGTTAAAAAATACAACAGGATCACCTATATGGTGACATTATATTTTTGGAAGGTTATTATAGCCTTATATCTATGAAAATGTATATAATCTATGTATAAATCTTAAACAAAGAACTACATTAATAATATTTATTTCACTATACGGTGTCTAGCAACAGAATATATATAACAGTAACAAATGTTCCCTAACATTTGACATTTCACAAGTAGAGTGACTTTTTTCTGACATTTCTTATACGCAATCTGCCGAAATTAAACATTCTCTTGCTGGACAGACTATAGTCTACCCAACGAGAGGCTGGATCCCTGACAGTAGAGAACAACGGCCTACGGTCGAGTCGGCCGCTGCTGGCACGTATACGTAGACGTAAAGAATCTTTTACGTGTATAAAAAATTAAAAATATAAGAAATGCGCATGCGTACGTAAACGTTTACGTGTTTGTAGTATGTGCCGTTGTTCTCTAGTGACAGTTGTCTGTCATTTTAATTCGTAGGCAAATTGTACTTTCTATCACTACGTATAAAATATGTTTTATGTATAATTCTTATATTAACAATAAATTTACCTGGAATTGGTATGATTATTACCAAGGTGATTAGTTTGTAAGGCCTTTCTTGTCATTAATGTTTGGTTGCACTGCGCATAAGCAAACAACTGGTGTTTTTGCGGTACCAAGTGAAATGCCTTGTGACGACCAAAGTTAGACATGTCTGTCGTTATGTAGTCACACAGGTGACATTTAAACATTATTTTCTGCATAGTTGTTCTTCTAATAAAATAAATTACCGTATTATAATTTGTTGTTATTATTATAGGTACGCGATTACTACTGTGTGTAAAAAAAACATACTTAAATCGTAAAACGCCATCAAGTTCTTCCTTGATTATAAGAGTTTTCTCTTGTTCGTTGTTTTCTATACTGGAAAGATCACTAGCGCGAGTATCCCTGTAATTTAATAAGAATTACATTAATAATATTTCTTTGTCTACAGGCTGTCTAGCAAAAGAATATGTAATAGTAACTGTTTTTCTCTGACATCTGTGGAAATTCAACATTCTTTTGCTACACATAACAACATATATTGAGTTATAAAGAAAACATCGTCGGTGAAATGTGATAAACTGCTAACTCCATCACTAATTTTACAGGAGAGCAAAAAAAACGGTACAAAAAAAATATGTACAAATGTAGGAAGTATTTTCATGCGTTAATATGATAAAAAAATAAGCAGTTTATTTGCTGGGGAACAATAAAACTCAATATTTCGTGTTACTTAAATTTTTTCAGACACAATAGGGAGATAGCAGATATTCGTCTTGCAGAAATAAGAAATAAAATTATATTTCTGGAGATAGCAACCTTTATTTTTTGAAATTTTGAAAATGGAATTGAATATTACCCGAACAGATTTAGAAATAATCAATTAAATTTTAAAAATGTGATATTCATAACCATATATTTATAATATCGTCGGTCTAGAAGCAAAACATACAAGTCCAAAAACGAATAAATTTTTAATGCATTTTTTAAAGAACTGAAGTAGCAACATTTTGAACTTAATTTATATGAAAATAATTTAAAAATTAAACTTATAATTCTTAGAAGATATGGTAGAATCCTTCCATGCTTATCCTATTTTTTTACAACGGTCGGTAGTAGACCGAGCTTGGAAAACAGTGCGGTCATTATACGATGAAAACAGCGAAATTTTATTAAATTTTTATTACTTTTCTCCTTATTTTTTTAATTTTTATAAAGATTATGTATCATTTACGTGGTAAACGTAAAAATAAAACTGATTAGGTATTATGGAAATTCTTGTACAAGTAAGTAATGGTTATTTAACGCATTTATAGCACGCCGATGAATTGCTCGTATATAGAGGATTTCGTTTTTCCCCTTACCCCATATTATATATATAACTATTAGAGGGGCCCCAGCCTTCGCGGGCCCCCTTTATTGTTCATTATTTATTCTTAACAATATTTGCTTTTGCATTGCATTGGTTTACCTTGCATTAGGGTAGTTCCTTGATTTCTATACAGGGTGAGTCTTATATAAGTGCAAATATTTTCAAGGCTGGTAAATTTCGATAAAAGAAACATAATATTTTCTCTTTGCCGTTTTTTCAAATAAATCCAAAACAACCGTGTTATTTCACTTTTAAAATTTCCAATTTTTTGCTAAAATTTTGAGAATCACTCGATTTTCTTTCTTGTAAATTTAATCTACTAATTATTAAACCAAAAATTAAAATAATCTCCAAATTTTTTTTGTGCGGCCTAGTGCGGCCCTGGGATGCAACTTTGTTCATGTTTCAAAGCGATAGTAAAGTAATTTGTAGCTTGAGGCACTCTGTTCAGTAGCAACATCGATTCGTAGCGATATTCTGATTTCTCGCTTTGTGGCGAGGCGACTGCCTAGACATAGCCTAGACCGTGTCGCACACGTGTGCAAGAGTGTGATAGTGATATCATATTTCGCTGCATTTGAGCGACACTAGTTTTGCAATGAACATAGTACCGATCTGGCTTCGACATCGCTTCTAAACGATCGGTTGCTAACTTGAACAAAGTTGCACCCCTGGATCGACGCGCGACGTACTGTACTAAAGAAACATACGAGTAAGAATCCGTGTGTTTACTCTAGCGTGATCGTAAGGGAAATTACGGAGATAGCAGCATTTCGGTGGCTATTTTAGATCACTGGGAGTTAGCAAATATTATTGAGTTAAAATAGCAAATTTTCTTTAATGGGAAAAAATGTATTTGCTTTCCCTACTTAGAGAGTATTTTTTTCTCTTTCTAATGGTATAAAAAACGTATCAACAACATAAAAAATGGAGTTAGCAGGTTATCACGTTTCACTGACGACATGTATTATTTATTATGACAATGTTAAAATAATTAAAGACTCAATTAAGAAACTCCGAGTAAACATACAGGGTATCATTGAAATGGTGTAAAAAATAGAATAATCAGGGGGTGATAGTACTCCTCAAAATAGTAAAAAAAGTTCCTATAAATATAGGGCTGAAAATGCATATTAAGGGAGTTAGGGGCACCGAAAGGGTGAATTTAAAAAACGGTTTTTTGAAATTGTAGGCTTAAAAAACGAGATAAAATTTTGAAAAAAAATGCTTTGCCATAAATTTTGACCCTAAATCAAATGGTGATACTGAAAAATTATTTGGAAAAGCGGAAAGGCTAGTTTTTGCAAGGGTAGGGGTTTGTTTCGTGAATAACTTCTTAGAGGTTATTTTTTTTGCAACGTGGGTTCATTTTTTGAAAACTACATACTTTTTACTACAAAAAAAGGTACTCTTGTTGCACATCGCCCAGAGCGATGGTTTTCGAGAAAATTGAAGGCAAAGAGTTTGCTCTGATGGGTTGGTATCAACATAAACTTATGAAAGTTATGGCGGTTCAAAAGTAACCAAGTAGTTATCAAATAATTAATTGAACAATCAAAATTTTATGAATTTTAAAATATCTTATTGCTTTAAAAAACGAAATAATCCACTAGATTTCTACTTCTAGGGCCACTTTGAAAGCTCTGGTTTACTCAGTGCCGATTAATACTGAAGAGCAACTACGGCAACGCATTATTGACTGTTCCAATCAAATTCGGACAAACACCAAGGATATTCCACAGGGTACGCAGATCTTGGAGAAGAAGAGCAGATGTCTGCATTGAAATGAATGGTGGTCACTTTAAACATTTACTATGAATGAATTAAGGAATGCATTATTTTAATAAGGATTGTTTGTAATTGGTTTATTTCGTTTTTAAAGCAATAAGATGTTTTAAAAATCATGAAATGTTGATTTTCCAATTAATTATTAAATAACTACTTGGTTACTTTTGAACCGCCATAACTTTCATAAGTTTATGTTGATTAACCAGTTAGCAAAACCCATCAGAGCACACTCTTTGCCTTCAATTTTCTCGAAAACCATCACTCTGGGCGATGTGCAACAAGAGTACCTTTTTTGTAGGAAAAAGTATGTAGTTTTCAAAAAATGAACCCACGTTGCAAAAAAATAACCCCAAAAAAGTTATTCACAAAACAACCCCCTACCCTTGCAAAAACTACCCTTTCCGCTTTTCCAAATAATTTTTCAGTATCACCATTTGATTTAGGGTCAAAATTTATGGCAGAGCATTTTTTTCTCGAAATTTTATCTCGTTTTTTAAGCCTACAACCGTTTTTTAAATTCACCCTTTCAGTGCCCCTAACTCCCTTAATATGAATTTTCCGCCCTATACTTATAAGAACTTTTTTTACTATTTTTAGGAGTACTATCACCCCCCGATTTTTTTTCAACCATTTCAATAACACCCTGTATAATCACCGCTCTAAATTCTGTTTTATGCCGATTTGAACAACTTGCTCTTCTTGTTTATTGACTTCCGCGTTGGTAAATTCAACATCATTGATATCACTGTAATTTAATAAGAATTGCGTTAATATGTCCTTCTCTATAGCCTGTCAAGCAGGAGAATAAATTACAATGACGATTATTCTCTGTCGTTTGACTTCTCAAGTAGGAGTATATTTAATGAAGCTGGGGTACTGCTTCGCGACCTCTAAACCTCCTGCCAAGCATTTCCCAAACTTCGAACATGATGGGCAGTTCACAGTAGTATATAGTTCACAATAATCACCAAAGCTGTCTTGTCATATTAAAAAAAAAAATTCAAAATTAAATTATAATTGAAAAAACTGCAAATTGTTGGTGGCAAGTTCATTTCGTTCTTAAAAATTAACCAAGACATGTATTGACATGATCCAAAAAACAAAATGCTCAGGAGACATGGTTCTGACCCTAAAATTATATTTCAGGAGAATCTACATACGAAATTATTGCACAGGGTGTGTCAAAGTTCGGGTAAAAAAACAACCCCTCGATTAACCCTGTATAATATACCAAATAGTAAAGTTTATAAAAAACTGAGTTTACGAATTAAATTTGATATAATTATATACAGCTTGCTAAAAAATTCATGAAAATAGGGCTAAAAACAACAGAAAAAACAATCTTCGTAGCGTTTTTTTTGCATCTGAGCGTATATGACAGTGATGATTGTTCTCTGTCATTCGACTTTACAAGTAAATTAATTCTTTTCTGACATTTTTTTGATGATATCTGTAGAAATTAAATATTCTCTAGCTGGAAAGACTATATGCATCGAGTTATAAAGAAAACTAGCATTAATTAATGTGATAATGATGAAATAGTTAATAGCCTATAGTTAAATAAAAAATTAAAAAATTCCTAGTAAAACTATACTTACAGCTCTAACTTCTGTTCTACGCTGTTTTGAACTTGCTCTTCTTGATTATTGCCTTCCGAGCTTGTACGTTCAACGTCATGAATATTTCTGTAATTTAATTATTAATAATATTAATAATATTTCTTTCACTATAGGTTGTCTAGCAAGTAAGTATACAGGGTGTCCCAGGCTGAGCCTGCATTAGAAGTTTCTAGAGAACCACAATATCTAGATCGGAGATTTTTTGCACATCATTGTTTTACAACGAGATTTATTGATTAAAAATATTTTCAATATGGCGGCACTTCCGGAAATACAGGAATTTGACAGCAACGTTTTTATTTTAAACGGGTTACCCCATTTTTTATTTCATACTTATACTTACTATATATGAATTTACAATTACCGAGTGTTAAAATTAAAATTAAAATATCTATCTTTTATTTATTATTTTCAAAATAAAATATAATTTTTGAAAATAAATGATAAAGGGTGTCACAAGATTACAAAGTAATTAAAAAATATCTGCTAAAGAGTTTTTTGTAAGTATTTCACCTGATATCATAATTTTAATAGTTTATAATACGGTTTTTGTGTGTCATGTACGTATAATATCATAGTTTTATTATCTTGTATTTATTTATTTATTAATAAATTAATAAGTTGTTAATAAATAAATAAATTTAACCATATGGTTGCTATATATTAGACCATTTGCTACGTTCTTAGATTTTAAGTCCCAAACATTGCTCTTGAGATTTTGTCCCGCTAGAATAACCATCTGCCGCACTGTGGAGCGCTGGTCCCTGCGTGACGTAAGCATCGAATTGACGCGATCGAACAGTCCTTTAGAATATATACAGTCCTTGGAGAAACCCACTTTTTTATTTCACTAGTGATACATACGGTATATTATTATAATTGAAGAGTGGAAATACCAAAGGGGGTAAGTGCCAAAATTATTCTTTCGAGATAAATGAAAAAAACACAGTAAAACTGAAAATAATAAATATTTAAAATATCTTTTAAAATACATATAATATACATGAAAAATAGGCGCTTTCGCTTGGCACTTGTAACTTTTGTTAGGGCATGCAGTATGGTATTTATTACGTTTCTAATGTAATAACTTAATATTGAAAAATTTGGCATTTACCTCCTTTGGTATTTCCACTCTTCAATTAATAATATCAACTATTAGATATCACTAAAGAGCGAAAATACGAGATATATTTATATAAATACACTTTTTAAACTCTTAAGCAGGCATTATTAATAATATAGAATATTCAAATAATTCTTTTTCTGACAGATGAAAATAAATTGTCTTACTGTTTGACACTTAATGTCAAAGGAAGCTAGATGAAATCAAGAAAAATATACGTTTTCAAACTAAATCTTAAATAACTTATATTATTATTATTTTAGGTATAGGAACTGGAATAGTTAAAAAGTAACGAATTGAAAAACCTTTTCACTAGTGAAATAAAAAAAGTGGATTTCTATTTGAAAAAAATTATTTATGATAATTTTACCGCCATTATTACATGACATTTGAACAATTTAATTTTTGAAATAGATAGCTACAACTATCTCTTACTAAATATCTCTATATCTCTCAGTAAATATTTTTGAATCTTATTTTTATTTTTTTATTCTTTGACATTGTAAACATTTATAAATGTTTATTTTAAACAATAAGACTGACAATGTAATTTGTATACTTGTTTTGTTTTTAGAGTTGTTGTTAGTTTTTATACTTTGTTTTGTATTCCCTTTTGTTTGTTTACTTTACCTTTGTCTAAAAATTGTAAAATTTTTTTGACAAAAAAGTCATTTATTTATTTATTTACATGTCTTCTCTTTATGTCACAGTAGCTGTGGTAATCACTAAATTTGACTTTTAGGCTTGGAAAAAGCCCACTATGTTGGAGCGAAACGTCGCATAAAAAAAGTTTCCATCTCTCAATTTATTATAAAACCTCATACCCCAAAAAAAATATATGGATTTAAACTAAAGTAGATATTTATTAATAAATAATATTTTCTTGCCTTTAGCTGTGCATTTTTTCTAATTTCGAAAAATCGAAAGTAGAGAAAAAAAAATAAAAAGTAAAAAGAAAATTGTTTTGCTTGTCGTATCAAGCTCCACTCCCACAACTTGTTTCTGGGCTTACCCTTCATCAGGTGGGCTATCCAGGGGCTGGTTCTCACCGATACGGCAAGCAAAACTTTTTCAATATCAACAGACGATGTCGTAAAGTGTCGGTGAGATATTAGTGCATCTCCCGTCAAAAGATGGTAAAGAGCGTTTTTCGGCCCGCTCAAATATATATGAAATGAACAAAATTCTTACAACTTTAGTGTATATTAATAAATCATATTTTGGTTTTCTGGGCCTACCCTTAAACCGGTTGTGGGAGTGGAGCTCGATTCCCTCCTTTACGACAAGCAAAACAATTTGTTTTTACTTTTTATTTTTTTTTCTCTACTTCCGATTTTTCGAAATTAGAAAAAAATACACAGCTAAAGGCAAGAAAATATTATTTATTAATATACACTAAAGCTGTAAGAATTTTGTTCATTTCATGTAGATATTTATTATATATGTATCTTCTAATGGTGTAGTCAAAGATTAAATATCCAATATTACTCTTTGGTGTAGCACCTAATAACTTTTTAAGTATATGCTCTAGGTATTATACTATAGTCTGTAAAACGAATAACTTTGAATTTGACAGTTCCCGCGGGCTTTTCTACTGTTAATTTTATTAGGTTAGCAAGGGTTGTGCGGCCATGCTGACGCAATGCCGTCTCAGAACAGCCTCGGAGCGAGCTTTATGACGTCACGCTAGTTAGATACTACGGATTAATAAATATGTTGTAGAATACATGGAAAACATAATTATTCCTCGTATTTTTGGTTTGTATTTTAAAAATGATATAGTTTACATAAAATATACATAATACACAGTTAATAAATACAATATATATTCCTATTTATAGTAATAAATATTTTGGCAGATAAATTATGAACCATACAAATGCAGCAAATGTTTTACAATATGGCTGAAATCGTACTCCATAGTCAATGTAGATAGTTTTTGTGTTAAAAGTAATAATTTAAAAAAAAATATGTGGTCATCTTTTGACAAGTTTATATTAGTTTATTAATTGCAGTAAACATTATAATATATAAATAAATTTTGTGAATGCAAATAATAATACATACATCACTATTAGTAGATATTGAATGTTTTTTGTTAAATTAGATCGATTTTTAAACCCCAAAATTTAAAATATATTTTACATTTTTTACATTCATTATTTGTATATTGTAAAACATTTGCTGCATTTGTATGGTTCATAGTTTATTTGCCAAAGTATTTATTACTATAAATAGGTATATATTATATTGAATATATTTACTGTATGTTATGTATATTTCAGGTAAACTATATCATTTTTAAAACACAAACCAAAAATACGAGGAATAATTATGTTTTCCATGTATTCTACACCATATTTATTAATCCGTAGTATCTAACTAGCGTGACGTCATAAATCTCGCTCGTGGCTGTTCTATTAGAGACGGCATTGGTCTAATATTTAGAAATGTCAAAAGCTGATGACATTTTACTTTTGTCAATTACGACATTTCGTGTTGATTTTTGCAAGAAGAGGAAGAACTGTCACTTGTTTTATTATTTTCCTTTTCTATTTCACGAAAGTAAAAAGAGTTACCTATCTGATTCGCTCAGGCACTCAATTTAAAGAATATCAGTAACTTTTTTGACAGAGGGATTTTATATTTGCCATGTTGGTAAAAAATAACGGTCAAAATTCAAAGTTATTCATTTTATAGACTATAACAAGAAATTTACCTGTGTTGCATAAGATGTTGTTTCAACGATGCCTTTACAGTATATTTCTTGTCGCAGTGACCACAAGCAAACAGCTGTCGCTCTTCCAATGCCAAATGAACCCTCTTGTGTCGTGTCAAGTTACACTTGTGTATCGTTTTGAAGTCACACATGGAACAGTTATGCATAACTTTCTGCACTTCTTGTGTTCTAATAAAATAATTTAAAAATATTACCGTATTATGAATAATGTATAGACCAGAGTTTCTCGAACATATAGCTTTGAGTGAAATATAACTACCGTATGATCGAATAAAAACGGCGTCAGCGATGGCTATGAAATGAAGATCGCTGTCATTTTATATGTAAATTTATATAGGAAATGCCATCGATCGTCATTTCCAAGCCAACTGGACGCCGTTTTTATTCGATCATACGGTATTTCAATCTTAGAATAAAAAGATTAAGGAAGGCGCCCAATCTTATTTATATTAATATTATAATATTCATGCAGTAGAGGCGGAATCCACATAAAATTAAATTGATGTGGCGCATGGCGTTTAAATTGATAAATTTGAATTTGATTTGAAATGTTTCGGATTTGTTGGACTTTATTGGACTTATTATACAGGGTGGCGCACCTCATTCGCCTCGGTTGATTATACGAAAACGGAAAGATGTAGAAACAAAATATTTTATGGGTATATGTGGGAAGGCAATGTGCATAATTTGAAATTATTTTGAAATGTACAGGGTGTGTCAGAACTAAGGTCCATACCAAAGTTATATTTTTTCTTATGGAACACACACCCGGTATATTATTTAATTTTTGGATTCTTGGACATAAAATAAGCCATATTATAAGGGTTTGATATGTTTAAAAGCTTTGGTTCTTGAGATATTTAAAGACATTTAAATATGCATGCAATGCAATAAAAAAGTTTGTCAACACTTTGTACAGTGTGTCCCATTTTGGTAAATTATAGGGTATCTCCGTTATTAGTGAAGATAGAATGGTGCGGTTTGCACAAACCTGTCTCACTTTTTCATCAATCGGAAGATGCTGCAAACAAAATTTTCATAGCCCTCTTCATTTCTGAGCTACAGGGTCTTTTCGAAAATTTTGCAATTTGGGACACCCCCTGTATCTCTGTTATTCTTAAAGGTATCGAGAAGGCGAAAACTGCTTATTGTAGAACTTTTTACGTAGAACACAGTGGCGTAGTCTTTTTTTCTACCAAAAAAATATTTTTGAAAATATGAATTAAAGTTATGTTTTTTCAAATGGAACACCATGTATATTTATAAATCATACGATCTGTCTTGCCATATGCTTCTCAAAAATATATATCACTGTATATTTATTTTCACTATTTACTGCAATATTTAAAATATATCATTTTCTTATTAGTAGGCCGTGATAAATAACAAAAAATCAAAATGGTATTTACTAAAATAGTCATACACATATTAGAATTTATTTGGGATTGATATATTTTACTTTTGAAATCATTGTTACCACTGAAACTGTGAATATAATTTTCTTTTTTTTTAAACGGGATGGGTTTGCAAATACCTAAATCTTGAATTATTAAAGCATTTTTCAGGTGTTCGACATTGTTGTAGTGCCCATGATATATTTCGTATTTCAAAAATCCCCAAAATCAGAAATCGAGAACGGCGAAATCCGGGAATCGAGGAGGCTATCAATATGTGTTCATTGGTTCCAATTCATTGATTTGAAAAATAATTTAACAGTATTCTAATATTTCCATAGTTATGAGGGGGAATGTTGAGGGGGAATGTTCCCCATCTTGCTGAAAATATATTTCAAGTAAATTAGCTAAAGGAATATCTAAAATTTCCGATACGATAGATTATTCTTACCGTATTCCAAGATTTACAAATAGCGGTAGAGAGTTAAGTTTAACTAATATATAAAGAATTTATTAGCGGCTCCCAAAATAAAACAAGAGACAGATAGCAGTATACTTTTAATAACTCTTTTGTTTCTTTTATTATCAATCATGGTCTACTAATAAATATGATCTTTTAATAAAAACTTTTAAATATTGCAGTAAATGGTGAAAATAAATATAGTGATATATATTTTTGAGAAGCTTATGGCAAGACAGATCATATGATTTATAAATATACAGGGTGTTCCATTTAAAAAAACACAACTTTAGTTCATTAATTGAAAAATATTTTTTTGGTAGAAAAACAGACTACGCCACTGTATTCTACGTAAAAAGTTCTACAATAAACAGTTTTTACCTTCACAATAGCTTTAACAATAACAGAGATACAGGAGGTGTCCCAAATTGCAAAACTTTAAAAAAGACCCTGTAGCTCGGAAACGAAGAGGGCTATGAAAATTTTGTTTACGGCATCTTCCGTTTGACAAAAAAGTGAGACAGATTTGTGCAAACCGCACCCTTCTATCTTCACTAATAACGCAGATACCATATGATTTCAACCAAAATGGGACACCCTGTACAGTACTTTTCAGAATTAATTCTTGTGCTGACTTTTAAACCAGAGAAATAAACTTTACTAGAAAATTTGATTGCTTTCATAAATGTATACAGGGGTATCAAAAATTGCTGGTCTATTTTTATTTATTTTACATAAAAACTTCGTTATTTCGAATGCAACACTACGTATTTTTTTATATAAGTTAAAGCAGATTTAAATGCTCTTTCAAACTATATTAGGGTTTCCTATACCTATCTGCTGGCACCGATTTTAAATAAAAATCTATTTTCCAATAAAATGGCAATCAAGATGGCTGGTGGCAATTTGCTAGTGACAGTTACTAGCTATTTTCAAAATCGACATTAGTTTATGGACTTTATTTCAATTTATAACAGGTTATTTTTATTTATATAGTTTACCTACAATAAGGTTAATAAGTGAGTATTTATTATTTTATCAAGAAAAATTGAGCAGTATCTACTGGCGGAACGAATGGATACGTTACTGGTGATTTTATATTGTGAGGCCAATTGCTTATTGACCTGAAGAGTTTATGCTCAAAGATGTCCAAATAGGATTTTTTTAGTGTTCCTTTGAAAAACTACTTTTCTTATTTCGCAGAGCTGATAGTGTGGTATATGAAAAACCTATTAGGCAGAAAGCTGTCGTTGGAAGTGGAGAAAATGAATTTGCCTTAATTGGTTCTTTTATAGAAAATCGAATATATCTACAAGTCATCGTAATATAAATCAAAGAACTAAGAAGAAGTTTTTATGTAAAATATATATTGTTAGAAATATGATTATATAAGCAAAATTGATTTATTTTTGGGAAGATAAGCACGGACCGCTGTCGGTCGCGCCAGTGTGATGAGACACTTCAGCACGCTCGATTCAATGCTGTCTGTGTTTATTAAAGCTTCCTGACGTATTATTTGTGATTTATAGTTGATTAAATGTGTTGAATTGTAGTGTATCGGAAAGGTTCTGTGTTTTTATTATTTAATTGCTAAAATCAGAAGTGGGATAGAGCTTACACCACAATAGGCTTTTGAGTGGCATGGTGAAACTTGGAGAGTGCATTTGAATAAGATAAGTACACATGTTCTAATTAGGTTTACAAATCGAAATTATTGGTTGCCTGTTTGTGGCTTTGGAAGAGCACGAAAAGTTAATATTTCAGTTAATCAGTTGAGTATAATAAAGTAAATTTTTAAAGAAAATGAGTCACGGCGTCATGTCGCAAAACTCAGGAGCATTGCCGCATTTAGATTGAGCATTGCAGCGTTTATATTAAGCAGTTTTAGAACCCAAACAGATAGCCTGTATAAAGTTACGGAGAGAAATATTACAGTGATTGTTATTAAAACAAGTATTTTCTGCATTATTTCATAGCAATTTAAGTTTAATTAAGTTTTTATAGTCTGAAATTGTCTGAATAAGTTTTAGTGATCTGTTTATTACTGGTAAATACATTGATACAGAATGGTTGGTTTAAATATTAGCCACACCGTTTAAATTTTAATTCTGAATAAGTTTTTTTTAATTGCATAACAAACAGCAATACAGGAAAGTTTTGTCAAGAAAAAAATATTGATCGGTATTTATTCAGGCGAAGTGATAAATATTGTTGCTTTTGTTTGCAAGGTTGCTGTTGTTTTTTACTTATTTCTTGCACGTTAAAATAGTTTTGTTTTGTTGTTTTGGCTAAATTAGTCATTATGTCATACATGCCATATTTTGTTATTGGGTCATTCTCAGCAAGCGTTACTGAACTTATTAATTATTACTTGTAAATAGTAATATTATTTGTTACATATACGAATAAATGAATGATCCTGAAGAAAACAGTTGCATTTGTTATGTTTGTTTCTATTTTTCTCAATTTGTTTTATTCAAAATGCAAAAAAATTGAGAGTTTATTTTATCTGTGGTTTTACTCGTGTCAGTCAAGACAAGATCTTTGACACGTTCTTTAAATGAGTTTAGCACCCATTTCATTTTAAAGAATGAAATGGGTGCTTTTCTTTAATCCATTCATTAATACTAGATAGATACAGAAGAATAAAAATGTTGTAATTTATAGAATGTTTATTTTGTTCTATTTTAGGTTTATTGTTAATAAAAAAATATTAAATAATAAATACTGATTTTTTTATTCAACTACAGATATTTTATAACACCTAATACGGATATTCCATATCATGATTGAATGCCGTAAAGTAAAAAATAGGCACATGTAATAATTAGTAAAAGTATTTTGGCAGGCTAAGTATCTATGGTAATCGCAAAACAATTTCCGATGCACGTGATCAACTTTGAGTGACAAGCGATGGCGACAGCGCTGCCACATTGTGATGGATTTCTGAGATGAATCTTAATTTAAAAATGACAAACAACATACCTATTTTTTATATCATTTTTTAAAGAGTTTTACGTTTTATTTTTAATATAATAACTCATATTTTAGTGATTAATTGGTTTATTTGTTTTATAGCTTATTTTACTTATTACATTTTGGCAAAAACTAGTCCATTATGAAGATTATTATAAGCGTTATTATGGGTTATTTATTTTTTGATGTGCATCTTACAACGCCATAAGTGGTAATAACAAGAATATTAATACACAAACTAATAATCACAGAATTTAATAAAAACTAAATTTGAATTTGGTATAATGTGCTTATCAATCAAACTTACTTTTCTGACTGCAGTTAAGGTTAAAGGACCGTTATTGTCACGTTCTCGTTCAAAATAGTTAAAAAAAACAAGGAAGCTACAAGCTCTTTGTTTCGACTGTTTAAATGCTTCGGCATATTTTCAACACACAAATTTCAAGAAAAGCAATACAAAAACTAGAAAATTTAGTTCTTAAAAGAACTATTTGTGCTTAAAAGTGCAATTTTTAAAAAAAGACTATGAAAATAGGCAAAAAAACGAGAATTACGCTCAAAGATTCAACAACAACACGATATTCGGTTACAAATAATTTTTGCAGCTTTAATCTAAATAAAATATCTGTTACAATCATTTGCTCTATAAAGTAAAACGAAGAGCTGCTCGGTATCTTAAATTATACAACAAATTTAAACATTTTTACCAAAATTTCATTTAGTCAGGTTTATAGGCTTTAGTGTCAATTTCAATATGATTGATGACGTGCATCGGAAAATATTTTGCGATTACAATATAAAATACTAAGATACTAATAAAATGTATCTAAGTCCAATATACAAGATGAAATTAGAAAAAGTACTTGTATCTGAAATAAGTCACATCTCTGAGAATTATTAATACATAATACTACTAATATAATTAAAATTAATTTTCGTAGTTTATTTGGTAGAAAACTAAAATTACTGGGAACTCGTAAAGACACAAATATGCAGAATGTGGATAGCGTACATTGTTGTGATACAAACAGTGACTGTGCTTACCTGGATTCTTTGCTGTTCTGTCTATGTCTCTCCATGTGCGTGTGATACCTACGTTCGCCTACAATTTCACGCGAACATTTGGAACAAGTGAATCTTTTCATTGCGAATCCTATCTGTTCACTGTTAAAAAAAATGAAATCTAACCTTGGTTTGTTAAAGAGAATTCATTAAATAACGAAAAAATGTCATTTTGTAATATACAGTGTCACACCATGCAGTGGCGGCTCGTGAGTATATAGGAAGGTGAGGCTACATGAGGTTAATAATTTTGTTTAAATACGAATAAATTTTCACACCTATAAAGTATTATTCTGCGACGTGTTATCCTTTTTTTTAATGGTACCAAACAATAAAAAAAATTTTTTGGTTCGGAACGCAAAAATATTTGAAAAGTTTTTAAATACTTATTGTCTACCTTGCCTCTTATCGTTAAATATGGCAAAAATTTTTGACTCCTTAATATTCATTTGTCTTTTTTCAGTTTCATTTTGTCTTAGAAAAGGAGTTTCAAGTATAGAAAGAATAACGATATAAATAGAATTCATTTTAAAGAAAACACTAAAATTCAACTCCTCTTCGGTACTTTAAAATAAATAAAATAAATCTTACCGGCGAAGAAAAGGCTAACCTTTAACCGAAAAAAAATTCAACAATATTTGTTGCGTTGAATTTTAAAAACTGTTAAAATTCCACCTGTTGCCCTGTGTGTAATCGAGTTAAAAATCCTGTATCTATAATAGCCATCAAATAATTTAAATTTACAAAGACAATCTAAATAATTCTCGCCCGAAATGTCTAAATAAAAACAAAAATATACGCTAATTAATTCACCCACGCTGTTCTCACCACAACCAGCCAGCCACCGGCACTTTAACTTCCTGAGTCATGCATACGAGACTTTGTCGCATTTTTCAATAATCAGATGATTTAAATTACCAATGAAAACACACCCAAGCGCCAAATATCGCGCCTCAACCCTGCGATCGAGAATGCGTACCCCGTCGTCGGCCGTCGCGTCACCGGCGCCGGCGTCACATGATCTTAAATCGTCGCTGCTAATAGGTAGGCAATTCGAACTTTCTAAGCTAGAATTGTTTCGCCTCTGTCGAGTCGCGTTCTTTACGGCTGGGTTTACGTGGCTTATATTGTACCTGGACTAGAGGTGTGTAGTTCGTGAACGAACTAGTTCCAATGAACTATTCCGACCCCGGAATGAAAGGAACTAGTTCCTGGTTTCTCAAAGGACTAGTTCCTCAGGACCTATTCCGGCATCGAGACTGTCTCCGATATAGAATAATATGCGACGGGTCGGCTAGCGCGCGTAGCCCGATAGTAGGCAGGAGTGGGGAGTGCCAGACGTACGTTATCGTATCCGGACCTAGAGGAACTAAACTAAATAAAAGACTAGTTTACGTACAAACGGATCGGGCCAGCGCGATCGATGCTAGGCAGGAGTGGGGAGTGCCAGCCTTATGCCGTATGTTATCGGATCCGGACCTAAAGGAACTAAATAAAAGACTAGTTTACGTATGGATCAGCCAGCGCGATTGATGCTAGGCAGGCGTGGGGAAGGCGAGCCGTATGTTATCGGATCCGGACATAGAGGAACTATTAAAAGATTAGTTCACGGGAATCTATTCAGTCGGCAGATCCAAGATATAATACAAGGCGACGACGATGGATTCGGCTTTGTCTATTGCCGCAGCCGGCGCGGCGTAATTACCACAGAAAATTGTGGTGGGTACTGTTTTGGAATTTTAGTTTGTTTTTTAAATATTTTATGGTAATGTTTCACTTTAGGTCCCTAAAATTAAGAAATATCTTATAAAACGAAGTAGATATTCTGAATTTTTAGACAAAAACAAAAAGCTTGAAGTGAGGAAAAATGCAATTTTTCGTAAAATTTTTGTAATATTTGCTCCAATTGATTTGTGATATAGTTTTTAAATTCTGATTTGAGTTTTTTTTTAATTTTTTTATCTGCTATAAAACTTACCTATATGTTTTTAACATACACAATTACACGTCTCGTTATATCTCCGTACAATATAAAAATTATACAGATCATACTGTGAATAGTTCTGACTGACAACGAAACGCATTAGCAAACAAGGGGATGTCAATGTTAGTCGGGAACTATTGTGAACTAAAGACCTAGTTCAAGGAACTATTCCTCTGGAGGAACTAGAACTAAGGAACTAGAATTCCCACCTCTAACCTGGACCTGGATGTATTTATAAAATACATATTATTTATTACTACGCATTATTTTAGTTTTATTATGTTGAATGTGTTGTAGAATTGTAATAAGTTATACTGGGATTAAATAAAAAACTAGATACAAAAAAATAAATAGTTCCTTCATTTAAAAGATGAGGCGTTGCTTCAGAGGCCTACCCTGACGAGCCGCCACTGACACCATGATATAAAGAAAACAAGGTATGATATTGCGCAGCTTGGTCACTACGTCACAGGTGATACCGGCGCCATTGGTCGGCACGTTCCGCGCGCCAATTTCAAATCGTTAAGCTGATGACACAATATATTTATTAACTAAAGAACATCGACTCCAAACTGCACTCTGTCAAGGAATTTGCATAAGTCGTTCAGTTAGGCGTGCTCAAGCGTAGTGCGCAAGCGTGGATTTTAAATTTATCTATCGATCAGATAACTAGACCAATAAGAGACTAGACACTAGCATCAGTGGTATATTCGTACGGCTTCGTACAGCTTTGTATCGTTTTCGTTTGCGCTCCCATTCGACAATGGCTAATCCGGCCAATCGATAGTCGGAATTTTGGAGTTGCGCTATTGCGCCAGTGTCTGCCTAACAGAAGGACTTATGTGATGTATACATGGACCGGTTATCTAGTTGTCTCTGACTCGGCTTCAACTCCAACACGTTGCAGGGATAGGCGATAATCTATACCGGGTGCGTCTCAAAAGTGGCTCACCCCTATAACTTTTTTTATTTTTTCAGATAAAAAAACGAGATTTGGTATGTTAGTATATGACATAAATTAGGATTGATTGACGTATTCAATTGTTTTTGGTCAATTCCTGTTTTGCCGGAAATGACTACAACTTTTGATCTTTAAATGGTGCCCTCGGTATTTTTTTACTTTATTCGATAGAAAATTACATTCTGAATAGAATTACATATCATATGTCAACTTTTGACATTCTCGTCTAATAAAAAATCTTATTTTAAAATTCAATCTAGGGTGCCATGGCTATGTTAAAAACACTAATTCTTAATCAAGGAGCCTTGGAAAAATAGATTTGATCCTCTAATGTTTTTAGTGTCTTGTCCTGGCCAGTTAGAACATGCTCAAATCGTATTTTTGGTCATATCTCAATTTGGAACGAGGGTGGCTCATTAGGATATTTAAAAAAAGCATTTTTTTACGAATAATTTGAAACCACACACTTGGTATTTCGAGTCAAATTTTCTTTACGAGCCGCAAGTTGTTATTTTCTATCGAATAAAGTAAAAAAATACCGAGAGTGCCATTTAAAAATCAATAGTTGTACTTATTTCCGGTGAAACAGGAAGTGACCGAAAACAATTGAATACGTCAGTCAATCCTAATTAATGTCATATACTAATATACCAAATCTCGTTTCTTTAACTGAAAAAATAAAAAAGTTATAGGGGGTGTTAATAGATATATGCACATAATAAATGTGAAAATAATTTTTCAAATGTCAAGCTCAATGATTTGAGATAACTTTTGAGGTTATGTCCTACATTCTTCGCTATTTTAGGTCTTTCTTAATTGAACAATATGGATATTTTTTGAATGGCGTATGACGTTACAGGTGATGTGCGCAAAATGAACGAAATTGGAGCCGCTATCGATCATACCTTGTTTTCTTTGTATCATGGTGTCGACCATTCCCAAGGTAATTTGCGCTTTTAAAAAAAAATTGAAATTATTATTGTAATAAATTAAAATACACGTTAGACCTTCTGATGGTATCAAAATATTCATATTTTTATGTTTTTAGAATTTTCACATATAACAAATTTTTCGTCTACTCACTGTTTAAACCCGTGTATATAATTAATCGGCTGTTTACGGTATTTTCCGATGGTAGCAGCATCGGCGGATAATGCACCAAGCTTATAGTATAATGGCTTCTGCTTAACTACTTGTCAACACAAAAACTTACCAGTATTCTCTATGTTTTATATTCATGTGGTACTTTAAAGAAGCAAAAGCGGTGAAGGTACTGTAGCAAACTGAACACTGGTGGCGATTCCTCTCTTCAGGTGGTTTGTGTGATTCCATGTGAATTAGTAAAAGTTTTTTACTTGGCTTCATGATGTGACATTGGGTACATTTAAATATTGGTGGGTTGTACTTGTCCCCTGTGCTAAATAAAAAAATTACTGAAAATTTATGTAAACAAATCCTTAACACCAACAAACACATAACTCAAATCACGTTACGTATAATAAAAATGTATAAAAGACTAACCACACATATTGATATGTTTTGACTCAACATATACAAGCAAAATGTAAACAAACCGTATGTTTATTGAAATTATGATTTGACAACGTATATAATTTTTTCACAATATGACGTCATTGGCGTAGTGCCAAAATGTTCATAAGAATGGAGATTTTTATTAACGTAAAAAACACTTAGGAATCACATAAATATAAGTTACAGAATGTTCAGCCATCGTTCAACGTCACGTCATAATATGACGAATATTCAAAGACGAATATATTATAGGTCGCGTTCATCAGGACAAGTTGATCAGTGAGCGATGTGCCATCGATTGGTTGTCCTGCTGAACGCGCTTTTTAGGTCAAAATCATAAGTAATGCATATTAAATTGTTTTCACCCATTTTTGGCACAAATCGAGGGTATTAATCAACCGAGAACAATAAACAAAATGGTTTGTTTTCGTTTTCCAAACCATTTTGTGATATTTGGCGTATGTGACGTTTAATCCATCATGCATCGGTAGCGTAGCGTATTTTAAATCTGATGGAAAAAATGGCGACTGATCCCTGAGCGCTCACAACTAATCGGCGCGTTCAGCAGAAAATTAGTGATCGCTGCAGTAGCGCTACGTCCTGATGAACGCGATCATATTGTCCCTCTATAAATAACTCTCTCAATCGCTTGCCAACCAGGTGAGAGATATTGGTGACGTCATTATGGCATTTCGTAAATTACTACATAGTTTTTAGTAATTGTAATTGTCATTTGATTTTGGGTTATAATTTTATTGACGAATATTGATCAATGTCAAAATTTTCTTTTAGTAATTGTCATTGTCATTTGATTTGGGGTTATAATTTTATTGACGGACATGACGGACAATGTCAAAATTAAAATTTGATTGTTGCTGTAAAACAAAATTCATATTTTTTTATTGCAAAAATGCCTCAATGATTTAACCAAAATGATCAAGACCTCCACCCGTTGTTAAACTTATATTTTTTTTTTCGAGAAAGAGACGCTGGTAGAATAGTCAGCGTGTGAATGTCGTATATGAAGTAACTACAATGCAGAGAGAACACTAATAACTAAAGTGAGAGAGACCGATCAACGCATAGTAGATTGGAAAGTGCCCACAAGGACAATGTAAACACTATTTGGCGCTATTCTTGCAACGGTCGCGACCCAAAACTTTTGAAAATTTCGGAGCGGTTCGGCTTTTTCCGGAATTATATCGTCAAATATTGTTTATTCAAATTTATTATTATTTTCGTTTAATTTTATAAATAAAATACAGTGTGTTGCATACAAGAAACTTTATTTTATATAAGGACGCATGTATGAAATACCTATGAAATATTGGAAACCGACGTTATGCCACGATCCACGATGGTTTTTACAGTTCACAGTTCTCAGCACAGCTTTTTAAGTTTTTAGTGCCACTTTTTCACAATTATCACCGATTGGAGTAAATAAAACTTGAATTAAACTCACAAGATAGCAATAATTACTTTGAAAATGGACGCTATAAACACTTTTCGGAATTTCTTTAATGAGAGCGGTTTAGATTTTGAAAGATTATTATGATTTTTGAAGATACCAAAATATAATAATGATTTTCGCGACCCAAAATAATTTCGCGACCCAAAAAAAACTAAACTTGTTGCATTTATCTATGGATCAACGTTAATTTTTGACGACTGTGTTAGTGGCGCGGCCTTTGGCGTCTAACCCGAACTATGAGCGCATTATCGATATAGAAGGTTGCATTCATACCTATATACTGGCGCCAAAAATTTAAAATTTGTATATTTGCACCGAATCTTAATCTTTCAAGTTTATAATAAGAAATCTTCGTAGTTTTTTTAGATTATTTTGTTGACAACGAAAATTTATTATTTCGTACTTATATATTAATAATACTACTAAATACTTTAAAGCATTAAAACCTATAAATAAAATACTGTTTAGGAACATAATAATTTATTTAACTCCATACTCCTTGCCATACTCCAACTCAAGGCTGCAATCTTCAATATCTTTTTTATCTAACTTGGTTGAGAGTGAACAGGTGATTATTATGTGCACTCACTATTACTATTAGGTATGTTAAAATAATTACCGAGATAAAACTTACCTTTAAAAGAAACGTTTTGTCTGGATCTCAACCACAAAACAAAAATTGCAAAAATAATCGTGGAATCTGAAATAATCAATAATGACAATAATTTTCTCTTCTGATTGATGAGATTTTTTTTACGAATAATTTGATACCACTTGGTACTTCGAGTCAAATTGTCGTTATGAACCGCATGTTACAATTTCAAATAAACCATATGCGAAAATGTCATAAGTTGACATGTGATATGTCATTCTATTCAGAGTGTCATTTTCTACCGAATAAAGTAAAAAAATACCGAGAGTGCGCTTTAAAAATCAAAAGTTGCAGTCATTTCCGGTGAAACCGGAAGTGACCGAAAACAATTGAATATGTCAATCAATCCTAATTTATGTCATATACTAACATACCAAATCCCGTTGTTTTATCTGAAAAAATAAAAAAGTTATAGGGGTGAACCACTTTTGAGACGCACCCGGTATATTTATCCGTTGCGTATCTGAGAGACAAAATTTTACGACCTATATCGACAATGCTTCGAAATAAACTAAATCAGGCGATCAAGCGAATCGCTCGCTGCTTACCACTTGCCGTTCATTACCGAAAGAATATGTGCCCTGCGCACGCAGCTTACTGCTTGGCACTTGGCGTTAACGAGTACTTAAAACGTGCGACGGACAAAAAACGTACTTTTAAATACGAGCGATATTTCGCTCGAGTGATCACTCGGTTATTGCAATCGCTTGATACTCGAGTACTCGATTATTGAAATGAATCGGTTTTTCCCATCACTAGTTAAGATCAATGCGTTGGAAGCATGAACGCTAGCGTTAGATAACGTTGATTCGTATTCTTAGGATTAGGACTAATGTTAGGGTTCGTCCTATGACAAGGTGGCATTTTTCTGTTTACATCTAGTTTGTATATCTTGGGTAGGAACCTTCGTTATGTACAAAGTGGGCCAAATTGGACGCTTTTAAAGAGAAACACCCTTTTCTATAGAAAACTAATATTGGTGTCTGGAGGTCAATTTTTATCAAAAACATGATGGTGAAAACCGCACATCGATATCTGTTACCGTTTAAGAGTAACGGGGTATTTTTCAAAAATGTGCATTTTTGACAAATCGCTGTAACTTTTTTGCTATGGAAAATTTTGTATTTTTATGGAAACATTTCCAAAGCACCTTTTTACGTAGAATTTAATGGTTTAAGTATAATTTTTTTAAAATTAATAATTTAAGAGTTATCAACAAAAAAAATGATTTTTTATTTGGGACACCCAGTATATTTTTAATTAACTGAAAAGAACTTAAAATTGCCTTTCCAAAAATATGGCATACTTGATATTTTTTTATAGTCCCCTTCAAAATACAGAATTTTAAAAGTTCGCCACTTTTAACTAGTAGGCTTTGGACCCCTTATTGATGAGGAGCCCCTAATAGAACTTGAAAACATATTTTTCCAGGAAGACGAGGTACCGCCTCAGAACGCTGAAGTTATCAGCAAGTTTTTGCAGCCAATTTTGACGATAATTGAATAGCTAACCAAGATCCCAGCCGATGGCCGTCGAGGTCGCCGGACTTGGTGCCTATGAATTTTTATCTTTGCGGAAGAATAAAGGTTTTTATTTTTAAATTGCCCGTATAATGTAGAGAAGAATTAGAAATACTTAGCGGTTATGCGATGGTATCTTTCATCTCCAGTAAGTTAATGGATTTCGCGAGAATTGTTCAAAAACGGTTCCGTCTGTCTATAACAGAAGACGGTTGATATGTATAATTGTATAACACCTGTAGCAAAATCTCATGTCTCGGTTTGCTATTGATTTTTATTGTTATTAAATGTAGTTTAAACGTGTTGGTGTAGTTAAATACAGTTTAAATTGTTTTAAAATTCTGCATCTCTCATTGCAAATATTATTTTCGTTTTAATTGCTGCTCACAGCTAGTATTTTTTTGCATTACAGCCGGCGGCGTTCAAAGCCTACTTATTCAAAATGGGTGAATTTTTATAAACTACTCTATATCTCGTAGAGGAATCGAGTAGAATATCAAGTGTGCTATATTTTTGGAAAGGTAATTTTAATTTTTTTAATGAATTAAAAATATACAGGGTGACCCATATAAAAAATCAAATTTTCAGTTGATAATTCTTAAATTATTAGTTTGAAAAAAAATATACTTAAACGATTAAATTCTACGTAAAAAAGTACTTAGGAAATGTTTTCATAAAAATACAAAATTTTCCATAGCAAAAAAGTTACAGCGATTTATTAAAAATGCACATTTTTGAAAAACACTCCGTAGCTCCGAAACGGTAACAGATATCGATGTGCGGTTTTCACCATCATGTTTTTCATAAAAAATGAGCTTCAGACACCGATATCAAAATTCGACCCTTTAAAAGCGTCGAATTTTACCCATCCTGTACAGTTCGGATATGGGCCATAGCTTTATCTATAAAGTTAATAGTACTCAAACTTACCTGACTTGATTATGTCGAACCCTCATATGGAACTTAAAACTGTTAAGATTAGAATACATGCCGCCGCAAGTTGGGCACTGGTGCCGTTTTCTTTTTTCGAGTGGTAGGTGTTTTTGCACGTGTTTTAGTAACAAATTTTTTCTCATACTTTGAAAGCCACATTTGTTACATTTATAAACCACATGGGAATTGTTCCCCCTATTAGATAAAGAAATACCATCAAAATCATAAAAAATACCTGGCGACGCAGTTCCTCAACTACAAAAAGTTTTGAATTCTCATGTAAAACTAAGTCATTTATTTTAGTTAGTGTCGAAAAAATTTTCGTTAGAGAACGAAAGTTTGTATTGAAGTGAAATTTTGTAAACTTATGTAAGTCAATTTAAAGCATTTTCTAAAATTATACAGATTTTTAGAGGGTGTCCCCAAGAAAAGTTACACATTAAAGTTGTGTTTTTTGTAATGGAACGCCCTATATATTAATTGATTTTCGGATTCTAGTAAAAAAATAAAGGCGAGTTTCATTAGAAAAGTATATATGTGTTAATTCATTGGTAAATCCTAGGTTTCATTTTAAGGAGTTCATTAAAAAGTTTCAAATACATTTTTCTGTAGAATAAAAAGGGGAAACTTATTCATCATTTTTACAATTTGCATGGGAATGCCTTTGTCCAGGTCAGCGATTGACATTATTTCTGACATAAAAATGGCAAAAATGATAAATATACTTACAACTTTATAATCTTTGCTATCACATTTACATTTTCATCACTATTATCATTTTCTTCTGTGATGTCTACTATGCTTATTGATTTTTTGTTAGATGCTTTATTAGATGTGCTGCAATGTAATGAACATAAATTGATAATTATAAAAGATTTTCATTAAATACAATAATTAAATTAATACGCAAGTAGGTATTTAGAAAAAATATACCTACTTCAGTTTTAGATTAATATCTGATGATGATACATTTATATTTTCTTCTGAATGATTTTCTTGTTTAAGATTATCCAAAATTACTGATTCGGTATTAACGACAGTATCCGTTGTGCTATAACCATATTTAAAAAATTAAAATTAATAACTTGTATCTGTTATAACTTGTATTAATTCCTAATATGTATCATAAATACTAAAAAAGTACTCACAATAATTCTTGCTTAATATCTGATGATGACGCATTTATATTTTCTTCATTAACATGTTCCACACTAATGGGTTCGCTGTTCAAAGCAGTGTTTGCGCTGTAACATACATATTAAAATTAACAAGATGTATATAATTCCAATATATATAATTCCAATTAACAAATTTCCAATTTCATAAATATAACATATTCATTTATACCTACTCCTATAAACTCTCTAAAGGTAGTCAGAGGTGCGATTCTGTAAGCTCGTAACATGAAATATCTTGCTAGTGACTCATGATACTTATGATATTTTTAGGATGTATAATATAATTTTCGTCGATTTACGAAACTGGCCAACTGATATTTTCATCCCAACCAATCAAAAAATGTCTCGAAATTTATTCGGAAACTATCATGTCCAGAACGCGGTGTTCGGCCAGATCCGGCAAGAAAGATGTTAAAAGGTCTTGCTATAATGACGGTAAAATTTAAAAATATATCGATAATACGGCAATATTTAAAAACTTAGTTAAGTAACTGTATAGAACATGATTCCTCAAACTCATAACCCCTCAAATAATTGCAAACAAATAAATCAAGACCTTTACATTAAAATAGAATATTCCAAATAACATCCATAAGAAAGAAAGTCTGATAGTAAAAATCTTCATTCTGTAACTATAAAAATGTAATAATAGAATAACCTGTTTGTTGACACAGTAATTAGGAGGATCGTATTCATACAAAAGTACATAATATGCTCTAGGTATAATACTTATACTATCAATAATTTACCTGGAATGAATAAAAAAATGATGATGCTGCAATATGTGTTGTTTTAACTTGATAGTAGTAGCAAATTTCTTGCCGCAGTGCGTACAAACAAACGGATATCGTTCGTCCCATGACAAGTGAACTTGCTTGTGTCGCTTTAAGTTACAGATCTGTATCGTTTTGTAGTCACACATGGAACAGTGATACATCTTCATCCGCACTTTTTTTGTTCTAGTAAAGTAATTTTAAAATAGAACTGAATTATAAATGTATAGAACCACCACCCCCTCGACTGAAGGCCAATCAACATGATATGCGCAAGGCAAATATGGCGGCGAAGGCAGTACATTTTTAAATTGTTTACCTTTAACCTGAAAAGCCGGTAGTGGTTTCTCGTTCCGATTGCATACCAGAAATAATTAATTATCTCTAGTTTGTTGTGCTTCTGCAACACGTTTGTTTAGTTCTTAGTGTTCAGTGCATGGCGTGATCAGAAAATCGTGATAAAATAAGAGTGTAATAAAAATCCAAACCAGACATTCCACATAGAAAACTTCAAACTTTTGTGAAAAAAGGAATGACGTCTTTACCACAAAGACAATGCCCTATGTAATGAGAAAGAGTAAAGAAAGCTAAGCGAAGTTTTACTTACGAACCCCCAAAAAGGTATTTAGTTTTTTTTCTATATAAAATCTTGAAACACATATTATATTTTTTAATTATCCTCACCTATTATAGTTTAAATTTATTCCCATTTGTGTAATGCTGCAAAACATAGAAAAAATATTGCATATTTTTTGATCCAAGTCAGTGTAGTTTATAATTCCAAGAGCATTTACCAAGGCTTTTACTAAGACAAGTAACTTCCTATACTGTCCATAATAGTATATATTTATCAAACGTTCAGTAAATTCTAAACTATGGTAGGTAAGTGTTTGCAATTGAATATTTAGTTTATATTGCTATTTTCTGTCATATATTTCTGGTTATTTCTTTTTCCGATGATTTTGAACACCCCCTATATATGCTACCTCAAGTTTGAATATTTTAACACTACCTACCTATTTTCTGAGAAAGCAGACCTTTTTATAAAAAGTAACTAACTGATGTTTTCATAAAAGTAATAATACAAACAATTCCATACTTATGTGGAGAACTTTAGACTCCCTGTATATTAAAAAATTAGTGAAATATTACGTAATCTAACCCGACATTTGTGTGAAAAATGTATATTTGAAAATAAAACAGGGTTTAAAATACGCGCCAAATAAAGCACTTCTATCTCCGCCATATTGGAAAAGGTTGAATGGCCTTGTGTGGAGGAGGTGGTGATAGAACAGGTATTTCAATCTTAGAATATAAAGACTAAGTTATTAACATGTAACATAAATACTAAAAAATTACTCACAATTCTTGCTTAATATCTGATGATGACGCATTTATATTTTCTTCCGAAACATTATTTTCTTCATTAACATGTTCCTCACTAATTGGTTCAACGTTCAAAACAGTGCCTTTGTGCTGTGTAGATTTGCCTGTTGTGCTGTAATATACATATTAAAATTTGCAAGATGTATATAATTCTTATTAACAAATTACAATTTCATATACAGGGTGTCCCAGGCTGAGCGTGCATTAGAAGTTTCTAGAGAACCACAATATCTAGATCGGAGATTTTTTGCACATCATTGTTTTACAACGAGATCTATCGATTAAAAATATTTTCAATATGGCGGCACTTCCGGAAATACCGGAAGTTGACTACAACTTTCTTATTTTAAATGGCCGCCCCTATTTTTTATTACATACTTACGCTCTCTGTAAAATTCTATGAATACTGATGTTAAACACTCTATATCTAACATTAATCGTTTCTGAGAAAAAAAATATTTAAAATTTTTGGACGAAAAAAACTTAGCTAAAAAGTCAAACTTAGTGATTGCTACAGCTACTGTGACATAAAGAGAAGACATGTAGCTATCTATTTCAAAAATTAAATCGTTCAAATGTCATATGATAATGACGGTAGCTTAAAAAGTTATCATAAATCATTTTTTTCAAATGGAAACCTTCGTTACTATTCGTTACTTTTTAACTATACATGTTCCTATACCAAAAATAAATCGTTTTTAAGTTATTTAAGATTTAGTTGAAAACGTATATTTTTCTTGATTTTAGCTAACTTCCTTTGACATTAAGTGTCATAAAGTCAAACAATTTATTTCCATTTGTCAGAAAACAAATTATTTGAATTTCCTATATTGTAAATACTGTTACTTAAAGTTTAAAGCCTCCTTAAAAGTTTAAAAAGTGTATTTATAAAAATATATCTTGTATTTTCGCTGCTTAGTGATATCTAATAGTTGATATTATTAATTATATTAATAATGTACTGTATCAACCCTGAGAAAAAAAACGCAAAGTTGACTTGCAAATGATGATCGATAACATACAACATACTGCTTTTTGAACAAAGAGTCACAATACGATATGGCCAGATCTATTGTTTTACATCACTTGACGTTTAAAGTCATAGCCTACTTGTTAAAATCAAGAAAAATATGCGCTTTAAAACTAATTTTAAATAACTTAAAAACGATTTATTTTAGGTATAGGAACATGTATAGTCAAAAAGTAACGAATTGAAAAGCGTTTTCACTAGTGAAATAAAAAAATGGGTTTCCATTTGAAAAAAATGATTTATGATGCTTTTTTAATCGCTCAATTCCATGACAGCTGCAGCCATTATTATATGACATTCAAACAATTTAATTTTTGAAATAGATAGCCACATGTCTTCTCTTTATGGCACAGTGGCTTGTGGTAATCACAAAATTGATTTCGGACAGACCTACACCCGCCCCTATTTTTGACAAGAGGCGGTTTTCCTCAAAATTTTAAATATTTTTTTTTCTCAAAAACGGTTAATGTCAGGTATAGAGTGTTTGATATCAAAATTCAAAAAAAATTAAAGAGAATTTAAGTATGTAATAAACACAATGGAGGCACCCATTTAAAATAAGAAAGTGCCGCCATATTAAAAATATTTTTAATCGATATATCTCGTTGTGAAACAATGATGTGCAAAAAATCTCCGGTCTAGATATTGTGGTTCTCTAGAAACTTCTAAGGCACGCTCAGCCTGGGACACCCTGTATATACAAGGTGTCCTGTATATAAGTTCATTTGACACAATTTACCTCTGTACTAAAGTGCTTCGTTTGTCCGCTAGAGGTCATCAAACTTTAAGAAAATAAACACATTTTTTCAAATATTTTAAGAACCGTTATTCCGTTTTGAATGAGATTTTGGGTGTCTATGTTTTGCTAAGTACTTTAACATTTGGCGTTCACAAAAATCAAGAAAAAATACGGGAAGAGTAAAAACTACCCCCACCCCTGCATAAATTTTAGTATAATTATTTTCCAATTCCATCGACAACAGATTTTCTTTTCGTAAAATGGTCCCTATAGTATTTACTACATTTTCTGTCTCTTGTAAAAAACGCCATATCGCATAGTTTTTGTGAAAAAAAAAATTCGAAGAATTTATTTTTCCAAAGCAGACCTACAAAATATACAGGGAGCTATATAACTACGTATTTTTTGGATAAAAATAAGTTAAATGCACATAATTTACCTTTACAAAAGTGCTTCGTTTGTCCGTTAGAGGGCATCAAACAAAGATAGACCCGAACGTTTTAAGCTTTTTACAAAAGCTTATCGTCAAATATAATTTGTGATACTAACATAAAATTCCATATTTTCGCCAACTAGATTATTATAGCATAATAGATTTTAGGCGCCTCCATAACTTAATGTGACAATCTGTCGCCAAAATTAATTGATTAACAAATTGACAAAATTTTTGGAAAATGTCAAAGTCAGTTTTGGAAAAATATTTTTTTTCTTTTTTTCCTAAAAAAGTATGCACGTTGGCGATTTTTTACAAGAGATAAAAATGTAGTAAATACTAGAGGGACCGTTTTACGAAAAGAAAATCGGCCGTCGGTGGAGTTGAAAAATATTTATACTAAAATTTATGTAGGAGTGGGGGTAGTTCTCACCATTTCTGTACTTTTTATTGAATTTTCTGAAAGTTAGAGCACTTAGCAAAACATAGACACCCAAAATCTCATTCGAATCGGAATATCGGTTCTTAAGATATGTGAAAAAAATTTAAAGCGGACAAACGAAGCACTTTTGTATAGAGGCAAATTGTGTCCTATAAACTTATTTTGATTCCAAAAATACGTAGTAGTTCTATGTCCACGGAATAATGGGACACCCTGTATAATTTATTTATTTATACATACTCCTATAAACTCTCTAAAGGTAGTCCGGTGTGCTTTACATCATGTTTTACAACATATTTTTCTGATTATAAAAAATCAATATTTATACAATTTTATGATACTCTAAGTATAAGATATTCTAATAATACTGAGAATAAAAATACGTACAAATTCATATCCTAAAATGCTTCGTTTCTGAGATAGAGAGCGTAGAAGTTTCTTTTTTATTTCGATTTTTTTCAAATAATATCCGATTTAACGTCTTTTCTGTCAACAATCTCATAGATAAAGGAAAAAAAAATAGATTGGAATGCCCGTCAAAATTTTAGGTCGCACAATTGTTTTGGTTTGGTTGTGAAAAAAATTGTTTTGGGTCGCGACCGTTGTACGCTATCTGGCGCTGATATAGCAGTTGCTAGGAACAACCGCAAACAAAAACAGAAATAATTTTCTCTTGTCCATATCTCTTGTCAAAGTATGAATCTTCTAAAATTATAAAATATAAAAGTGTTTAAAGCGTCCATTTTCAAAGTAATTATTGCTATCTTGTGAGTTTAATTTAAGTTTTATTTACTCAAACCCGTGATAATTGTAAAAAAGTGGCATTAAAAACTTAAAAAGCTGTGCTGTGAACTGTGAACTGGAAAAAGCATCGTGGAATAACGTGAACTGGATCGTGGCATAACGTCGCGTCGGTTTCCAAAGTTTCATACATATAAAATAAAGTTTCTTGTATGCAACACACTGTATTTTTCTTATAAAATTAAAAGAAAATAATAATAAATTTGAATAAATAATATTTGGCGATATAATTCCTGAAAAAGCCGAACCGCTCCGAAATTTTCAAAAGCTTTGGGTCCCGACCGTTGCAAGAATAGCGCCAAATAGTGTTTACATTGTCCTTATGGGCACTTTCCAATCTAAACTTGTTTCATTTATCTATGAACTATCTTTCACTTTACTTAAAATAACAAACTCGTCCTTTTTATGAATCATCTGTCCGTTCGAATTACGTTCAACAAGAAATGTTCAACTAGTGTAACTTTTTAGGTTTAGATTAAATTTGATTTGAAAATTCGACCGACAAACTCATTTTTTTATCTTTTTATTACTTTAAATGTTAAATTTGACAGATACTCTAAAATAACAGGTTTCTAAATTTAAATTTTTTATTTTTTTTCTAAATTTTTAACTTTTGTTGCATGTTAATAAAATAGAGTTCTATGTTTTTTATCAATTTTTTAACTTAACATATTTTAAGTTAAAACTTTACTCAATCTACTTCTTAATTTTGGATGCAAACCACGCCATAATTCCGACTTTGGAGTTAAATCTGCGTTTAAAATAGTGATGGGTTGTTATTTAACTATCTGTTATTTTATAACAATTATTTAGAAATAACATAACACAACCGTTACCACTTTTAAACAATAACAGATATAAAATAACGATACGCAGAGATCGACCGTTCGTGAAACGAAGTGGGCGCTCTGCACCGCCACGAAATTCGATGCTGCTCGAAGCAATTCCAAAAAACAACTAGTATGGATTATGAATGGAAAACATGTTATTTCGACAACCATCGATACAGGCGGCGAGATACAACGGACAACGGAGTGGGGAATGCGCTACGGCGCGGCGCGGCGAACATAGCTGCATCGGTCGATGGTCGTGTGGGGCTTGCAACAGCTTAAAAATAATAGGATATAAAAGAAGCAGCTTTTTTGAAACAGTTGCAGGCATAACGCCTGGCGGTCGAGATAACAGGAGTGGGAAAGCTGCTGCATCGGTCGATTGTCGATGGAGGCTCGCAACGGGTTGGAGAAGCAGTCATTTTAGATACGTTGTTTTTTAACCTGTTACGAGCATAACAGAGCGGCGGTCGAGATAATCGGAGTGGGAAAGTAACGCTGCTGCATCGGTCGATAGTCGATGGAGGTTCGAAACAGGTTGGAGAATAACGCATCAGTTGTTTTAGAAACATTTTTTTTCAACCTGTTACGAGCATAACGGGCGGAGGTCGAGATATTATGGTGCTGTATGTTTCAGTACTTACTTATTAAGTTTCAATATTTAAGTATTTATTTATTCTGAAAAATTTTCAGAATAATATATTAAGATTTTTTAAAAATGTATACAGGGTGTTCTGAAAAATTTGGTCATTGATTAATCACGATCCTGCTTAAAGCCCTTGACGTAAAAAGCTGATTTTTGGAAAACGGATTGACTTTAGGGTGTAGAGGTTCGATAAGAAGGGATTTTTCGAAACTCGAATTCTAAGGGGGTGAAACCACCCTCAAATATTAGACTATTTTTTATTTAAAAACCGGTGAGTTTTTCGGAAAAACTCTTAAACAGGTATATTTTATTTTGTTGTTTTACATATTTTAAGATTTTTTAAAAATATATACAGGGTGTTTCATAAAATATGACCATAGAGTAATCACGATTTTGCTTAAACTGCTTGACGTTTAAAGCTGATTTTTGGAAAACGGATTGACTATGGGGTTGAGGTTCGATAAGGAGGGGTTTCTCGAATCTCAAATTTCAAGAGGGTGAAAACGCCCCTCAAATATTACAATATTTGTTATTTAAAAAACGGTTAGTCTTTCGGAAAAACGCTTGGACACGCATAATTTATTTTGTTTTTTTACATATTTTGAAATTTTTGGGGGTGTTCCAAAAAGTTGAGTTAAAAAAACTGTTATTTTTAAGCTGTTATTTTAAGCTGCTTTTTATAAATAACTATAACAGCTTCAACTGTTATCTAAAAATAACAGTTTTGCCCATCACTAGTTTAAAACAATAACAATAACTCAAATAATGTCACTACAAATTGCTTAAAAAATCATCAAAATCGGTCCACTAGAACACAATTACCGTTTTTCGTGAAGGTGAGTATAGATTTATATCATATAACATAAAAATAACAAAAATGATAAATACACTTACAAATTTACAGTCTCTTCTATCCCATTTAAATTTTTATCGCCACTATCATTTTTATTATTATCTTCTTCAATGTCTACTATGCTTATTGAGTTTTTGTTAGAAGCTTCATTGGATGTGCTACAATGTAATAAAAATAAATTGATAATTATAATCGATTCATCAAATATAATAATTAAATAAAACACAAGTATGTATTTAGAAAAAAATATGTACACAGTATACATTTATACTTTCTTCTGAATGATTATTTTCTGGTTTAACGTTATCCAAAATTACTGATTCGGTATTATCGACAGTATCTGTTGGGCTGCAACCATATTAAATTTTAATATAGATTTTCTACACTCAGATGCAAAAAAAAACGCAACGGAGAATTTTTTGGTCAAATTTAAAGTGTTATATTTTTGTTATTTTAAGCGCTATTTTCATGATTTTTTTAACAAACTGTATATAATTATATCAACTTTAATTCGTAAACTAAGTTTTTTATAAACTTTAGTATTTGGCATTTTATACAGGGTTAATCGAGGGGTTGTTTTTTACTCTAACTTTAAAACACCCTGTGCAATAATTTCGCGTGTAAATTTTCCTGAAATATAATTTTACAGTCAGAACCATGTTTCCTGAGCATTTTGTTTTGAGAGCGAAATGAACTTGCCACCATCAATTTACATTTTTTTTAATTATCATTTCTTTTTAAAGTTATTTTTCAATATGATAAGCCGGCTTTGGTGATTATTGTCACAGATTAGGTATACTATATGTATACAGATAAAAATCTTATCCCTAATTCGTGGTACAAAAATTGTTTTTTATGACGATGTGCAAACAAGTAAAATTTCCTGTGCGCAAAAATAAACTCGCGTAAAATAACAATAAACAGCGTAATAGAGAGATATCGCTAAACCGAATAGCGTGCATGGATGTTAATATTGTAGGCCAGGTGTTATTTCTTTTACGTGAGGTGGTATTAACTCTCTTCATTTATAGTTATCGGATCGGAAAGAATTCTATTCGGGTCGCGTCCGTTATTTAAACTTAACCTAACTTTGAATTTAAAACTTTGAAATTGTTTACTAGGTATTTTAAAACTAAAGGGCTAAAGTGCTTATTTCCAGTGCTTTATTGTTCAACGTCTGCCAGTAGGTTTAGGGCAACAAGCAACAAATTCTCTTAGAAGGGCTAAGTTGTCATCTGCTGTAAACCTAAGCCTCTTTATAGGTTCTTTAATATTGGAAGAGGTGGAATCCATCTTTTGGGCCATATTTATTTAATTAAAACTAATCCCAGCTACTTAAATATCAAATTACCTAATAAAACTAAAGTAATAATTCAAAACAATTCAAACATAACCTAAAATAAAAGATCTCGCCGGCCGGCCCCGGTTGTCAAATACCCGCACAGGCCCATTTAAGCAATTTTTAAACGTTATTTAGAAATAGCGCTTGGTGTAATTGATGCAAATTACGTCAGGCGGTAACGTTATTAGCGGGTGTTGCGTTAAAAATTGACTCGCGCATATCGTAACCATGATAAGGTACGCGTAAATACTGCATGACGCTATTCGGTTTTCCGATATCTCTCTAATAACTGTGCCGGTCAGGCGCTGTGCACAATTTTAGAGGCCATAAGTGGGCATGCTATGTGCGCAAACTAGTAACCTAACTAGTGCCCGATTCCGAAAATTGAAACCACGAAAAACAATAAAGAAAAAACAAAGTTTATAATCTGTATAATCTGTGTTATTGTGAACTATATACTACCATGAACTGCCGATCATGTTCGACTTTTGTGAAATGCTTGGTAAGAGGGTTAAAGGTCGCGAAGCGGTACCAGCCTCATTAAATGAACATCGCTTGGTTCTTAAAGAAGAATGGGGAAGCATAATGCAATATGATATATGCAGCCTCAATGACAGTACGAACGGACGTATACAGGCAGTTATAGCAGCCAAGGGAAGCATCACAAAGTATTAGGGTATATTTTACAATTTTTTTTATATTTGTATACTCGAGTATTACAGATCTTTTCTTTAATATTGTTAGTTCTGTTATCATTATTAATGTTTATTAAAACCAGGACTGTATCTTTAGTAGTTTAGTGTATATGCAAATGTAAAAGCATAGAATAGGTACATTAAAAATGCACTAAAGATATATTTATAATAGAAATTTAGAAAACGTCAACATTTGACGTTTCCAGTATTTTACACAAACCGTTCCGTATCAAACCGATGTTTTTCAGGAACCGCTCTTTACCGTAGTTTACCGGTCTGGTTCGCCTGGTTTTGCAACGGAATACAACCTTAGTGAAAAATCATGAAAATAGGGTTAACAATAATAAAAATATAACACTTCAATTTTGACCAAAATTTTCTGCGTTGCGTTTTTTTACATCTGAGTGTATAAAATATAAAAAACAAAAATAATTAATATTAATAACTTGCATCTGTTATGATTTATTAATATTTAATATGTAACATAAATATTAAAAAAAATCTCACAGTTCTTGTTTAGTATCTGATGACGATGCATTTATATTTTCCTCTGAAATATTGTTTTCTTCATTAACATGTTCCACACTAATTGGTTCAATGTCCAAAACAGTGCGTGTTGGGCTGTAATATACATATTCAAATTCGCAAGTGTATATGTTACGGTTAAGGTCCGATGTCCGGTTAATGTCGACATTACCCGGTTAATCTCGAGAATAACACACAACAAAACAACCAAAAACATAACCTAACCCAAAGTCCGATTCTGCTTTGTTTCGTAGCTATAGGGTGTTACAGTCTTAATATTTTAAGATTTATTATAATTTTCTTCAAAGTACTTTTAGCGTTTCGAATGAAATTTTGAGGGTAAAAGTTACTATAAATGCGACATATTTTAAAGCTAAGAGTCGACATATTCACCAGGGACGTGCATATGGGTAGTCACTGGAATATTTTTCTAAAAAAAGAATGTACACCACTGACTTTTTATTCACTTGTTTTCGAAATAGTGTAAGCAGTTTAGTGCCAATTAAAAGTTGTCTCTTGATATTTTGTCGATTTCGGCCTCCTTGATGAGATAAACGCAATTTTATTAATTTGTCTTGAACAAAGTCTAATAACAACCTTTAAAAAAATTTAATATCATTAACTTGCAAAAGTTTTAAATAAGTACTCCTTGATTTCTCATCAAAAAATATGAAAAAAAGTTCCTATAACCATGGGTATGGAAATGCATAGTTTTAGAGTTACAGGATGTTAAAACTTTTTAAAATTAGGTTTTTTGTAATTATCTTAAATACGATTATTTTTTATTTGAAAGTCTTCAACAAAAATGAAGCGAATTTACTTATCCACGAAGTTTATAAGATCTAAGTTTATTACTTTAAATGTCAAATTTGACAGATACTCTAAAATAACAGGTTTCTAAATTTATTGTTGCATGTTGATAGAATAGATTTATATCTATTTTTCGAGTTTAGATCTCGATCTTTTTAATACAAGATGTATCAAAAATAAGTGCAAGTATTTCAAAGGGTGGACGGCATAAGAAACATATTTTCTATTTAGCATTTTTAAAATAAACTAAAGATAGCCGAGTTATTTAACTTTGAAAAGACTAAAAAAAACAATTTGAGAACCGCCGGTAACAATCGGCAATTGGTTGACTCCCATCTATAATTTCTTTTTAGTGTGGCTTAATATAAAATAAATTCAGTGTTTTTCTAGAATTATTAATATAACGCTAATATAATTAAAATTATTTTTTGTAGTTTATATGGTAAAAACATAAAAATTACTGGGAACTCGTAAACACACAAATATACAGAATATAGATAGCGTACATTGTTGTTGTGATACAAACATTGACTATGCTTACCTGGATTTTTTGTGCATCTTTATGTGATTTGCTAGATTGTGTTTTTGTTTATGTCTCTCCATGTGCATGAGATACCTCCGTTCGCCTAAAATTTCACACGAACATTCGGAACAAGTGAATCTTTTCATTGTGAATCCTAGCTGTTCACTGTTAAGAAAAATAAAATCGAACCTTAGTTTGTTAAAAGAATTTCATTAAACAAAGAAAAAATGTCATTTTGTAATAAACAGTATCACACTGTGTTGATGTTGTAATAGAGATGACGTTTAGCATAATGAGTGAACGTTCCTCAAAAATAAAATTTTCAACATTTTTACACTTTGTAACACTGGATATTATACAAGATTAATTTAGGTTAAATTTGATTTGAATAGATGACTAAAGATTGGCAAATTTGTAGAAAATTAAAACAATTTTTCCAAATAAAGTTTTTCAAAAGTCGGCTAACAAACCAATTCTTTAGCCATTTATTACTTTAAACATAGATAAATGAAACAAGTTTAGATTGGAATGTGCCCATAAAGACAATTTAAACACTATTTGGCGCTATTCTTGCAACGGTCGCGACCCATGGTACAAAGAAAACAAGGTATGATATTGCGCAGGTTGGTCGCTACGTCATAGGTGATAACAGGCGTTATTGGTCAGCGCGCTCCGCGCGCCAGTTCAAATCGTCAAGATATTGTAATGAACCTGTTTTTTTTGTTTATATACCGTCATTGAACTATCGCTAAGCAAGTTACTGTGGAGAGTCAGGCTATGAAGCGAGAGACCGGAGTTCGAATCTCGGCCGGAGCATCACTTTTTTGTTGATGTCTAATCATGAACAACTTTGAATTTTAAAATTTTGATCATCTCACACACTGGTTAAAGGTCTAGTATTTAATATTTAATATTTTATAACTCTTGATTTTATGATATATAACATGATCTTATCCATTTACAGTTTTCCTTTTGTAAAATTTTCTAGATACGCCTGTGTTCTGCAGTGTCCATCTATGTTTTATTTGTAATTTTATGACGTAATTTTTTTTGAATTGATTTGTATTGTATGACATTTTTTAATTTTTTTTTTATTATTTGTATATTTGTTTTAGTGCTATTTTGTTTTGTGAATGCTTTGTCGATGAAGCTGTTTTGGCTTTTTGTACAATAAAGCGTTGTTTTTTTTTATTATTGGTGACAGGCAAGTAAAATTGTCTTTGAAAAGTTTTAAAACGTAGCAAAAACAATGAAAGTTCATATTTAAAAATATTAATAAAAATAACTAAGCAACTGAAACATATTAACTAAGTTCTGAAACCTCGACTGAAACTTACAAAATAAAAACTTTAAAATGTAAATAAATATATAAAAATAAATTAGCAGAAACCAAATAGTAAAATAAACTTGCTCAAAACGATTCTAATAACACAAGCTTAATCAAGACAATTTTCTTTAATTCAGTTGTAATTAATAATTATTTTTATTATTAATTATGCAATTATTCTTTATTAATGCCAAAAAATACCCAGAAATCCGACAAAATAAAACCACTTTCAAACTATTTCACGCCAAAAAAATATGTATTAAAAATTAAATAATTGAATTCTAACGCCACCGTACATCGCGATCGACCCACACGGGCGAAAAAGCTATTATTTTCAAACTCCGCTTATCTCGACCGCCGCCCGTTATGCTCGTAACAGGTTAAAAATCAATTTATCTAAAACAACTGCTTATTTTCTATACGTTATTCCAACCTGTTGCGGGCCCAGCATCGAAATCGACCGATGCAGCAGCGTTACTTTACCACACTGGTCATCTCGACCGCCAGGCGTTATGCTCGCAACAGTTGCAACTGTTTTAAAAAAGCTGCTTATTTTATATACTGTTATTTTTAAGCTGTTGCAAGCCCACAGACCGATGCAGCAAACAGTTTACAAATAACAGATTTTTCATTCTAGTTGTTTTTTGGAATTGCTTCGAGCCGCATAGGATTTCGTGGCGATGCAGAGCGCCGCACAGTGTAACGAAAACTAAAATAGTGGGACATTGGCATTTTTCTTCAGTTATCACTATTCTTGCTGACATTTTTTGGCAGAAATTAAATAATACGACTAGGAATTTTTGCTACAGGGCGAAAAGAGTAAAAAAAGGCGTAATGGAAGGTCAAAAACATACGAAGTTTTATAAAAGGACTTTACAGGTATATTTTTTTTATTTACGAAGAGTTTATAGCTCTTATGGACCAAAAACGTTATCAAATTACTGTCGAACAATCATTTATCTCCCGGTAATATGTCAAAACTCAATCAACATTCCTAAATATTCAAATAATCAGGGATAAATTAGATAAGACTGCAAAACTCAAAGAGAACGCACAAGTGGCAAATATCATTTAACAGTATTAAATAATATGATAATATGCGAAAAAAACGTATTCAACTTTAACAAAGGAAACCATAATACACACCTCACAAAAAATTTCGCAACACTTATATTTCTCGTAGTATTTATTCTTGAAACGCTTCAAACATTTTTATGTGAAAAACTTAAATCTAAGGTCTGCCGGAGTTATGATATACTTTCCGTTCCTTAACAAGTTGCTATTAATGCAAATAACTTTTGAGATTATTGTTAACCAAGATAATTTTTAAGAATACTTTGCAGTTTTCCAAATTAATAAGTGATGCGATAATTTATGTGGGGTGTATATTATTCCAAAATAACATAATATGTAAGGTACTTATAACATGCTTAAAAATCATTCTCAATTTCTTCTCCATCCATGTACCAGAGCTCTTTCGCTTCCGGAAACAAGTCTACTTTTTTATTTTTAGAGTGCTTTGGTCGCAGATGTGAAAGTAGAGGATCTGAATATATCAATAAGTTGTGCAATATATCTTCAATAGTTTGGCACCAACAATGATGCAGCATTGAGGGTGGAGTGTTAAATACATCGAAGAAAATTTTGCCGGTTTGAAAAAATATTCTCTTTGGTAATTTTTCTCCAATGTTGAGATTTTCTCTGAATTGTTGTAAACTGTCCCCCACCCCAATGTGAGGATGGTTCCTCGCCCCTAAAATAGCTTCAGTATGTTCATAGCAAGCTTATAGCTTTTTCAATAAAGAAATTATAGCACAAAAAATTACGGATAAAAACTACGGTCGAATCAATGGAAAACGTAATTATTGCCGAAGAAATTTATTTTTTCTTCCAGGTTCGGATCTAGGTGGATGAAATTTATATGTAACAGTATATTAAAAGGTTCACTCTATGATATTTTGTATATATAACCTTGCGCGAATGTAAGCGTTTTTTTTGAAAGTCATAATAAACATGTAGAACTAACTTGAAAAAAAAATCGGGACATTTTTTCAGGTTTGTTGTTGGTAAAAGACCTCTCTTTACGGAAAAATTGTTGGAATTGAACAACACAAGGAAACTTCTGAAAATAATAAATTTCATTGTATAAAATTTTTGTACAGATTTGGTAAATTAAGGAAACCATAACTTTAACCCGCCATAACTCCCCGACTAAGAGGTCAACTCAAGAAATATCTCACATGGTGGGGCTCTGGGATGTCCTTTATCCATCTATATAAAAAACTTGATGAATTTATTTTTTTGTTTTTTGGGCTAATGTCCCGCATTTCCCGATTTCGTTACACTGTGCGCCGACTTCGTTTCACGAGCGGTCGATCTCTACGTGTCGTTATTTTATATCTGTTATTTTTTAGAAGTAGCAACGGTTGCGTTATGTTATTTCCAAATAACTGTTGTAAAATAACAGATAGTTAAATAACAACCCATCTCTACCATCTCTACTATAGTATAATGACATCTGCTTAACTACTTGTCAACAAACAAACTTACTAGTCTTCTCTATGTTTTATATTATAGTGGTACTTCAAAGAAGCAAGAGTAGTGAAGCCGCGCTTGCATGGTGTACAGAAGTAGAGGATTCTCTCTTTATGTGGTTTGTGTGCTTCCATGTGTCTTAGTAAAAGATTTTTAGTTGGCTTCTTGGCGTCACATTTGGTACATTTAAATATTCGTGGATTGTACTTGTCCCCTTCGCTAGATAAATAAATTAAAAACTGAAAATTTATGTTAAAGAATCCTTAACGCCAACCGCCAACAAACACATAACGCAAATCACGTTAAGTATAATAGAAACATATAAAAGACTAACCATATATGTACACAAATTTGTTTTGACTCAACATATACATGATGTTTCAAAAAACATGTGCCATATATCGTGGGGAGATTCCTCACGTAAAAATAAGATTTTTTTTGCATATCAACATAGGTCCCGTCTTAATAATCTTTAGATTTATTTAAAAAAAAAACAAGTGAGCCACTGACTTCTTTCGATATCAAAATTGTGTAGGCAGTTTAATGCCTAAAGTTATCTCTTGGTATTTTGTCGAATTCGGCCTCCTTGATGAGATAAACGCAATTTTATTAGTCACAATCTTTGAATAAGAAGACTAAGGAAGGAGCATAATGCTATCCATGTATTCATGCATGGTGGGCGGAAAAAGCGCCATAAAAGCACTCTAGGGTGGGGATCCTTGACAGTTCTGTTTGACGATTCATTTGACACATTTGAATTTGATTTGAAATTTTGTGGATTTGTCAGTCTTTACGGAGCTTATTTTATGTTATTTATTATTTATTCTACTACCGATAGTTGTACAAAGGTAGTAAATCTAGATGGAAATTGTGGCAGCACTTAAATTAACAGTGACACTATCGCGATTTATCGAAAAAGACTCTAAAATAGTTGGTTGTGTAGCGTGCGGTAGATCTCGGCAAAAATTGAGTGAAATAATGGAACAACTTTTCGCTAGTAAGTATTATATAGTCATAATATACATACGTGTAGTAAAAAGATCATTTATGAAATTCACTTAAATTAACTAAATTATATATTTTTCTTGCATTTTAGCTTTTATTTATTACTTGTCAAAGATTAGATGTCAAAGAATCTAGATACGTTAATTTGACTTATCTGCTTCAGTAGCGTAACGGATGTTTGTGGTAATAAATACTTATTATAACTTATCTATTTTTATTAGAATTATATATTTTTATAACAATTTTAATAACTACCAACATTTATTCACACCGTAAAATAAAACAACAAATTATTGAGTCTACCCACGTCTACCCTACATCATAGTTTTACATTTTTTAAATAAAATTAGAACGACACTGATAAACCGGAATTTAAATCGGCCATATTTGAGGCCCATCGCGGTGTACCTAAGATTTTTGATATGCTCCTTCCTTAGTCTTCTTATTCAAAGGTCACAATTAATAAAATTAAAATAAAAATAAAATTAATAAATTACATATTTTACCTAATTTATTATTAAATATTATTACCATTCGTTATTCCTAGTATTAGTCTAATCTACAGAAATTTCAAATAAAAAATAATGGTATTTAAGGTAATTACAAAAAGTCTAGTTTTAAAAAGCTTTAGCATCCTGTAACTCTAAAAGTATGCATTTCCATACCCATGTTTATAGAAACTTTTTTTCTTTTTTTTTAATGAGGAATCAACGAGTACTTTATTTAAAACTTTCGCAAGTTAATGATATTAATTTTTTTTAAAAGTTGCTATTAACCTGGATCAAGGCAGATTAATAAAATTGCGTTTATCTCGTCAAGGAGGCCGAAATCGACAAAATATCAAGAGATAACTTTCGGTATTAAACTGCTTACTCTATTTCGCTAACAAGAGAAAAAAGTCAGTGGCGTATATGTTTTTTTTAGAAAAATATTCCAGTGATAGCCCATATGCACGTCCCTGATGAATATGTCGACACTTTTTTAGCTTTAAAATATGTCGCATTTATAGTAACTTTTACCCTCAAAATTTCATTCCAAACGCTAAAAGTACTTGTAATAAATCGAAAAAATATTAAGACTTTAATACCCCGTAGCAACGAAATGAAGCAGAATCGGACCTATGTTGATATGAGAAATAAATCTTATTTTTACGTAATAAATCTCGCCACGAGAGATGGCACATGTTTTTTGAAACACCCTGTATATTTATAATTAATTAATTTTTTTGTTTCCTAAAATATTTTGATTAAAAGAAAATATACAAAAGTGGGCAACGCTGTGCCGGTCATTTATGTCTACGGCACAAGAAGCCACAAATCATCAGTGTATGCATTCCATTTCCTATAGACCATTCCAGAATGACGTCACTGACAGTTCGCAAAATTTGCTGGGAGGCACACAAACCAATTAATTTTCACGTTGTCTATATGTAAACACAATAATCCAAGGTTTAAACGAACTTAAAACAGTGAAAAATGCCTCATTTTTGTTGTGTTATTAAGTGTTTAATGCGTGATAATGACAAATTGCGATATAAAAAAGCCAAAAATTCCGCCACTCTCGTCTATACGTATACATTCCGATCTACCTACGCCTTGCCCCTCGATCGGCGTAGATCCTGAATTGCGTAGCAGTGTACAGGGCATGCATCTCACTCGACGGGCTAGAAGCTCTTAGTTATAATTTTACCATTTGTGGTCAAAAAATAGCAATATAAGAAAAATGTGTAGTATATTCTTCTATAAGTAAACCAACTACACACTAGAGTTCGAATTAATTTTACACTTAACTTAGCGTGTACCCGCGACTTCGTTCGCGTCGAATTAATAATTTGTAATGGTGATGATAAAGCAAAGCAAGAATTTCTATTGACATACAAAACTGGATAAAATTTTCATGCACATTTGACCAACAGAATAAGCTTTAAACGCATCGAGCAAATGTTCGAAGCAGAATCGTGGTTAAAAGCTTACTCAACTTTTGAAAGGCCCCTGTATTAAAGTGAGATTAAAAAAACTAAAATATGTCCAGAAAACTTTATAAATTATGTTTTTTTACTATTATTATTTATTATATTAATATATAATAAATAAATAAGCGTTTTCCTGAAAGACTAACCGTTTTTTAAATAACAAATATTGTAATATTTGAGGGCGTTTTCACCCTCTCTGGAATTTAAGATGTCGAAAACCCTATCAACCTCATCCCCACAGATCAATCCGTTTGCCAAAAAAAAGCTTTAAACGTCAAGCAGTTTAAGCAGAATCGTGATTTACTCAATGGTCACATTTTTATGAAACACCCTGTATATTTTTAAAAATCTTAAAATATATAAAACAACGAAATAAAATATACGTGTTTAAGAGTTTTCAAAAACTCTCCGGTTTTTAATAAAAATATTCTAATATTTGAGGGTGGTTTCACCCCCTTTGAATTCGAGTTTCGAAAAATCCCTTCTTATCGAACCTCTACACCCTAAAGTCAATCCGTTTTCCAAAAATCAGCTTTTTTACGTCAAAGGGCTTTAAGCAGGACCGTGATTAATCAATGACCAGATTTTTCAAAACACCCTGTATACATTTTAAAAAATCTTAAAATATTATTCTGAAATTTTTCAAGAATAAATAAATACCTAAATATTGAAACTTAATAACGTACTGAAACATACAGCGCCATAATATCTCAGCCTCCGCCCGTTATGCTAACAGGTTGAAAAACAATATATCTAAAACAACTGATTCGTTATTCTCCAACCTGTTTCGAACTTCCATCGACAATCGACCGATGCAGCAGCCTTCCTTTCCCACTCCTGTTATCTCCACCGCCAGGCGTTATGCCCCACAACTGTTTCCAAAAAACCTGCTTCTTTTATATCCTATTATTTTAAGCTGTTATAAGCGCAATACGACCGTCGACAGGATCGACCGAAGCAGCTACGTTCGCCGCTGCAGCGCATTCCCCCACTCCGTTGTCCGTTGTCTCGCCGCCTGTATCGATGGTTGACGAAATAACGGGTTTTCCATCTATACTAGTTGTTTTTTGGAATTGCTTCGAGCAGCATAGAATTTCCGGGGCGGTGCAGAGCGCCGAATTCGTTTTCGTTTCACGAGTCTCTACGTGTCGTTATTTTATATCTGTTATTTTTTAGAAGCAGTAACGGTTGCGTTATGTTATTTCTAAATAATTGTTATAAAATAACAGATAGTTAAATAACAACCCATCACTACACGACAAGGATTGCACTTCTGGAAGATCAGCTGAATAAGAACGATAACAGGGCTGTGTTCAGATCAAATATATACCAAGAATATTTTTCGTGAAGTCTCGGCTGAGTATGCCTATAATACAAGAACTGTGGATTTTGAAATCCTAAGATATCAGCTGAGCCTCTATGAGAAAGGTCCTTGGTACATGAGTGTAAAGTTGTTTAATAGGTTGCCACTCAAGTCAAATTAATAGAAGTAAAAAGTAGTTTGGAGACAGAAGTAAAGAGTAGTTGCACAACTGAAAAATTTGTTAATTTGATATAGAGCCATATCTCTCAGATTTCCTGTAGACAAGTCAATAAATATTGTATAACATCATTTCATTTTCTGTATATACTATTTTGTATTTTAACATTTGTATGTTACATTCCTTGAAGTAAAGATTATTATTATTATTAACTACTAATAAATGTAGATTTATTTAAATATAATATGATTTAAAACAAATATGTGTTTATTTTTAATAGTATAAACCTTGGTTTATAAAGTTTAAATATTATAAATTTTAAATCGTCCCATTGCTGCCAAAAGTCACTAACTTACTTTTTATTACTTCAGAGAAAAATGCGTCTAAAGATGAATTGCATTGCATAAAGATGTTATAGTTAGTAACTATTCGGTATTAAAATAAAACATAAATAGCCAGAAATCGTAGTTAATGACTTTTGCAATCGATTCTCCGCTTCAAAACATAGTTAGTGATTGAATTTGGTTGTTCGGAAAAATGTTAGTTAGTGACCTTTGGCAGCAACAGGACGAAATAATATCTGAAACATCAATCCATGAGTTAAACATGGAAGAAAAGCCTAACCACTTCACATAAAATTGTTTATTATTATTTTTCTGGTGGTGACCTAGCATTATTTCAACTAGATCAATACCAGGAGACTTTGTCTTCTGTAATTCGGCCTCATAAAAATACCCCTTAATTGGTTGACTTACTGATTCTAGGATAATTAAAATTGAGGATTAAAGAAAATTAAGAATTAAAAAAATATGTCTAAAACGCTATAAAAGACTAAAAACACAAATAACTGAATGCAAGTTAATGGTTTATATACGGTTTGTATGCCTCCCAGCGAAAATGGCGGATTTGTCAAAGTCACGTGTTCTGGAATGGTCTATTGGTCGAGATATTTTGAGGTTAGGGTATTGTTTATTGTTTTTAGTTATTTGGAGGGTTCAGTGGCGGATACAGAGGGGGGGGGGCCATGAGGCCCGGGCTCTCCCTAAAATTTATATATTGGGTTAAAAATTAGGCTTTTGGGTCCAAAATGGCTCCCTAAATAGCATATTCTACATTACTTTTAATGCCCCCCCTAAAATAAATTCCTGTATCCGCCCCTGGGCGGGTTGATTAGCGTGGTTATTTGGAGGGTGTTAATTCATTAGTTATAATTTTTTCAGATAGACGTTAATTTAAGGTAATAGTCAGTTAATTTCAAATTCAAACACAAATTATAAAATAAACACCGAAATCGAAAATAAATAATAGGTTAGGTAGAAACGTCAAAACAGAAGGCGCGCGCAACACGGATGATTTGTGGCTTCTTGTGCCGCAGAAATAAAAGTTTATTTGGTATGAACTATATACGATTTTCGTTTATAAATAAATAAGTTTAAAAATGATAATAAAAAGTGGCAAGCTGGCAAGGTAGCATTTTTCTGTTTGTATCTGGTTTGTATACCTTGGGTAGAAATCTTCGTTATGTACAGTTGTCGCCTACCCAGTCCCACGGATCACGAGCCGCCACTGCGCCACAGTGATAGAAAATGGATTTCTGAAGTATAGAATAAAGAAGAAGATACGATAAATGTCTATAATAATAATATGATAAAATGTCTATAATAATATACACTTTTATCACATAACATTATTTCTGACATAAAAATGGCAAAAAAATATAAATAAATATACTTACAACTTTACAATCTGTTCTATCGGATTTAAACTTTCATCACTATTATCGTTTTCTTCTGTGATGTCTACTATACTTATTGATTTTTTGTTAGATGCTTTTTTTGCATTAGATTTACTGCAATGTATGAACATAAATTGACAATTATAAAAGATTTTCATTAAATACCGTGTGCGTCTCACAAGGGGCTCAACCCTGTAACTTTTTTATTTTTTCAGATAAAAAAAGGTGATTTGGTAGGTTAGTATATCAAATTAGGATTGACTGTTTTAATTCAATTGTTTTTGGTCACTGCCTATTTCACCGGAAATGACTTCAACTCTTGATTTTTTAATGGCACCCTCAGTATTTTGTTACTTTATTCATTAGAAAATGACACTCTGAATAGAATTACATATATGTCAACTTTTGACATTTTCGAATATGGTTTATTCTTAGATCTTATATAAGAAAAATGCTTTTCCAAATATGCTATGAGTCACCTTCATTTCATTTGCAAAAATTGAGATATGATTAAAAATACGATTTGGGCATCTTTTAACTGGCCAGGACCAGACACTAAAAATATTAGACAATCAAATCTATTTTTCCAAGGCCCTTTGATTAAAAATTAGTGTTTTTAACACAGCCATGGCACTCTAGATTGAAATTTAAAATACAATTTTGTTTTAAGCGAAAATGTCAAAAGTTGACATATGATATGTCATTCTATTCAGAAGTGTCATTTTCTATTGAATAAAGTAATGAAATATCGGGGGTGCCATTTAAAAATCAAAAGTTGTAGTCATTTCTGGTGAAACAGGAAGTGGCCAAAAACAATTGAATACGTCAATCAATCCTAATTTATGTCATATACCAAATAACCAAATCTCGTTTTTTTATCTGAAAAAATAAAAAAAAGTTATAAGGGTGAGCCATTTTTGAGACTCACCCAGTATAATAATTTAAGCACAAGAATTCAGAAAAAATATACTTACAGTTTTAGATTAATATCTGATAAGTATGATGATACATTTGTAGATATTTTTTTATGTAATTCTTCTGAAGTACTATTTTCTTGTTTAACATTATTCAAACTTACTGATTCAGTATTAACAGTATCTGTTGAGCTGTAAAACATATTAAATTTTAATATATATTCCAAATTGTATTTGGGAAAACTTTGGTAGCATATTTTGCAGATAAAAATAAGCAAAAGCATATAAATATATGTATTTACACATCTGTAATGTGTATTTAAAAAAACATATTGAGAAAATAGATATATAATACCTTGACTCTGCAGAAAAATTATCTATAGTTGAATCTACAATATCTAAATTTTGTTCCGCTTTTAATGAACTGATATCTATCAAATCTGTTTTGTCTATAGGATATAGATCCATATCATCGCCTCCTCTGAAAAGAATATTTCAATCAAATGCTTAAATCATACTAAAATTGCTATTAATACTAACGGTTTTAAGTCCATGGCTTCATCTATATCGTCCATATTTACTAATAATAAATAGGAGTAATCTATAAAGAAAAAAAATATACCAGTTGAATTTCAGTTATAAATCTCAGCTGTGTGCGTTACACATACTGGATGTACTTTATCACGCAGTATGTGTAATACATCTATTTATTATAAGGAATTGAATTGTCTAACCAAAATCAGAGCTGCAAACAAGTATGGAGCAACCCGATAAAACCTAACCAGCTTTATAACACATAAGGAAGGTAATAACTCTATTTAGTAGTTCAAGATATCATTTATGTATAATAAAAAAAATATATTAGTTTACCATATACAAGCCCATCAAGTCACACAATAATCAAATAACACAGTAATAATTACAAGGATTAATAGAATAATTATTAATAAAAGATTGACCACACTATCAAACACTAATAACCTTTTTAGGACAGCTTTTTAGATTTATCCCATATTTATCCAGAGAATAGATACATGAAGTACATTATTAGGATGTGATTAGGATTTATCTTTTATCTTGGGATTTATCCACAAAACACATATGATTTATCCATTTATCTCTGTGATTTATCTATTTATCTTTTCGCCAAATACGTTTTTCGCCCTTTCGCTACTGTCAGATGTGTCAGATAGTGTATTTTTAGTTGCCTATACAATTTTTTTGACGTTTGTCCTTTTCTTATCTATGGTCGAAAACCTAACGATTTATATTTAGCCAATCAAATTGAAATGCGATAAAATTCGAAATTTCAAAAAATTTCACCATGAAAAATCAAGTTTTCGTCGTTTTCGCCACCTCGTTGCCGGGAAAACGTAAACAATTTTTTGTATTACAAGAAAATATTTTGAAAAATAACAAAAAAAAGTTTGTGTGAGTGTGTAGTGCTAGTGTAAGTGGAACAATTATTTAAAATAAGTTGAAAAAGTAGAAATGAACAACATTCCATCGCAGGGCGTTATGTTTCCCATGGGATCGCTTTATGTGGGAGATTTACATCCTGATGTGACCGAAGCCATGCTCTACGAAAAGTTTTCCACAGCTGGACAAGTAAGTAAAAGATCATGCAGTGTATCATACGTAAAGTTGGTATATTTTTATCGAAAAAATTATTTATCAATGAGTAAATTTATTCTGAATTTTTGTTGAAAAAAAATTATTTAAAATGTTTTCATAATCTTTTTCAGGGTGATATCATCATACGGTGTCTCTCATATTAACAAAACACACTACATAAATATACATCTATACCAGAACACATACAAAGATGATTAAATTAGAAAAAAGTTGTCCCTTATTGAACTCTATATCTAGAACGTCATATTTCGCTATCTAAAAAAATCCGAATTCGCACTACTGAAAATATTTATTGGAAAAATCCGCGTATTTTCACTTCGTCTTAGTTTTCTTTTTATTAACAATTTTACATTTCCATTACTATACTTTTGCGTCTTCCACAAGTTGGTATTATTAAATTTTTGATCTGACGACGTTTTGTTTTCCGAGATACCATGATCAACTTTATTTTTTTAAAATGCGTACCTGGATCAGAGCCTGAATTTTTAATTTCATTTTTTTTAATACATATTTTTTAAAAATACGTCTTTAGAATATACTCATAAAAGGCAATGCGTTGTAGGGAGATGGGTATATGGATCACTATAATTATGTGTGTGTGCGTGTCAAAAAGAAACACACAAATCAACATTTTTTTGATGTCATATACAGTATGTCCCTGGATTGTCTTTACTGGAGGGAAACCTTTTTTATTATTGGCATTGTGAGAAAAATGCTTTCTTCATTAAAATGTTTGCTTGTTCTAAAATGGTTAACCCCGTTTAAACTTTTCCAAATTTCCATACCGTTCTGGAGAAAATTAAAAAAAAACTGAAAATATGAATGAATTTTGAAGCTCCTAACAGAGAGAACACTAATAACTAAAGTGAGAGAAGCCGATCAACGTTAATTTTTGAAGACTGTGTTAGTGGCGCGGCTTTTGGCGTCTAACCCGAACTATGAGCTCATTATCGATATAGTAGATTGCATTCATACCTATATACTGGCGCCAAAAATTTAAAATTTGTATAATATTTGAACCAAATCATCTTTTAAGTTTATAATAAGAAATCTTCGTAGTTTTTGTAGATTATTTTGTTGGCAACGAAAATTTATTATTAGACTTATTAAAACCTATAAATAAAATACTGTTTAGGAACATAATAATTTATTTAACTGCATACTCCTTGCCATACTCCAACTCAAGGCTGGAATCTTCAATATCTTTTTTTATCTAACTTGGTTGGGAGTGAACAGGTGATTATTATGTGCACTCACTATTACTATTAGGTATGTTAAAATAATTATCGAGATAAAACTTACCTTTAAACGAAACGTTTTGTCTGGATCTCAACCACAAAACAAAAATGCCGAATTATCGTGGAATCTGAAATAATCAATAATGACAATAATGTTCTCTTTTGACAAGCTAAAAGAACAGGCACATTCAGTCAAAAACAATTTATTATTCCGATTATCAACAGATTTTAGTTATCTCCTTCTAGAGCCAAGAAATGGAAAAAACTACCGACAATCTAATTAATCCTGTCAAATGTTTAACTTGCAAAGTTGAAAACTTCCTTTTTTGACCGCCTAAACGCTATGCGCGTCTGGAAAGCGCAGTGACAAAATAAAATTGTTTACGAAATGCCCTGTTCCACAAGCCCTTCCTAAAAATCAAAAAGCGTTTCTATGGTTATAAAATTTCGCTTTCATTCTTTGATAGATGGTTTTTATATTTTGATTAACTATAGCTTTGTTCGGGTTCTTGTTATTACCGATTCTGAACCGTCCTAGAACTGTGATGCGTATGCGCAGAAGGAAATATGAAGACATTACTTCATTTGCGCATGCGCTGCAGAGTTCTAGGACGGTTCAGAATTGGTAATAACAAGAACCCGAAAAAAGCTGTTATATTTTTGATGTTGTTAAAGTAACACATTTACCGATAACTATATTATATGACCCTTTCCGTAGCACTGAACTAAATCAATTTTGCGCTTTAACAATTTCAAATAGCAAAAAATATGACGTTACTAAAAATTCTATCAAAGGATGAAAACGAAATTATATTACCATAGAAACGCGTTTTCATTTTTAGGACTTCTATTAAAATATAGTTGAATAGGAAAAAAATTAACTATAGTTCATATCAAATAAACTATTAGTCACGTGATTAAGCTTGACCGGAACAGCGTTGCCCACTTTTACATATTTTCTTTTAATCAAAATATTTTAGGAAACAAAAATTAATTAATTATAAATATATAAACAGTTATTATTTACATCAACAAAACTCACCTTCTTAACAGCACTTAAGGGACATAAAGGGCCATTACTACCGCTTTCCCGTTCAAATATTCTAATAAAGTTGCAATGAGATTTTACGGCTATTAAGCTATCTTGTACACTTCGCACTAAAAGAGGTTCTCAAAAGAACAGTGTTTGACTGCAAAGTCTGCTAGTAAACATTTTTAAGCATAAAGTATTACAACACTATTTATTTAAACCAAAAAATCGTAATACAAAACTAAATGTGACTAAAGTGTCAAAACGAATGACAATGTCAGAAAATAAATAAATAAATGTGGCAACTTGACATTTATTACAGCAGAGCTACCACCTGAATCCCCAGCGGGAAATTTAAATTCCAGTTAGTCAGCCCGACGCTGAATATGTCCATAGTTGGCAACAATGAATTTAAAAATCGCGCCCTCAATTACGTAGGTAATTTTAAAAGTTTAATTGGTATCAAATATATATTTTCATGTTTTTTTTATTTTTCCATTTATTATATATAAGAATTTGTAAATTTATAAATGGGATTAACCATTTTAGAATAAGCAAACATAATGTTTATGAAGAATGCGTTTTTTCCAAAATATCAATAATAAAAAAGGTTTTCCTTTTGTAAAGACAATCCGGGGACATACTGTAGAGTTCAGCAAGATGCAAATTTTCTCTAATTTAATCATGTTTGTATACTTTCTGTCTGATTCACGAGATCTCTGTATAGTATATCCGTAGTGTAACACTGGAATATTTTCAGGTGTTGTCTCTGAGAATATGCCGCGACTCTAGAACGAAGCAGTCTCTGGGCTACGGCTACGTAAATTTCAACAGCCCCCACGACGCCGAAAGGGCCCTGGACACAATGAACTTCGACCCTTTGAAGGGAAAACCGATCAGAATCATGTGGTGCCAGCGGGATCCGTCCTTGAGAAAATCGGGCATCGGCAACGTGTTCATCAAGAACCTGGACAAGAACATCGATAACAAGGCCATGTACGACACTTTCTCCGCTTTCGGAAACATCCTTAGCTGCAAAGTTGTCATGGACGAAGACGGTTACTCCAAGGGTTACGGCTTCGTGCATTTTGAAAGCGAGGAGATCGCCAACAGGGCCATAGATAAGGTGAACGGGATGCTGCTGAACGACAAGAAGGTGTACGTGGGCAAGTTTGTGCCGAGGATAGAGCGTGAGAAGGAAATCGGAGAGAAGGCCAAACAATTTACGAACATCTACGTGAAGAACTTCGGACCGCACATGTCCGACGAGAAGTTCTTCGAGATTTTTTCCAAGTTTGGAACGGTGACCAGTTGCATGGTGGCCAGACATCTGGAAGGTTCGAGCAAAGGGTTTGGGTTCGTGGCTTACGAAGACCCGAGAGCTGCCGAAAGAGCTGTTCAGGTAAAAATTACAAGCGTCTATACAGGGTGGTCCGAACTCTATTCCGGAAACTTTGGCAGCATATTCTGCAGATAAAAATAAGTAAAAAACTTCGTATAAATGTATGTTCTAAAATGCTTAGTTTCGGAGATATAGGGTGTAGAAGTTTTATTTTTATTTCGATTTTTTCCAAATAATTTCTGAAGTACCCTCAATATTTGGATGAAAATTGGAGTTTGGGAGTTTTTTGACATGAGAAATTTGATTTTGAGGTCAATATGACTCCTCTTTATAGGGGCGCCACCTACATGTGTTTTAACTATTTTGAAGAGTAATAACTTTTCATCCTTCAAATGTCTCTTGGTAAAAATCACTACGAGCAACCGTTTTCAAGATATTTAGTATGGGAATAGTCAATACATATGTATGTCATTATTGACGAAAAATAAACACGCGTTGAGTAGATAGTTATTTGACTGAAAATAAATTTGGGAAATATTTATTTTTTTAAATTAATCTTAAATTTTTCTGAGAAAAAATGATGATAAAACAGTTTTTGTTGAACTTTTGGCATAAAATCATTTCAAATTTATGATTTCAATATTAACTATTTAGTGAACATGGTTAATTTATGTCACGGATGACAGGTATTGATAATTTCGATTCCAAATATCTCGAGAACCATTACTCGTAGCGATTGATTTTTACCAAGAGACCTTTTTTACGTAAAAGACGTCGTAAATGTATATTTTTTACTCATTAATTTTATACACGTAGAGACAAAAAGTTATTACTCTTCAAACCAGTAAAAAAATATATAGGTGGCGCCCCCTACAAGTAGGAGTCATATTGACATCAAAATCAAATTTCTCATGCCAAGAAACTCCCAGATACCAATTTTCATCCAAACTTTGACCTTACCTCATAAATTATTTGGAAAAAATCGAAATAAAAATGAAACTTTTACACCCTGTATCTTCGAAACTAAGCATTTTAGAACATACATTTATAGGAAGTTTTTTTAGTTATTTTTATCTGCAGAATATACTTCCAAAGTTTCCGGAATACAATTTAGATCACCCTGTAGAACACCCCATCACTGCTTGCAGCGTTGCCAGTTTTCACTTTTTTTACCATTACGTTTTGAAAGAAGAAAAGACAAAGACATGAAGATTACGATATTTAGGAAAAAACGATTTTAGATTAATTCTTGCATCTAGCCGGACCGTGACACTTTACAACCCGCAGTTCCGCATGCGCATAAACGATAATCGGTGAAATATTTTGCGTGCATATGCCGCCGGTGCTGCCATCATCGGAGAATATCGTAAACAACTAGTATATACAAATACACGGGTTTAAATAGCGAGTATACGAAAAAATTATTATTTAATTATTCTAAAAGAGTTAGGAAGTGTAATTTGTGAAAATTCTAAAAAAAAATAAAAAAGTAAATATTTTAATACCTTTAGAAGGTCTAACTATAGTTTATTATTCAAGCTATATAATAAAACTTTTTAGATGAGTTCCATTACGGTAGTTAGTATAGTTTTACGCACTGATTTTGCTAGCGGAGACATAACTGGGGCCATTTCGGTTATAACTATTTTTTAAAGATACATAATTATAATTTTAGATGTTCATAAAAAGTTTAAGCACTAGTTGATTAAAACATGTATACTATTAAAATTGCAAATTACGAGTATAGGTTATCCTCTCATAGTATATGCCTATTTAGTTTTTTGATTATGTAATGGGCACTTTGTATACTGATTTGTTTCGTCGAACTGCTTGAATCCATTTTTGCTTTCGATCAAATCGGTGTGAGAAGTTGTGAATCTATAAAATGTTGTTTCGGGAGAGTTGATTATCCGGAAAACTTGAGTTATTGAATTTTATTGCACCCAACAACCACGTAATTACGCCCTCCTTTACGTGTTAAAATACATTTTTTTTCGGCAATTTTATTAACGACGCGACGCCAAGTTCGTGTTCTTTTTCACTTAATTTATACCTTATTTATACTACCCGGAACAGCGTTACATCACACAAACCTCGTACCTGAGAGTTTTGTAGTTTCAATAACCGCACTGTTAAAAACTAAAATACATAATGTTGCGGACCCGTGCCGTGTGAACTCAGCCTTAGGCCTGGCCACTCGCCTATGACTCATACGCCCAGCGATGCCGACGTTCTAAGAATGAATAAGAATTGACTAGACAAATCTGGATTGTCTGTTTCTCTCCTATATAAGCAGACGCCGGGGCCTAAGGAAGACAGAGATAAATAACCGATCGACGCGTAGAGTTACAATCGCCGCGCTAATTCAAAATAAATTTCTGTTCGATAAATAATTAGATAAATTGTAAATAAGTTATAAATAGTTCTTTAAGTCTTTTAATCGTTATTGTTTTTGTTAATTAGTGTTAAATAAATTGTGTTTAAATAAATTGTGACTTTCTATCCACACGGAACCGACGAAAAACGTAACAATAAATATTATGGCAAAGCCACGATTTTAATATTATTTCTTTGCGATCAACATCGGAACTGCGTGAAATACAAAAATACTACGAAAACTTCTGATTTCTGCTGTATCGAGCGCCGCGGTCGGAATTTTTGAAAATCAACTGAAATGCACCAAGCAATTGTTGTAATCAATCATCAGATCGCTTTGTTCACTGATCATCGGAATTTTAATAATAATAACTTTTATTTCCAATTCTAAAAAATAACAAATTATAACAGAAATTCTAAATACTAACAATATTGTCCAGAAATAGCGCAGGCTAGCCTCATCTACTCTACTGAACCTGATAAATGACTATTTAACATTTAGTAACCCCTAAAGTTATTGCGAAAATAAATTTGCTTCAATAAGTAACATAATAAACTTTTATTATTTAAATTAATTATTTGGACTGCTTGGTCAAACTGCCGTTAGCCGCCCGCACACTTTGTTCAACCTAGGGAGGGTAGAAATATCTCTACCCTTTCATAGTTCAAAGCGACATACTAGGGATATTCGAAAATTATTACTAAGCGAATATTTGATATTAATTTCAAGGAGATGAGCGGTCGTGAGTACGAAGGAAGAACTCTCTACGTAGGCAGAGCTCAAAAAAAGGCTGAGCGACTGAACGAACTTCGAAAAAAATACGAACAGCAAAGAATGGAACGTTTCAACAAGTTCCAGGGAGTCAACGTTTATGTGAAAAACTTGGACGATTCTTTCAACGATGAGAAACTGAGACAGGAATTTGGTTGTTTTGGAAACATCAGCTCTGCAAAGGTAAATAAACCCAGCTTACATGTTATATATTGTATTTTTTTTAAATTCATCTATTTTGTTCTTTTTCCAGGTTATGACTGAAAACGGCCGATCAAGAGGATTCGGCTTTGTCTGTTTTTCTGCTCCGGAAGAAGCAAACAAGGCCATACAGGAAATGAACGGGAAGATCGTAGGCTGCAAGCCGTTGTATGTGGCCTTGGCTCAAAGAAAAGAGGCTAGACGAGCCTTCTTGACCAGTCAGTACGTAGCTAGAGCCCAGGCAGCAAGAAATCAAGTAAGGTTAAAATAACTATTTTAAAATTTGCGAAAGAAAGTAGGTAAAGTATTTTTTTGCAAAAGTTCAATTGTTTCTAATAATTACATTATATACAGGGTGTCCCAGAAATAAGTGTAAGTATTTTAAGGGGTGGTGGATCTCGATAAAAGAAACATATTTTCTCTTTATCGTTATTCAAATAAGTCCAAAATAACGGAGTTACTTTACTTTGAAAATTTTCAAAAGAAAATGATTTTTTACTAAAATTTTGAGAACCACTGGATCTTTTTTGGATTTTCTTTTTTGTAAATTTAATCTATTACCTATGTTGCCATATTATCAAGAAATTATGGTTTTCAACTAAAAACTAAAAACTAAAAATTTCCAAAAAAAATTTTCAAAAAATTTCGAATTTTAATTTTTTTTTCGCGAAAAGAACCTTATAGGTGTGTTTTTGGAGTTGAACTATACTACCAGTTAAAATACTTGCACTTATTTTTGGGAGACCCTGTATAATAAATCACTTATAACACACTCATAAGTGTCAAAAAGTAGGTGCAAAACATGTCTGAAAAATTACATTTTAAAGCTGGTTGTAAAAAATAGTTTTTTTAATTAAAAGTGGACAAAACTGTTATTTCAAATAACAGTTAATTGATATTTACAGCAACTGTTGGCGGACTGTTATTTTAATATCTGATATGATTGAAATAACTGATGCAGCTGGTAGAGTTTCGCGTCGTGACCATATAAGCTGCAATTATACTGTTATTTCTTGAAGTAACAACTGTTATTACATATCAGTAGAGCATGGTAGGATTTCGTGCCTCGGAAGAACTGTTATTTATAAATAACAATAATAATAATTATTATTATAAATGTTTTTGTCAATAATAGTGCAGCTTAGTAGTTTTGTGTCGTGGCGTCATTACTATAATTTCTTAAAATAACAACTGTTATTTTCTAAATAACGATTGACACTTCAAAAAAACAACAGTAACTAGAGTAACTAGTTATAAACAAAAGTGCAGCTTGAGAGACTTTCGTGCCGTGCGATTTAGGTTGCATATCTCCAGCCATTACTCTGTCATTTTTGAAGTAACAACTGTAATATTTAAATATAATTATTATATTTAAATTTATAAATAACAGTTAATTACTTAAAAAATAACAGTAATGGCTTGTGATTTACCAATCTACATATATATCGCTGCAGTACAAAACTCAACGACGCTGCACTGTTATTTATACATAAGAATTTGTTATTTATATCAACTGTTTTTGAATAACTGGTATTTATATGCAACAGCTGTTTTTTATAACAAAACTGTTATTTATAAATAACAGTAATAAAATACCAAATTATTTAATATCCATCCTTGTCTTTATTTAATAGGGATTGCAGTTTGCCGGTGGGCCGCCCTTTCTTCTTCCTGCAGTCGCCCAAGCCCCCCGTATTTTTGGCCCCGCTCCAGCTCTAAGGGCGGCTCCCCGTTGGCCGGCCCTTCAAGCGCTGCCTAGGCCGAACGGAGCCGCTTTCGGCCTTCCTTTACTAGGCACGGCTCCATTTAGGGCTCCAGCAGCGAGACCTGCGCCAGTAAGACCACACGCAAGACCCATTACAGGTGAGTTACGTTTGATGGTTTATTATCCGATAGTCAAGCAGCATTAAAAGAGATCAACTCAGTAACCGTCAATTCGAAGTGGGGCAAAGAATGCCTAGAGAAGCTGGACAAATTAAGCAAAGAAAATAAAGTCCTTCTACTCAGGGTGCCAGCTAGGGTTTCCGGAACTAGAACTGTTTTTCGGAACCAGGAATTTCGGTACCGCGCCTCTTAGGAACCGGGATTTCCCGGTACTTTCGGTACTGACTAATTTTTGTTCAATGGTGGTGCATTTCATCAATCAGAAAGCAAGGGATGGTTTTTCAAAGTAAAATGGATAAAAAATTGAAAATAACATCAAATTATTAAGTAATCAGTCATGAAAAAATTCATGAACACAAGTAAAGAAAAAAGTATAGGTAACTTAAATTTCACATCAAACAACATAAACCAACTCAACTGAATTTGAGACCTTAACCCAAAATCTCAACTGAATTTGAGACCCAACTGAATTAGTTATTCCCGGTACTTTCGGTACCGGGATTTCCTGGTTCTGAACCCTAGTCGGTACGACTGATATCGGAGATGGAGAACTAACTTCTGTAAAACCGTCTCATATACTGGCTTTTGTCAAAGCCCTGAGACTGTATGATGAGTTATAATAAGTCAAGAAAGGGGGACACAATATATATGTAAGATAGGTGATTAACCCTTCTCCCATACATTCTACGTTTGATTGTTTTTATTTTTTTCACTGCAGCTCGGCAAATTTTGGATATCTGGCCATTTTTAGAGCACCTCTTTAGTAGAATCTCACTTGTCTTATTATTTTAGGTGCCACAGGACCGACCGCTAGACCAAACTCGAAATATACAACAAGACATGGACCGGAGACTCCTCTAGTAGATGGGCGCTTGCCCCACGCGGCTCCACAGGAACAAAAACAGTTGTTAGGTAAAGTCATTTTTTCTTAGATTGATATTTGAAATAATTGCATTTTTATTTTCTATGATAAAAAAATGTTCATTATTTTTTTAAACGTTTATGTCACATTAAACAGGGGATAGTCGGGTTGTTGTTAAATTCGTACTGTTTTGATATTTACTTTAGGTGAACAATTATTTAGAATTGTGGAGAAACTCCATCCTGAACTAGCCGGCAAGATAACAGGAATGCTGTTGGAAATTGATAATTCGGAACTGTTGCACATGATCAAAAATCAAGAGTCGTTGAGGGCAAAGGTCAGTATAGAACATATTTAGGCCACCCATTATATAAAAAAACAAGGTTGGAGGAGTCAATAAATATTATTTTTATATTCATATACCGGGTGCGTCTCAAAAGTGTTGCTCACCCCTATAACTTTTTTATTTTTTCAGTTAAAAAAACGAAATTTGGTATGTTAGTATATGACATATAAATTAGGATTGACTGACGTATTAATTGTTTTGAAGTAATTGTTTTCGGTCACTTCCTGTTTCACCGGAAATGACTACAACTTTTGATATTTAAATGGCACCCTCGGTATTTTTTTACTTTATTCGATAAAAAATAATACTCTGAAAAGAATGACATATCATATGTCAACATTTGACATTTTCGCATATGGTTTATTTGAAATTATAACATGCGGTTCATAACGACAATTTCTCGAACTCGTTAATGCCAAGTGTGTGGTATCAAATTTTTCGTAAAAAATTATTTTTCCAACTATGCTATGAGCCACCCTCGTTCCGTTTGAAAAAATTGAGATATGATTTAAAATACGTTTGGTCATCTTTTAACCGGTCTGGACAAGACACTAAAAATATTAGACCATCAAATCTATTTTTCCAAGGCTCCTTGATTAAAAATTAGTAATTTTAACATAGCCATGGTACTCTAGATTGAAATTTAAGATACAAATTTTTATTAAGCGCGGATGTCAAAGTCAAAAGTTGCCATATGATATTTAATTCTATTCAGAATGTCATTTTCTATCGAATAAAGTAAAAAAATTCCGAGGGTGCTATTTAAAAATCAAAACTTGTAGCCATTTCCGGTGAAACAGGAAGTGACCGAAAAAAATTGAATACGTCAATCAATCCTAATTTATGTCATATACTAATATACCAAATCTCGTTTTTTTATCTGAAAAAATAAAAAAGTTATAGGGGGTGAACCACTTTTGAGACACACCCGGTATTATTATATATAATATGTAATATAAATATATGTTCAGTTTTTTTTACTAAAATTTGTTTTTTTTTGTAAGTTCGTTGTGTTTTCTGTGTTTGTTTTCTAGTAATTCTTGTTTATTCTAAAAAATACCGTTTTACAGCAAAATAAAAAAATATATGAATATACGTTTTCCCTTTTTGCTTTAATCAAAATTAATAATAATCATCTATCAAAAAATGAAAACGAAATAATATACACGTTTGGATTTTAAGGAAAAAATTCAACTGTATTTTCATATATTTTTTATTTTTCTCTAAAACGGTATGGGAATTTGAGAAAGTATAAAAGGGATTAACATTAATTTTAGAACAAGCAAAAGTTTTTGTAAAGAATGCATTTTTCTTAAAATGTTAATAATAAAAAAATATCCGCCATCCGGAGACATTCTTTAGATACATTTTTGATACTAGGTACTCAAGTAACTAAATATCCATACTTTGCTAGTATCATATTATCCCTATTTCCAACTTAGTATAAATGAACTAGAAGCGCTAATCCTCGTCAAATCCTTTGATCTATTTCTGTTTTCATCTAAAATTTTTCGAAGTGTTGCAACACCTAGTAACAATAGACTGTGGCACTCATTTTTCGCCAACGGACCCTAACTGCTGCCAACAATCTGCCGAAGTTTATCCGCAGGCGGAAAATATTTGAGAGTGGCGCTACTAGTTTTGTTATACCGTATAATCGAAAAAAAAACGGCGTCCAGTTGGCTTGGAAATGACGATCGATGACATTTCCCATATAATTTTACATATAAAATGACCGCGATCTTCATTTCATAGCCATCGCTGACGCCGTTTTTATTCGATCATACGGTACTATGATTGTATTATGTGTTAAGCAATTTATAATTTTTAGGTCGAAGAAGCTATAGCCGTTCTTGAGGCTCACAAAGCCAGCAAAAAGGGGGTCGTCATACAAGACTGAGTTTACTTCGTGTCAATAGTTATATATCTGCGTTTTTGCCCAAGAATGAGTTTTTAGCTGCTTGAACAGTATGTACTCCTTTTTTTTCGGTTTGAATTTGAAACATCCCAACAACGTTTTTACTTGTAGAAGTTTATGAGACAATTTTAGTGTGGTTGAAGTTTTAAGCATTAATTATTTTGTACTTTTCAAGTTAATAAAATGTTCTATTTATTATTTATATGCACTGAAATATTTTTATACTTTTTTAAATAAATTAGTGTTTTTGATGCGATGAGTTTTATTTATTGTTCCTAACATTATATAGAGGAATTTACTATCATAAATCATAGGCAGACATTTCATAAATTTAATTAAAGAATATACCGTATGACCGAATAAAAACGGCGTCAGCGATGGCTATGAAATGAAGATCGCTGTCATTTTATAAGTAAAATTAATTGGGAAACGTCATCGATCGTTATTACCAAGCCAACTTTATTATAGTTTCGAGAGTGTCCGAAACAAAAAAAAATTATGTGTGGCATATCATTGTACTCAGGAGACTGAGTACAATGATATGACGATCGATGACGTTTCCCATATAATTTTACATATAAAATGACAGCGATCTTCATTTCATAGCCATCGCTGACGCCGTTTTTATTCGAATTTACGGTATATTCTTTAATTAAATTTATGAATAAATATCTGCCTATGATAGTAAATTCCTCTACACTGTACGAGTTCTTTCAAAACTTAAAATAAAAAATGCAGGTCTGTATTTAAAAAAATTAAGTTGGCCTCTGTATCAGCTAATTTGAAAATCTAAAAATACTATCAGATAGCCTTAATAGAGTGGCTATGAGAATGTGCAATTAGTTTTTTGTTTTTCTAAAAAGTAACGATAGGAAAAAATAAAATTGATTTTCATAAAAATCCGTTTTTTCCAAAAAACTCAACAATCCTTGAAATTTTTAAAACTTCTTTGATGGAAACTTAGTGAACATCCCAAAGCGCAACTTTGCCAAATTTAACCATGTTCGTATGTATTACGGATACAGAGATACCAATGCTCGTACCTCGAATTTGTAGCACCCTGTTTAGTAATCACATTGACAGTCAACTCGAAAACATTTTAAATTAAAAAGTACACCTTGAAATACTGAAAACATTCAGATATGCATCTAAAAATAGATCCTAAAATACTTTTAATAAAGATTAGTACGAAAAAAACCTGTATACGATATTTTAAATCATCAAATAAATTCTTTAACACCTTATAAATGGACAATAAGCGCCCACCGGTACCGCCAAAGAGTTCAAGAATAAGATACCGGTCTTACCTACAAATTACTTAAAGGAACTGCCTCGCCTTGAGTCATCAAATATTTTCAGTTCAGTCAGTAGAACTTGTGCTCGTGCAAGTACTGTTAAGTTGCGGTACAGTTCTTGCCCATTTGCGTTTATATTTTCTCGAATTTTTATCTATTTTAAACGTTATATTCATTTTCTTTTAATGCCATGATATACTAAGATTATAGAAATAGTGTAACAAGATGTCAAGTACTGAAATCAATGCGACAGGTACGTTTTAAATAGTTTCAAAGGTGTTTAGCATGACCTAAATAAGTTAAATGATCAAAAGGAGAAGGCGTTCTTAAATTATATTTTTAATTTTAACTTTAAATAATAGATTTAGTTTAATAATTTCAACTCTGTTTATTTTGAAAGTAAATGTATACCTACAGCTGGTATTTCTAGAATTCTAAGTTACCGGGGTCATTCAGAAAGTATGTAATATCTCTTTAAAAGAAAAAAAAACAGTGTGTGCACTTTGTGCGCATATTTGAAGTGAAACTTCTTATTAACAGGTATTAAATTCAAGGATTTGAAAGACATGTTTGAAGTGACAAGTGACATATAATGCTGTTTTAATATCAATACTATTTTCAATTTATTTCTGCACATTTTCTGTTTCCTCAGTAGTCTGCAAATTTTGTGGAATACCACCCAAAATACACACTTTTATGGAAATGCCTAATAATGTTAACGCTTAAATTTATTAAGAAGAGAAAAAAATTTGATCGTAACCAATAATTCGTATTTATAGTGGTAGATATACAGTTACATATACATATTAGACAAGGATTATACGAATATTCTCGTTGATTGCGAGAATGCGAGTTACTAACTCTAATAATTCTAATTCTGAGCTGACACCCAAATAAATTTAAATATAAAGTCACAGCAATCTTCATTTCCAAACTTCTGACGCATTTTCTCGTATGGTATAATATAGTTAAAAAGATGACTTCTTGGCCAAATTCAGCTGGGTTGAATTGGTTTTATATGCTTCTTTGGTGTCTTTACCTTTTCTTTATATTTCCCGTAAATATTATATTACTGTAGTATTATCAGAAATATGATAATTTTAAAGTATTTTTTAGCTTCTGAAACAACTAGAGAAGATATACCGTTAAAATCTGGTACTAAACAATCAAAATGGTACAGTTGTAGCGATGAATGTTTGACTGGATCTAAGTTTATTAATATAGCCTTTGGTACATTAACTGTTGTTATAACAATAGCTTTACTGATTCAAATTTACTACGGAGACTATCAGGTAATTAAAATTAAATATCTGTTGTATTAATAATTAATACGTTATAGTTATTCCATTTAAATGACTATGTTTTTTTAACAATTTTTTCTATATAATTTGTATTAATTAACAATTTTTTACCTAGCCACCTGTATACGATCGAAAAAAAACACAACAGGTCGTGAAAAAAACACAAACACAATCGGTGATAATTTTGGCAAGGCCAAGCCCTAGCCATCATTTACTTAGCCCGTACTCTTCATTATTTTCTAATAACGTTTACTGCTAGTTAGTCTTAAGATTGTAATTTATTTTAATATTGAGTAAAAATGATTTTTATAGAGGTGTCTAGATATTGACCTCGCCAAAACTATTACCGATTGTCATTCCCCAGCCGTCTTTGACACCTTTTTTTCAATCGTATGGTAGTTACTTATTTAGATAGGTATATTTACATTATAACACCACAAAAATTCATAATTTATTATACACAGGTTGTACCTCATGGTAGTGTGGCAACAGACAGTTTGGATTGTTCAAGAATCGGTACCCAAATACTTAAGCAAGGCGGTAATGCAATCGACGCTGCAATAGCAAGTACATTTTGTTTAGCAGTAGCAACTCCACACCTTACAGGCCTGGATGCGTAAATCTATACTTCTACAATAATAAAAAATAAATTTTAAAAATATATATATTTTAGAGAAGGGCAAATTCTGATTTATAATCATAGAACGAGACTTCTGCCCAATGTCATTGATTTCAGCTCCACAAATGTGCTATCTGATCGCATGCCTCGGTTGGTACTTGGATTGGCCTATGTTCATCAACAGTACGGAACTTTGCCTTGGAAAAAGCTTATAGATCCATCTGCAGAACTAGCAGAGTATGACTAAATATATATCTAACGTTTCGTCCTACGTGGGAGAAAAAAGCGCGCGATTCGGGCGGTGCGAGCGACGCGTATTTATCAAATATCGTTTTCTTACGAAGCTGTTTACCAAAACACCAAATCAAAATACTCAACTGATCGTAAACCATCAGATAATAGAGCGAGTCTATAAATATAAATATTTAGGAACCCTGATCAACGACGACATTGATTACTCATCAGAATTAAAAACGAGGATTGAAATAGCACGTAACACCTTTATTAAAATGAAGCAATTCTTTTGTTGCAAAACTTTAAGTAACCACCTTAAAATACGAATGCTAAGATGCTACATATTTACAATAATGCTCTATGGTATAGAAGCTGCCACTCTAACAAAACAAATGCTTAAAAAGATAGATGCCTTCGAGATGTGGCTTTACAAAGGGTACTCCGGATATCATACGTTGACAGAATTACCAATGAAGAAGTCTTACGAAGAGTCTCAAAAGATCTAGAATTGTCCCAAGAGGTGAAAATCAGAAAACTCCAATATATGGGCCAAGTAATGAGAGGTACAAGATACAAGCTTCTACAACTAATTATCCAGGGTAAAATAATAGGGAAGAGAAGCATAGGAAGAAGACGGATGTCGTGGCTTCGAAATCTCAGAGAATGGTTCAACTGTACATCAAACGACCTGTTCAGGGCAGCAGTCAACAAAGTAAAATTAGTCATAATGGTCGCCAACCTTCGCAAGAAGTCGGCACCTTAAGAAGAAGAAGACGAAGCTGTCCTAGGTAGGAGAGTCGCGCCACTGAATAAGCGGCATTGCAGGCAATTTAAATATGTCGCGCTCATCGCCCTCTGTTGTCGCACGCGTCGCTCGCTCGCTTTTGTCTCCCACGTAGGACGAAGCCTAAGCGTAACATAACTAACACAAGAACAGTTAGTATACTGTAGGTTTCAGCCTTGTTTATATATTCATATACAAGGGTTTCAGATAAAGATAAAAAAGTTTGAGAGCCGCCGTATAATTTTGAGGTGACAACTAATTATTCTGAGAAACCTGCGGCTGTCAAAAGTTTACTAACATATACAGGAAAATTTAAAGACTAGTCAAAATATTAAAAAAACACTAAAAAATAAAATTCAAAATATTTAATAATTTCATTTTTAAGACGAATATTGTTGTTGAAACCTTCGGTGTTATAACACACGAATAATAATAATAATATTTTAGAACTATAAATTAAAAAAGAATTTAATATAATTTTAGTAATGGCTACGTTGTGTCAAGAGAATTAGCCGATGTCATCATAAAATCAAAAGCCGAAGACCTGTATGGTAGATTGGAACCAGGACAGAACCTGCAACATAAGCTTTTAAGTAATACTTTGAGAACTATAGGAAACATAACTGAAAAAGGTAGCTTAAAATAATGACATTATTATTTACAAGGTATACCGGGTGGGTCTTAAAAGTGGCTCGCCCCTATAACTTGTTCATTTTTTCAGATAAAGGAACGAGGTTTGAGTATATGACATAAATTAGGATTGATTGGCGTATTCAATTGTTTTTGGTCACTTCCTGTTTCACCGGAAATGACTACAACTTTTAAATTTTAAATGGTACCCTCGGTATTTTTTTGCTTTATTCTATAGAAAATGTCACTCTGTGTAGAATGACATATCATATGTTAACTTTTGACATTTTCGCTTTAAAAAAAGTCATATTTTAAATTTTAATCAAGAGTGCCATGGCTGTGTTAAAAACACTAATTTCTAAACAATGAGCCTTGGAAAAATAGATTTGATCATCTAGTATTTTTCGTGTCTTGTCCTGGCCGGTTAAAACATGCCCAAATCGTATTTTTAATCATATCTCATTTTTTTCAAACGGAACGAGGGTGGCTCATTAGCATATTTGGAAAAAACATTTTTTACGAATAATTTTTGGTACCACACACTCGGCATTTCGAGTCAAATTGTTATGATCCGCATGTTACAATTTAAAATAAACCATTCTACTCATTAAAAATCAAAAGTTATTGTCATTTTCGGTGAAACAGGAAGTGACCAAAAACAATTGAATACGTCAATCAATCCTAATTTATGTCATATACTAACCTACCAAGTCTCGTTTTTTTGTGCGAAAAAATAAAAAAGTTATAGGGGTGAGCCACTTTTGAGACGCACCCGGTATCTTAAAGGAGGGCGAGTGTTTTAAGGTCTGCTAAATCTGGAGAAAAAAATTCTATTTGCCATTTTTAAAGCGAGTTAGGAGTTAGGTACTTTTGAAAATTGAAAACGTACTTTGAAAATTAAAAAATATTACTTTTTAAGAATTGCCGGCATTACTCAAAAGGCCCTGGTGTTGCCAAGTGGACCTAAAAGTATAACTTTAGTGACATCAAGTTCTATTTCTTTCAGAATTGTACAGTTATCTAGACTCAGCTCATCAACCTGTTCAATCTCAAGGCATAAAATCAAACTTCCATAATTATGACGTATACGTGCCTAGTCTAGCGTCTATTGGACCAATTTTACTGGTCAATTTAAGGTTGGTTTTGCCTAAATACTCAAATGATCAATATTCTTTCAATTTTTAATTAATTTTCAGAGAGATTGAAGAATTTAACTTCACTAAAATTGACATTCAATCGAATAAGGCTATTGTTGATTCTACTCTATATGTCTATCAAGAATTTAATGTCAATGATAAATTTCATGAAGGAACGTCAACAAGCGTTGCTGCAATGGATTTAGATGAGAATTATGTATCATTAGTTACGTAAGTAATCCTGTTAAAGTGTGGACTAGTCTTTTGTTTGCCATTTTTAAAACAAATTGAAAATAACCGAGTTATTTAACTTTTAAAATTTTAAATAAAATCTAAGGCTTTTGAGAACATTTTGAGAACTGCCGGCTGTTGGGTTTCAAACGCCCGGTGTTGCCACATGAACCAACAGGTATACACTCAACTTGATGGAAATTATAAATTTACTATTTTTATTTAACTTTGAAATTTTAAAAATAATGCTTACATTTTGAGAACCTGCGGAATCAACAGGCATTGAGCTAAATATGTGTCAGCTTATTCGACGCATATTCGACTATACAGAGTGTCCCAGTGCAAGTATTTTAACTGGTAGTATAGTTCAACCCCAGAAACACGTCTATGAGGTTTTTTTCGCGAAAATTTTTTTTGAAAATTCGAAACTTTTTGGGATTTTTTAATTTTTAGTTAAAAAACATAATTTCTTGATAATATGGCAACATATTTATTAGATTAAATTTACAAGAAAGAAAATCCAGAAAAGATCCAGTGGTTCTGAAAATTTTAGCAAAAAAATTTTTTTTTGGAAATTTTCAAAGTAAAATAACTCTGTTATTTTGGACTTATTTCAAAAACGATAAAGAGAATATGGTCGCGTTCATCAGGACAAGTTGATCAGTGAGCGATGTACCATCCATTGGTTGTCCTGCTGAACGTGCTTTTTAGATCAAAATCATAAGTAATGCATATTAAATTGTTTTCACCCATTTTTGGCACAAATCGAGGGGATTAGTCAACCGAGAACAATAAACAAAATGCTTTGTTTTCGTTTTCCAAAACATTTTGTGACATTTGGCGTATGTGACGTTTAATCCATCATGCATCGGTAGCGTAGCGTATTTTAAATCTGATGGAAAAAATGGCGACTGATCCCAGAGCGCTCACAACTAATCGGCGCGTTCAGCAGAAAATTAGTGATCGCTGCGGTAGCGCTACGTCCTGATGAACGCGACCTATGTTTCTTTTATCGAGATCTACCATCCCTTAAAATACTTGCACTTATTTCTGGGACACCCTGTATTGGTATTTTAAAAAGGAACTATACAGGGCGAGTCATAAATAAGTGCAAATATTTTCATGGCTGGTAGATCTGATAAAAGAAACATATTTTCTCTTTGCCGTTTTTCAATTAAGTCCAAAATAAACAAATTATTTTAATTAGAAAATTTAAAAAAATGGATTAAATTTTGAGAACCACTGGATCTTTTCTAGGTTTTCTTTCTTGTAATTTTAATCTACTACCTATGTAGCCATATTATCAAGAAATTATGTTTTCTAACTAAAAACCAAAAAATTCTAAATTTTCAATTTTTTTGCAAAAAAAACTCATAAACGTGGTTTTGGGATTGAAATATACTACTCCTAAAAATATTTGCACTTATGTAAGACTCACCCTGTATACACTGGACTACTAAAACTGAAAAAGACTTCATGATTCTCTCACATTTCCCGGATAATGCCTAGAATAAAGAAAAAAGCATTATTTAAATAGCAAAACAAGGGCCGTGTTTTTGCGGTCGAAATATACCAGTTAAAATACTGGTTTATTTAAGAAACACTCTGTATACTTTTCTCATTTAATTTTATCATCTCATGTCGATATTTCAGGGGCATGTACAACTACTTTGGTTCTGGAGAAATGACTTTGCACGGATATGTTTTAGATGTTAAAAACAAAACGAAGCCCTGTAGCAGGATTCCAATCATTTTAACAGACAGCTTCTATATTTGTGGTAATAGAACATAAAACTATCAATTTTATATTCCTTGTGATTTAACTAAGTTGTGCAGGTAAAAGAATGGCTTTTGGAGCTAATGGCATAGCTCAAGCCAGTCAAATCATCTCGAATTTAGTGATCGGGGGCCAGAACACGACTGATGGAATTGAAGCACCGAGATTTTATGTACTGCCTAACGGAACTGTTGCTATTGAAGGTATGTTTCAATATTTCAAATTTTAATTGGTAAATAACTGTATTTCATTAAATTTTTAGAAGCTCATCTGCCTCGATTCTCTGCCGACTTAATACAATATATAAAAAATATCTATGGAAAAGTTCTTACTGTTCCCGAACCTTATTATAGCAGCAATATTGTAGAAAAATCTCAAGATGATCTGAGTTCGCACTCAGATAGTCGAGGTGGCGGCATAGCAAGCAGATTTTAATATTAATTTAGGTTACTTTTGAACTAGCAGGTCTTTGAATAATGTATGGCTGTGACCAAGTTATTTTTTTTATTTTATTTATTCAATGATTAGGCTTACTTTTATATCATTGCATTAATGTTATGTTAATTAAATAAAAATTAAAATGTATTTTAATGGATATTATTTTCACTTTAAATGGCTTTATTCAGACAGAGTGGGAGCTGTTATTATACAGAGAAATAACTTTATAATACACGTATAAATAATACAAGAAAATACAACTAAAATATTTACCAAGGATATCCTTTTTCCGCAAAGAAGGGTATTTTGAAAACTTTTTTTCGACCTTACCTTGTATACTCGTATATAGTACCGATCGTTTAACAAAATTGCACATCTAGGATCTCTGTGACTACCCTCGTATAATTGAAAGGAACTATTAAATTTATTTTATTTTAAACCTATGATTAAATTAAAATTTAGGCAGGCAACCAACAATACATCTTCTCTATATTTTGTTTATTTATTACTATTTTATTACTCTGATTATTCGAATCTCGAATGACATAATGACATTATAAAGTAGGGTTATGTCCTAATGTTTATTTCTTGTGCCGAATGTAAATGTTTTGTATTTAACTTATTTTATACTAGATTATCAGTATTAGAACAGAATTAGAAGAACGTTTTAGGAATTAGCAAAATATGTTAGGTGTAAGAGTAACTTCGTTCAATGAGAACCTTGGCGAACCTGAGCAAGATGCAAATTCGGCACTCACCGAGCTTGATAAAGGTATTTAACAAATTATTAAATTAGTTTATACCTATATTGCTTTATATACCCAAAATGTATAGGTCTCAGGTCAGGAAAAGTCGGAGAACAATGCGAAGCCATAGTTCGATTTCCAAAACTATTTGAAAAATACCCTTTTCCTATTTTAATTAATGCTTCTTTATTAAAGTTGGCTGATGTATTTCGCATGGGGTAATCACTTTAATACATTTATCATTAGAATGATTTAATAACAAATATATTCTAGGAACAATTTTTTGCGGTTGTGTGTTTTAAGAGTCTGCCAGCAAAGCGAGAAACATTTAGATAAAATATCTAATGTTGATGAGTTTGTAAGAAGAGTGTATAGGTAATATTTACCTAAAAAAAAACCTTTTGTAATTTGTACTAATTAATAACTATTATTATAGCGTTATTCATTCAAATGATCCTATTGCTAGAGCTGTAACATTAAGAACTTTTGGATCAGTTGCTTCCATAATACCGGAAAGACAACAAATTCATCATAGTATTAGGAGAAGTCTAGATTCACATGATAGTGTTGAAGTGGAAGCTGCTATATATGCAGCTATTCAATTTGCTGCTCAATCAAAGTATTTAACTATAACAAAGAGAGTCTGAATAGTTTCTAAACTATGTTGCAAACTTTTCAGACTATCCTTGTGGTTTTAGTTGAAATATATATATAAAAATATGAAATTTTAGAACTTTTGCTGTTAGTATGTGCAATAAGGTTTCCGATATGATACAAGGCCAAGCCACAACAGCAAATATGAAACTACAATTAATTCCTATTCTACAATACATGCATCACGACACTAATACAGCTGTTATGGTGAGAACATTGTGTCTAGATCTTTTACCCAGTTATCCAGCACAAGATTTTGTGTTAGTCATATTGAACACTTTAACAAAATTGGCAGCTACAACGCTTGTGGATATACCTAATCAAGTATTAACAATTATAGAATAAATTTATAACAAATTAAGCAATATTTTTTATAAGGTTACATTGTTATTAAAATATCTCAAAAACGATCCAAGATGGGAAGTTAAGTCTAAAGCTCTTCAGCATCTTTATGAACTAGCTAAACCTGGAGCTCACCTTTGGCCACAAGGTGCTGCAGATGATCTTATAGATTATGTTTTTAATACAAAATGGAACAAGATTTTGATGCCTGGTCTTTGTGTAATACAGGTAACTTTAGTCATTAATTGGTATATTGATTACAGTTGGGGGTTGGAACCTTTGGTGTTACACAGCAAAATAAAACACTAAATCACCACAATACACCAAAACACTTTTACTTTTACACTGGACGCGCGTTTCGCTCACCATGTTAGCATCATCAGCAGATGATTAAACTGAGTTTAATCATCCTATTTATTTTATTAAACTGAGTTTAACTATCATATTTATTTTATTAAACTAAGTTAATTTAAAATAAAATAAATAGGATGATTCAACTCAGTTTAATCATTTACTGATGATGCTAACATGGTGAGCGAAACGCGCGTCCAGTGTAAAAGTAAAAGTGTTTTGGTGTATTGTGGTGATTTAGTATTTTATTTTGCGGTATATTGATCATAAACTAATGAAATTTTAATAGGTGTTGGTAGAATCTCCAAAACTGTGTCACCAGCATAGGTTATCTGGTTCAAAATTGAGGGAATTGTGTGGCAAACATTGTTTTTCGCCATATGCGGCTATAGCTGCTCAAGCTATACAGATTTTAACTCAAATAGTATGTTGTTGGTAAGAGTTTACATTCTATATACAGTGTTATTACATTAAAACATTTTTTGTAATTAATAATGTGTTAGTTTAAATGTTTGTTTATTAATTTTTATTAGAAAAATGTTGTTTAGCTTTAGTGATGATCTTGAACCTGATGGGACTGAGGACGTTATATCAGCCTTAGAAACTTTGATACTATTGTTAACTTATTCTGAACAGAAGCAACCTAAACATCTTAAAGTGGCATTGAAGTGTGCTGTAAGGCTCTGCCAAGCCAGGCTAGATTATTGCGAGACTTTTGTTGATTTGCTTGGTACTAGGCTAGATAATATAAGTGGTAAGCTGTTTCAACATCGAATAAAAAGGCTAAGGATAGGCTATATTAACAAACTTGACAAAAATTTGTAGCATTGGATTTTTTTGATATCTTAAAATATTTTTTTTTCTAATATTGGAGTTATGAATCAATATATTCTTGTAGGGGACTACACAATAGTAATTTGTGAAGCACTTGGTGCTATTGGTGGGTTAAAACCCGAAACACTTTTACCTCAGATGGACACAATATTGTCACTTTTAACTACTTTGAGCACAGTTCAAAATCCAAACGAGATGCAAGTTACAACAAAGATCATGCTGTGTACGTTGATTTTTCAAACTATGTCAGGCTATAAGTGGAATGATCATACACAAGAAGTGATTTTTGGAGTTGTAAAAGATAATAATCTTTGGGCTAATTACTGTATAGGTAAACCATTTATAATTTTCACTATAGAACTTTAATATTCTTTTATGTTTATAGCTAGGGCTGCTGCTAGGTATGGCCATCATCAAATTGGCACTGTGATATTTAAACAGTTAACTGAACAAGTTAGTTCTGAACATTTCCACTTTTGGTTGGCTTGTCTCAAAGAGATGTGCGAAGCTGAGGCGTCGCTTTATGATGAGGATTCTAATAGTCTTGTTACCAGACTTGATAAAGCTGTCCTTCATTATAACAAAGCCATAGCTGCATTAAAGGTATATGTAAATAAATTACCTATCTTTATTACACAGTATTTTTTCCTACATTTTTATTCAATTCCAACATCCAATACGACGTTTTCAATTATTGTATCTTACAACAATTTTGAAATATGTACAACAATGAAGATATCTTCATTTCAGTAGTATACATCAAATTTTTTAAAATAGTTTATTTTTTACGCACATTTTCCTACAAACGTGAAAACCGGCAACACTGTATGCCGCTTTTTATTTTGTCTCTCTGTCTGTCAACAGATCATTTATATTTGGCTGTACTTAAAATGCCGTTAAACGGTAGCTTACTAAAATGCCGTTAATAGGTATGACGTCGTTGATGTGACGCACTTGACGGCTTTATGAAATATAGGAATTTTATAAGGACTAACCAACGCTATCAACCCCACCAAATAACCAACTTAACCAACGCAACTAACCTCGACACTGATAAAAAATTATAAAAAACAAATATAAATTAGTAAAAACCAACCAACCCCACCAAATAACCAACTAACCAATGAATTAACACCCTCCAAATAACCACGCTAACCAACCCGCCAAATAACTAAACCAATCCAACCAAAAAGAGTGAAACCAATGCAATAAGATCACGCTATAAGCAAAAAAAAATATAAAAAAGTCTTGGTCGGCGTGAGATTTGAACCACGGAGCATTCGCTTACGAAGCGATAGCCTCAGCCACGGAGCCACAGGTGCTCTTGCAAAATGCTTATAGATAGGCATTACTTTCCGCCGACATGAACGATGTCACAATATCTATTAACGGCATTTTAGTAGGCTACCGTTTAACGGTTGTTTAAGTACATCGTTTATATTTATTTCCGTCACATGCAGATGAAGTGACCAGGGCTAGTATATTAATATATGTAGATCTATATACATTACTAATGTCAAAACATGAAAAATTAAGGTTATCTTAATATAGATGTCATATATTTGTTTTTTTCTAGGCTGCGAGTACTCCATCACATAATTTGACTTTTCAAGCAGAATATATGAGAATTAGAGCTGAATTCCTACAATGCTTGGCGCAATTAGTGTATACCTGCAATATTTTGTGCATTGTTCCTCCTCCAGCGATAGCAGCAACTATTGTACAAAATACTAGGTACACGTATTTCATTTTAATATTTTATATGACATAGATTATTATCTTTGAGTTTTAACTGTATAGAGACGAACATCAAAGGCATGGCTACATTACAAACCAGCTACGAAAATGCGTAAAAGATTTCAAAAACTGCGGAGATCTTCATTGGAAATTATACCAGACTGCTTTTGATGCAGACCCAGCTACTTTGGAAAATATGCAAATGTAATTATTTCTAAATAAAATCATTTTATTAAATATTAATCATATACTGTTGATGTTATGTGGTACAGCTTACAGCAGGTGTGTGTTTTGATGGAACAATGTTTAGAACTGGTTTGTACCAGCGGAACACGAATTCGCGAAGGACCGATGGAGTTTGGAATGAAGAATATCAAGCTGGAATCAAGAGAATTGGTTAGGGCGTGTGACAGTGCACTTAATGTTGCTCAAAACCTTCTGGAGGATAGTGCTACTTCTACAATAACACATAAGGTATCTATCTAATGATCATTTACTTGGGCTTCCACTATTTCACTAACAAGAGAAAAAAGTCAGTGGCGTACATTATTTTTTTTAGAAAAATATTCCAGTGATAACCCATATGCACGTCCCTGGTGAATATATCGACACTTTTTTAGCTTTAAAATATGTCGCATTTATAGTAACTTTTACCCTCAAAATTTCATTTATAACACTAAAGGTACTTGGAAGAAAATTATAATAAATCGAAAAAATATCAAGACTTTAACACCCTGTAGCTACGAAACAAAGCAGAATCGGCCCTAAATCTTATTTTTAAGTGAGGAATCTCCCCATGAGAGATGGCACATGTTTTTTAAAATACCCTGTATATTTAGAAAAAAAAATTATTAAGCGTGTTCTGAGGTCCAAGTAGTTTTAGTCAAGTTTATCAACCAGATAAAAAAATTGCATTTATTTACGAAACTACATTTTTTATAGCAAGTGGAAATTTTAAAGAAGATCGTAGAAATCCTTGCCAACGCTTCTCTTCCAATGCCAAGATATTTCTTCCAAATTCTCCAATCTACCAGTGTAAAACTTGCCATATCCCCTCAACCAAGAGTAATGGGGGAATTCATAAGCGTACAAGCTGGGTCTCAGTTGGCTGTTAAAGTTGAAGGTGTCATTCAACACGGTATGAAACCCGGCCTCTTCAGAAGAATCGAACAGGTCGTCATTACTGTGACGTCACAATTACAGAGTGGTGTGAAAACAAAGGACGTTATTGATCCCAAGGTATTTTTTTTAGATTTCTATACTAAATTTATTACTAGTACTTGAAAATAATTTATAGTTTTTTTTTAAATGATTTGTAATTTTGAAATTTTCTTAACTTGCATTGTACTGAGAGCTGACAGATCTTTCTTTTTAAAATACCAATGTATATTCGATACCAATTAAACTTTTAGTTACGTAATCAAAGGCACGATTTTTAAATTCATTGTTGCCAACCATGGACATATGAGGCGCCTTTCTGGCTAACTGGAATTCAAATTTCTCCCTGGTGATTCGGGTGGTAGCTCTGCTATAAAAATGTTAAGTTGTCACATTTATTTATTTATTTCCTGACATTTTCATTCGTTTTGACACTTTAGTTTTGTATTACTTAATTGAATTTTTGGTTTAAACGAATTGTGTTGTGATACTTGAAGCTTAAAATTTTTACTAGCAGACGTTAAGGCTGTATTCCGTTGCAAAATCAGGCAAACCAGACCGGTAAACGGAGCGGTTCCTGAAAAACATCGGTTTGATACGGAACGGTTTGGTAAAATATTTGAAATGTCAAATGTTGACGTTCTCTAAATTTCAATACCTCTATTATAAAATTTATCTTTTATGCATTTTCAACGTACCTATTCTCTGCTTTTACGTTTGCTTCTTCTTTTCAATGGAGTTTAATATTGAAAAGTACTTTATTAATAAAACTGTTAAACTCGTTAGACAGCTCAAGTGAATATTTGCAGGTCCAATATTAAAACAGATCAATAATAAATAAACAAATCTAATCAATATTTATATTTTTATTGCTTAAAAAACATTCACGATTACTTGTTGTCTTGTTTTTCATGTTTTTTTTAAATGTTCCTGACTTTAAGAAACAATGGCTGCATGATAAGTTTAAATGGTCCGAAAAAGTAATTCTATTTAGTTAATGAAATTTATTTACCTTTACTGCCTACCTCCATTGCCTTTGGATGTAAATACAAAATATTATTACAAGTTTTAGAAATTAAATGAGAATTTCACTTGAACTTCCAATATTTGCTTGATTTCTGTCACATAAATGACATTGATTGACAAACAAAACCAGAAAAACCAGCCTTCTCGCGCTGGTTAGTTTGATGACAGTTATAACCATAGGTTATAACCGAATTTTTCAGGAACCGTGTTCTGTAATAAGAAAATTTTCAGGAAACAGATAGAAACGGAACATAAAACCATAACCAAGGTAAGCAACGGAATACACCCTTAGTTTCTATAGCTAAGGACAGTATTCTTCAACGCTACCGATCGCTATTTAGTTATCTGGAGTTCCACCCCAGGCTTATCTATTAAAGAATGTTTTTCTTAATTTGTGGTCAATTTTCTTGGATATGTATATGAAACATTATTCTTTAGGTCCTGGAACAAGTATCAGTCCTATCACAAACTGTATCTCCCCATAAGGACTTCTTTTCTGCACAATTCCTGTTGGCATTTCCTAGGGGAGGACAATATCTTTTAGGTAAGATAAATTAACTTTATTACTTATATCGTTGTGAATTTCGTGGATTGCGGTGTTGCCAAGAGGGGACAATATTCCACAAATTAAGGAATTTTCGTAACAATATCTTAAACGTTTTGTTGGTTTATAGCTGTAGAGGCGTCGGTTATAGACGAGCAAAGCAATACATGGAAGACTGGACCAAAGAGTTCATTGACAGTTAAGGTACCTGAAGAACAAAAACTTGCCCCTATATCGGTACCCGGTATGGCAAATAATGCTAATGTGTAAGTATAATCATGATTTATTTATAGCAGATTAAAAAGAATCAATTTATTTTCAGAATTTTAATGCCAGAGGATAGTTTATTTATTAGACCTTACCAAAAGAAAACTTAAATATATTTTTTTAAGATAAATGTACTCAATACCGTTTTTATATAAATAAATATGACAAAATATTTTTTTCTAATTTCTAAAAATATTTTTTATTTCTAATTATTTTTTGCATATTAAGTTTCAAATAATAGCATTTTATTACATTTTTTTGTTTATTTATTAATATTACTTTTATACTCTGAAGGATAGTATTATGTCTAACAAAAGGTGTTTCTTAAATAAAAGCAAACATTTTAACTGGTGTAACAAAGGAATAAAACTTCAATTAGGTAATATAATATTTTATTCTTATTTAAAAAGTATACAAAAATAAAGATATAATATTCTTCTAAAAAATAGTACATACACCACATATAAATATAATATGAAATCACTTAATAAGTAAGCCATTTTGAATATAAAATCAGCCACTCACATTGGTCCAAATATATAACAGAGATAAAAAATATGATATGAATTGATATAATAGGAAAGACATTCTAAGTAATAGACTTAGAGTAATATATTTTAAGTAATATCTTCGAGAAAAGAAGGCCTGATGGGGTACACGTGACGTCATCTACAGTATAGGCGATAGACGGAACTCTATATACACTGGATATATACTTTGATTTCACAGATTTTTCTATGAATAATGGGCTGAATATTGATCACAGATAAATGTTGAAAAATTATTATCACATTTTAAAGAATCCAATGAATAAGAATTATGGCTAATATTTGTTTAGAGTGTTTTACAATTATTCTTTATTATCTCCTAAAAGTATTAAAGTAACAATTTCACTTAATACATCTATCAAATCGCATATGTAGTTTAAAAAAATGCTTTTTTAATAAATTCACAATGTATTTAAACTACATACTGGTAAGAAAAATCGCTTAGATGTCGATAGGCATCATTCGTCAACTAAACGATAGTCCGTCTCTCTTCGATGATGTATCAGGTTTTTACATCACAGCCATCTGGCCTTTTCTCTCGATGGTACTAAATAAACCCAATTTAATCTTCCACCCTACTTACATAGGCCCAACGTAAGGAGTGAGTCTAGTAATGGGTCTGTGATCATACTCCCTCACTTCCAGCTGTTCCCTTTCGTAATCCCCGCTTTGACCGCCGCTTTTACTTGTCAAACAAACGTCAGTTATCACTATATCTCTGCTCACCGCTTTGCACATGTCATAAATAGTGAGAGCCGCTACGCTGACAGCTGTCAAAGCCTCCATCTCCACGCCGGTCCTGCCTTCGCACTGGACTTCGGAAACGATGCGCACGGCTTCATTGGGCATGTCCAGGGCTGCGGTAACCTTGATTGAGGTTAGGGGAATGTTATGGCAGAGGGGAATTATTTCTGAAGTTTTTTTCGCGCCCAAGATCCCCGAAATTTGAGCTATGCTCAGCACGTCTCCTTTTTTAACGGAATTGTCGCTAATAAGCTTGGTTATGGCAGCACCGACTTTGACAACTGCCGATGCTGTGGCTCTCCGAACTGTGATTTCTTTTTTTATTATGTCTACCATAGAAGCTTTTCCTTGTGCGTTGACGTGAGATAGAGTGTCTCTGGTTGAATAACAGCGTTTCAGAGTTAGGGATGTCGGGTTTGAGAACAGATGAGATAAGTTTGAATGATACAATGTTGATTTTGGAATATTAAAGTAATTTGATTGTAGGTCTGCCGATGAATCTGAAAAATATACAAAAAACATAAATTTTAGAATTTCCTTAGTCAAATTCAAAATCTAGTTTTATTTTTAACGAATTTTTGAAATTACTTAAATTATTATTTTATATGAATTAGAAACTAACAGGCACAAACAGATTTACTCAGAATAATTGAATATCAAAAGAATCATTATTATAAAAGCAGTTTGTTTGCAAGAAAAATCTAGAAGAAAACAACTAACTACAGTACGCTTCCTGTATTACTTAGAGCTGTTATTACTAATGCTATGTTATTTACCTTTGGAAACTATAAAATAATTAGTTTTAATACACACTAAAACAGTTTACTTTTATACTATCCACCAATAAGAATCATTGGACGATTCTTCAATTGCGATAAATTGAACATGCCTGTAAAGAATAACATAAGCTTCTTATCCATTGAGTAAAAAGATTAAGGAAGGAGTCACATAAGTCGATTTCAAGCGAATAACCGTTGGTTATGGTTGACAGATAAACAAAGCTTTAAACGTCAGTTGTCTAGCGATTGGTTGACAACTGACGCTTAAAGCATTGTTTATCTGTCAACCATTACCAACGGTTACTCGCTTGAAATTGGCTGTACTATTTTCAACACATTATTTTGGCAAGTATGTTAAAATACTCTTTCCTCAGTCTTTATATTCAATACCTTTATCTAACAAAATTAGTTCTATTTATACTAATTTAACGAAATGCTGTATACAGGGTGATTCTCGGCCATGGTACGTTAAGCCTTGTTCACGTAGACGCGAATCGCGATTTTGCGAAACTGTGAAAATTCCTAAAATTTGTCCTTATTTCTTGAATTAAATTACGATAAGCACCTTGTTGCTTACGAAATTTGAATATTTCACATGTCCCAAATGACCCAAAAATGACCTATAAACCTGTGCTATAAACCCGTTCTCTTCTACGTTTTAACAATAAGTAAATGGCAATTTTGCGCCTTATTCTGTTCCAATCCCACAATCGTAATCGATATTCATAATCATTAAACAAATTTAAACTCATATTGTATGCTATAAAATATAAAATAAAGATCGTAAACACAAATAAATATGTATAAAACAAATTGAGTTATCTCAGGTTAGGATTTTTTTTGGTAACTTTCAGTGGGGCAAAAATGAAATGTCCCTAAAAATTCGCGACTGTATGATATAGATCCAAATTTTGCAAATATTTTTTGGCAAATCGCTTTTCGCAATTCGCTTTTCGCAATTTGCGATTCGCGTCTATATGAAACAAGCTTTAGACGTTTATGGAAAACCGGTGGTAGGATTTTGTTAAAAATTGTATTTTTCTACAAAAAAATCCTATTACCGGTTCTCCATAAACGTCTAACCATCGTCTAACGTACTATCGCTGTTAATCACTCTACCGGGTGCGTCTCGAAAGTGGCTTATCTCTATAACTTTTTTAATTTTTCAGATAAAAAACGACATTTGGTATGATGGTATGTCAGTATATGACATAAATTAGGATTGATTGACGTATTCAATTGTTTTTGGAAAAATTAAAAACGTTATAGGGGTGAGCCACTTTTGAGACGCACCCGGTACATATTTTTTTAAAATAATGTGCACAACTATATATCTAAAATTTATTTTTAAGGTTATCAATACCTGCATGTTGTTTCTTTTTTCTCTTTACTGCCGCGCCAATCAGAGTCGTCAGGTCATCTTCCGAACACTTAGCCCTGATCGCATCGCGTAGCGATATTTCTGTGTTGCCAAAAAGGCACACTTTTAGGTTTCCATCGGCCGTAAGTCTTAGTCGATTGCATGAGCCACAGAAGTGTTCGCTCATTGATGTTATGAAACCTATTTGTCCTTTGAAATCTTGTACTTTCCATGCCTTATGGAAACAAATATTTAATCAATTTTTTAAAACAAAAAATGCAACTTAGCAAGAGAGAGTGTGTTTCAACAGTTTAATTTTAACCTCTACTAACCTTAGATGTATCGTTTGGTCCATTTTCTAAAGGACCAAAATCTTTGTAAACCTTTTTAATATTATCGACCATGTCTTTGTACGATACCATTTTATTTTCATGCCACTTGTTGCCAGAAAAAGGCATATACTCAATAAATCTTACATCGAGAGATTTATCTCTTGTAAGTTCAACAAAATCTAGCAATTCTTCATCATTTAATCCTTTCATTACTACACAGTTGACTTTAACTGGGTTGTATCCAAGTTGCAAGGCTAGGTCTATACCTGCCATTGCTTTTTTCCATCCATTTCTACGGGTTATTTTCTCATACTTCTTTGCATTTAGTGTATCCAAACTAATATTGAGTATATCCAGTCCTGCTCTTTGTAGAGCAACTAATTGTCTGGTCAAAGTTAACCCATTAGTAGTCATTGCAACAGTCTCTAAGCCAGGTAATTTCTTTAAATTTTCTAAAATAAAATATTCTACAAACTCGCACTTTAAACTTACTTTTTAAGATTGTACCAATAATATCAACGAGATCTTTTCTAACAGTAGGTTCACCCCCAGTTAAACGTATTTTTGTAACGCCCTGTCTAACAAATAGTTGAGCAATATACAGGATTTCGTCTGTAGTTAAAAGTTTAGTTTTTTCTGTTAGTGATACTCCTTCTTCGGGCATACAATATTGACCTAAAGAAATATTTTTTTTAGTAGAAAACTTAACTTTCAGAATCAGTTATCAGTTTTACATCTCAAGTTGCACCTTTCTGTAAGAGAGATTCTCAAGTATGTATGATGCCTGCCAAACGAATCTGTTAGAGGATTATTTTCTAGGTTTTCTATCTAAAAAATAAAACTTGCTCTAGTTAAAAATATAAATTAACTTATGGATATGGAACACATGAATATTTGCTTAAATACATACCTTGTTTACCTGATTTTCAAATGGAATTGAGGATATTGATCTGTAAACATATTGAAAATCAAATAACCTGAATTTATTAAAAGTTCTTATATGTAACATAATTTTTTAACTACAAATTGACTACTTATTATATAGTTATCTTAGTGTACCAGTTCTTGTTTACTAATAACTAAATGATACCAGATGATACTATTTAAAAACAATTTTATTTTAAATAAATCATAAATCATGTAGTACATACATGCAATTATTATTTGACTTCACTTGACTGAATTGTTTTTTTTTTATTGTATTTGTTCTCTTGGTTGATTGGGGGGATAATTTCTGTTTATTTCTTTATCTAATTCACAAAAATATTTTGAATACGTAAAAGTGCTTATTTATTAGGACTACAGAAATTACAGGACATGAGAAATTCTTTAGAAACTATGTATTTTTGGTTGCATAACCTACAAAACCCCCGGTAAAAGTCCGGAGTAATAACTTATTACCCTTGTAAGGTTATTACATAGCTTATTATATAAATTAATTAATATAGTAATAATAAGTAATATATCATATTATATAAGTTATTACTTATTCTGTGCTTATGTTTATACTATGCTCTAGGTATTCTGTAATACCCTTGCTTTACTCTAAATTTTTGTATTTAACTTTTATTTAATGTAGGTGAAAAAATACTTTAAAGAAACTTAAAATTATTTATTATCTATACTAAAGTCGCATTTTGCTGAGGTATATTACTATTAGTATCTCTTAAAATTTGATCACAAATGGCTATATTATCTAATATATTTGCTAAGTCCCAATGTTTCATAAGAAGTGCATGCTGTAGTGTAAATCTGAAACAGAAACAAGTTACGTTTTTAAAATACTATTACCATTTTATAATGTATTTAGATACTAACCCGCCATGCCTAATGCACTGAAGAGCAGTACAATGAGCTGTAGAGTGCAGTTTTGTACCAATTTCATGAACAAGGTGCATTAGATAAGTCTCATATTCATTTATGCAGTGTATTTCTAAAATTGGCCAGTTTTAATACATTTTAATATCAATAAGGGGGTAATTGTTACCCAAAGTAAAGTTAGGAGGCTGAAATTCAACACATTTTATGCCATAAATTACAGGTATTTTTGAGTTAGCTGGTCTCAACAATCCTTTTACAGCTAGTTCATAAGCTGTCTCTGATTGCATATCTACCCCACATAATCTAAAAAACATGGTATATGATGAATTAGGTGTGCTTTAAATTTATATTAAAGTTTCTTACTCGAACATTTTTTTTTGATGTGAGGCTTGCATTGCACTTAAAAATTTTTCCATATGCCCCCTTTTTACATGTTTCCATGTTGATTTTTCGATAACTTTTCCTGTTCTATAACAATTATCAGTTGCCTGACCTAAAATACCTTTTACTCTATATGCCCTAGCCGATTTGTTTTCCCTTATATATTTTGCCTGTTTAGTACCAGATTTTAAACCAAATACTACAAAAGACCAGTCACAGAAATATTTATTTACTTAATGTTTTTATTATTACATAAAACTCCGCTTGTATTCCAGCCTAAAAAGTTTGACCAACTGATAACAAAGTCTTGTTCTTGATATCGAGGACCAACTACCAAGGGATGGTCTGCTAAATTTGGTTTTATTGACACACTTAGTTTATTAGATGGGTTGCCTTCAATTGCTACATAGTCAATAGGTGGTCTAACTTCTAATTTATTCATATCTATATCATATGTAGGATATTAATGAAAAGAATTAAAATTTGTGTCCATGTGAATTTACCTTGGCATAGTTTGTGTATTAAGGCACTTCTAAGTCTTTTAACAGAATACTCAGCTGGTTTAAAAATGCATACAATTCCTCTTAAGTTATTCCATATTAGTGGTGCCTCAGTTACCATTTTATTTTATTAATTGGCATAACTTTTATAATAATCTATATGTTTTATTATTCAAAAAACACTAATTTTGAGGTTACATTAAACAACACAAAGGAACTAACAGACTATGTAACCAAAGAAACACGAAAATCAGCTGTTATAGTCCTGTAGTGTTGGGACATGGCTAAAAATATCGATAAGAACTATAATATCGCTCACCCGCTCACCGCTAACGAAAGCATCGATAAAGATTGCCCAATTCAAAAATTTTGACAATCAGCTGATTTGTATTTTTAATTTTTCTCACACTACGAAAAAAAGATAAAAGTTTAAATATTTTTGGTATTCATTGGTATTTTTATAATCAAGTTATTAATCTGCGGTATAAACCTGGTATTGATAAGTTACGATTTTTGGTTATTGTTTACTTTTATATTAATAATAAGTCCTTATTTTCATATCTTATCAGATTTTAAATTGTATATTTAACATCAGGGATTATATAGTGACACTTAATTATAGTCAAGTTGTGCCGTTTATCTGGATAAAATGTCTGTAAACAACATACCAAAAGGGGTTCTCTCTATGGGACCACATACGTACCAAATACCTGTTGAACTGTTTGAATTAAATAGAAAGCGACTGGTGGAAAAACTAAAAGACAAGGCGGAGAATTCCATTGTCTTGCTTCAAGGAGGCGATGAAGTACCTTTTTATGATACAGATATTACATACAATGTCTTTCGGTAAGTACTTTATTTAACAGTACTTTTGTATTTTTTTTATAAAGGGTTGTCCAACTGAGACTATGCTTAACAATTATATTTTTAATACATTCTATATATTTTAATACAGCACATACTTTTCATTGTATTTTAATCACAAAGAAAACTTTGAAAACCTGTTGATAGTTACAATATAAATTTTATATATTCATTAAATAATAGGTATTTAATGAATATATAAAATTTACTTTGTATTATATAAAATAATTACTGAGCTTCATACTTTGATTACTTTATTTTTTTATATTAATTATTATTTATCTTAATTCACAGGCATTAAAAGATTACCATAGCAAGTAGTATTATACAGGGTAACCCAGTAAAAATTTTAACTCTCCAATTTTTTTTGAGTAAAATATGTCAACAATATCACTAATATCAGCTCACATTTTTTTCCGTATATCGGGTGCGTCCCAAAAGTGGCTCACCCCCTATAACTTTTTTATTTTTTCAGATAAAAAAACGATTTGGTGTGTTAGTATATGACATAAATTAGGATGGATTGACGTATTTAATTCTTTTCGGTCACTCCTTTCGGTCCTCGCTTCAAAAAATTGTACTTTAAATTTCAATCTAGAGCGCCATGTCGTGTTAAAAACACTAATTTTTAATGAAGGAGTCTTGGAAAAATAGGTTTGACCGTCTAATGTTTTTAGTGTCTTACCCCTATGTCTACTTATCCTGGCCAGTTAAAAGATGCTCAAATCGTATTTTTAATCATATCTCAATTTTTTCAAATGGAACGAGGGTGGCTCATTAGCATATTTGGAAAAAGCATTTTTTTACGAATAATTTGGTACCACACACAAATTGTCGTTATGAACCGCATGTTACAATTTCAAATAAAACATGCGAAAATGTCAAAAGTTGACATATAATATATCATTCTATTCAGATAAAGTAAAAAAAATACTGAGGCTGGCATTTAAAAATTAAAAATTGTAGTCATTTCCGGTGAAACAGGAAGTGACCGAAAACAATTGAATACGTCAATCAATCCTAAATTATGTCATATACTAACACACTAAATGTTTTTTTTTATCTGAAAAAATAAAAATGTTATAGGGGTGAGCAACTTTTGAGACGCACCCGGTATGCACTCACCGGCACGATCCGAAAATCGGAATCTAAAATATTGGATACATAGGGAAAAACATTATTTTTTTGATATGATGATAATAATCCTACACCCTTTTTTTCATATGAAAAATTCATATTTACAATTTTAATTTACAAAGTTTTGATGTGACAGTGTCACATTTCTGACAGCAACAACGATTGAACTTGTTTCCATGGCTAAGTGAAATTGTTTAAAGTTGTTAAGAATTGGCTATAACTCAGTAATTTTTCGAAAAAAAAAATATTATAGGCCAAGGTTTCCATTTAAAAAAACATATGTTTGTGTCATATGAAGAAAAAAACGGAGGACACAACCTCATTAAGGATGTATCTACAACTTTTATCTGAAAACTTTTTGTCTAAAATAGATTATAATGGAATTAGGGACAATTTTTAAAATAGCCGAAATTTGTTTTTTTTTCGAAATATCTAGTAAGCCATGAACTTTTTCAAAAATCTGAAAGGCGCATATTTATGACCCCACAAAACTGCAATTCTTTCCCCATTTAACCGGCTCTCCTTCTCCAATAGTTTCCGAGATACCCATAGAGAACATCGTAGAAAACTCACCCTGTGTATGCAAAATCAATATTTATACTGTAACTTTTTAAAACATAAAGAGATCAACCAATATTTATGAAATAAATTTGTCTTACTTATTTCAGTATTTATATTCCATTTCAGTCAGGAATCTTATTTTATGTGGACCTTTGGTGTTACCGAACCTGAGTGTTATGGGGCAATAGACGTTAAAACTGGCGAGTCCTACCTTTTTATACCCAGACATCCAGATGAATACGCTGTTTGGATGGGCCCATTGGCTAGAACGAATGATTTTTCCAAAAAATATGGAGTACCTAACGTGTACTATGTGGATGAATTAAAGAAAGTATTGGAAGATTTAAAAAGAGACAAAATTTTAACTCTAAAAGGTGTTAATAATCAGTTTTGGAAGGCTCATTTAGTAACGAATTAAATGTTTTTTCTTATTAAGGTCTAAACACTGATAGTGGTTTGACAGCTAAACCTGCTACATTTAAAGGAATCGATGGTTTTTCTGTAGATGATCAGACACTGTTTCCTGTCATAGCTGACTTAAGGGTTTATAAGACGGAACACGAAATTAGAGTTATAAGATATGTCGTTTCTATATCCAGTTATGCTCACAGACAAGTAAAAATTATTTATATTTTTATACAAAACAATTACCATATGATCGAGAAAAAAAACGGCGTCAAGGACGGCTGGGGAATGACAATCGATAATTTTGGCCTAGACTAAAAAATGACATAAAACTTAGAAAGATTAAAAAAGGATAGAACGAAAAAAATCCCGAATTTTAAACTACACTATTTAAAAATTATTACAAGCTTCTTAAGGTCAACTGGCAGCAAGCCCCATTAAAAAATAGAGAGAGAAGAGTACAGGCCAAGTAATGACGTCTCGACCTCGCCAAAATTATCATCGATTGTCATTACCCAGCTATCTTTGACGCCGTTTTTTTTCGATCATACGGTATTTTATATATGTACATCACTACTTAAGTTGTCTTGTAAAACTCTTGCAGGTTTCCTATTTCAGATTTTCAGTCCTTTTTTTTAAAATATGCAGAAATTAGTAAGGTACAGGGTGTGCCAAATTGGACGCTTTTAAAGGGAAACATCCTTTTCTATAGGAGATAGACGAAAACTAATATCGGTGTCTGGAGCTCAATTTTTATCAAAAACACGATGGTGAAAACCGCACATCGATATCTGTTACCGTTTCGAAGTTACGGGGTGTTTTTTAAAAATGTGCATTTTTAACACATCGCTGTAACTTTTTTTCTATGGAAAATTTTGTATTTTTATGAAAACATTTCCAAAGCACCTTTTTACGTAGAATTTAATGGTTTAAGTATAATTTTTTTCAAATTAATAATTTAAGTTTTATCAACAGAAAATTTAATATTTTATATGGGACACCCCGTATATTTTTAATTCGTTGAAAAAAATTTAAAATTACCTTTCCAAAAATATCGAAAATTGATATTTTGCTGGATTCCTCTTCGAGATATAGAGTTTTTAAAAATTCGCCCACTTTGAATAAATAGGCTTTGAACGGCACCGTCTGTAATGCAAAAAAAATTTAGCTGTGAGTAGCAATTAAAACGAAAATATTATTTGCAATGGGAGATGCAAAATTTTTTAACAATTTAAACTATACTCTGTTTTTTTTCTCCGGTAAGATTTCGACAGACGATGACAGAAAAAAAGCAGATGACTTCCATACCAATCCATTTATTTCGCTAAAAAAAGTTTCTAATATTTTTTAAGTTAACTATGGATGGGTTTATAAATAAATACGTCATGCGTCGTCTCTTGTTGTTTTTAACCAGTTTTATTGGTTTATTTCAAAAATGACAGATCATATTTCAATATTATTGGTAACGCAACGATGAACAACAAACGGACGCCTATACGTATGAACTCGACTTAAGATTTTTGAGAATTGTCAAACTCTTGCCAAATTATAGGTTATAATTTTGTGTCAAATTATGTCAAATAGAAATGATAAATGTTTTGCATTTTGCATTTTGGACTGCGTTGTTACTTGTGTTTCGTATTTTTTAAAATTAAGTGGAGGAAACCTCGAGGGAAAATTAAGTGTTAACCCAGACCATAGTTTACGGTTAATATTCGGTGCACAGAGACCGCCAGAGTCTATGGCCAGAGAGTTGTATTTGCCACAAATAAAGTTGTATACCATCTCAAATATGGTACCAAAAACTGGAGTATCTGTAAAATAACACCACACGATAGGTAAATAATACATTTTAGTTCTGCAGAAACAAATTAAGATTAAAGTTAATTAACCAAGATTAGATTTTTTCAGTTTTATACAGTTTTTTTCACAATATTTTGAAGTAATCACTTGTCACTCAAAATTTAAATATAGCTTTTTTCGTTTTCCTGTTATTACCGATTTTGAACCGTCCTAGGACTCTGCAGCGCATGCGCAAATGAAATAATGTCTTCATATTTCCTTCTGCGCATACGCTTCACAGTTCTAGGACGGTTCAGAATCGGTAATAACAGGAAAACGAAAAAAGCTTATATTAATTATGCGTTCCAATTGTACCAACTTAATTCTTTGTAAAATAAAATAAACTACTTTGAAATTAAAATGACATACACATCTATCACTGTCAAGGATTTTGTCGTTGGACAGACTATATATTTAACAACATCAACACATTTAAACTATATCTAATAACAATAAAAATTAATAGCAAACGATGACATGAGATTTTGCTACATGTGTTCGACATGTCGACCGTCTTCTGTTATGGACAGACGGGACCGTTTTTATACACAGTGGGGGTGAAAGATACCTTCGCATAACCGCTAAGTACTTCTAATTCTTGTCTAGATTACATGGGCAATTTAAAAATAAGAACCCCTATTCTTCCGCAAAGATAAAAATCCATAGGTACTAAGTCCAGCGGCCTCGACGGCCAACGGCAGGGATCTTGGTTAGCTATTCAGTTATTCTCGAAATTGGCTGTAAAAATTTGTTGATAACATCAGCGTTCTGAGGCGGTGCCTCTTCTTGCTGGAAAAATATGTTTTCGAGTTCCATTAGGGGCAGATCACCAATAAGGGGTCCAAAACCTACTAGTTAAAATTGGCGAACTTTTAAAAATTCTGTATTTTGAAGGGGCTAGAACAAAATATCAAGTGTTCTATATTTTTGGAAAAGTAATTTTAAGTTCTTTTATGTTAATTAAAAATATACAGAGTGTCCCAAATAAAAAATAATTTTTCTGCTGATAACTCTTAAATTACTAATTTAAAAAAAAATATGCTTAAACCATAAAATTCTACTTAAAAAGGTGCTTTGGAAATGTTTTCATAAAAATTCAAAATTTTCCATAGAAAAAAGTTACAGCGATTTGTTAAAAATGTACATTTTTTAAAAACACCTCGTAACAGATATCGATGTGCGGTTTTCACCACCATGTTTTTGATAAAAATTGAGCTCAAGACACCGATATTACTTTTCGTTTATCTCCTATAGAAAAGGATGTTTCCCTTTAAAAGCGTCCAATTTGACCCACCCTGTACATTTTAAAAAATATTTTCAGACATACAGGGCGATTCAGATAAATTTTTACACTGAAGATGTGGTTCTTTAGATGGGATGTAGCGTATATTTCTTGCATAGGTCATTAGTGATTAAATACCCTTTCCACAAATACCATAATGTCATATTTATGTCATCATCTATACAGAGCTAAACATTGTGCTCTTCTATTTCCCTCATATTTAATAAAGAGGACTGAAATGAAAATCTGAAATAGAAACTGATAGTTTTTAGGAACCCTGTATATTTTTTATTTTAAGGTTATGAAAAAAATAAGACCAGGAAATTACGAATACCAGGCTGAATCAGAGTTTTTAAATGCATGCTACAAGAAAGGTAATACTCGTTATGCTTGTTATATTTGTATCCAATCGTTAATTTTTTAATTTAATTTCTCAAAGGTGGCTGTCGCCACGTGTCGTACACGTGTATCTGTGGCTCTGGTGTAAACGGAGCCATTCTACATTACGGTCATGCAGGTGCTCCTAACAGTTCTCCGATTAAAGATGGCGCCTTCTGTCTTTTTGACATGGGAGGAAACTACTTTGGATACGCTGCTGACATTACTTGTTCATTTCCAGGTATTGTGCAGAATCCTTTGATTAAATATAGAAAATATACAGCGTACCCACTTTAAAAACGTCCTCAAGATACACATAAGAATTAATCATTTGTTTAATTGTTTACGCAAAACATATTAACTCAGATGATGTAATACTGCTCTAGATTTAGCATACCTGTAGTTAGTCAATTTCTGGACAGAAATAAATATTTAATTGTTTACGCACAATAGAAAGACACAAAAACAAAGACATTAAAAAGTATTTAACAAAACTGTAGCAAAACATATTATCCCAGATGATGTAATTCTGTACAGAATATGTTTTTAACAAATACAATAATTTTAGCTAATGGAAAATTTACCCCTGATCAAAAGTTGATTTATGAAGCTGTTTTATCAGCAAACAGAGCAGTTCATAAAGCTGTTAAACCTGGAGTATCTTGGGTAGATATGCACAGTCTAGCAAACAAAATTCTGTTAGAAGAACTGAAGAAAGGTGGTCTTCTACAAGGAGACGTCACAAATATGCTTGAAGCTGGATTAGGAGCTATTTTTCAAGTAAATCACATTCTCAATTTGTTTGTCTTTTATGTGTAATTGTTTCATTTATCTCGAGTTAAATAGCACAAACTCAAAAATTAGCTTAAACAGAATATAAAAATTCACAATCGGAATGGAATGTCATGAAACTAAACTTTTAGCCTCATGGTTTGGGCCATTTGATGGGCTTGGACGTTCACGACGTAGGAGGGTATTTAGCTGGTCAACCAGAAAGACCAACCAAGCCAGGCTTGAATAAACTAAGAACAGCCAGAATTTTAAAACCAGGGATGGTATTTACAATTGAACCAGGATGTTACTTTATTGAACCGGTAAGAAATCAAAGTTATGGATGGTTCATTCATACTAGTGATGGGCATTACGATTCTTTTTAGTGAATCGAATCACACAATTCAATTTCTCATATTGAATCGACTCCTACGATTCGTTCATTTGAACGAACCACATGCACAATTTACGTTTCATAAAAGCAAGAATCGTAACTGGCACTACCGGCGATAATTTAGTAGGATAATTACGTAAGGGACCAGAAAAAGAAATATACAGTTCTTTCATTTGTTTTTCAACACTTTATGACACTGGCGTAATTGGAATTTGTAATTTATATATACTATTTATTAAGATTTCTTAATACCAATTTAATATTTTTAGAGCCATATTTTAATTCCGATTTAATAATCATAATAAATAGTATATAATACCGCATGACCAAAAAAAAATGGCGTCCAGTTGGCTTGGAAATGAACATCGATGACATTTCCCATATAATTTTACATATAAAATGACAGCGATCTTCATTTTATAACCATCGCTGATGCCGTTTTTTATCACATTGAGCGGAGTCCAACAATATTTATTTGGAGTTGCATAAAAACACGATTTCATCTTTTAGTCCGACATGTAATAGTCGGTAATATTATTTTACAATAAAAATATTAACGTGAAAATTAAATACCTTACAGATTCTCCCGTACTAAGCACAGTATAAATAAGTTTTTTTCTTGTAAATAACTTTCTTATCGTTTGCATTTTATGATGTTTATTAGGGCTTTGTTTTGATGTTTGTTTAGGGCTTTTGTTTAAGTCTAAATATTGGTGCCTGCCTATATCACCGCCCACCGGCGCCGCGCCGTAGAAGCAATGAATCAATTCTCACGACTCTGAACTCACGATCGCATTATGATCCGATTCAATTCTCACGATTCTTTTTTACGGCTCATCGTTCAAATCTTATGGATCCGTGCTGCCCACGATTCAACTGAACGAACCGTATTGTAAGCAATGAATCAATTCCCACGAATCTTTGAACCGACGATCGCATTGTGATCCGATTCAGTTCTCACGATTCTTTTTTACGGCTCATCGTTCAAATCTTATGGATCCGTACTGGCTACGATTCAATGAAACGAACCGGATTACAAGCAATGAATCGAATCTCACGATTCATTTTTAATACTCGTTCAAATGAACGACTCGTTTAGTCTTTGCCCACCCCTAGTTCATGATACAAAGAATACAAGGTATGATATTGCGCAGGTTGGTCACTACGTGACAGGTGATACACGGCACCATTGGTCGGCGAGCTCTGCGCGCTAATTTCAAATTGTCAAACAGATTGTGTCATCTGTGAAATTTGATTGTGTCAAAATGTGAAAATAATTTTTCAAATGTCAAGCTCGATGATTTGACATAGCTTTTGGGGTTTTGTCCTAATTCTTTCCTATTTAAGGTCTTTTTTTATTAGTGGCAATTGAACAATATGGATATTTTTTTGTATGGCGTATGACGTCACAGGTGGTATGCGCAAACTTAACGAAATTGGAGCCGCTATCGGTCATACCTTGTTTTCTTTGTACCATGACCCCTAGTTCATACATCAGATCTTAACCCTTCACTTTAACATCAACAAGTCCTAACATCAAAAATAAGTATCAACGTAAAAAAATAATAGCGTTCATGGTTCTAATGCCATGATTTAATATCCTTACCATTAATTATTAAATAAAGACTTAATATCCGGAGTATGAACTAACCTAACTTTGTTTTCCAAATAAAATTTAAGAATTTTTAGCTTCTGGAAAAAGCCTTGAATGACCCTGTCCTTAGAGATTTTCTCGTACCGGAAGTCATTAATAGATTCAGAAATTTTGGAGGCGTACGTATAGAAGACAATATTCTTGTCACAGAACATGGAGCTGAAGACTTAACTAAAGTTCCTAGAACAGTTGCCGACATTGAGGAATGGATGAATAACGATCAGGCTGACGAATCAAAATACCTAGATAAAAATTGTTCGTATGGTAAAAATTGTTTGTATGGTAAAAAATGACAATGCCTTAATGAGCATATATTTTTATACCAGTGATATATGTAACTATGAGAAATAATATATGTATTTTATTTGTAACAAAAATAATTTTATTTCTTTAATCCTAAACATCACAGACATCCTAACAATAAACATATGTTTGTTTAAGATGTGTTCAAACAGAGCGAAGTAAAATAAAATAAAAAAATATATACATTAAAACATGTGCAATATGTTAAAATTGACTGAGTTTAATGATTGTTTAAAAGTATAACTATATAGTAACTATATAAGTAGTTTACTATTTGCAATGTATTTATTAATTCACTGCAAAATATATTATAAATTATAGATTATGGTATACAAACTTATAAAATACAAAAAGAAAACATTTGTAGGTTAGAATTCGAGACATACGCAAAACGATTTGCACATAAATAGTCCAGTAAATAAGGACACGAAAAGACTCAAGTCTCGGTGTAATTCGTCGACCTTCACTTTTTAGGCGGATTGTGTGCCTTTCAGGGAATAGTTTTAGGGAAAAAATTGTAACACCGTGTTCGGTCACCATCAGGTCTGGCCGAAAAAATGGTCCAAATGGCCGAAAAAACAGTTTTTCGCAAACATCTGCCAAAATATGCAATTTACAAAAATTTTCTTGGAATAAAAAATGCAACTTAGGTAATTATCTACAAAAATAGTCCTTATCATTTTTACGTTGAATTAGTAATTATCGAGATATTCCGAGATAGATTTCATAAACGTATCATTGATTGATGAATATTGACAAATTATTTAATAACTCGGCTAAAATTTAATATTTTTTGATGATTCAAAGTTCATTTAAAAGGTAGAATCAACAGCTACCACATTTTGGAGCTTGTTTGAATTTTGTCATATTTTATGATAATAAAAAAAAACCGGGCAAACATTCATTGGTTCAAAAATTTTCAGATTTTTACAAACTTATTTTTGTAAATTGCATATTTTGGCAGATGTTTGCGAAAAATTGATTTTTCGGCCATTTGGGGCCATTCTTGCGGCCAAAGCACGGTGTTACATTTTCCCCCTAAAACTACTCTCCAAATGTGAAAACAGCTTTATGAAATAAGCGCGTTTTGTAAAGCAGTACCTGATAAAAATGATTGCATTTATATTTTGCTTACTATTTTATAAAAATAACTACAATCTTTATTTTAGTTCTCTTGGGTATTAGGTTTTGGTTTCTTCTTTTCTCTAAATTAATTCATAGGACGAATAAGGAGAAAAGCTACTTTTTTCTGCAAAAAAAATTAATCTGCAAAAAACTTTTTTTTTTAAATCTTTAATCTGCAAAAAACAAACGTTTCGGTTAAAAAAGACTTCATCAGTGTTAACATTTTGATATTCTGTAACAATAACAAAGACAGTCATAGAGATATAATATGAATAAGTAAACAAAATTATGAGAAATACATAAAAGAAAGACATAAAAACCTTGTAAAAATATAACAGCCCTCGTATAAACTGCATCAAAATGATCACTTAGATTAGGTTAACAGTAAATGGACGGCAAAAAAATCAATAAATGGTAAAAAACAATTACATTAAAATTAAAATTCTTTCCTGTTTCACCGGAAATGACTACAACTTTTGATTTTTAAATGACACCCTCGGTATTTTTTACTTTATTCGATAGAAGATGACATTCTGAATAGAAAAAATCTACCTTTAAATTAGTAAAATTTATAATACGGCCCAGAAAAAGCTACAAATAAAATACCAGCAAAAATGTGATTGTGTCATTGTCAAACTCGATGTCACATTATTCTTTGGTCACATTTTGTTTACAAAAATTTGAAGGTAACAAATAGAGTAATTTTCTTAGACAAGGATTTCCTTGTCTAAGAAAATAATTAAGTGTTTAATACATGATAATGTCTAATTTTTCCCAAATCATGCTGCTTTGACCAACAGAGGAAATAATTTAAATGCATTATCTAATGTTCGAAGAGCAGTGTGGTTAAAAGCTTTGAAATGATTTGTATGAAAGTGAGATTAAAAAGAAACAAATTTGTTCCAAAGACTTTATAACTGGTAAGTCCGTTGTGCAAAATTATCATTTATTGAGTTTAAATTAGCGAAAAATATGTTTTTGTTTTTAAGACGAATTATGTTAGGAGATAAGTCTAATTTAACCAAAATTTGGGATATTCATCCTGTCTCCAACCCCTTCCTGTCTTCAACCCTACAAGTCATCTTCTAGATTTGGCAGATTAAGAAAAAGATTTAAAAACGAATCAGAGGTTTGTTATTTATACTAAGATATATACAAGCGTATAAAGTATTTTTATTTTTAGTTAAAGATGTTGCTATAAAAGATGAAAATCGACCAGTGAATTTTCATAATCCTCCAATCGTTAATCAACTTTATTCAATTTAAATAGTCTGAGATAGAAGACGATAAACCCAAATACACGACAAGGATTGCACTTTTGGAAAATCAGCTGAATATGAACGATAACAGGGCTGTGTTCAGATCAAATATATGCCAAGAATATTTTTCGTGAAGTCTCGGCTGAGTATGCCTATAATACAAGAACTGTGGATTTTGAAATCCTAAGATATCAGCTGAGCCTCTATGAGAAGGGTCCTTGGTACATGAGTGTAAAGTTGTTAAATAGGTTGCCACTCCAGTCAAATTAATAGAAGTAAAGAGTAGTTTGAGATAGAAGTAAAGAGTAGTTGAACAATTGAAAAATTTGTTAATTTGATATAGAGCTATATCTCTCAGATTTCCTGTAGACAAGTCAATAAATATTGTGTGACATCATTTCATTTTCTGTATATACTATTTTGTATTTTTACATTTGTATGTTACATTCCTTGAAGTAAAGATTATTATTAGTATTAACTACTAATAAATGTAGATTTATTTAAATATAATACGATTTAAAAAAAATATGTGTTTATTTCTAATAGTATAAACCTTGGTTTATAAATTTTAAATATTATAAATTTTAAACAATATCTGAAACATCAGTCCATGAGTTAAACATGGAAGAAAAGCCTAACCACTTCACATAAAATTGTCTATTATTATTTTTCTGGTGGTGACCTAGCATTATTTCAACTAGATCAATACCAGGAGACTTTGTCTTCTGTAATTCGGCCTCATAAAAATACCCCTTAATTGGTTGACCTACTGATTCTAGGATAATTAAAATTGAGGATTAAAGAAAATTAAGAATTAAAAAAATATGTCTATAACGCTATAAAAGACTAAAAACACAAAGAAATGAATGCAAGTTAATGGTTTATATACGGTTTGTATGCCTCCCAGCGAAAATGGCGGATTTGTCAAAGTCACGTGTTCTGGAATGGTCTATTGAAGAAAAAAAAACATTGACTCCCGTCTATGGGGTTACAGTAGGAAAAGAGTACAGGATCTTTCGCCGATCGACTTCTTCGATTGTAGAAATAATGTGATATTGACAATTTGATAATTGATAAATTTGACAATGACAAAATCATATTTTTGTTGGTATTTTAATCGTAGCTTTCTCTGGGCCGTATTATAAAATTTTAGTAATTTCAAAGTATTGAAAGATTTTTGCAAATATTTTTTAGATGCCTATTCCAAATAAAACGAAATTCTAGACGAAAGTACAATTTTAACGCCTCTTCAAAAAATCCTAATACAACTTTTGCATAAAATCATCTGGGGAGATAATATTTGACCTTTTCAAAATCTAAATGGGATTTCCTATGTAACGCGTTCCGTTCACAAGGTATATCTCTGTGGTTAATTGAATTTCTGTTGTTTCGAATAAGTAAAATAAAATAAATAAATAAATGACAAATGAAACAAAAAACAATGAAAGAAAAAAAAACGATGAAAGGAAACTGAAAGTTAATTGAAATGAATTTTAATATTTTAATGTAATTGTTTTTACCATTTACTGACCTTTTTTTGCCGTCCATTTATGCAATCTACACCAGGGCTGTTATATTTTTAGAAGGTTTTAATGTGTTTCTTTTATGTATTTCCCATAATTTCATTTACTTATTCATTTTATATCTGTATGACTGTCTTAGTTATTGTTACAGAATGTCAAAATGTTAACACTGATGAAGGCTTTTGACCAAAACGTTTGTTCTTTGAAGATTAAAGATCACCACGAAAAAAGATTTTCTCCTTATTTGTACTATGACTTAATTTAGAGAAAAGAAGAAACCAGAACCTAATACCCAAGAAAACTAAAATAAAGAATATATTATACACTTTAAGGTTCAAGAACTCTCTCATTTTCAAAATAACTATAATATGTAAATAATACCTAATATGTTTGACTAGAGTAAAATACAGTTACAACTGTTTTTACTTTAATATTTTAATAGACAACAAATAATGTAAGTTTAAGCTTCACCTATAGACATGTAAAATATTTTATATATAAAAATGACCAACTGTTTTTGGTACAAGAACAATATAACCTTAAGGCGCAAGCATATGACGCCAGTAGTCAAGCCAGGACAGTGAGCCAGGCCAATACTGGTCCCGTGTGCATTGTAATTTCGAGACAACACAAATAAAGTAGCGTTTTCTCACCATGGAAGACTAATCACTGGCTTACAGCTGTCCCCCTGTACACATCAAAGACAGGCCAGGTACATTTTTCTAGCGCGTATTTTTTGTTTTGGTATTTTTTTGAGAATTTCGCTATCATAACACCTCCAAAACTAAATAGTTAACAATTGAGTTCATAAGATTATATAGAAATCAAGAATGTTTCTGGCATGTGGATTTAGAGAACTATAGAAACAAACAAGCACGAGACACAGCCTTGGGGTTGGTCAAAAGATTGGGATTGATACATTTTTTTTAAACATAAATTATATTTTAAACACAATAATAATGCTTGTTTTGTTAACTTTTGTTACTTGACCATACCTACCGTCTACGATCCATTATTTTGCCAGTAGGCTTAGCTCACTGTTCTGGCGTGATGTGCACGCGTCTTTACTGAAGATTTCTTATAAGTTAAAGTTCCATGGAATACAAACAATACCATCAGAAAGTACAGAATAATATGTTGCTACATTTACATGTAAATTTTTAGTGAAATCTCTTACTTGTTCTTTACTTTCTAAGAGTTTTATACAAAACTTTATCATTAATTCTGGAGTGATGTTATCATCTTTGTGAAGAGCTGACAAATTCAGTTCATAAACACACTTGGTATGTAACTGTTTTTCCATTATTTTGTCTTTCTTATAATTCTTAATTTTATCATCAGCTTCTTGAAAACTACTTGTGATAAAATTTACCAAAAGTGGACCTAGGGAATTAGGATTTAGGGTAATTGTTATTATATTAAGTCAGTTTAGTATTACCTGGTATAGAAGCTGGAACTATGAACTGTCCTGTAGGACTGACCATCATTGGACCTGCTTCGCTTTCAACAACAATTTCATATTTTTCCATAGTTTTTGGCCAGTTCTCTGGATATGCTCTATGTCCAACATAATCACTAATTGAAGTTGTTAGCTGCTTTAAATTTCTTTCATATTCTCCAACCATTACTTTAGGCATAAATTTTCTTCTTCCAACCTAAATACAACACTTATTTTCTATCAATATTATAATAATACAAACTTACCTTCATATTCCTCAAAACATGAGATAGAGACCTTTCATAAAATGGTACCCGCTCCAATGCTTTTCGGTGTAGTCTAATTTTTTTAATAAAATCTAACCAATTATGACGAACTTCGCCACTAAACAACATAATATGGCCATCCAAACTGATGCCGGTAAAATATGAAAATACTAGGACCTGCCCAACAAGTACTTTTTTCTGTTCAGGATGTTGTTCCATAAGGGATTTGAAGGCCAAGAGACAACCTAAAAATTTAATCAGAAAATACTACATATAACATCCCTAAAAAAACAAAAAAAAAACAAAATACAGATTTTTAGTTAAAAGGAAGAAAACATGTTACTAACAATTTTTTCTGACCTCTAAAATGAGTCCCATTCCATCCACAATCCCAGATAATTTCTTTTAATTTAAAATTGTTTACCACTTCTTCTTTCAGACGTTTGATTTCTATTCTAGAAGCTTGGCCACTCTTGCATTTTTCTAATGCCTCTGAACAATTTTGCTGTAACCAATTTCTCAATCTATAATAATGAGAACAGGAAATAGGAGAAGTTATATGAGAAGAACTATACATTTTAATATATATTTTTACCTTAGACTTTCCCTGGCCTTTTTAATTTTTTGCTGCATAATATAAGTAGCAAAAAGAGGATGATTTTTATTCATTTTCGTAAAATCATATTCGTTTTTATACCGGACAGAGACCCATTCTTTCTCATTATAAATATTTTGACTTTTTTCTTTACCGTTGCTCTCAACTAAATGTTCCAAATGTTCAGTTGGTAAATTACAGGCCTTTAATATGTTTACTATAGTAGTTTCAATATCAGGTTCTTTTAGATAGATTTTTATCAACCTAACTGCCTCATTAGGATCACTCCTACAAAGATTTTTTTCTATAAAAGTTCAAGAAATCCAAACTATTTATTTACCTATTTTTGACATAAAACGGTAGCGTGATGGGTCTGGAATATTTAGAACTTTGAAGGGCTTCTAAAACTGAGCTCAGCTGCTGCAAAGAAGTCTCGTTGATGGCCCTTTCTTTTGGGTGTTGACCAAAAAGGTCCGGATGTACGGAGAAATAAAAGGGTCTAAGGGCTGATGATACTTCCGTCGATGTGAGGTTTCGTATGAATGTTGTTGGGAAAAAATTAACCGATAATAAACTTTTCCTTAACATTTTCGAAGCAGAAAGTGCGTATTTTTAACTTACATAATAATAAAATTTAGAAATAAAAGTGAGGTTAAAATTTTAGTTCTTTTGAACTGGTTTTGACGTGTTTTGACCATGTTTTGACAACAAAAATTAGAGCTGGGCGGTGTGTATCGATGTTTCGTCGACGATATATCCTGAAATCGCTCCAAAGAGAGAAAAGTGACCTTTTGCCAGAGGTCCTCCAAAAATGGTTTTAATGAATTTACCTTTACATTAAAATGGTAAACAAGTGATACCTTCTCGCTTCCCGAGTTGGACAAAATATATTTTAACTTTCGAGCAAGCGGTATGTTTCATTAACATCGATGTTCTTAATTATCGATTAATCGATCCCGTACTAATATCGATATTTTTAAAAAAGCGCCTCAACCCTACTTAGGACGCATGTTTTCAAATTCTTCAAATAGTCAAATGTATAAACGAAATTTTTGTATTAAGGAAGCAGAACATTAAGGAGTCTATTATAACGAAGAAACTATTAGCTTAATTAAGAAATCTACTACAAATAATTTCAGAAATACTTAATACCATAATCTAACAAATACCCATTACAAACATATTACGATGCCTTTATTTAAAAATTAATTTAAAAAAATACAAGTTTTTGCATGAATATAAGACATTATTTTTCTATAATAATGATAAAAAAACAATATTTACAATGTATAGACTATAGACACTTGTTTTGTTTATTAAACAATAAATTTTATTAGGAATTTTTTTGCTAATACAGGGTGTAGAATTTTCTATGCAATTTTTGTTGCTTTTAGTTTTTAACATAAACATAAAACTCTTAAACTTTCTGATAAGCCATACCAGACGTTAACAATTTTAACACCCCCTCTACTTTTTAAGTAATAGAATAATTAGCGTCAGTCTTAATAAAACTACTTAAATACAAATATAATACATTTTAAAATTAAACATAATATGCTTTGTATACAAATTAATTTAAAATCATATTCATACACAGGGTGGCCCAGTTTTTTGAAAAACGAGTTCGCCCTGTACTTAGTCTTTGATAGACCAGCTAATGTTAGTCTTATAAACATTTACTAATTTAATCGATGCAAGAGGGAATTATTTTTTAATTAAGAATTAGTTATAATTTAGTATTTTAAATAAATAAATATTACAAGCTGATTAGGAAAAAGCGCTTAAGTCAAAGTGAATTCCCTTGCATCTATTACCCTGTTACTAAAATTATTTTGATTTAAAAACATTAAAAAATAGAACTACAGACATAATTTATAGGTAATTTCTTTGGGAATTGACAAAATATCTGATTACATAAAATAAAAGAGAAATGTTTTTTTTTGGAGAAGATTACTGATAATGTAAACATAATCCAACAAAATAATTTTAGATCTTTTATTGATATTCAAAAAATCACTATCCTAAAATTCTTTTACTTTTTCTAGAATTCCCAAATTTTTTATTCTTTAAAATTTTATCTATCTAACATATTTTTCTTAATAAGTACCTTGATAAACAGAGTACTGCAATAGGCAAGTTTCACAAATTATGCCTTAATAATTTATAGAAAAAAATATAAGAAAAATCCACAGAATCATTTTAAAAATTGAATTAGTCTGTGTAGTTTGTCAACATTAAATATTCCCAGAAAGGCAACGGTGCATTGTATTTGACTTTTCTTTTGACGTTTGATGTTCGTCTTTGTTTTGATAGTTTTGAGTTATTGGCGTTAGACATAGATCAAGGAAATAAATTTAGATTGGAATGTTCGGCTTCCCGCTAAAACGTATATTTGTTTTAGGTCGCATACGTTGTACGGGATCTGGCCATTGCCTGGAAACTTATATGGTGAAATGTTGATAAAATAATTTAGTACACACTAAAAACACGGTATGTCGCTAGTGGTAGGAAAAATAATTTTTAGAGGTTAGTAGTTTATTTGGTTGCCTGTGATATGCATATACAGGGTGTTTCCTAATTAATCTAAAAAATTAAAAATCATTAGAAAACGAATTAAGGCGGGCTCTTAATAAGTATATTTATTTTTTTCTCGACAACCGTTTGATGAACAAGAAAAACTCAAAAGATCAATTTTGTTGAAAAAGGATGGCCAGTCAAGAAAAAAATATATTTTCTTTAAAAAAGCAGTGGTGTACCATTTATGTTAAGCAAAAAATTCGATTTTTTTAAATTTTTAACACTCTGTAGATCAGAAAGGAAGTACTTTAGACCCAATGGTTATATAAAAATTGTTTTAAGAACACATGAGGAATCACACCATAATTTTTTTAGACTAATTCGAAAACACCCTGTATATTGTCAACTTGACAATGACTGCTGATAAATCAAAAAATACCTTTTCAGTGAAAAAAGCTTGATTGTCGCAGGAAAAATTTTGATTTTTATTGAATTTGGGCCTGCGTTTGCAAATACTCGTTTGTTTTTTAATTTTCCATCTATCTAAATTTTAAATATCATAGTCAGAAAAAGTTTTATTATTTATTAACTGTAAAAATGGTGTTTTCTTGTTGTGTTGCATCTTGCAAAGAAACTAACAAAACTGCAAAAATGTACGTGTTTCCAAAAGACGATACATACCTTATCTTAGATAAAAGAAAAATATATGGTATGTATTCGTTGTTTGATTTTTTTCCGTTCGCTTTAAAATCTATAAATCTCGGTCTATTCATTAGACAGCCAGTCGACTTACGATCATTTACATGAAACTCTGTAAAATAAATAAAAAAATAAATTGTAAAATATATATATTCTTATGTTTTTTAAAGTTACTCTGATATACTAATATATCAGTGTAACTTTAAAAATAAATCCTTTGAATTCAAATATAAACATAAAAAACATTTACAGCAGAAAAGCCGAAGGCGCTGGGTTAAACGTAGTCTCCACTAAAAACACGGAGGGGCGCTTTGACCCAAAATTTTACTATTAAGGTTCATATCTATCTTAATAGTAGATTATTTTCTTTTATCTATGGATCTGGCGCTGCTATAGCGGTTGCTAAGAACAACCGCAAACAAGAACAGAAATAATTTTCTCTTGTCAAAGTCAGAATCTTCAAAAATTATAAAATCTTTCAAAATGTAAACCGCCTGTATTGAAAAAATACCGAAGTGTTTAAAGCGTTCATTTTCAAAGTAATTATTGCCATCTTGGTAGTTTAATTTAAATTTTACTTACTCAAACCCGTGATAATTGTGAAAAAGTGGCATTAAAAAATAAATCACTCTGTTGTGAACTGTAAACTGCAAAAACCATCGTGGATCGTGGCATAACGTCAGTTTCCAATGTTTCATAGGTATTTCACATATATGTTCTTATATAAAATAAAGTTTCTTGTATGCAACACACTGTATTTTATTTATAAAATTAAAAGAAAATAATAAATTTGAATAAATATTTGGCGACATAATTCCGGAAAAAGCCGAACCGATCCGAAATTATCAAAAGCTTTGGGTCGCGACCGTTGCAAGAATAGCGCCAAATAGTGTTTACATTGTCCTTATGGTCACTTTCCAATCTAAACTTGTTTCATTTATCTACGAGTCGGAATAAAAACGAGCGAAAGTATGTAATTATACCACTTTTTTTTAAAATGTGTAAGATTCAGAATATATGTCAACACGGACAAACCATTGCGATACTCTATATTATCTAAGGAGTTTAAGATATGGAGGTGTAGAGGTAAGGAGAAACATCTCTTATGGGATTTGAAAAAGTCGTAACCAAAAATGGGAAGAAGAAGGGTTCACTAAATAACCACAATGGCGCTTTACAAACAAGGGATCGAACTGAAGTTAGCGGTTATAGATAATGTGAAGTTAGTCAAAAAAAGAGAAAATGCGCACCTTGTATTTCATGTTCTAAAAATTTTTGGCGCTTCTTTTAAATGTAGAACTTTTGTTACAGCAACGCCATCTTAAGCGTTCCCTGCTTGACCACTTTTCAATACACAAAGATAATTCTCCTTACCTCTACCCTCCACAGTTTAAGACTTAATATTTAAGAGCGACATCTAATTGACAAAAAATGGAAATTAAAATGACTAGAATTAAAATTTGTAAATCTTAAATTTATGTAATCTTTGCTTATTCTCTCCGAATAAAAGCATGAAAAGAAATATTATTAATGTTTATGAATTAGACTTGTTGACATACAATTAAAAAACAACTTTCCTTGGACAGCGACACAGTAATTATCTAACCTATAATACAGATTGTACGTACATCAAGATCTCGTTTTTTCATACTTAGTCAAAAATAAATAAAATATGATAAAAATTAAGCCAGCATCATTTCTCATTAGATTCTTATTTTGTCCTAAATAGTTTTTGAAATAAATTCATTTTACATTTACATTATGTACATACACGCATCCAATTGTGACAATTAAATAAAATGCTCGAACAGTCAGTATGTGGCAGTGATTAAACTGGCAGTGAAATGTTGCTAAGTCAATCATACAATATAAAACAGATGTGTAACACATCAAAGTTACCTTGTGGTTCAAAATAGGTAATTTTGCATATTTTAGTCCTTTGCTGCAACTCTTCGAAATGTTAAATCTAACAGTGTCAACAGAGAGAGTTTATAAATAGTTTATACAGGTTGTTAATTTGTTTATTACTCGCGGCAAGAGCTTTATGGTTAAAATATGGCAACATTGCCTATTTATTCTCTATAGACAGTGTTGCCATTCTGTTCCCCTATAAGTAACTGTCCAGTTAACAACATGTATACTATATAGTCAATAAAAAATGGATACTTTTGCTGCTCATGTATAAGAGTTCCAAGACGTCAGTGACATTTTTTCTGATTATATGAAAAAATGTAATAATACTTTAGAGTTGAAATTAAATGTATTCAAATTATTATATGTAAAATTTGATATGAGCAGGGTTAAGGAATTCTTGAAATACTTACTAAATCGCAGATATGCGACCTTCATATTAATAATAATAATAATTATAAATTTAATAGCAGTTTTTAAAGACTCAATTCATAAAACTGATATAGTTCTTCTCAAGTAACTTTTCCCATCATAACAGAACCATCGTCAAAAAAGAAATTTAATATAATTAAATAAATAACATAATTGGCGATTGAGTATATAACCAATACCAATTAAAGTTTTAGTTACGTAATCGAGGGCGCGATTTTTAAATTCATTGTTACCAACCACGGACATATTCGGCACCGGGCTGACTAACTGAAATTTAAATTTCCTGCTGGGGATTCAGGTGGTAGCTCTGCTGTAAACAATGTCAAGTTGCCACATTTATTTATTTATTTCCTGACATTAGAGAACAACGGCACATACTACAAACACGTAAACGTTTACGTACGCATGCGCATTTCTTATATTTTTTATTTTTTATACACGTAAAAGATTCTTTACGTCTACGTATACGTGCCAGCAGCGGCCGACTCGACCGTAGGTCGTTGTTCTCTATTGTCATTTGTTTTGACACTTTAGTTTTGTACTTACCAGTTTGGGTTTAAATGAATTGTGTTGCGATACTTCAAGCTTAAAAAAATTTTATTAGCAGACAAACATTGTTCTTTCTAAAACCTCTTTTAGTGCGAGGTGTACAAGATAGCTTAATAGGCGCTGCAAAAAACTGATCGCAACCTTATTAGAATATTTTGAACGGAAAAGTGGTAGTAATGACCCTTTGTGTCCTTTAAGTGCTGTTAAGGAGGTAAGTTTTGTTGATATAAATACTAACGGTTTATATATTTACTAGTTGAAGCCTGGCGCATCCGCCACGACATGCGACATCAGGAAAAAAAATTTTTAATTAAATCAGACAGTTTTTAGAAGAGCCAATTAGCTATCCTTTAGTAAAAAAAGCAACTTTCTAGAGCAAGTCGTTACTTCAGTAGAGACGACACAGATAAACATTAGCATTTTATATGTAGATAAGTTATTTATTTTTGTTTCCTAAAATATTTTGATTAAAAGAAAATATGTAGAAGTGGTCAAGCTACATCACGTGACTAAAAGTTTAATTGGTATGAACTATATATCACTAATCTTTTTTCATTATATTTCTTCTTTGTATTAATTATTTAGTTTTTATCCTGTGTCCAAAAAATTGAGATTAGGAACAGAAATGTCATTTCATATTTTTTTACCTTATTATGATATTACCGGTATTTTTTGACAGAAGAATGTGTGTAAAGACCATTGCCGTAACTACAGTGGTGCCCGGGGGTGCCGCTCCACCCCCTCTGGTACTGTTGGGCACCCCCCCAGAGAAATATTGAATTATGACTCTTGGCTACGTATCAATTTTTATTTGCTTGTGGTGCAGTATAAATTACGTTTTTTAGTTTCGTTTAGTTAATATTATTTTGTTGTGTTCAAAAAATGTCTTTTCTAAAAAAAAAATTCTAATCTATCTTTCTAAAATTTTTTTATTTTTTTAGAAAATTTGAAGGTTTATAAGTAATCTACAGGAACAACGGTTTGATAAATAAGTCTATGAAATTTATTGATAGAGAAATTCATGGAAACGTTTTATTCAAATATTCGTTTTTATGTTTTTTAATATTATTTTTCATTTTTTAAAGAACAAAAGACCTAGGTCCCCCCTGGGCTCAACCTCAGCCCCCCCCCCCAGGATGAATTGCTAGTTACGCTAATGGTAAAGACAAATCCCTATTTTACCAATGAATAAAAAAACAAGGGATGAGTCATATACTACATACTTTTATACTCATACCTTAAATTTTTTTTTTAATTTTGTTTCATTTCCCTTTTCATAAATTTGCATTCTTATATATTTATTGGGTTCTATGCAAAGTGTATACATTTGGAGAAATATATTGCATCAGAACTAGGATTACAGGAGATGCTTGTTAATCTTTGAAGGAGACTTCAAAACGTTCAATCGTTCCCAGCCAAAAAAAAACATGAAAAACATCGAAAAGACTATTTCTTTTTAAATATCTCAGCTATAGTGAATGATAGGAAAAAGTTAACGGAAAGAACAACATTAAAGCTTCATTCAGAACCTCGCAATTAGTGGAATAAATTATTGGTTTCGATTAGCGTAGAAGTTTGTTCCTTTAACTTCAATGTAAGCATTCAGAACGTCAAAAATAGTGGTACACATTTTCAATTAGTAGAAAAAGTTATCAAACTTTAACATTTCCACTAATTATACTTCAAAATTTGCGAGAAATGTCATTTTGGCCTTTGATTATCTTCCGTCAAGAGAAATTGTGGTTGTCAAAAGTTGATTGTTTTATAAACTAAATATTAGGCTTTCTCTATGGATACACCTGACTAAGGCAAGCTGTTGCTAGGATATCCTATTAATTTTAATTATGTTTTTTAGACATTGTGAATGACTGTAAACTAAAAAGTATAAAGTGTAATTTATTCCACTAGTTGCGACGTTCTGAATGAAGCTTAATTCAGTGAAATTAAATGATTCTGAACAGGTTAAGTCCGAATTCCATAACGCAGAACGTTTTTACCCCAATATCTCCGGCTCACCACACCAACCAATTCATTCTTTACCCCATCTAACATCTACTTTCCCCCTCCATAACCTTACAGTCAAGTCATGCCGGCGTGTCGTTGTCCCCCAGGTCCCTCCCATTCGATCAGACACTCTACCTTGCCCGACGGACCGATCCGCTTGGCTCTGACAGCAAACCGCTCCCCCGCGGCAATGCGATTGGCCGCGCCGAAGTACATGTTGACCGACGTCTTCAGATCCTCCATATCGATGTCGGGCTCCGTTTTAACGGGGCTAGGCTTGGGAGTAGGCTGTTTGGGAGGTGTGGGGTCTTTGTCGGGCGGCTTTTCGGGCCGTTGGCGCAGGCGTCGGACGGGATTGGTGCTCATCGTGTAGTTTGGACAGTTGCCTAGAAACCGAGATTAGAATAAAGCTTAGGAGCTAAGAATAGGAGTATTTAAATAGCCGAACAATCGTCATATATCGTATAAACACATTTGGTTACCATAGAAGCATGGTCTGGATTTTAACGTGTAAGACAGTAATGTAGACAGCTTAGTGAAAAATCAAATAATGTATTTAAAAGTTGGGTTGATACATTCCTTCTATGCGGTATTGCCGGATTTTGCATCAAATTTCAAACTGCCCAAGTAGGCGTTTACGAAAAATGTTGCCTCTAGGCTTGGATCTTTAATTTTCACAATAAGTTACTCATTTTACTACAGCTGTAATATATTCTTATTAAGCCTCGGTCTCAGAACTACGTTGTGTCGCTGGCAAAACTATAAATACAAGCGTAATTGTTAGTTAGTAACTGTAGTCAAAATTGACAGCTGTTTGAATTTAGTACAAATTTTATTGGTTCTATGATGGGTAGCCCGTGACACTGCGAAGTTTTAGAATTAAGTTTTACACCTTAAAATACGATTACTAGCACTATTTCTGAACTAATCTAAACAAATTCATGAATATCTATTTCTATGGTATTTGTAAATGACAGGAGATGTTTTATGTCAAGTTTTCAATCAACAGAATTGAGTACTATTAAATAGCTAAGATATAAATATTATCTTCGTTTATTCTTATTTTACGTAAGAAACCGGCAACACTGTATGCCGTTTTTTATTTTGTCTCTTTGTCTGTCAACCCGTTATATACTAAGGGCTGGCAAAGGTTAGTCTTGGGTCGAGATTTCCGTATGTAAGAAAAGTACAATGGCGTTTATAATGTACTGAACAAAGAGACAACAGTAAAAACGTTGCCAAACGTATGAAATAAACCGAGAAACTGTGCACATTGCTAAGAGATGTGGAAGGGGATACAGCAGATTCGTCGGTCGACCCAATCAGTACCATATCAGTACTTCAAATTCTAGTGAAGCGTTGAACATCATGCGTTTACGATTTAATTAAGTTTCGTAATATATTTGTTTATTTATTAACGAGTCGTTGTAATTTTCCCTATAGCTTGTAAATTTTTAAGTGCAATAAGTTAGAAACACTTGCTCCTTTGGTAAAAATAAGTGGAATTGAGTTGGTGTTCGACAGTGGTCGCGCTATTAGAACTCTGAATTCAAAAATCGATATCTCGAAATGAAAATTGCAATGTACTACAATGCTGAAAATTGCAATGTACTAAAAGTAAATGGATGTCTTTTTTTAATTTTGAATGGAAAAAAGCCTATAGAAAGTTTTCTTTTCTTATTTAAACATCTTGCAAAAGATCCAAACTTGAAAATAAAATAAAATCATATCTAAAATAGTTCTTCAGTTATCGCGTGTTATGTGTCAAAAAGTTGAGTTTTAAATTATCGCGATTAAAATATGGATATCCTAAGGATATCTGTATAATTCGATTTCAGATGCTCAGTAACATATCTAATGATTTTATCTAGTTATCTTTTCGAAAATAAAAGTCTTTTAAAAATAAGATCGTAATTTGACTTGTTAGAGAAAGGCGTACCGGAGAAATGTGGCAACGCCGCAACAGCAGGCCGTCGCATTTTTCTCACTCCGACTTAATAAGATCTCTATGTGATTTACTTCCACACATGTAAGTACCGACCTAAAAGTAAGAGTTGCCAGCACGGTATATTTATCTCTGTCGTATGCATTAATCTCTTACCTAATTGGGCATTGCCGTTGGTTCCTTGTCCTTTCCATTCCTTGGAGTCCAACGGACGGGCAGGTACGATCGTGGCAGTTTTACTGGCAGTAGCGCCCACACCATAATTATTTACATTACTCCGGTTCCTTCTCAACCTCTTCTTCCTCTTAATCTCTCCGTTCGGACCGATTATGATATCCTTTTCGCTTAACTGGCGCTTCATAGGTCGCATTACGGGTTGACCCGGTATCACAGTTTTTAGGGGTAGAGGCAAGGTGATCTCCTTGCCCCGTTTCTTCTTCGTCGACTCCTCTCCTCCTCCCATCCTCAGCAGTCCCAAAAACGGGTTATTTTTTCCTTCAAAGTCTTTGGGCGGCGGTATAATTAAATCTAATGTGCTTTTGGACGACGTCTCGTCGCTAGAAGTATCACAGGGCGTATTCAGTTCCAGATCTAACAGATTGGATTTTTTATTTGGCAGCACCTAAACAGAAGGTATATCTTAAGTTCTATGGATGATGTATAAAATTATCTTACATCAAAAAGAACGCAATTTAAAATACTAATCGACATATCCGAGCATATTTCGCAAAAAATAAGTTTGATTAACTGTATTTATCCACACTTAGAAAGAATTACCCTGTATAGTAAGAAGTGCGTGTATTAACTCTTTCATAGGTATATTTAAGGTTCATTTTAAAGTTAACTATAATTTTAAATATAGGTACTGGGGTGCCTATTAAATATGTAAGTGTAGGCATACTCTGTTTTTTCTCAGGTAAGATTTCGACAGAAGATGACAGAAAAAGCAGATGACGTCGATATCAATCCATTTATTTCACTAAATAAAGTTTCTAATATTTTTATTAGTTATGTATAAATCCGTCATGCGTCGTCTCTTGTTGTTTTTAACCAGTTTTATTGGTTTATTTCAAAAATTACCGTTCATATTTCAATATAATTGGTTTGACGGAACGATATAAGACAAACGGACGCCGATGCGTATGAACACGACTTAAGATTTTTGAGAGTTGTCAAACTGTTGCCAAATTATAGGTTATAATTTTGTGTCAAATTAAGTCAAATAAAAATGATAAATATTTTGCATTTTGGACTGTGTTATACGTGTGTTTCGTGTTTTTTTAAAATTAAGTGGAAGAAAACTCGAAGGGAAAATTAAGTGTTGACCCAGACCATAGTTTACACTTAATATTCGGTGCCCAGAGACACAGTTTGCCAGAGAGTTGTATTAGCCACAAATAAAATTTGTATACCTTCCTGTATATGGTACCAAAACCTGGAGTATCTGTAAATTTTATATTTATGTATATCATTTTAGTATATTATAATTTTTTTTTAATAAAATAAATGGATAAGATTTTTTCAGTTTTATACAGTATTTTTCATAATATTTTGAAGTAATCACTTGTCACTCAAATTTTAAATATATTAATTTTCTGCTATGCGTTCCAATTGTACCAACTTATTTCTTTGTAAAATAAAATAAAGTACTTTGAAATTAATGACAGACACATCTATCACTGTCAAGGATTTTGTCATTGGACAGACTATGTTATAACTGGGAGTATATTTCGACTCCAGAAACACGCCCATTTTAAATGTTAAAAACTTTACACTGTATTCTCATGAAATTTCCTGATGGTGTATTGAAACCTCGCAATTCGCAATATTGTCACCTCCTACATTACCCGCATTCTGCATATATGTGTGTTAATAAATTCACAGTAATTCTAATTGCCGCACAGTAAATTACTAAAAATTATTTTTAATTAAATCAGTGACATTTACAATAAATTATAGAAATCCGCGCAGTACTTATTTTCAACACATGCTAAAGCTTGATTTTCAGGCATCCGTTGTCCGACGATACGTTGATACAATATTAATTTCATTGGTTGTATTTAAAGGCTTCGATTGGTTAACCGTTTTGCATTCATTTTCAACTAAACTGGAAAAATTATCGTAACAATTACGTCAGATTCTTTTATTGCTATATTATGAAGTATTTTCAATCAAGTGTAAACTTTCTATACCATGAGGCAACACAAAGCATGGAATAAGTAGAGAGCTGGCCAGTCTCAGTAAGTATTAATTTCAAAATTTTCTTTGAAAATAAACAACATACCTTCGCTTGATTAGATCCTTCCGAAAACTCATTACTAAAATCCGACTGCATCGACATGCCGCCACTGGATGCCGGCGGAGTGGGCGGGGCCGACACGCTGGTGGGCGGCGTCGGCGGCATATCCCCATTGGCCGTTCCCTTGCCACTAGTTCCGTTTCCGCTCCTAGACCTAGTTTCGCCGTTTTGCTTGACGGACGGTGCTGCTTTTTTGCCGTTTTCGTCTTTTTTCGTCACCAGCCGACGCGGGCGTTTCAGTATTCGCTCCCGCTCGCGATTGGTCATTGCCAGAAGTTTTTTGCGACGTTGCAAGCTCATTTTCTTGAAGGGGGCGGTCTTTTTCGCACAACCGGCGTATTCGGTTTTAGAGTGAGTGTATTTGTTGGTTGAGTTTGGTGAGATTATCTGAAATTATTATTAAAAAAAAAACAATAAATACAGGGTGTTAATAAATAAGTGCAAAGAAAATCCTTAAAACTTACCCTTTCTTCTTTTTCGATCTCCGGACTTGGACAGGGCGATTCCGTTTCGCTGTGATTCGCCGACAGCTGATATGCCACGCCCATCATGACGTTACGCATCGTGACATCACAAGGCACCAATTTACGGACATTGTGCAAGCCTGGCGGCGGCGAGAGAAATTGAAGCCTAATACAATATTGAAAATAACAGTTTATAGAATAGCCATTTAACCGTAATATTTTACTTTGAATATATTTTACCTGTTTCCTTGCCATAGTTCACGCAATTCTAGTTCAGTAACTCTCCGATTTGGCGGCGGCAGCACTACACAAGGCGCCGGTGGCGGTAACCTCACTCTTAAGCCCCATATAGTGGTCCGTTTTTTGATTTCCCGTCCGCACTTGAACCGATTCCTGTGATTCGTTAACACGGAAAGTATATTGTCCCTACGTTCTGCCTTAGTTATATTCGCCATCTATAATAACTTATTATTTTCTGTTTGATTTTGTTAAATATTTAATTACCTTTGGTTCTAGCTGTAACGCATGCCAATTATCACTAATGTACGGTATCACAACGGTGTCCAAATCGTAATACTTTTTGCAGTTATATACTGTTAAGTTGAAAAGCATTAAATGTACTAAATCTACCCACTTCATTTCTAGTCTTCTCAAAAATTCCTTGCCGTGGTTGCATATCGAACAAACAAATACAAAAAATCTACAAATGTATAAATTACTTATACCTACAGATTTAAAATTATTTTATGGCTGTACCTATCACCACAATACAGAGGGAACTGTAATGAGTCCATGCATTTTTCATGAAACCATTGTTTACATCTTCCACATTGCAACATTTGTCTATACCATTCTCCGTTGTTTCCACAATAACAATAAATTTGTTCCGTGTTTACTCTGTGATATGGGTCCCAAGTTAATGAGCTTAACTATAATCACAGATAAAAAGAGATATAGATCGACGACTCTATTTCCCGTCAATTTGTACATAACTATCTACATATTATAAAATGCTAATGTTTATCTGTGTCGCCTCTACTGATGTAACGCCTTGCTCTAGAAAGTTGCTTTTTTACTAAAAGATAGCTAATTGGCTCTTCTAAAAACTGTCGTCGCCGGATTTTTTGTTTTTCATTTAATTAAAAAAATAAAAAGTATTTTTTTTCCTGATGTGGCGGATGCGCCAGGCTTCAACTAGTATTTGATATCAATTAAACTTTTAGTTATGCAATCGAGGGCACGATTTTTAAATTCATTGTTGCCAATTATGGACATATTCGACGCCAGGCTGACTAACTGGAATTTAAATTTCCCGCTGGGAATTCAGGTGGTAGCTCTTCTGTAAAAAATGTCAAGTTGCCAAATTTATTTATTTATTTCCTGACTTTGTCATTCGTTTTGACACTTTAGTTTTGTATTACGAGTTTTTGGTTTAAACAAATAGTGTTGTGATACCTTTAACCTTAAAAATGTTTACTAGCAGACCTTGCAGTTCAACACTGTTCTTTCTAGAATCTCTTTTAGTGCGGAGTGTACCAGTTAGCTTAATAGCCATAAAAAACTCATTGTAACTTTATTAGAATATTTTGAACGAGAAAGCGGTAGTAATGGCCCTTTATGTCCCTTAAGTGCTGTTAAGAAGGTGAGTTTCGTTGAAGTAAATAATAACTGTTTATATATTTATAATTAATTTATTTTTGTTTCCTAAAATATTTTGATTAAAAGAAAATATATAAAAGTAGGCAACACTGTGTAGGTCGAGCTTAATCACGTGACTAAAAGTTTATTTGGTATGAACTGTAGATGAGAAGTGCAATCAAAATTTTAGTTTTATTCATCTCCTGCACTATTTTATTTGAATTTTAAGCCGTTTCTATAGTTTATATATGCCATAAGTTGTGATATTTGAATATTTGTCATTAAATGGTATATTACATTATACGACAAATAAAAATAAACTGAAATAAATGAAAAAAAATTGATTTTATTATAAAAATTACTTGAAAAAAAATCATATAAAATTAATCAGGCATTATTTTTATCAGAACTGCTCTTAAAATAATTTAAATTTGACAAAACTTACGTCATATGGTAATACTTTAATTGTAGTAGATGAAGGCATGGATTCCTGAGTACTAGAACAATTTGAGCTTCGCGAATCCCTTCTTAAGGGCTTCGTATCGCTTTTCTTCAGTCTATTTGGTTCACTATCTAAGCATCTTTTACAAAGCCATGAAGAATCTAAAATTTTCAGGATATTTTTATAAAATTTCAATATTTATAAGTATTCATACCATCTTTATGATTATTGTTGGGTATTTCAGGCGTATGACATTTTTTATGATATCCTCTACCACACCTATCACAAACGCAAATTTCTTTTTCGTTTTTAGGTGATGACTTTTTACAAATCACACATAGTAAGTCTTCGTGCTCTAGGCCAGTGCTGAGTTTGGTCAAATCTTTAAAAACCGACCAATGCTGGGTGTTATCTCCGTACTTGACTAGGCATTGGTCCCTTGTATTATCCACTTCCACAATTGTGCCAAAGTAATACCTAAATTTTATCAATATTAAGTTCCTAATTACTATACTACAGGAGGATTTTAAATAAACTCCCTATTTCATTTTAAAAATTTATTGATACAATTAAACTTTTGTGTTTATGCAAGAAATGTGGTGTCCATTTTAGATGATCCTGCTCAAATATCAGATTACTTATTACATTACCTTCCATCTTTTTGTTTAACTAATACGTCTTGGCCAGAACAAAATTCCGACATCGTTCTGTCTGTGTGTGTTGTGCTGTCAGGGGCCACAGTTTCTTCTTGCAGCTGTTTTTTGGGGCTAAAGTGACTTGTGCCTTTATGAATGACCGAGGACATTATTGGGGGTTAAGTAGGATGAGACAAAAGAAACCTAAAATCAATCACCCAGATATTGCAGCAGAAATCAAGCATTAATAATTTTTATTAATTAATATATTTAACAACAAAAATCTCTCAAATAATAAGAAAGAATATAAACGATTTCTAAATTTTTAGGTCTTCTATTTTACATATTATCTGTGATTATTTTACGAAATAAAAGATATCTTTAGGGGCATAAAAAGTATAGATGCAGGCACAAGAAATGTCTGTGTTTTTTTAGGAAAATAAACAATAAGATTTGGAAAGAGTTATTCAAGATCTAAAAAACATAATGGTAATTTTTATTTTTCCGGTTGTGATCAAGAAATTAAAACCACATTAGAAAAACAAATGTTTTTCCATGCTGTCAATGCCTTAAAATTTAGTTATATAAAGATCATTATATTTTGAATAACTACAAATTATGTAAATCGTTTCATTACTTAACGACATGCCTTAGGTAACTTAATTTATAATAAAATCAATCATCGGCTATAAAAATGCGATAAATAAGTTTTACATTTTCCCGAAGCTTCCCCAATGATCACACCCGTCAAACACTGATAAGGATCAACTAGGTACGTGAAAGAAGTTTTTAAACTAAGTTTTATAAGATCATAACGGAGAAATTAAAGGATAACAATGAGAAATTTGAATAAAAACTTACAAGTCCCAATATTTTCGTAAATTTTCAGGGATCATTGAAATGAACAGAAAAGTTATCGGCCATTACCACAGCACGGACTGGCGTTTGACTCCCGCCAAATCGTTAGCCACAAATTTCACGTTTATCACAAAAACACACACCGAAAAGTGTTTTTATCACTTACACTTAGTTCATATTTACTTCCCGTTAACGAAAATCGGTTTTCCGTGGAAATTTAGAAGAAATTGGACCCCATTTCGTATTCATTTATTTTGAAAATTAACGACATATCAAATCACCAACATTTTTAAACGTCACTTGCAGATGGCGTCGCGTCAGTTTTAAAGTTTAGGGAGGATTTCAAGTATCGATACTAATGCTTCGATACTACTTTTATATTTTTGATGATTTTTTTTGATATTTGTTTTGTATCAATTTAAAATTTTATTTGAATATTGTACAATATAAGGAATAATATGGTCTTTTATTAGGCAGAAAAATACCAAATTAAACATATTGAAAACTGAGATTCAAATTAGAATTATTAAGTATAATGGATTGAAAACGAAAACTATACAAGGACTATACTTTCATAATAGGTAAGAAATAAGAAATGATATCAGTATTTTGCACATTATATAAGTATGGTAGATCTAATTTGTTTGTTAGGATCACTTCACTTTAGTCCCTTGGAAATTATTGTTTTAATGCTGGAGTCCCAAATATAAAAATAAGGAACAGGATTTCAACTAAATATAAATAGTAATACTACTATTTAGTTTACATCACTTATTAAGAGAATTTATTTTTTTTGTTTCTATCAGTATCGATACTAATTAAATTACTATGTGTCGATAATTTGCAGGTATTAAATCATCTCTACTAAGATTGTTTCCTTCAAAAAATGGTGAGGGTATTTTCATTTTGATTTATAAGCAACCAGTAAAACACCAATAAAATAGTTATTCTATAATTTCTGAAATCCTAATACCAGAGAACTTTTATATATTTGTAAGGAATTTCATACATTTGAAGAATTTTACAAATATCTTGATGCTAATGCCGCCGATTTTAAGTGATTGCTATACTACAGTACTTAAAAATATTACAGTATTTACTATTTTAAACATCTACTATACATTATTATTCTTTTTTATCATAGTAAAGTTCTTTTTTCTTATATTCTAGGCACTTTTTAACACACATTTGGACATGGAACCAGGAAATGATTACTAACTTTCTGTAGATTTCCTAAAACAGCATAGAAATATTTACACAATATTATTTAGACATTTAGTACACTAAATGCTTACTCGGGAAATTTTTTATTATTTCATTGCTTCTATACTCTTCTGATCCATCACAACAATCACAAATACCATCATTAACTTTACTCGAAGGAATCATTTTAGGAAACTTCTTATTTAGGGATGTTTGGGTGCAATAAAATATACCTAAAGATTATATTTCACAGTTTTAAGAATTTTACTAAATTTTATAATTTACCATCGGGACAAGCATTGGTTCCTGGCTCATCACTGCTATCTTCACAATCGCAATAATCATCATTCACTTTCTCAAAATCAATTACCTCACTGCTTCTAATACAGGTGAATTTTCCATTTTCAGCAGTATAGAATCTCTTTTCTTGAACGTGACTTCCTCTGACTAGTTTTTCTTTATACAATTCTTTAGAATTTCGGTTTGGAACTGATGCAGATATTTCGTAAAATATCTTTAATTGATATATGATGAATAAAGCTGATATTATTAGACAGGGAACTACAAAAAACGATATTTTACGTCTAATAAAACGATACAACAATTTAGTCATTATTTTAAATCATTTGGACTGAAATTTTTAGCTCTAAAAAAGCGGATATTTGAAGGTTATGTTTATTTGTTTTCATTTTTTTTTCAGTATTTCAGCGTCTGTCAATTATCTGTCAATAGTAAGTAGGGACATCTATGTGACCACTTGTAAATTAAATATATTGACAGCCTTCTATTGGCTGAAGATATAACTATTTCTGACTATAAAGAAACCTTTATTCTACCGTCATGCTTCCGTCTCTTACCATCGTCTCTGCCATCGTGTAAGGTTCATATTGTTACGGATTCCGTGGGTCCACTAATTTAAACTCACTAAAAGACTTAACTAATTTATTTTTCTCACAATTTACACACAATTTATACTGATAATACACAATTAACTACTTATAAAATTCCTTCGCCAAATTGTCCGATTCGTAATAATTTAAACGCGGTATATTCAAACTTCAAACTGGTCCAACTGCCAAGCGCGGGCCTTTAGCTTTTTTCGGGTTCTTGTTATTACCGATTCTGAACCGTCTTAGAATTCTGCAGCGCACGCGCAAATGAAATAATGTCTTCATATTTCCTTCTGCGCATACGCATCACAGTTCTAGGACGGTTCAGAATCGGTAATAAGAAAAACCCGAATTAAGCTACACTATACCCCCTGGCGAGTGTTTCTGGAACGTTGTAAAGAATTTTTTTTAATATATTCAACATTTTTTTTTATATATATTTTGTAATATTCTTTTACTTTCTGGCGAATTCGCCGGTTTTTCAATGCACGTTGCGGTTTAGTAGGCAACCAGTAATACAGTTTAGCGGCACATACACCTTGACAATATTTTTGAACTTTTTTGTACCGCATGATCGAGAAAAAAACGGCGTCCAGTTGGCATGGTATGTTCTGTGTCTTTATATGTCTTTAATCTTCATTTCATAACCATCGCTGACTAAGTTTGTTTTCGATCATCCGGGACATGCTCCGCCTACTTTTTTTACGGGAATATATTTCATATTTTCCAACGCGGAAGGAGATCAAAGGAGATAACTTTGAAAAAAAAACTTTTTTGAATTTAAATGTTAAATTCTAAAATTTTAGAATGCGTTCTTAACTTTTTCTCACTCTGTGTTTTGCGCTAGTGGCAAAATCTTTGACAAGGAAAGAGAGGGGATAGCTAACACGCATATTCTCCAGTGAAAAATTTTTGAGGCCAAAATTTGATCGGCGGCCATACTTTGGTGACAAGATTTCGAGGTGACACCGGTGACACCAAGCGAATTTTTATGTTTTTTGTTTTAAATTTATAAACCGTGTTGTTTAGTATGGTGAGATGTTCGGCGTATGTCTGCAAAGGTTGAAGCGAGAAAAAAATGACTGGAATTACATTTTACAGATAAAAGTTGATACACAACTTGTGCTATTTGTGCTATGCAGTCATAAAATGTACATTTTTTTCATTATAGCAGTAAACATATGTAAAATCCTTTTAATATGTTTTGTACCACATTATAGCAAACTATTTTTATTAATTCCAAGTAGTATTTTCAATATCCTATATTATAATTAATGTTTGAAACTATAAATAATGCTACTCAGACAGGATTTCTCCAGTGGCGTAGGGTATTATAATCAGAGAAATACAATTTCAGCAATAAACATTTTTTTTAATATATTTTACATGTAAAAAAATGTATAAAGTATTGTTATCAAATATGTAAAATAATAATTGTAAACTATAAAAAAACATGAAAAATTTTGGTTATAAAAAATGTATGTATACATACATATAATACATATAAAACTATATGTATAGTTGACAAACTTGTGGTGGGCTACTTGTTACAATATTTTTTTAAATATCTTTTCAAAAATTTGCTAGTTTAGGTGTATAATAATAGTTTCAGTGAGTAATTAATAAAAATTTAAAAATAAATAAATAAAATAACACGACAAAGCTTCTAGAATAATTGTTTATTTTTTTGCGGAAAATTAAGATATTCTTATGATTGAAGGTAACAAATATTAAAAATTACATTATTCATTGAATCCGTAGGCAAGTGTGAAGGGGATTGGCTAGATTCATTATTATACCGTATGATTGAAAAAAAACGGCGTCCAGTTGGCTTGTAAATGACTGTCGATGACATTCCTCTCAGTCTTTTTTCGACGTCATTTTATATAGTTTTTATGTCATTTTATATGTAGAATTATATGGGAAATGTCATCGATCGTCATTTCCAAACAAACAGGATGCCGTGGTTTTTCGATCATACGGTATATATTATGTATATACACGTTTAAAACATATATATTTACATTATTTTTCATTTAATTATACATTATACATACGTTAATAAATAAATAATTGTCTTGATGATCAGTTCACTGTGACTGTTAAATAAATTTTGCATTATTGGCTTAGATATTCTAATATTATAAAGGTGAGAATATAAAATACAAAATTGTATATGCATTACGTTTTAATAAATATTTTTTATCGTCTATATATACAAGCTAATTTCTGATGCTACGCCATTGGAAAATTTCTTGGAAAAATTCACAAAATAGAAATCAACTAGTTGATTTCTATTTTGTGTCGTGGCTATGTGATAATATGTAAGTATTTAGGTTTTTACTAGTGTAGTTATTAAAACTATAAAGTTTACGAAGATACGAAGTTTGTGTAATGTAACGCTGATTCGCGTAGTAAAAAGTGTGTGAAAAGGAACCCGAACTGGGTGACGCGTTGTGTTCAGGGTTCGGAAGTAGTTAATTAAGACGTAATTTACCTGATTAACTACGTGTAGTTTTTTTAACAAACTACGTCTTTTCCCGTTCATTAACTACATGAAAACTACGTTAATAAACTATGTATTGATATTATGAATAATTTTCCTTTGTATGAGGTGTAATAGAGATAATATGATGTAAATATTATATTTAAAGACATATTTCTTCTGTTTTCTTAAATACATTATGTGTTTTTAAAGCTTCAACTTATTAAAACCTCACCTCAAACCTTTGATATTTGAAAGTTACATACATAACTTACATAAACTACACCCTCTACATAAACTATATTAACTACATGTAATGTAGTTTATGTAGTTTTTAAAAGTTTTTAAAAGTAACATGTAGTTTTCCGAACCCTGGACTTGTGTTGTAACAATTTGAAATTAAAAATAAAATTGGCGAAAAAATGTCAAGACTAATCTATACTAAAAAATGTCTATACAAGAAGGTCTATACCTATGTGTATTAATCTATAGTAATATATAAAATCCTTAAGTGACTGACTTACTGATTAATCACGATCCTGCTCAAACCACTCAACGTAAGAAGCTCAATTTTGGCATACAGGTTGATTCTAGGGTGTAGAGGTTCGATAAGAAGGGATTTTTCGAAATTCCAATTCCAAGCAGGGGGTGAAACACCCCTCAAATGTTACAATATTTTTTATTTAAAAAACGGTCAAGTTTCCGAAAAAACGCTTAAACACTAATATTTTATTTTGTTATTTTACATATTTTAAGATTTTTTAAAAATTTATACAGGGTGTTTCATAAAATATGACCATTGAGTAATCACGATTCTGGTTAAACTGCTTGACGTTTAAAGCTAATTTTTGGCAAACGGATTAACTGTGGGGTGTAGAGGTTCGATAACGAGGGGTTTCTCGAATCTCAAATTCCAAGAGGGTGAAAAGAGGGTGAAAACTCTCAAATATTACAATATTTGTTATTTGAAAAACGGTTAGTCTTTCGGGAAAACGCTTGGACACGCATAATTTATTTTGTTTTTTACATATTTTGATTTTTTTTTTAAAAAAATCATACAGGGTGTTCCAAAAAGTTGCGTAATTGATTAACCACGATTCTGGTTAAACTGCTTTGACGTAAAAAGCTTATTTTTGGCAAACGGATTTTTCGAAAGTCAAATTCCAACGAGATGAAACTACCCCTCAAATATTACCAAGTTATATAATAATATCGCCATATTATTTTTTCTCATGTTGATATAAATGTGAGAAAATTTTATCCAGTTTGTATGTTAATGGAAATTCTTGCTTTGCTTTATCATCACCATTACAAATGATAAATTCGACGTGAACGAAGTCGCGGGTATACGCTAGTATCTGAATGAAAGCACACTATTTAAGGTCGAGTACTTGTATAACTCGGTTGTTTACGGTATTCTCTGATGGTGGCAGCACTAGCGGAGAATGCACCAAGCTTATATTGGACAAACTAAAATTTGATACTGGGTGAAAATGGTTCGAAATGATAAATGGCTAGTAAATTACTATAAAAATGTCTTTATTTAAAAATCATATAATACAAAGCATCATTTGAACTTAAAATTAAATTTACCAGACACGACAAGCTTTCTTTTGAACAGTTGCATGTCTGTTATAAAAGCTAACTAAAAAATACCTTTATAAACTCTAGTCAGTACTTTATACAAAAAGAAAACTAAAAATTCAACCAATAATATATACTTTTTTATAACTTCTGAAATATATTTTAGCCATAAAAATTTTTACCTATAAAAATAAGAGTGTTGGTTTTGATATATTCTTGGTTGATTTTTTCTTTCTATCTACAAAATGTAAAACTAACTAAAAATAGAGAGAGATTATTTTTATCATCAACAATATTTTAAAAATTACTGAAATACACTTGAACGTTAGTTTCCATAAGATTTGGAATGTGCGTTTATGGATATTTGTCAAAAATATTTGCAAAAAATGTACAAATTAAATAACTAAAATCACCGAAACAGATACTGAATAGTTTTAAAAAAATTATGTAAATATTTAAAACAACATAATTATAAATAATAAAGGTTTCGAAAAAAAATGTAGTAAAAAGGAATGGAATCAATAAAAAATATCGCAACGTCTTGTAATACCCCTCTAAATAAAAATATGTATATAAATAGTTTTACTTTTTACAATAGCGTTCCTGGCTCATAATACCTTAACTACCAGCTAAAAATATCGCATTTAAATTTATATACAAAATATATTTTAAACTACGAATAATAAAACATTTTTATCTATATTTCATAATATTACAACAAGGTGTCGGAAGGCACATTTTTATATTCGACAGGGAAGTCAAACGTAAAATTTTCAAAATTGCTATATTTTAAAAATGAAAAAAAAAAGAAGAAAACTAGATATGTATGTGTCAAAATAAAATGAACGTAATAAATCCACAGAGAGCATTTTAGTACTATTTATCATCTAGAATAATAATTAATAATTCTTCCCTGTCCTAATTAATATGAAATTAATTATCTATTAACGATTTATTATGAATGTAATTATATGTATATACAGGGTGGTCCGAACTGTATTCCGAAAACTTCGGCAGCATATTCTGCAGACAAATATAAGTAAAAAAGTTCGTATAAATGTACGTATATCCTAAAATGGCTTAGTTTCGGTTTGGTTGTGAAAGTTTCATTTTTGTTCCAATTTTTTTCCAAATAATTTCTGAAGTAACCTCAATATTTGGATTAAAATTAATGTCTGGGAGTTTTTTGGCATGAAAAATTTGATTTTGATGTCAATATGACTCCTATTTGTAGGGGGCGCCACCTACATGTGTTTTAACTCTTTTGAAGAGTAATAACTTTTCGTCCGTACTTGTATAAAACTACAGAGTGAAAAAATATACATTTCCGTGACTTTTTCTTACGTAAAATTTGTCTCTTGATAAAAATCGCTACGGGCAACCGTTCTCAAGATATTTAGAATGGAAATAGTCAATACATGTCATTGTTGACAAAAAATAAACACCTTGAGTAGATAGTTATATTAATAATAATTACAAGTCAACATGTTTAATTTATGTCAAATTGACATTGTCAATGATGATAGGTATTGATAATTTCGATTCCAAATATTTCGAGAATCATTAATCGTAGCGATTTTTACCAAGAGACTTTTTTACTTGGTAGTTTTATACAGGTACGGACGAAAAGTTCTTACTCTTTACACCAGTTAAAAATATGTAGGTGGCGCCCTCTACAAGTAAGAGTCATATTGACATCAAAATCAAATTTCTCATGTTAAAAAACCTCCAGACATCAATTTTCATCCAAATATTGACGTTACTTCATAAATTATTTGGCAAAAATCGAAATAAAAATGAAACTTCTATACCCTGTATCTCCGAAACTAAGCATTTTAGGATATACATTTATACGAACTTTTTTACTTATTTTTATCTGCAGAATATGTTGCCGAAGTTTCCGGAATACAATTCGGACCACCCTGTATAAAAAACAAGGAGAGATAAATTATTGCTTGATATTTGAAAAAAATAAGAACATTTTGCAAATGACGTGTGACCCAAAGATGTGCATTATTAAAAATATTTTTTTAAATATATAGGGTGTCTCTTAAATAAGTGTAAGTATGTGGATGGTAATGAGTGGTAAATCTGTACAAAATAAAACTATTTTCTATTTACTATTTTTGAAAATAACCAATAATTTAACTTACAAAACTGAATATTTTGAAGAAAATAGGAATTCTGGTTAAAAACCTACAATATTGACACGTGTCATGGTCACACGTCACTAAATGCATTTCACCTTTGTCTGTGTACAAAAATATTCGAAATTTTTCCGATTATTTTCGGATTATTTAAACAAAACTACTAAAAATTTTTACAAAAAATAATATATAGATCTAAAAATGAGACCACATGTCGAATATATAATAATAATAATAAAAAATTCACGTGCGCTTCAAAAAAAGTCACAACAGTCAACAACATTATTTTACCAGATCACATAATTTTAGCTAAATATACTTAGAAGTCTCTTCACTGGTTGTTTTGTATATCTTAATATTAAAGTTTTTACCCAGCTAATTTATAGTCTAACTGGGAGAGTACACAAACTATTTTATATAGTTTGTATTCTCTCCCAACTAGTTCACAAACTAGCCCACATAAGCACTTTAACCGTAACATATATGTATATACCGAACGAAAATGCAGTTCAACCATTCAAATGTAGATGGCGTCCGAACCTTTGTTAGTTTGGTGCCCCCCAACGGCAGATGGTGCTACGTAGGTACCGGTGTTCGGACTGGCTACATTTTCGGACCAGTCGGAGTTGCACGACCTTGGCGAACTGGACGACCAATGGCCGGGGCTTTCCGGCGAGGGCGTCGGAAAGTTATCGGGTAGCAATTGGTCGCTGTGTTGGGAGGGCGGGGTCATGTAGTAGTTTTGTTGCTGGAAAAGTAGGGTTAGAATTAGCATGGTTACACGACAGTGTTGTCAATTGCCTAGTTGCAAAGCCATAACCGAGACAAGAGGAGACAATGACAATTGTAACATTAATACAGGTTGGTGCCTCTCTTCGACGCGGAGGCTCCAGGGAGAAAGACAGTTTGTATTGAAATAAAATTTTGTGAAAATATGTAGGTTAGTTTAGAGCATTTTTTAAAATTATAGTGAGTTCTACAGGGCGTCCCCAAAAAAGTTACACATCAAAGTTATGTTTTTTGTAATGGAACACCCTATATATTAATTGATTTTCGGATTCTAGGAAGAAAATAAAGGCGAGTTTCATTAGAGAAGTATATGGCTAAAATGTAAGGTTTTTGGCATATTTAACATTTTCTAAAAATGAAGAACAAATTTTAAATTTCAATAAAAACTACCTAAATTGGAATTTACCCGGTATGGCTAAAATGTAGTTAAAATAACTATTATTGTACTCTAAATGCTATTAAAACTTGACCCAAAAAGTTATACAGGGTGAGACAAAATTATATTGAACATGGGTTACATTTAAAAGCAAGTTACTTTTTTATTTTAAATGGAACACCCAGTATATTATTCATTGCATACCCCTCAAACAAAGATTTTCCTAGATTTTTCATTTTTATGATTTAGTGACATCAGATCTTTATTATTTGGTAAAATCTAGGTGGCTGGTGATATGTCTGACGTTACTTCAACATAGATGTCAAATTAGTTTAACTTTCACAACTAGTTATCAATTTGTGCGAGTTAAAACAAAAAAAGAATTGTCAGAAATTTGCCGAAAATGGAAACTTATCCTATATCAGAGAAAATTTATATGATTCTGTTGGTTGGGGACTGCAGTGCGCGCGGATTTATCTAGTCTTCACTTTTTTTATTGGGATGTGCTAAGAGACAGTGTTTTCAAAACTCGACCAACTATTTTTGACAACATGAAAGAAATTATTGTGGCTTACATTTTAGCCATATACTTCTCTAATGAAAATCACTTTTATTTTCCTCCTAGAGCCCGAAAATCAATTAATATAGAGGGCGTTCCATTAAAAAAAAATCTTTGATGTGTAACTTTTTTTGGGGACACCCTGTAGAACTCTCTATATTTTTAAAAAATGCTCTAAATCAACCTACATACGTTCACAAAATTTCATTTCAATACAAGCTGTACTTCTCCTTGCAGCCTCCGCGTCGTATTGAGAAGCGCCACCCTGCATATTAGGGCAGTATATTATCATAGATTCAGCACAATTTAATTCTAATTTTTAACACTTACATTAAACGCCTGACCCTGGGCTTGCAGTTGTGCCTGCTGTGTTTGGCTCTGTTGCAACGTCTGCGCGTTGCCTCCCATATAACTGAGGGGCAACTCCAAGCCTGTCTGGCTGAAATCGAAACCCATGGGCAAGGTTTGCGTTTGGGGAACCCCACCGTGCTTCTGCTGTGTTGCCGCTCGCATCGCGGCGATGTGAGTAGGGCTGGTGGGTAGCGATGGACGCGTTTTGGCAGGGGAGGGCGATCCATTATATCTGCAATAGAAAATATTACATTTTAAGTTATAATCAGTAATTCTGCATCTTTATATTTCTTAAATCTTATAACAAACAATTTCAACTCTATGTTAATTATATTTTTACTAAAGAATTATTTTTTTTATAGTTATACATTGAATTGCGTATATGTCAAACTTACCCTTGCGGTGAGAGAGACATGTTACTCTGCACAGAATGTGGTGGGGACTGGTTTGAATATGGGGGACTCAGGGTATTCTGGAGCTGTCTCTGTTGCATCAATAATGCGTCCTGTTGAAAAATATTGAACGCACCGTAGTTATCAATGCCAAACTGTAACGTATTTTTTACCACGTCTTCGTAGCTTGGCGGCTGCTTGTTATCTAAAAAAAATGCGTTTCGTTAATAATAAAGTATTAGTATAATACATGTTTAACTTACTCATCAAGGACTCTAAACTCTGAGGCGTGAGACCCATGTTTGAGTACAGGGTGGTAGCGTCATATGGACTGGGCAAGTTGGTCATGGGTGACTCGACCGGGCTCAATGTAGAGGCGGCAGATTCTGCACTTTGTGGTGGTATTTCTGTTATTTGAGTCTGTTGCTGAGCCTGTAAATAGAATATTAATAAACTAGAGTAAAAAGAAAGTTTTCTGATTAAAGATTGTGCAGTTTGTAAATACATTTTTAAATTTTTTGTCTTGTAAATTTTGCTGATTCTTATTCTATGCACTAAATAAAAGTACAATATACATATAAAAAATGTCAAGTTGCAGCAAATCTTCAAAACAGAGTTATATGGACAGAATTGTGTTAAACATTTAAAGAAGTACTTTTGGTACTTTTTTTTATTTGAATTTGAATAATATACAAACCTTTTTATTGTTGTTGTTATTTGACCGTTTCACGCTTGCTTTTCTTCTTATACTTCCTCCTGTAGCATTGCCGTTATCTGCCCCATCCTGCGGGCTTATCGGACTTGTAACCTTCGAAGGCCTTTTGGATTTCTGCCTTTTATTATGAGCCATAATGACTGTGGGCTGTTGCAGCATATGCCCTGTTGGAGAGGCTGAAAACACATAATTTTTAATTTAAATATCGGTATTGTTTATAAAAATAAAACTTACTCATCAGTTGACTGTTGGAAACTACGCTAACCATTTGAGGACTCCGTGGTACGTGCTCGTCCAGAAGCCTTACAATATCGTGATGTAACCTTTCGCAAGCAATATCTCTGGGCAGTCGTTCCATATGATCAGTGATGTCTCGGTTTGCAAAGGCTTCCAACAAAGCTTTACAAGTCTGGAAAGAACCTAGAAACAAAATTTAGACTTTAGAATAATCCAAAAGATTGTATTAACATTTTTTACCTTCTCTGGCAGCTAGGAATAATGGTGTCTCGTCTTTATCGTCTTGCGCATCTTTATTGGCGCCATGAGCCAATAGAATGTTGACAGCTTCGACGTTATTGACAGCTGCGGCCCAGTGAAGCGCCGTTTTGCCGGAATTGTCAGCTGCGTTTATATCTGCTTCTGCGCTAATCAGGTCTTGAACCATTCCTTCAATTGCCAGCCTGTAATATTTTAAAAGATGTATTAAATACTGAACAGTATAAACTAAAGGCCAGATTATCAATAAAGAAACAATTTTGCTTAACAAAATATCTAAATTGGTAGCATTAAAAAGCGAAAATATTATCATTATAATTTATTACTAGAGACCAATCTACTATCCAAAACTAAAATATAGAAATATAGATAGAAATCCTCCTAGAATTAACTCACGGTTATATTTGTATAGCAACATGAACTAAAAAGCTAATTTATTGTAATAATAGAAATTGTAAGCTTTATATTATACTCTTTGTGGTTGATTTTATGTATTCTTTTCTTGAATGAATAGAGAATTCATGGAAATAAATTTCTGCATAATCTAAGAAAGTACGACGAACGCTTTATTTACTAGCAATCTGAAAAAAATGAGAAAATACTTTTTTGAGCATTGCAATTTTTTAGATGAATCTTTCATTTGTGACATAGAAAAAAATTTGAACGGTCTGACGAGTTTAACAGTTCATTTACAAAGTATTTTTCAATATTAAACTCTATTGAAAAGATGAAACTCTTACGAAATAAAAATATTGGAATTTAAAAAACATTTGATATAATTACTAATAATCCAAACGGTTCTCTTTAACCTGGTTCTACAACGGAATACAGTTTAAATTATTTTTCCCTGTCAATTTTTTGAGGTTGTCTATTCAAATCGTTCTTTCTTTAGTTGGGCGTCAATATTATAATGAAAGAAGCGATAGCCTCTAAAAGAAAAATAAAAGAGGCTTTTTTAATACAATCTAATAAAAATAAATGTATTGCTCATGCATCTGTAGATGTTAGTAATGTATGGCAATCGCCCCCCCCCTTCTTTGATTTTACAGAACATAACGTTCATACGTAAAAATTAAAAATAATCATACAGAAAGTTTGGGGCTTTTTGGTTTTACCTTATTAAGTAATTGTTATCAGGTAGTAATTGTTAATTTTGAAGTTTAACTTAATATAATGTCATTTTAACAGAAAGTCAACGGTTTTTCTAGACGTATCTGTTTAAAAAAAAAAACTAAAGTGTTCTCCAATAGTTGAATTAAAATATTTTAAATAGTTTTTTTTATTCTTTCTATTTTTTTTGCTTCTGACGACGGAAAGAGATAAACTTTCCGAAACGTTAAGCATTTTTTTGTTCGTTAGGCAAATTTGTATATCTATAAACCTAACTTCTGACAAGTAGTTTCCGTTTGGGATTAACGCAGAAGTGTTTACAAAAAAATAACTATTTTATCTTGTAGATTTTCTTGCAGTGGCGAAATACCAATATAGGATTTTTTGGAGGGAAGAATAAAATCTCTAAAACTAGACAACAAACAAATAATATCTATCTTACCTCGCTGCCAGAATAAGTGGAGTGGTTCCTTCGTTCATTCTAGCGTTCAGATTGGTAGCCCTGTTCCTCAAAAGAATCTGGAATACCCCCAAAGCATCAGCCGCTACGGCGGCATGCAGTGGCGTCCTTCCGGTATTATCTTGAGCATTGGCGTCCGCTCCGGCATCCAATAATCGTTTGGCGGCGTCTGCTCGTGCGTATCTTGCTGCTAAATGGAGCGTGGTCTCTCCGGTCTTGTCCATGGTTGCGTTCAAGTCTGCTCCGTGGGCTACGAGGTCTTGAATAACCGCGCCTGCGGACTCGTCTTCGTCCTCCTCGCCAGTGTCCATTCCGCCGCCTCTGATGGCGGCTACCATGATGGGCGTCATACCGCAAGGGCCTCTGGCATTTATGTCGTGGTTGTTTTCGCCTATGAAATCATCAAAATATTTAAGATCTTCTGAAATGTTTACCATGAAATTCGTTGTGCCGTATTAGATAAAGTTGACGATACTTATTTATAACATTTTCGAAAATCCAACCTTAAAAATAAATGATGTTATGTTGGCGACATTGCGCTGTGTTCAGCAACGTTGTCGTTTATTATTTGACAATTATCCTAATGTCAGTGATTATTTTGTATTATATCGTGTTGTTGTTGAATATTTGTGAGTAATTCTTGTTTTTTGCCTATTTTCATAGTATTTTTTTTTAAAATTGTACTTTTAAGCACAAACAGTTCTTTTAAGAACTAAATTTTCGAGTTTTTGTATTGCATTTCTTGAAATTGTGTTGAAAATATGCATGTGTTGAAGTATTTAAACAGTCGAAGTAAAGAGCTTGTAGCTTCCTTGATAAACTATTTTGAACGAGAACCTGACAATAAAGGTGTGAGAAACCCTTGACTGCAGTCAGAGAAGTAAGTTTGATTGATAAGCACATTATACCACTTTCAAAGTTATTTCTACGTATTTTTTTATTAAATTCTGTGATTATTAGTTTGTGCATTAATAATAGCAGCCTCTTACTTGTTATTACCACTTATGACGTTGTAAGATGTACATCAATAAATAAATTAATTAAAAAAAACCTAACCTAACCTATAATAACGCTTAGAATAATCTTCATAATGGACTAGTTTTTAGCCAATATGTAATAAGTAAAATAAGCTATTAAACAAATAAATCAATTAATTACTAAAATATTAGTTATTAAATTAAAAATAAAAGGTAAAAATCTTTAAAAAATGATAATATATAATATAATAAATATATTGTTTGTCAATTTTAAATTAAGATTCATCTCATAAATCCATCACAATCTGGCATCGCCGTCGCCATCGCTTGTCACTCAAAGTTGATTACGTGCATCGGAAGTTGTTTTGCGATTACCGTATGTATATATTTTATTAACACAAAATATATTGAAAATGCAATTTTTAAAATTTCGAAAAATCATATTTTTTGTATCCAAAACTTTTCTTCCTAAAATTTTTGATTTCAAGTGATCTAACCCCATTTTTTAGCATAAACGTATAAAAGTGTATTTTTTCTATAGATTTGTTTTATTTTTGTTTGACAGTCATTTTATCAGAAAAAAATGAAATTATAGATTAAAAAACAACGTACCTTGTGGAGGAGTTAACATAGCCGATGGTCTAATATCCGCAGCTTCCAGATGAGTTTGAGTCCATCTAGGTTCAGCTTCTTCATACTCCGTAATAGCAGTCTGATCGCTAGAGTATCCAGTTTCACCAACCCTTCCTCGTTTGGGAGGCAGAGGATAGCTAGGATAGTCATCGTCCGAGTACTGCGGTATGTGCCCATGCTGCGAATCCAACTCCAATCCAGGAATCGACTGATTCTTGCTCAAGTTCCTCAGTTCCTGACCTTCCGGACCTCTCCTGCGCCTTCCCAAACTCGAGTTATTACGCAGAAAACCTTCCGGGAACCAAGTAATACCGGCAGCTCGCTTCCTTTGAGCTTGTATGACCATCACGATTGCCAAGGCCGTTATCAGGACAATGGCGATTCCTCCGAAGACGTACTTGCTGTTAGTCGGCTGGGTGACGTCATCATCGAAGTCCGAGTCTCCGTTAACTTGATAAATCGGAAAGCTTTGAGACAACGAATGTTTGGAGGCTTTGGCCGCCAGAAATTCTGCAGCTGCGCTGGCTGTTTGGAAGCAATACTCGGAATTTTCGCCGAACTCCGTACATTTCCTGTTGTCGATTTCCAAGTAGACTTTGACGCCGGATTGGGCGGTTTCCGAGTAGATGATGTGGTGTTTGGAACTGAAGTCGCCATCGAGGTGACTTCTGGTGTTACCGACCCATGGGTAGATCATGTCGTTGTTAAGTCGGTCCTTTTTAACGCGTACCGTTGTTCTTAACTGGTGTGACGTGTCTCTTAAGAAAGCTATCAGGTTTTTTCTAAAGGCCTAAAAAGAAAAAAAATTGTGGGTTAAGAAAGATGTAACCATTTCCTCTCTTAACTATTTTATTTAAGGCTTAGGCTTGATTTTTATGCATCCGTTGTCCGACGATACGATGATACGATATTAATTTTATTGGTTGAATTTAAAGACTTCGACTGGTTAGAAAATTACGCAGTTTTTAAATTAATTGCATTTTCATGCCTCCGTTCATCGGATATACGATTGGTGTCATTTTATATTTTCATTTCCCTAAGGATTTTTTTGATTTCTAAGAGCTAGCAGCGTTTTTTCGAGAGAGAATTTCAAGAAACCTGGTTCTTTAATAGTTCTGCCGGTAGACGTTGCTTTCACTACTGCGCATCATATCTGTATTTAACATCTGTTCACTACTGCACATCACAAATTCGCCCTGTATTTCAGGAACTAAGGAGACTAGGACAAACCTATGTGTAGCATATTTAGTTTTATAAAAAAGTACAAAAGTAATGTGAAAATCGCATCATTATCTCTCTACTCATAAACGAGAAATCCCATAAAACACACGAAAATGGGATACCCTGTACAGATGTGCTGTGCAGTAGTGAACCTCAGTAGTCTACCAGCAGCCAGACGGTCCGCACTTTGGTCAGGAGAGCACAGCAAAAAATATATTAAAGAAACGGCTTTCTTAAAATTCTCCCGACGGTGCAGCTCTTGTACTATTATATTTTTATTAACGTTTGATTAAATTTGCCAAAAAGTGTTAAAATGTCTGTTATCGTACGATCTTTCACCGTTGACAAGCCGGAGTAAAAAAATTACGGATGAAAAGTGGCGCGAAGACGCCATAGCCAATCAGAACGCCGTCGGACCATCGTATCAACGGATAACGGACGCATGAAAATCAATCTTTAGACATTATCTTACCTGCATATCCATGAGGACGATCATAGAGATAACGCCTTCGGCAAGTTCCGGTGGTTCCTCGTCGCAATCCAGACCGTCCCAGTTGCATTCGGCGTTGTTGCAACCGTAATCGCAATGGCCGTTGCCGTAGTGTTTTTGGCAGTAGGCGTCGTAGATCGGGTTGCACGGGTTCAGCTTCTTCTCGCAGTCGCGTCCGTCGAACAGACACTGGGGCGTGTTACATTCCTCGTTGCAATGACCGTCGTAGAAATGGTCCCAACAGTTGATTGGGGCGGTGCAATTAGCCCATGGATTGATACCTGCAGAACAAATAATTTATACATCTAAAAAAATCTTAATGATCTCCAAAGTACTGGGAATTCACGGTTCTTTGGAGCCATCAAAGAACAGGGACTCGAAATTAATTCCCGTTTTTTTCTTTATTTTCGGGACTCGGTAACAATAATTAAAAATATTTTTTTGTGACTGTCTTTTAAGATCGAAATGACTTTTAACAATTCCGTCAACTAGCGTTAAACTTTAAAGAGTTTTTTGTTCGGCTGGTTTATTTTCCAATAAGATTAGGTCTCGTTTGAGTCCAGACTGAATAGTCTGGACGCATTTTTATCTCTGAAATCTTACTACAGAGAGGAAAAAATCTCTCTAAATATACAGTGATGCTAGATACTATTTTATACAAATTATTAAATATGTAACTTTTTTAATTAGTATAATGTTGTTCAATGTATAAGTTATACAGGATGTCCCAGAAATAAGTGCAGATATTTTAAGGGGTGGTAGATCTGATCAAAAGAAACATCTTTTCTCTTTACTATTTTAAAAATAAATTGAAAAGAACCGAGTTATTTAACTTTGAAAATTTAAAAAAATAATGGCAACATTTAAGAACTGCTGGCGATAACTAGCTATTTCTAGCTATTTTAGTTTTCACGAGGGTTTCAGCTCATTCGATGCCCTGTGCCAGATAGTCAAAGCCAGACTTGCCAGATAGTCAAAGTATATGCTATAATTATTAGTGAAATCTACAATCACTGGAATGAGTTGTTGTGTTGTTCGTATACCGTTTATTTTTTCTGATTTTGTCGATGTTCCGAATAGTGAATTCCGATAAACATGTTGGTATTTTGTTTTATATGATCTCAGTATGAATAATATAGTGAATTATTTTATTAAATTTAGTTCTAAATAAAGTTATTTTGCTGTATAACCATGATTTTCATAAACCTCATAAGAATAATTTTACTCAGTTTGGTTCTCATTTAAAGGGTAAGTACAAACGAAATATTTAAAAGAATGTTTTTTTTATTGAAACTACTTCGTAATATGGAAATATTAAGAGATATTTTTTAAGTATATGTAGTTAAAAATAAATCTAAAAATGTGGTATGGCGTAAATATAATTAATGTGGTTCGTTTCTAGAATTGTTAGCAATAGACACTGATATGATTAGAATTAATGCTCGTAATTTTTTGTGTACAAATTTAAAATTACAGTGAATACAAATAATATGTTGAATATGGATAATGTAGGAGGTGGCAACACTGCAAAATACACCGTAGAGAAATCTCAGGTGAATACACAAGTGGCATTAAAAACTTTATTTAAAATTTCTCGGAAAATGTCAAGAAGAATAAAAAATTTTCAACAATTTTTTTTCGCAAAAAAAACCTCATAGGCATGTTTCTGGGGCCGAAATATACTATTGGTTAAAATATTTGCACTTATTTCTGGAACCCTCTGTACTTTATGATAAGTTTTTATAGGTATTTGCATTTTTAATTCACATATATAAGGTTTTTTCCAAATTTAGTTAAGTTGGTTGATGTGAATTTTAAGTTACTTTGGTTTTTTTCTTTGCTTGTGTTCTTGTTTGTGTTAATATTTTTTCAATTTTCTCATGACTGGTTACTTAATAATTTGATATTATTTTCAATCTCAATTTTTATCGAATTTACTTTTGCTTTTGAATTGCTTGCTGATTGATAACCTAACCAAACCAAACCATTATTGAACAAAAATTAGCAAGTACCGAAAGTGCCGAGAAAATCAGGAAATCCCGGTTCCTTAAAGACGTAGTAGTAACTGTAAAATAGCTCCAGTTCCGGAAATCCTAATACATACCTAACGAACAATCGTTGCCATCAAAATCACAAGCGTAAGTGTTGCATTCTTCGTCACATCGCCTGTTGCCTCTCTTAGAAGCACACTTATTTTTGATGCATTGCTGTCTTTGTCGTTCCAAGTCCTACAATAAGAATAAAAAAAATAAACCAAGTTTTAGTTTGTTATTAAAAAAAATCGTAACGTACCTTTTCGAAGTATTTACTGAAATCTATGGATGTTTTTATGGAAACTCCCAATCCTGCTGGTGCATTCTTATCATAGATTTCACAGTTCTTGCCTGTGTGTTTTGGAGGGCAATAGCAAGCGTAGTCTCCAAACTTATCCTGACAGACGGCATTTGGATGTCTACATGGGTTACTGTTGCATTCATTCAAAGAGTCGATTTCACAATTAACGCCTGCAGTACCAACGGGACAGTCACAAACATAACCTAAAAGTAAGAAACCTAGTTATTTAAGCTAATACATAAGGGGCTTGGATCACTAGATCACAAAATTATATAGCAAAATCTTAGACAAGAGGACTAGTCAATATAATGTTATAAACATTTTTTTTGTAACAAGTTTGTATCTTACCTCCAGCATCTGATATTCTGCATGTTCCTCCATTTTGACAAGGATCGGAGTCGCAATCGTACCCGCTGAACTGACAGTTTTTACCATAATATCCTTCCTGGCATGTGCATTTGTGACCATGATAGACGATAGTGCATACTCCTCCATTCTGACAAGGCGAAGCAGCACAAACGTTCGTCTGAAAATATTATTATTATTAGAGACGGTATGTGTTATTTAATGATCTGTTATTTAGAAATAACAGTTCTGAAATAACAGGTTACTTGTTAAAAATAAGAAAAGTATGCGAATACCAGTGCCTTAATTGCCATTTGAAGGTGGTATCGCTTCGCCAACATTTTAATGATCTCTTATTTAACAATAACAGTTATAAAATAACAGGTAACTTGTTAATAATAACAGGTATGAAAATAATAGTGTTCTGCTACGAATATATACAGGATCGCTACGAATAAAAGTTTAGCAGATTAGCACAGTTGGTACTTTATGAAAATAACAGATGTAACCGAACATTTATGGCTTGTGATATGAAGTCCAGATTGCTCAGTTATAAAATTTTACAAGGCTGTAGAGAATTTTTTGATTTAGAAAGCTTAAAAAAAATTGGCAACTGTTGTTGTAGGGTTGTAATTATTATTGATTACTAATTTTACAGTAGTTATTTTTGCTGATGCTTATTGTTATTGTTAGAGGATTATAACACGTATTATAGGTAGAGATTAAGAGATAATGATTATATACGATTGTTCATAATAAAGAGCAAATGACAGAAAGCTAGAGTCTGTACTGTGATATTAAAAATATTACTCAAAATATACTTGTTTATTTTTGATGATTTGATTGTTTAAAAATGAAAGTAATAAAAAATAAATCCTGTTATATTAAATTTATTTTAAATAATATTTTCAATTGTTATTAAGAAATAACAGTTGAAAAAATCTAGTTCTAAACATACCTTTTCTTCACAATGATGACCGGTATAGCCAGGCTTACAGTTACACTGATAATCATTGACCAGTTGTATACAAGCTTGTGTACCAGGATTCGAGCAAGGATTCGACAAACATTCGTTGATATCCCCCTCGCATCGAGGTCCAACAAATCCAGGCAGACATTTGCATTCGAACCCGCCAACTTTATCAATACAGGTGCCGTTATTGTGACAGGAATCCGACTGACAGTCATTGTGATTGATCTCGCACAAGTATCCCAATGTTCCCGCGGGACAGGAGCATAGAAAACCGTCGATGAGGTCGTGGCACAGGCCGCCGTTTTGGCAGGGATTCGGCTGGCAGTCGTCGATGTTCAGTTCACAGTTCTGGCCTTGGAATCCTTTAGGACACTCGCAGGAATAGGAACCGATCAGATCTTTGCAAGTGGCGCCGTTTTGACAGGGCGCGGATTCGCACTCGTTGATCTCGATTTGGCAGTAGGAGCCCGTGTAGCCTTCCTTGCAGTGACATCTGTGAGAGTTGCCGATGGTCTCGCAAGTACCGTTGTTGCAAAGGAATTGCCACGGTATTCCTGAAATAGTTTAGTAATCAGTAGATAATACTTTATTGTAAATATATTATAACAATGCCTGATAGTCTAAAAGACTAAGGAAAGAGTATATTGCTATATATTCCATATTTAATATAAATATGTGAGTTAAATAACTAAAGCATATTTATAAAATTGATAATTAGTAATAATTATGATAATTATAATAACCTCACTGTAGTAGTTGTCGCAAAACATTTTTCGATGCACGTCATCAATCATATCGAAATTGACAGTAAAGCCTATAAACCTGACTAAATGAAATTTGGGCAAAACTGTTTAAATTTGTTGTATAATTTAAGATACCGAGCAGCTCTTCATTTTACTTTATAGAGCAAATGATTGTAACAGATATTTTATTTAGATTAACGCTGCAAAAATTAGTTTAAAGCGAATTTTATTATCGCTATGTTGGTTCAGCAACGTTGTCGTTTATTATTTGGCAATTATCATAATGTCAGTCATTATTTTGTATAATATCGTGTTGTTGTTGAATCTTTGTGAGTTATTCTCGTTTTTTGCCTATTTTCATAGTTTTTTTTTAAATTGTACTTTTAAACAAAAACAGTTCTTTTAAGAAGAACTTTTCGAGTTATTGTATTGCATTTCTAGAAATTGTGTGTTCAAAATATGCCGAAGCATTTAAACAGTCGAAGCAAAGAGCATGTAACTCCCTGTCAAACTATTTGGAAGGAGAACGTGACAATAAAGATGCTTTATTACCCTTGATTGCAGTCGGAGAAGTAAGTTTGATTGGTAAGCACATTATACCATTTTCAAAGTTAGTTTTTAGTAAATTCTGTGATTATTAGTTTGTGTATTAATGGCACCCTCTTACCTTATTTTTTTTATTATTACTACTTGTGGTGTTGTAAGTTGTACAGATAATAAAATAATACAAATAACCCATAATAACGCTTAGAATAATCTTCATAATGGACTAGTTTTTGCCAATATGTAATAAGTAAAATAAGCTATAAAACATTTTAAAAGTATTAATTACCAAATTAAAAATAAAACGTAAAAATCTTTAAAAAATGATATAATAAATATATTGTTTCCCAATTTTACATTAAGATTCATTCCATAAATCCGTCACAACCTGGCAGCGCTGTTGCCATCGCTTGTCATTTAAAGTTGATCACGTGCCTCGGAAATTGTTTTGTGATTACCGTATGTCTAATGAATGTATATTAAAATAATATTTGACTCCTTTCCTAGCACTTTTATTCAATGAATATTTTTGTTGTTAAAGAAACTTACCTTTTCTGATGGCTGCATCTTGACAACTGACCATTTCCACATCACAGACCTTTCCTGTCCATCCAGGGCCACAGGTACACTGGTATTGATTCTTTACTTGCTTACAGGTAGCTTGATTCTCGCAAGGATTCGTTGAACACCAGTCTACATATTCTCCACAATCTTTTCCAGTATATCCATATGGACAGTGACACGTGTAATGCGTGGTGTGATCTTGACAGGTCGCGTAGTTCCTACACGGCGAGCTGTCACACAAGTTGATGCGATTTTGACAGTTCGAACCAGTATAACCCGGCTTGCAGTTGCACGTGTAGGAATTGATGCCATCTATGCACGTTCCACCGTACATGCAACTGCTTTCTGTACAGTCTTCGTCGTTGGTATCACAGTTTATGCCTGAGAAGCCCAGTGGGCAAGTACAGGTGTAGGAATCGACATACTGGTTACAAGTGGCTCCGTTTTTGCATGGGTTGGATAAGCATTCGTCAATATCTATTTCGCATTGTTTGCCTTCGAATCCGTTGACGCATAAGCACGTAAATTCGCCGATTTCGTCCAGGCAAGTACCTCCGTTTTGACATGGAGCTAGAAAGATAGTAAATTAATTAATTAAGCATTAATTATTTAGCTAATAGACGAATTAATCATAACTAATTAATTATATTTAATTAATTAATTAAATATAATTTATATTTAATTAATTAAATTATAATTAACTTTAATCAATTATAGTAAATTAATAAACTATATTTCATTAATTATTTATATTTACTTAATTAAATATAATTAATATTTAATTAATTATACAAATATAATTGATTAACTATAATTAATTAATCAAATTTAATTAGAACTTAATTAATTAATTATATTTAATTAATTAAATATAATGATGAAAATAATATTTTATTAATTGGCGTATTAATTAATTAATGAACCATGCTGAAACAGAAGATCACTTACATGATGCGCAATCGTCGGTGTTGATGGAACAGTCTTTTCCTTCGTATCCTCTTGCGCAGAGACATTGGTACGATCCGTTGACGTTTCTACAGGTGGCGCCATTTCTACAAGGTCTGGAAACTACACACTCGTCTACGTCTTGTTCGCAGAAACGCCCCGTATATCCTAGGTTGCAGGTACAAGCGAAATCCAGATAATTTGAGCTCGGAGTGCATTTGGCGTTGTGGCGACATCTTCAATTGAAAATTAAAAAAGTGAATATACATTTTAAGCTATAATTTTGTTTGAAAACATCAATTAACCACAATACATTAAAAAAAACATAGAAAACTTTGTTATTAATTCAAAATTGTTCAAATCTAACCTGTTTGGAGCACAAGGATCCAACCTATCCTGGCACTCTCTTCCGGTGAACGGAAGTTCACACACGCATTCGTAGCTGTTCACGTGATCGATGCACGTTCCACCGTTCTTGCACGGATTGCTGGCGCACTCATCAACGTTAGTCTCACAGTTGATTCCAGAATATCCTGGTAAACATTCGCAGGTATACGAAGCCAAATGGTCGTAGCATATGCCTCCGTGCTGACAGGGATTGCTAGCGCATTCGTCGATGTTGATTTCACATTGCTTTCCACCAAATCTAGAAGAAAAAATTAGTTAAACCATTCATTTCGGACCAACCTTAATCACTGTTCATTGTACTTACCCAGCTAGACAGTGACAGATGAACTGATTGACGCCATCTTCGCAACTTCCTCCATGTCTGCAAGGGTTGCTCTTGCACTCATCCACGTCACTGAGGCATCGGGCGTCATAGTAACCTCTGGGACATTCGCATCTGAACCCGTTGACCAGGTCGATGCACACGCCACCGTTGGCACAAGGATTCGAAGCGCATTCGTCAATGTCATTCTCGCAATGCCGACCAGTGAAACCAGGCATACATTCGCAGGCGTAACTAGAAAATACATTACGTCAAAAGTGACCTTATATACTAAATAATTTCACGTAAAAAGGGAAAACTTGAGACATGCATGTACAGGTTAAGTCAATAATTTCACTGAGTAAATTAAAAAAAATCTATACAATTTTTTTTGGAGGTAATCACTGACATGCCCTGTATATTACTAAAAACAATTAGAATACACATTATGGAGGTACTTGCATATAGTAAATATTTGAATGTATTCAAAATAGAAGTCTGTCTAATGAGAGAATATTTGACGATGACGGTTGCTGGTCTGTTATTGTAATTCACAGATACATTATATTTTCTGTTAATATTTGAAAGTAGTCTGTCGAAATCTTCCCAGACAAGTTGGACAAACTTTAACTCCATTGTATGCATTCAGATTGTTAAATTTTCACTCTTGTCACAACCAAAAATAAACCTTTTAACTTACAATGCGAAGGGATATCCACTGAGTAGCATAAAAAAGAAGAAATATGTCAAATTAATTGTATACATTTGCCATAGAGTAGATATATTACAGTGAAAGTGGGAAATTCAATGATTGTTAACATTCACTAGGAAATGCTAGCAATTATGCATTGGACCAGTGAATGCGGTATTTTAAAGAGATTTGTCGACTTTTCCTAGTAATTTCTAACATCACTAGAGTGAAAGTAACATTTACTAAAGGTTGCCAGTAAAAGTTATTCTATTGTACAAGGCGAGTGTGGTGAGGAAGAATGTTAAAACATTTTAAAGTGTACAAAACAATTAAAAAAACTTCATAAACATAAGATTAATTATTAATAAAGTTCTTCATCGTGGACAAAATAAAGTATGCCCGAATTTTCTTCAATGGGAGTTACTTGTTATTATATCAAAACATTTAATAAGTTCGTAGTCACTAGGCATCTTTCACTCACTTCGTCCAGGGAATGCTAGCATTCACTAGTAAAAGTTGGTTTCAAAAATATCTGTTGAACTTTTACTGGCGTAGTCTTAGTAAATCAGTGAATGTCAGCTTTGACTAGTAATTGTGAACAATCACTGATTTCCAACTTTTACTGTAACAGATACTATAGCATAAAAATATAATCTAATATTTATAAAATGAATAATAAAAAATATTTAATAGGCTTAATATTCAATATTATTATATAAAATGATAATTGCATGAAATGTTACTAAACATATCAAGAAAATAATGGATCTATTATAAAAATTTTGTTTTTATCTTACCTGTTGATACCGTCGATACATTTAGCTCCATTTCTACAAGGATTACTGTTACATTCGTTGATGTTGATCTCGCAGTTGGGTCCAGACGTGCCAGGCTTACAAATACACTGATATCCATTAACCAGGTCCTGACAGATGCCTCCATATTGACACGGGTTCGAATCACACTCGTTCAGTTGGTATTGACAAAGTCTCCCAATATAACCTATAGGAGAAAAAAGTGAGAGAGCTATTTAGTAATGCGTTCTTTGGTTCAATTCAGAGTAATAAAAAATAAATATTAATCTTACCAGGATGACACATGCAAGTGAATGAGTTCTCTCCGTCCAGACATTCGCCGTGGTGACATGGTGAAGATTGACAGTCGTTGATGTTGGTTTCACAAGACATACCTGTATAACCCGGAGGGCATTCACAGGTGTACCTGTAATAAATATGATTAAATCAAGTTTGTAGTTATATTTAAAGGATACGACTGGAAAGTGCAGTTTAGAGATAAGCAGAGAACCACACAACTATCCAAGAGAACTTAAGCGTACTTCCTTTTTATCATAATCTAACAAGGTATGAGAGACACGTTTTTGTAAAGCTCTCAGAAATGAAAAAATATTATTACTTACCCAGCAATGGAATCATGGCATGTTCCTCCATTTCTACAAGGTTGACTAACGCAATCGTCGATGTTGATCTGACATCTGGAGCCAGTGAAACCTATGGCACAGGTGCATTTGAAGGAGTTGATCAAGTCGTGGCAGACTCCGCCATTTAAACATGGCGTGTCCTTGCACTCGTCTATGTCGATTTCACATTGAGTTCCGGTAAAACCTGAAACAAAAACAATAAAGTAATAAAATTATCATATTTTTGTCTTTTATAGTGTTTCATTTTCTAAAAAATGGAGAAAAAAGCTCTATAATATATAATACATATCCAACTAAAGGGTCTCAGAAATTTCTCTAATATTGGGCTATATGTATAACTATTTTGATTTTTTTTTCTCTGATCTGATCAGTTTATGTTATTTTAATTTTAAAATGTTATTGCATTTATTATCTTGTTTTTTTTAGAAATGTGTCAAAATTCCAAGGCCTTAATTTCTAAATAAAGAACTGTAATTTTGTCAAACTGATTTTTCAACTTGTTTCATTTATCTATGTGCAATTCTGAGCAATGTTATTATGAGTTATTTATACAGTAACCCTAGATCATATACATATAGGACAGTAACAAATAAATATTATACCGGGTGCGTCTTAAAAGTGGCTCACCCCTAAAACTTTTTTATTTTCTTCAAATAAAAAACCGAGATTTGGTATGTTAGTATATGACATAAATTAGGATTGATTGACGTATTCAATTCTTTTCGGTCACTTCGTGTTTCACCGGAAATGACTACTAACTTTTAATTTTTAAATGGCTTCCTGGGTATTTTTTTACTTTATTCGATAGAAAATGACACTCTGAATAGAATGGCATGTCATATCTCAACTTTTGACATATTAGAGTGTTCCTTGGTCATAAATGTAACGACAATTTGATTGGAAATACCAAATTATTCGTAAAAAAATGCTTTTTCCAAATATGCTAATGAGCCACTCTCGTTCCATTTGAAAAATTTGAGATACGATTAAAAATACGATTTGGACATCTTTTAACCGGCCAGGACAAGACACGAAAAACATTACACGATCAAATCTATTTTACCCAGGCCCCTTGATTAAAAATTAATGTTTTCAGTACAGCCATGGCACTCTGGATTGAAATTTAAAATATGAGTTTTTAAGCGAGCATGTCAAAAGTTGACATATGATCTGTCATTCTATTCAGAGTGTTATTCCCTATGGAATAAAGTAAAAAAATACCGACGGCGCCATTTAGAAATCAAAAGTTGTAGTAATTTCCGGTGAAACAGGAAGTGTCCGAAAACAATTGAATATGTCAATCAATCCTATACTAACCATACCAAATCTTGTTTTTTTATAAACCTAACGTTCTTCTGTTTACATGTGGTTTGTAAATCTTGGGTCCTTTCGTTTTGTAAGGTTTGTCTGTTTATGTTATTTGTCTAACGGAATTAGTATAGTCTATAATTAGACATTTTGTATTGAAAACTTCACTAAAGCTAAGGTATATTAGTGTTGTAAGATGATTGCTGTGTCCTGCAACTAACATACTTCGTCTCCCAAACTGTAATAAAACAGTCATTTGGGTTAATATATTTCTCGGGTTTTTGCACAATCATTTCCTTCGAAACTGGTAGTACTAATTCCAATTAGCATGTAGAAAGTACTGAGCATGCAACGTGTACTTTTAGACCACATCCGACAACTATCCTAGGCAGAACAGATTTTTTTATTAATTTATTTAAATATTCATTCACATCCCTTGTTATAATTGATGTTTTCAGTTTCTTATGTCAGTTTCCGAGTGTAATTATTATTTTTAATGAAAGTACCAACGCCTGTAACTTGTTTTAATTACGAACATTTTAAATTCATTCACTATTCGAAAGTAATGATTTCATTAGCATTTACTGTTTTACTGCTGTTTGTATGTTCTTGTTCTACGTGGAGTAAAATGATCAATTGAAAAGATTCTTGCAAACAGAAAAACTAAAAACTTTTGGCCTTAGGTTTGTGACTTTTTTGCTCCAAATTAGTAATTTTTACATTTTTATAAAACCTGTTGTAGAGGTGTTTGTTCAATAAGTGCAACTATTTTAACTGGAAGTATATTTCGACACCAAAAACATACTCATGAGGTTTTTTCCTTGACATTTCCGAGAAATTAAAAAACAACTTTTTAGTGCCACATATTCTTTCTCCTGAAATTTCTTCAGGGTGATTTGAAGCTTTGCAATGTTGCCATCTTCTACATTACCGACATTTTGAATAAGTGATACCAATAATTAAACTTTTAGTAACGTAATCGATGGCGCGATTTTTAAATTCATTGTTGCCAACCATGGTCATAATATTCGGCGCCGGGATGATTAACTGACATTTAAATTTCCCGCTGGGGATTCAGATTGGCTCTGCTGTAAAAAATGCCAAGTTGTCACATTTATTTATTTATTTCCTAACATTAATTGTCATTCGTTTTGACACTTTATAGTTTTGTATTACGAGTTTTTGGTTTAACTGAATTGTGTTGTGATACTTTAAGCTTAAAATTTTTTACTAGCTGACCTTGGAGCCGAACATTGTTCTTTTTAGAACCTCTTTTAGTGCGAAGTGTACAAGATCGTTGCAAAAAACTCATCCCAACCTTATTAGATTATTTTACACGGAAAAGCAGTAGTAATGGCCCTTTATGTTCTTTAAGCGCTGTTAAGGAAGTGAGTTTTGTTGATGCAAATAATAACTGTTTATATATTTTATCATTAATTTATTTTTGTCTCCTAAAATATTTTGATTGAAAGAAAATATGCAAAAGTGGGCAACGCTGTGCCGGTCAAGCTTCATCACGTGACTAAAAGTTTATTTGGTACGATCTTTATATTGGTGGGTTTATAAGGTTTATAGTAATTTTACATTACTACAGAATGAAGTACGATTAATTATTATAATTATACCAGTGTCATTACTAATATTTTTTTCTATCAAGGTAAGACAATAATTTCTTATTCATGTGCTAACATGGGCCGTCGAATAAGCTGATCAACAAGCTGAACCGGTGTTTCTCAAAATGTATGTTTTTATTTAACGTTGCAAATTTAAAAAAGCATACATTTTGAAACTCGGTTATTTTTAACCCAATCCCTGTCTTTCTGTTCATTACAAAAACTCAATAAAATATATATATCTGGCTTTCTTTTCCCATAAATATCGGTGAAAGTAAAGAATAAAAATAAAATATATAACGACAGTTCCAGTTGTTATGTTAAAGTAGAATTAATCTGTATATAAATCACATTTAGCTACGCAGCCTCGGCTTGTTTTAACCACCATATAATATATTACACCGATTTCTAATGACACTATTCTGTCTGTAGTTAAATAAATCGCATAATAATACACAACTTACAGATTTATTAGCTTCCCTGATTTTTGGTCTAGCATTCTTAGAAATTTAAATATGTGGTTTTATTTCAAACTCGCTTTTGCTATCCTTTTTGTGGTATCTCGTTTTATGCGGGGTTAGTTCTTTGAAAACACCGCGTATATCAAAATAACTTTTTATTCATTATACATTTTTATTACATACATTATATAGCTATACAGGGTGTCCCAATATTGCGCGGACATAGAACTGCTACGTATTTTTGGAATGAAAATAAGTTCATTTCATTGGACACAATTTACCTCTATACAAAACTACTTTGTTTGGCCGTTAGAGGGCATCAAACTATAAAAAAATAACACATTTTTTTAAGATATTTTAAAAACCGTGTATGCTGCTTAAAATGAGCGACTATTGTGTACCTATTATTATCCATTAATTTATTTCCTGTATATGTAGATCATTTTCATAGTTAAAATCATTTTACGTAACTAAGAAACCATTATAAACCAAAATTTGATATAGAAATAATGTTAAGATACATTTATTGTATTGGAATTGTTTCGAGAAATCTACATTAAAAGATTGCGCCACGAATGCAGAAAATACGTTCTTCAGATCCGACAACAAAAACAATTCGCTCTCGAACACGGCCGCCTTTCAACTTTTGCATAACGCTACGTAGAGATGTGCAAATATATCGATATTTTTTAGTCGATATCGATACTACCGCTCATTTATTATTAATAGGAAATAAACCGGCACCATGTTTCCGGCAACTACCTTGATATAATATCAAATTTTAATACATATAGTTCATACCAATTAAACTTTTAGTTAACGTGATTAAGCGTGACCGGCACAGCGTTGCCAACTTTTACATATTTTCTTCAAAATATTTTAGGAAACAAAAATAAATTAATTATAAATATATCAAGTTATTATTTAAATCCACAAAACTCACCTCCTTAACAGCACTTAAGAGACATAAATGCCCATTTCTAACGCTTTCCCGTTCAAAATATTCTAATAAGGTTTGGATGAGTTTTTTGGCATTGGCCATTAAGCTATCTTGTACACTTCGAACTAAAAGAGGTTCTAGAAAGAACAATGTTCGACTGCTAGGTCTGCTAGTATTTTTTTTTAACTTAAAGTATCACAACACAATTCATTTAAACCAAAAACTCGTAATACAAAACTAAAGTGTCAAAATTAATGACAATGTCAGGAAATAAGTAAAATAAATGTGGCAACTTGATATTTTTTACAGCAGAGCTTCCACCTGAATACCCAGCGGGCACTTTAAATTTCCAGTTAGTCCGCCCGGCGCCGAATATATCCATGGTTGGCAACAATGAATTTAAAAATCGCGCCCTCAATTACGCATCTAAAAGTTTAATTGGTATCGCTTATAGTTTTCTAAATTCTTAAAATTGTAAAGTAAGGTTAGCTCAAAACCTGTTTCATATCAGCAAGCACATACCAGTATTCTTAAGACATGTAGGAGAAGTATTAGTTATGATATATATATATATATATATATATATATATATATATATATATATATATATATATATATATATATATCTATATATATATATATATATATATATATATATATATATATATATATATATATATATATATATATATATATATATATATATATATATATATATATATATATATATATATATATATATATATATATATATAGTTAAGACTAATACAATATTATTATAGTTAGAACTAATACTCAAAGGATGAACCGACCATTAGAAAATTTTGTTTTTTCATAATTTGACCCCCTTCGTTTACGAGAT